TTGCGACGTTAGGCTACTCAACAACAACAACAAAAATTTCGGGGTTTTTTTTGGGGGGGGGGGGTGTGGGAGCATGGCCCCTATTTGCCAATCCTCCTAGATCCACTGTTGTCATTTGGAGACCGGAAACTTATTACATAAACAGAATAAATATAAAAAGTAGACCCAAACACAAAAGAAATATATTTCATATTTAAAAAGTCGCACCACAATAATTAATACTGGTAAGCTAAAAACAAAAAAACAATCAATGGCTCAATCCGTTTAAATTATATCACCATTTAAACCAAATAATCGGCTCCACGTCCACAGTTAAACGGTATCGTATTAAACTTTAATTCGAAATGTAGTGAACACCTTCAATGTGTTCATTGTTTTCCCATGCTCAGACAAAAATAGTAGACAATCCATATTTCTTCTTCTTTGCTTTGTTTTTGGTGGTTTTAGTTTAGAAAAGGGTTCAGACCCCCATTGCTCAAGCTGCCATCAGTAATAATAACAAAGCACAGAATGAGCCATTTAGGCCTGGCATTATTATAACTCTTCTTTTTTTATAATTATATTATCGCTTTAATTGAAATTTTGAAAAATCTCAGAATATCACTCGTTTCTTTTGACAATTCAGAAAGAAGACATTTTGTAACAGTTCGATGTCAAAGTAAAAATTTGTTTTCAAAGACATAAATATCAAGTTCATGTATGTTTGTTTCCGTTTTATTTGCAAATCTCACGAGAGTCACTTGGGATGCAAATTCGTATAAAACCACTGCTGTGCAAAGACGGTCTACAAGGCTATAAAAAAAATAAGCGCATTAAAAGCTTCATACCATTGGCAAATCTTTTCTGAAAATGATAAGTAAATGGAAATAATGATTTATTAAATATGGCACGGAACTTATAAGCATAGTGCATAGTTTCTTGTTCACAAAAGAAACAATTCCATTGCATTAAAAAACATTTCACGTGAAGATTACTGCAAAAGTTTCCTAAAAGTCTAATCATGTACGGGCCTTTGGGCCAAATGGTATTTTCAAGAATTTAAGTGAAGACGTAGAGTCGATTAAAACAATCCATAGACCATTTATTTATGAAATATAATGGGGAAACAACTGAAAGCATCGGGCTTGTTAGAGAGTGGCATTCTCAACGAATTTGAGAGGCCGTCATTGTCTACAAACAATAGATGGATGGATGGATGGATGGATGGATCTCCTATATCTCCGATTACCCAGCCCTTTTCCCCGGCACATTTGTCTCCTATATACCCTCCCCAACGCTACACAATAGCGACAAAGCAACCATCAGTGAGCGTATGAGCACCCTTTTATAAAGAGCAGAGTCCCCATGCACCGACAGCATCTTTGCCACATTTCCGCTGTCAGCACCCAACATCCTCACCACGCCCACTGATCAGTCTCCTCATCCTCACCACGTCAAATGATCAGTCTCCGCATCCTCACCACGTGAAATGATCAGTCTCCTCATCCTAACCACGTCAAATGATCAGTCTCCTCATCCTAACCACGTCAAATGATCAGTCTCCGCATCCTCACCACGTGAAATGATCAGTCTCCTCATCCTCACCACGTCAAATGATCAGTCTCCGCATCCTCACCACGTGAAATGATCAGTCTCCTCATCCTAACCACGTCAAATGATCAGTCTCCGCATCCTCACCACGTGAAATGATCAGTCTCCTCATCCTCACCACGTCAAATGATCAGTCTCCGCATCCTCACCATGTGAAATGATCAGTCTCCTCATCCTAACCACGTCAAATGATCAGTCTCCGCATCCTCACCACGTCTAATGATCAGTCTCCTCATCCTCACCACGTCAAATGATCAGTCTCCTCATCCTCACCACGTCAAATGATCAGTCTCCTCATCCTCACCACGTGAAATGATCAGTCTCCGCATCCTCACCACGTGAAATGATCAGTCTCCTCATCCTCACCACGTGAAATGATCAGTCTCCTCATCCTCACCATGTGAAATGATCAGTCTCCGCATCCTCACCACGTGAAATGATCAGTCTCCGCATCCTCACCACGTGAAATGATCAGTCTCCTCATCCTCACCACGTGAAATGATCAGTCTCCTCGTCCTCACCATGTGAAATGATCAGTCTCCGCATCCTCACCATGTGAAATGATCAGTCTCCGCATCCTCACCATGTCTAATGATCAGTCTCCTCATCCTCACCATGTGAAATGATCAGTCTCAAAATCCTCAACACGTGAAATGATCAGTCTCCGCATCCTCACCACGTGAAATGATCAGTCTCCTCATCCTCACCATGTCAGATGATCAGTCTCCGCATCCTCACCACGTGAAATGATCAGTCAAATGATCAGTCTCCGCATCCTCACAATGCCCAATGATCAGTCTCTGCATCTTCACCACGTCAGATGATCAGTCTCTACATCCTCACCACGTGAAATGATCAGTCTCCTCATGCTAACCACGTGAAATGATCAGTCTCTGCATCCTCACCACGTGAAATGATCAGTCTCCTCATGTTAACCACGTCAAATGATCAGTCTCCGCATCCTCACCATGTCAAATGATCAGTCTCCGCATCCTTACCACGTCAAATGATCAGTCTCCTCATGTTAACCACGTCAAATGATCAGTCTCCGCATCCTCACAATGCCCAAAGATCAGTCATTGCATCCTCCCCACGTCAGATGATCAGTCTCCGCATCCTCACCACGTGAAATTATCAGTCTCCTCATGCTAACCACGTGAAATGATCAGTCTCCACATCATAACCACGTCAAATGACCAGTCTCCGCATCGGTTGTCAAGTCTATATACGTTTAGTTTGTCTCATTGTTGTTTTGTCTTGTTTTCTCTATGATTTCGTGGGCTTTGTAGGGGATGCCTAAACACAATGTGGATGACGTGATGGGGCTGGAATTAATTGATTACTAAATTATTTCACAGCCCCTAGACCTGACTCACACTGTCGAACAGGAAGATGTTATTCTAGGCTAAATTATATCACTTCGCTATGAGTCGCACATATTCCCTCTTTTATATTTCCCCAAGAATACTACAAATATTATGAATTGATTATTAATTATTATTATTACTGTTGTTTTGGTATTATTTCTGGTAATGAAGAAACATGTAGAGAAAAGAAAATGAGATTTACATTTCTAAATGTGGGAGGAAAACTTCAGAAAAATATTATGTGGTGAATAAATAAGTAATGTGAGCGAAGGCCACTTTAAACGTACAAGGAGACAGAGCATTATTGATTCACACATACACTTTTTTTACAGCAGTGATTATATTAAGAAATAATAAGAAACGTTGTAATCTCTTGCAAATGCACGTTATTGCAGAGGAAAATCAAATAGTCTTCAGGTATCAGTTGCAGCGTAGCCACGGTTCTGAAATAGGGAAGCTTAGGGTAGTTGTGGTAAATGTGTGGGGCTGGATAGTGGAGGGGCGCCCAGTTTTATTCGTGATAGACAAATTATTGTCACCACACACTTGGCCTCCGTAAAATATAACAGATGGGGACCAAATTCAGCGGGCGCTGTTTAGAACCAACATCATGGTCAATGTCAGACTACATGTATTTGCTTTAATAGTGCTATTTGCTTTAGTGCTAAAGTGTTATTTGCTTCAAATCGCGAATAACAAAGTTGTCGAGGAAAAACAGAATAAAACATGTACAAAGGGTTTGTATTTTAACATGCTAATCGTGATAATATGGCTAATGATAATATTATTAATAGGGGGATGGGGTGTGCGCCCACACGCCCCGGGTTACGCAGCGCCCCGCACACAGCTTGATGATTAACTTTTGTTGTGGGGAAACGACTCCAATATCAGTGAAACACAAACTTTTTAGACTCTGAGGTCTGTCCACTCGCGACATGGCCATTTTTTTAAAGGTTATTGCAAGAAAGCGAGAATGAAGAAAAAACAATGCCTTTCGGTAAAAAAAATCAAGTTATTATTTATTTTCATTTGTTTTTTTTTTTGTGCGTGTGTGTGTGTTTGCTACAGTTGATTCCTTGTTTAGTTTCGTAGGAAAACGATGGCTCCACAACTGAAATTTGTCTTCTTTATTTTTCGTCCAGGCCTAAGGCCAAAAAACCCCCCATAAGTCTCCGGTTTCTGGTATGCGCGCGCGTCGCCGTAACCATAAGCGTCGGCAAAATGAAAACGTTTTTTTTTTCATTGAAATTGAAAGATGATGTCGCAAATCCGCCAAACTCACTGGTTTGACTGGAATCCTGCTGCTGCACAATGTTAACGTGTTTTTAGATGGGGTTACCATCGAGTAAAAGCTTTATGCGGCCTCTCTGGACTCCCATTTGCACTAAGTTTAGTCGGGCACCATTTGCAGTCATCAGCCGACATTTGAAGCCAAAAAACCCCCTTTTTTGGCCTAATATGTTGAATTGATGTTTCGACTGCTGATGATCTACGAGGTGACATTACACACCCTTTTAAGACGGCATGTATTGCTTATCTTGCATTGTGGATGCTTTCCCAATATTCCACAGTGTTTAGACTTAGTATTTGGATCATGGTTTCGATACATTTTCATTATGGTTAAGAGTTGATTTAATTCGACATAACGGTTATCCATATTAAAACACCCCCTCCCCCAGTCACACCAAACACTTGTCAGTACACACAATCCTCATATTTCCGCAGGCTAGGAGCGTCATAGTGTAACTTGCATTTCATGAATTCTTTTTAGAAAATGTTTTTAAAAAAACCCAATGCTATGTTTTTTTATTTAAACATTTTCTAACAAAAAATCATGAAATGCAAGTTACACTATGACGCTCCTATGCATAGTTTCCAATTAGTCTTGCTAAATGTATTTTTGTTACACACTCGGGACAAATTCAAAAAGTGGATTTCCAGTTTGAAAAGGTAAAATCATAAAACCATTTGGGATTCTTATATTGAAAGCTTAAAACTTCTTTTAATGAACCACATAAAATAAGGAGACAAACAGTCAAGCTGTTTCGGGTATATTAATGGAAAACCATTTATTCTAAGGCTACCATGAAGGCCAGACCAATCCACATATAATTGTAACTACATCAAAGAAATAAAAGAGAATCCTCATCAACGGGATACAAAATGAGACAGAAAAATAAAAGGCAAAACTGTTACAAAATGTAACGAAACAAAGGGGAGGGAGGGAAGAAAATTCTTGAAGTCAGTGCTGCTGCGACTTGAATATTAAAAACATCTCTGTCACATGGCAAATACTTTTAGATAAGTTTCCTGGGAATTAAGTTGATCGTCTAAAATTTCTCAACAATTCTAAACATCGTTCCTATGTACAATACCTCCTGTTGACTTGCTTTTGTTTCATATCCAAATATCCAAATACCTTAGATGTTATGCTCATACACAGGGGAGATCCTTCTGGATTGGGAGGGACCCCGGAGGATATTTCACGATTGTGGACACTGGTTCCAGAACCCAGATTAAGCCTCTGTTAATTATATAGGCCATAAAAAAATATACATTTGTACAAGATAACAAATATGTCATATTTCCATCAATTTGCACCTTTCGATCAAGAATTACCTGAGAGAAAATAGTTAAAAATATGAAGTACTAGGCATTTGTACATATGTTCAGAATGTCAAACAATCTGTGTAGTTTGTCATGGTTGATGTCTATATGACTTTCAATTTGAAGTTACATATTTTTGAAACTTGCGCAAATCCGGGCAGGCATGACATAAGACCAATATCATGCTGTGATTTCATTTCATAACTAAACACTTACCCATGCAAATACATACACGTAAATATTTTGTGTAAACAATATAATATTTATATTATAGTACATATATTTTCGAACACTTGGTAAAAAAGGTAACAAAAGTAAAAAAGGTTCTCTGTTGTAAAACTTTGATGTCCAAGAGACAAGAAAAGTCATAGCGGCTGCACACAGTTAATTTTCTGGGCCAACTGCATGTGTATGCAATGAAAATTATTTACGGTGTACACACCTGCTTGACACAGTCGAGTGAAGTAAGGGAACACTCAAATTAATATGCGATAGCAGAAAATACTTGTATAAAAATTATATACAGAAAACACTGTAGTGTAATACATTAGTTATTTTCATGGACATGAACTTCTGCTCGATGAGATAGTTTAAGCGGAAAAGTACACATGGTCATGTGCAGAGGCCTTGGCTACTATTCATACTTCAAGAGACCGCAACTTTAAAGCTGAATGTTAGGGACACTTTCACCATTCTTGATGCAAATTTGCTTTCTTTCACATTGGCTTAATTCAGCTACTTGATATACAGTATTACACTTACTAGATCTCTAAACCAATGCAGATGTCATTTAAATATTTCAAAACAAGCCCGCCTACATTGCTAATGTCATGGAAATTCGTTTTGCAATGACAGTTTTGAGAAGTAGGAAAAAGGCCTTTAATTACAACGTGTTACATTTTATAAGATTTTACAATTACATGTACCAAGTCACAGTTTTTGTGTGATTCTTTACACTCGTCTTTGTCAAACAAAACAAAGTATGCATGGTGCCATATCTGAAAGGTCATTTCCATACAGAGTGTATGTACTGAACCAAATGACATACTTGTGGGACAATGGTCTTGAAGCATTAAACCTTTAATCACTGAAAAAGCAATATACGTATCATCAAACACTTCTTAGAAAAAAGATTATTACCAGACTTTGTAATTTCACCCAAGAACCGCTTTCCGAGTGTTTTCTTGAATACATTAGGTTTCACTGAGCTTAATTCATCCTGCGTTTACATTGTATTGAATCTGTTCTCACAGGTGTGAAGAAAGTGCAGAAACATTAGGTGGTTCAATTTCATTTATTTACAGCACAAGTGTCTTTCGAAAAACTTACATTTAAAAATTCTCCTACAAAGAATGATAGTACTGTCCTGATCCAAAGTTATAGAGACAACTGTAATCGGGCCCTCATTCATGATACCACTCCAATGCCTACGAGCTGTGTCCATGTACCAAGGTAATGAGCCTCCTTCTCATCTTCATTCCATTTGTGCAAATCTTGCCCAACTCATCTATGCCTCCCTGCAATAATAATGTAGATAAAGACAGGCTCAAAAGTTAGATAATGAACTACATGGTTAAAGAGAATGTCCAACATTTGCTTTTGCTGTGATTTTCAAAATGGGAAGGATGGATTTAAGGAATTAGTATTTTACAGCAAATGTTTTGTGTTCGTAGATGCTGGAAAAAAAACAAGAAAAATAAATATGTTTGTATTTTAGTTCCCTGACTAAACATAAATTGAAATGGAGCACTTATAGACTTGGGGAACTGTAAGGTCAGGGACCCAGTCTAGAAGGCTTGTACCCATTCATAGATGTGTAATCGATTGCAAACAAAATTCAGACTAACTAAATGTGGTAATTTGGTGCAGTATTTGAAAAAAGCTCAGGTTCTTTCCAACACTGGTCGGCCGACTGCAGCGTTCAAAATTGATCTTTTCTTGAAAATGTGAGCACACCAGGTAAGTCTAGTCAGGTATTTCATAATAATTTGGTAGGTTTTTTTCTGTGTGTTTGCAAACGTTGTATGTTCCCTTTTAAGGAGCAGTGGTGGGTCCTTGGATTTTTTTAAAGGGGGAAGTACATTAGTCCGAGTAACTTGGACACAACTTATCGCCTTTTTTTTTAACATCTGGACATGGTCTGGCGTTAGTAAGGTCCAAGCTAATACCGCGACCTGGACAACACCGTCCCAAAAACCAACAAAAAACATCAGATTTCACCTTCAAAACGGCCTCCAAATTACTGCCACCTGAGGTACGAGTAGACATCGATGATTAAGATGGTTGTACTGAAGTTTACTTACGATCCGGAAAAAAGTGAAATTTTCCGTTCATTTCGGAGAGCTCCCCTCGTGATCTTGAACACGTTAAATTTTCGATCGTGTTTAATGTTTGAACGACGCGATTTCTTCTTCATGCCCAGCGTACATTCGATGGTCCCCGTATCCCGAGTGCGATTCCGTTACCGAGCGCGCGCGATGCATCGATTATGATAATGAGTCACGTTTGTAAACACATACATGTGCATTTCGAACAGTAAAAGGGAATCGGGAAACAGCTTGAACTGGTACCCGCCATAAAAGCTGCGCTTGTTCCCGACTCCTTATTATCGTTTGAAATGCACATGTGTTTACAAACGTGATCCAGTCTACTCATTATCATAATCGATGCCTCGCGCGCGCTCGGTAACGGAATCGCACTCGGGATACGGGGACCATCGAATGTACGCTGGGCATGTAGAAGAAATCGCGTCGTTCAAACATTAAACACGATCGAAAAATTAACGTGTTCAAGATCGCGAGGGGAGCTCTCCAAAATGAACGGAAAATTTCACTTTTTTCCGGATCGTAAGTAAACTTCAGTACAACCATCTTAATCATCGATGTCTACTCGTACCTCAGGTGGCAGTAATTTGGAGGCCGTTTTGAAGGTGAAATCTGATGTTTTTTGTTGGTTTTTGGGACGGTGTTGTCCAGGTCGCGGTATTAGCTTGGACCTTACTATCGCCAGACCATGTCCAAATGTTAAAAAAGGCGATAAGTTGGGTCCAAGTTACTCGGACTAGAAGTACATGTAGTATGACAAATTGTACTCCACAAAGGCTGTGTGTGGGGCTGACATGTGGGGTGGGGTAGGTTTTTACGCTTTACAGAATGAGTAACAGTACATATCAGATGGGAGCCAAAACAAAAGTCTCCATGCCAAAGAATTAGTAACACCCCATGAGAAAATCTAACCTCTCAGGCTTTTTAATTCCTTTTTTTTTAATTGTTGGTGGGTATTATCAAATTTCTGGGGACCTTCCAAAAAGGGAAATCCAGTCCCGGCCCATGAGGCCCAATCCCACACCATCACCTCCCTTCATTCAAACTACATGCAGTGTATGTATTACATTAATGTACAAAAATCAACAGAGGGGCGAAAAGAACAGCCAAGAAGGGAAACTATAAACTTTCAGAATAAAATAATAAAACCTACATCATACCTATAACAACATTGTTGTTATTCACAGACCAGTTTGAACAACTATAAGTAGAAAAAATATGATTCATGCTTACATTCAAGAAAGCTTCAAAGTTCGCAAGAAGGAATACGCCACAGTCGTGCATGTTGTCTTGCTGTTTTACCTGCAGAATTATAATAAAACAGACAATTTTATAAATACCATAGCTTCAATTACAGCTGGGTACGATACACAGTTTGGCAATGACAATAAACACTGATAATTTCTACCTTAGTAAACATTTAAATTCCTTCCCTTTAGTATCTCCAATTTGAAACAAATTTGATTCCTTTTTAACCACTGGACCGCGGATGACAGCTATAGCCGCAAACCCGTTTGCAGGTGAGTCATGCAAGCATGCAAGGAGTGTCTCAATCCATAGATGGTAGTGGACAAAGGCCGGTGTGCAGTCATGTGCGCAAGCCAGGCTATAACGTTGCCTCCAAGTGGCTAATTTCCTTTAGGTTTTTGATTTGGGAAACTTGATAGATGAAAATAATGTTATCTTCCAAAAAGAATAAATAAATAAAAAAAACCCATTTTTTAAATTAATGGCCAACTTTAAATACACGGTGCTGGAAGCACTTCAAGTATAAGACTGATAATATAACCGATCCTTGTCATTTGATTGGTGGAACTCACATTACTTGACATTTGTTATTACTGCCATTCACACCGCGGCTCAAAAAGTACTATCCGCCCATGGGGAATGGGAAATAGTATTGAACAGTTAGGATCATTCTTGTTCCATGATGCAGTATTTGTGTGCAAAGGCATGCTGGTGTGCGCGTTCAGCATTGCGCGTAGCGCGTATTGTTCCAAAGAACCAGCGCTACAGCGTTGGGTTCAAACATTTTCGTGAAGGGGTGGTTTGGAAGAGGAAATACATTTTTCACCAATTTTGTATTGAAAAGAATGTTCAAATATATCAAATGACAAGGATCTATATGTCAGTTATATAAAACAAATATTGAGTGGCTTTGAATTGTGAAATGGGAGGAATATTATCGCTTGGTACAATCTGGACTTTTCCAGTTCACTTGGCTTCACCTCATGAATGGAAAAGTCCAGATTTTACCTTGCAATAAATATCCCTCCCATTACACACTGATCCACTCAATATTTGTATACTATTCATGGTGTTCCTTAAGTAACAGTGAAGTGAAGAACACTGTATAGAACTTACTTGGGAGGTACAAAAGAAAGTTAAAACCACTCCCTGTAAACATGATTCACATGCCTGCCTGTTTGTTTTTGAATTTGGATGCTTTAATTATAGAGAGTGTTACCTTAGGGGCTTCCATGCATAGTGGCTCTTCATTCAATGCTTTATCAGCAGCACAATGAGCGATCAAGTCAAGATATCTGTTTTAAGCAAAAAATAAATCAGCATTCAGATCAAATTTGGACAGGGAAATAATGTAGTGGACAAACAGGATGTATCAATACACTTCCTCTTCCCTTAATCTCTAACTACAATACACAGATAAAGAATATGAACAGTAGCCACAGTTAACAAATTTGCTTGTATATAAATGTTACTGTACCAACCACATAGGACTGTTATTTGCATTGTCATCAGGCAAAATTAATGGTCTTAATCATGTGTTTTTATTCCTGTATATTCTAATGGCTAAGACATCTGGTCTAGAATGCAGAAGGTCATGGGTTTGAATCAATTTATCAAAAAATAAAAAGTAAATCAGTTTCGTATTGATACTTCTTTAAAGATACTATTTCTAATTCTAAAGACTTCTATATGTATTTTTTTAAAACTTAATGTCATTAAGTTCATTTAATTTAATTTAACTGATTTTCTGTGTGTGAACCAATTTAGTCAGGAGTGCCCCTTGACAGAGACTTTTATCTCTATTGGGTGATGGATCCTTTGGGAGCCGTCATGTTCCTTTCGCTTTCTGTTGTTGTCCTTTAATGGTACTGTATTGTAATTTGTATGCATTAGTTTTTACTGTTTATCCTGAAAAATAAAGAAAATGGAAATGAAAAAGAAAAGAATCCCGCCCGAGTGATCTGGATTTTAATCTGCAATCTGCAGCGCTCAAAAAACACAAATTATGGCACTGAAGAGTGATTAATGTTTGTTTGGGCAAAATTAAATCATAATTAAATCAAATTGGAAAACCAACATCAATTCAACTGAAGAAGATGTCAGTATCAGTGTCATGGATTAATTTACTCACACATGATATACAATTATTTGCTACTGTGGTAAGTTTGCATTGGTTGTTACTGTATGGCTGTTAAGACTGTTTCTATTGCTCCATGGTTAACGTGAACTGGCATCCTTGAACTATTTGACAATCTTTCAAGCAAGACTTGGCAATAAGGTCACAACATTGGTACACTTACAAATCTAATATAAACAATGAAATCAAATCTGTACACCACCTGCAAACAAATCTGTGCAGACTGTTGTATACATCAGCACCAAGAAATCCATCAAGTGAGTCCAGAATCAGCAATCTTTATAAAAGAGAGGAACATGTTAATAGATTTAGGGTTGGGTAGTCAGCTTACATCTTCATGCAATGTATGTTATTGTTGGTTTCATTGATTCATGTGGTATGCAAATGTAACAAGTGAAAATGAACAATAAAAGACTATATAACTCACGATTTCGCTTCTCGTTGGACTATAACGCCAACCCAGTGATTTCTGTGTGGGAAAAAAAAGAAGCGGCACAATTGTATTGTTAATGTTTAGATACAATTGACAACTTATTTTAACACTTATGTACAGTCATATTTCAATAATGTTGGAAAAGCATCAGGAAACATTATACAATCTGCAATCAAGAGAATACATGCATTACAGATGGATGTTTGAAACAGTATATACAGTCTAAAGTATATCTAGACAGTCCAGCATGCAAGCCAGCAAGCTAGCAAGCTAGCAATTTGCATCACAAAATGTAAGTGGACAAATCAGATGAACATCAAGCAAAATATTTAAAAGCAATAAGGCTTAGGTGTTTCCATACAAGGCATTGTAGGTTTACATACATGAAATAATCATACAGAAATTAAAATACAGAAATATTCAAAATACCGCATTTTTGTTCACAAGTGGCACTTACCGAGTACAAACTGGTAACAGCAGGTTGCCAGTCTGCTGGATTCTTGGGGCAGTGATGCCCACTGTTCGCAGATGCTGCTCCATCCTTGGCACAGCTTGGCTGAGTGGCAGCTTTTGCAGCCAGCTGTTAGGCTGCAAAAGCTGCCCAATGAAGTAGGGCAGGATTAAGGCATCTGCCCCATTTGATGTCTTCATGAAGTGTCTAAACACAAACCCAGAATTTGTGATGTAAGACATACTTTTAATTGACATGAAAATATAAACTATCAAATTTAATTAAAGATGCATTTTTGATAGATGCTGTGTTTCAAGCACTTCATACAGGACAATTTCTTATACTTCATGCATCTTATTCAAAGGAGGTAATTAGGCTCAGTATATATAGCAACTTCAAAATGTCCTTGTCCCTGTGTGGTATGAATACTGGGATGAGGTACAAGGTGTACAATTGGATTCAAGTCTGACAAGACAAGTGAGGTGTGAGTAGATTGAATTGAAGCAAAAATAATATGGATATCTCAGCGTACGATAGGCGAGCTGGAAATACACAATTTCCTTTCAAATGTACGCAGACTGTTCTCCTGGCCTAAGAAATGTTTTTATATATAGATATTTTTACAGCACACCTGTCTTTCCAAAAAATAGTACTGCTTACTTCTTTCATGAACTGAATTAAATGTGCTTGCACATGTACGCTTTTAAGAATTGGTAGGCTGTCTGGAAAAGTATGTGGGAGTGGACATCAGCAATAAATCTGTCAAAGAGAGCCACTAATTATCAGTGTACAGAAAAGTAATTGCTGTGTTAGTACCTCATGAAGAAGTCAATGGCATCACCAGAAAGGTCCTCTCCATTTCTTAGGCGATTAATGTCTCCCACTGTAATTGTGGTCCCATCAAGCTTAGCAACACTGAATGAAATAAACCAATAAAATTCAATATCTCCTGTATTTCTTGTTATTCCACAAGTGGGTTAATGATACAGTGTAAATTATACCAACATAACATTAAAAAAGAACACGACTACACAAAAACAAACAAATGTTGTTTTTGCAAATAGTTAAGCATTCACCCATTGATTGTGTTTGTTTAATCTTAACATTTTTGGGATATCCTTTTTTGTAGCATCAATTATTTTTCACTGTGGTTGTTTTATGCATGTGCACAGACAAATAAATGTACAGGTTTGACCTTAATCTTTTTGTCAATAGTCAGCCAGGCTACTGACACAGACTCCTAAGTAGTCCAGTTAGGATTTTTTTGGGGCAAGTGGGTTACCAATAAAGTCAAACCCTGAATACAAATTGTTCCCGAAAAAATAAATTTCTGAAATGAGGTATAAAAATAATACTTGATTTTTGCTCACACACCAAGACACGAAACAACCATACCTGGTGGAGCAATTCAAGGAGCAGCAGACAAATGTCATGTTTTCTGCTGCAGCATGAGCCACTCCGGTGCACAGGCAATGATACCACTTATGACACTCATCGCATTCAATCCATGTATCTAGGTAGTGTACATCTGCCTGGCACATATTCATTGCCCCCAAGCAAGCTGTGCAGAAATTCTCGGCCACATCCCCCAGATTGAACTTCTTCCCCTTGTGGGCAGCGCGTCTTGATTGAGCACCTGAAATTTGATAACAAATATACAAAACCATTGTTAATAATGGCTTAGATTCACCATTGAGCAACGAACAGTTCACGTACAATACAATGTTCAAGTATTAAAACAACAATACCATCTGTGTCTGAATCTGTATACATGTAATTTTCCTCCAGCAAAACAGCTTCAGCCGCAACCCTCTTGAGTTGGCGTGGCGGGCAGGGCTAGAGGGACTAAGGGAGGACGTTGATGTTGCACGAGGGATCAGTGAGGGCATTTTTGAATTGATCCAAACTTTTAGCATTAATGACGTGGGAAGGCAGGTTATTCCAGTGTGTGATTGTAGATGGATAAAAACTGGTGCTGTAGATCTTGCTTTTGGCATGAAGTCAGTAATATGAGAATTGGTGAGACCTCCTGTGTGTTCTTGTTTGTGTGGTGAGACTATGCCCAGCTTCAATGTCAACCAACCCATGAACAATTTTGTAGAGCATGATGAGATGTGTCGCCAGTCTTCGGAGCTGAAGGAGTAGCATGGCAGTAATGGAGTTTCTGGTGGAATTGTTGCAGCACATTAAATCAGCCTATCTTTGAATGCTAAGTTTGCAGTTGTTTCCGTTCTTCGTCAGTGTATGGAACCCAAGCGCAGACACCATATTTCAATTTGGGGTGAACTAAGGACCGGTATAAGCGGCTACAAGGCTTGAGGTTACGACCGATGACACCAAGTGTTTGCTTTGCAGTAGTGGTAATTTAATTGATGTGGGATCGAGACCATAGCACACTCGATCTTTACTAAATACAACGCCCTGATATGGATGACTAATGTTATTTTGAAGGGGGGGGGGGGTGTCGTTAATTCTACACTTGGATGTAGTGGGGGTATTTTTGGAAGTCATGTGCACATTACAAAACATTTGTCGGAGTTAAACTTCATCTGCCATTTATACTCCAGTGCGCACAGAGCACCAAAGTCTTTTTGTAGCTTTCAAATGCACCATTTGTAAATGATCTCATTTCTCGATAGAGCAGGCCATCATCTTAATCATTAATTATGATTGGTAAATATATAAGTGCCACATTGCATTTCTGTGCAGTTCAAAAGAACGAAACCCACTTATAGTGCTGAGTTCATCAGACTTGAATGCAGTTTTAGTATCAAGTTAGTATCCATTGATGTGTTCTTCTTTTGTATATATTTAAATATGGATATAAGTTTGAAGTCAAATGAAATGTCCACTATGCAGGGTAAGTAAAAAAAAGCAAAACCCAAATGTCGGGACCATTGTTTTAGTGAAGTTCTGCATGTACATATATAGCCCTTTCAAAATCTGGGATACGAAAACCCAATTCATAGGCTTTCTTTTAGTACAAAAATCATTGAAATCAATCATGTACTTTTCAAACCACCGTTTAAAAGTTCTGTCCACGGATCACAACAAGGTAAGTGTTCTTTCAGCAAAACGAAAACAAATCACATAGGGATATGTTTGAATTGTTCTTGTTTTCCTGAAAGAACATACACCTTTTTTGTGGTTAGGGTTTATAATTCATTAACTTGAAAAGTACACAACTTATTTGAATGATTCTTGTACTAAAAGAAAGCTTATGGATTGGGCTTTTATATCCTGTATTTTCAAAGTACTACATGTACATGCAAAACTTCACTAAAATAATAGTCCCGACATTTGCTTTTGAATTTTTTTTATCATCCTGTACATATCAATGTAACTTCCATTTCATATTTGATTGTGTGCTTTTAATACATTTTCAGCAGAAAAGAAATTGTAGAAATATTTATAGACACATGCAATTACAAAGACAATAACCATTCAATTTTTGTTTACAAGGAAATGGAAGAAAAGGTGAACAAAAAACAAATGAATAAAAGAAGAATGATTAGCAACACCTGTAGGGTAACAAATATAGTCAAAGAGAACATCAAAAATGTTTTACTAAACACTTTGTGGTACTTACGACGTGGAACGAGGGGGACAAAGTGGTTCATGGCTCCAGACGATGATGCTTTCACCCACATGACGTGCAAAAGTGGCAAGCCATCCTGCTCTTCACATGCGCATGGGTTTAGAAGGGTATCATACCCCGGGGCACGATCCTCCGAGTACTGCTGGATGTATACCCCTAGAAACCCAGCTGCAAACAACACCTGAAGGATGCCTAAAAAGTCAAAATACAAAGAAGCAAGACGAGAGCCAAAATGAAAAAAAGAGATATACATGTATCTTACTGCAAGTAAAATACATAGCAACTGAAACACCCAAAAAGAAACATAAATATGGGCCTTGCAATATATTTGTTGGTATACATGTTGGTCATGTATACATGTCCTACATGCATGTATTCTCCATTGGAACTTTTAGGACTATCTTGATCAACCACCTAATTGGCATTGTATTATAAGATTTCAGTATTTAATGTAAGATGAGCTTTTGGCATTAACTTTTTACTCCATGTATAAATACAACGATTCCCCCCAAAACTCATTCCCTCAAAAATCTTTGATGAACATATCCGATGAGCATCATAAATGCTGCAGTGAGGTTTTTGGTGACAATTGAAAATAATCATAGCACGAATTTGCATTGTAGATGTACATGTACGTGCTTCTGACATTTGGTGACAGAGTGTACTGGATGAAATTTTCAAAATGTACATAATTATTGCCTTTGACAAATGAGCCCACTGTTCTAATGCTGTCATCTTCCCTTGAGCCCTTACTAACAATATCTGTCCGAAGGCTGTTCAGACATTAGAATCTTGTTAATGATGTTGCAAAGCTCTATACATTGACTACAAATATAGATAATCGTGGTCGTTTAACACCTTTAGAACAATTATTATAAGTTAGCAGGGCATAAGCTTACCAGAATAAGACTGTATCTTAGCCGTGGAAGCAGCCTGGTCCTGCACAGTGTGGCATATAATCTCCTCCACAGTCCAGTCTGCAATGGATGTGCCAGGTGGAGGATGTGCACACATCATGTGCATGAAAGCACAAGCAGCCTGAATACTGCCACACTCTTCAAGATACTGTGTAAAACAATAAATACATAACTTACAGGCTGCTTATAGATTTCAGGTTATAGATTTCAGGTTATATCTGCTAAATTGTTCTTTTCTTGAAATTAACTTTCCAAATAGTTCAATTTTTTTTTTAAAAAGGGACATACATGTTCTCCACGGGCACCGGCATACTGCAATTTTGTGAAATACACTTAAAAAAAAGGTCATACCAGTAATTAAAAATGCAATCGCTTTGTTCATCACTTTCAATAAACTTCTCTACTATACAAATATCATCTGCTTTGAGAGGTGCAGTAAAACTCCTGAGGTGCTAAAACATTCTATTTTTCTTGAGGCGAAGCTGATGGAAAATAGAATGTTCCATGGATCACAGAGGGAGGCTAGTTTTACAACACCATGAGATAAAGCATTCAATATTTACATCTCTTTCATCAATTCGGCTTGATTTTAAGCGATGACTTATTAATTCAATCTAAATACAAATTCAAAATGTAATTAAAATTGAATACGAAAATTGGTGAAAGTTTACTTGCACTTTTCCAAGCTGGCTTCAGAAATGTTTGAACCCATCTTTTTAAAGTGTGTGCTTGTTGTATTGTATAGTACTTTGGTTGCTACGGGTATAGAACTTTTTGCCAATCACAGCAATATAGCAAAAATAGCAAATGCTACATGACTCGCTCTAAGGAAATCAAGATGCAGAATCTGTGGGTGAGGTGTTATAATAAAATACACAAACACAGATACATGCTTTGAGGGGTGGACAGTCCATATTCACTTCCCTAAGAACTGGTACTGGAAGTTCTCCTCAGGAACGAGTTAGTCAACTTCCAATACATCGACTGGCCACCCCCCAAAAACATGTTATATTTGTTTTATGCATACAATACTCAGTTGCCTTTTTTTTTTGGTTGCAGTATGCACTCTTTGGAAAAACTTAATTGTCAATACAGTTGTTTGCGGACAACTTTTTTGTACCCGCAGAGGAGGCATCTTTATTGCCCACAAATATTCTCCAGTTTGGCATCACTGAGCTTGGGAAAAGCATACTACATAATAAACACTATGCATACCATGATAAAATAGTTCACAAGAAACTAATCAAATGACAAAAATTTTAAAACTAGATTGGGCCCTATGATTATTAAGGGAATAAATATGTGTTTAGGGGTGTTACAACTCTCTGTTTAAGACCGGTGGGAAACAGGATGGGTGATTACCCGAGGCAAAGCCGAGGGTAATTACCACCCATCCAGACTCCCACCAGTCTTAAATAGAGTTTTTAATACCGACCGAACACAAAACAAGCCAAAAACTAGACGTTGCCAACCATTTTGTTTAACCATTTTACTTCATGTTTTACCAAACACCCCTCCAACTATAATATGGGATGCCCATCCCCAACTCTTTACCTTATAAGGACACTGGCGTGCGTGTCGCGCGTACTGCGCGATGTCGCGCAAAATGCAGCTGGGCTGGTGTAGTGTAAATTTCGGACCATGAAATCACTTACATGAGGAATGTGAACGTTCAACCAATGAAACATTAAAAGGCACCAAGGGAGTCCAAATTTCATGTGACACTGGAAAAGTGTTTAAGACCAGCTAGCCATGTCTTTATCATCCGGATAAGACCGGCCACATGACAGGCTCTCGACCAATAGGAATGTGTAAACTGTCTTAGGTATTTATGAACAATGCATAATCAAAATGTTTGAAAACGGTTTTAAACGGTTTTACAGTAAAAAAAATAAATGTGATTTGTAAAACACCACCAAATTAAATCATTTAGGATTTAATACCAATTGCTATTTTGGATGAGCTGTATCTATGAAAGTTGGGTTAATAATTTCACATTGCACAAGTGAATGTCAGTGTTCACTGAAAAAGAAGAGGTTTCCCTAGTTGATATAGTGCAAAAGTTGTACTTAAAAACAAGTGCCTTGTAGCCTTGGATAATTTAATTTAAGCATAAAAAACATTACCATAGAAACATAGTGGCTTGCATGGCACACACCATACACCGTTGCTGCCAGGCGAATAAACAGTGTGGCCTCCTCTGTTCCATTCACCAGGACACTCAGGGAGTGGAAAAGGCAATCCCCATCCCCCGTGCTGTAGAGAGCAGCAAAATTCTTTGGCAGTCTTGCTAGCTTGGACCGCCTGGAGTTTGTGAATCAAACAGAAACTAACATTTAAGATACAAATATTTCATAAAATCACACTGGTAGAGCTTGTAGAAACAAATGGTGATGCTTAACAAGACAAGTTAACATTAAGTAACTCAAAAATAAATAAGTTAATGAAAGAATGATCGGAACAAAGTTGGTTTATTTTATTACAGGTTTCAGTTTACAGATCTTTTAGATCTGTGCAATTGTTATTCAAATTTAGGCCCCTGGATTTTTTTGTTTGAAATCAGTTTGTGCATATCTTAACATAAAAACCACAAGAAATTCTTCTTTGTTGAGTTACAAATGCAGAGTGATGGGGCATAAATTCATAATTCACTAATCAGTGAAAGAGAATGTACATTGTACTAATAACAGAGAAAATTAGAGACAGTAATTTGAAAATACAGTTTTCTGCCAACACTGGTTTGCCGACCAGCCTTGGAAATTGATACAAAATAACAATTTTTCCTGTAAATGTCAGCGTACTTGCAATGATTTTGCAGGATGTTTGAGACTGTCATTTATAACAGACCAGCAGGATATCTTGCATAGTAATTTGGTAGTTTTGTTATTGTTGTTTGAAAAGGTTGTATATTTTCCAAAAGTTGTATTATTAGAACATAATTTTACAATATGCTTACTAACAGTCCAGTGTACAGTAGTGAATACCGGTACAGAATTAGCTCGTAGAGAGTACAAGTATGTTCATCATAAAGTTATAAATAATTTATGGAAATATCGAAAGTGTAAGTGAATGTATTAATAACACTAGGTCACAGCACTTGGAAACAGTCATGTCTCATGAAAGAGGACTAAATGACTAGGTAATAAAAAAAAAAATCGATTATTTTCATATTCTTCCTCACGTGACTTCAACTCTGATGCATGCAAATTGAAAATAGTTTGAAATGTTACACAAAGTCGAACTCTATTTGATGCCACTGGAAGACACCCTTTCTGAAAATGACCTGTTCTCATATTTTTAATTAGATTTTCTTTACTGAAAACTTCTGTAATTTGTTTTTATGAGGTAATACGGGGTCCAAAATTAGCGGTAGCTAGCTAGCCAAATGCTAGTCAAAACAGTGGCGGGCTAGTCAAACTATTCCTTATGTAGCCCGGCTGGCGAGTCAAAAAAAAATTGGGTCACGGCAAAGTAAAAGGATAGGAAGAAATAAATCATGAAATTCAGAAAGCAAACCTGTATCAATTTTTTGGGTTTAATTTTATCAACCGTTTTAAAGGGTTTCATTTTAGATACGTTTATTAAAAACATCGACAAAATTATAAGATTTGAGACAAAATTATAAGACTATATTGACTAAGATGAAATCAGTTGGAAATGGGTAAAAACGATTTTACTGACAACCTATTTTTGTACCTAGGTTTCCTTGTTCGATCACATCTGTATTCACATCACGTACTTGCGTGAGACCAAAAAATGATAACGACACGAAGATTCACCAGTGTTTCTTGGTCTTTCATTAAATATGTACATTCAATAACATAAAAGAAAAAGATAACCCAACCTTTCATCCACTTTGCTAGCAGGAAAGTCTGCCAAGCTGATATTAGTGTTGATCTGCTCCTTCTTATCAATGACATGAGGCATCAGGTCATTGCAAACTACTTGTAGGTCTGCCCATGACAAAGCCTCCAAAGTGGTCAAGCAGGACCTGTAGTCTCTCTTCTGTAAAACGAGAAAAGTATGGAAGTGGGACATAAAATACATCTCCATTTCAATCTCCATAGGTTCAGTCAGCAAAATATCCTGTCGGATACATCAACGCTAACTTGCGCAGTGTGTGTGGACTAGCTCCAAAAGTTATGTTATTGTAAATTACTAACATGTTTATGATTCTATGCACCTCATGTTGACTATGTTGTAGAGGCATATTAGAGCAGCCGAAGATGTGGCCACATATTAATGATGTTTTATTGGGGCCATGGAATTGTCTCTGAGTAGAAAACCTGCTGACCAAGGCCCCTTTCTTAACACAAACTTCTTGTGTAGTATATTGTTTAAATTTTCCGAGAAATATTGACAAGTGACAGACCTTGGGTACATCAACCAACCTTGAATTTGTGGAGAACTCTGTCAGTGACAGAGGGCCGAGGTGGTGCAGGGGGAGGTTTTTTACTGGAACATGTAGGCCTAGGCTGATCCTTTTGGCCGCTGGGACCTGGGCACTGTTGATTGGTACCATCAGAAGACTTATATGCTTCAAGCACTTGAAGAAGCTGATGGCACCTGAGTTTAGTGCCTCCACCTATCATTATTGGACCAGTAACAATAAAAAAAACACATTTAGCACCTCACCTCTTTGGAATTCATCTAAACTTCATCAGAATATTATTTGTAAGGCACTGGTTTCAATACATGCAATAATCTGACTCTAATGCAGTTTATGACCGGGCACATCAGACTACATGGAGCAAGCATCTGGTGCTCCATGTGCTTGGCAAATCAGGGAAATTGCTAATTGTACATGTATTAGTTTACAGGTGACCAAGAAGCACACTAAATGTGTGCTGATAACATGAGAAAAATGAGAAGAACTACTAATAGGGAATTAAGCGAAATAAATCTGTTAGAGATTTTACATAAAATATAAATTAAATGTGAAAACAAAAAACATTATATTGTCTAATAACTGGATTTTGCAAGGTGGCTGTTACACATGTATACACCTATATTAATTGAACCTGATGGTGAGTCAAGATGTCACAGTGGTTACTGTCCTCGCCTTATGTCACTGTCCGGGTTTGATTCCTGTTCCATATAGTCCCCATATGTTCATTGGGTTTTTGGTCCCTACCTGCAGTTCCATGGGTTTTCACCAGAATATTCGGCTTAGTTTTACCTCCAACCTCTAAAACTGTCAAATGTTCTTATTGTTTCCCTCTCAACCAGCTTTTTTTAGAGCCCCTCTGACGGCACACCGCAAGTGTGTATGTACACTGATTTTATCCTGAAAGTGCACAAGGCCAAAGCTAAGCCATAGTTCATAAAGGATGAACCGGAAATCATTCTAGGTCTCCCCAACTCTGAGGGGGTATGTGCATGGAGCCCATAGTGTGCGTTACCTTGGTTTCTTGACCAGAAAATAAATTAGTAAAACACCATCACACAGCTCATGACCGAACATAGCCTACACGTATCACTGTGAAAAACATGATAAAGGGTTACTGCAGACCTGAAACCCAGTTTGGTGACTGGAATGGCACTTCATCACTAGGCCACCAGGATGGCTTGTTGCCAGGATTCTGCCAAAAGCCACATAGACCTGTAATAAGTGAAATTAATGGGATTAAAATAAGACATGTCTTAAATATGCAAAACATGACATAAATGACATATTTTCAAATGAACCAAAGACAGTGTGTACATATTTCTTAACAGAAATCACTTTGATTCTTTTTCCACACAAATAGCCGAGGTTTAAATACCTTTGGGATTGCAGATCTCTGTCAGAATCCGTCTCAGAGAGGCAACTGGAAGACTTTGAAGGTCCACACCATCAACATTTACACCAGTCCAGCTATTAGCTGCTTTCTTGGTCTCAGTACCTATCATGATAAAAAGATTATAAACTTGTTTGTTAGTGGGGACCATGATGTTTTAGTTGAAAACAATTGTTTTGTATCATTTGGCCCCATTTTGTAAAGCAGTATAACCAGAAAAACCAGACAAAAAAGACAGGGAAATGCTGGCTTAGAAAGAAAATAGCAATATTTTATCCTACTTGTTGGACAACTGCAATAAATGCCAATCCTAGCTGCGACTTAATTAAAAATGATTACTGATTTGGAGTCTCATCATTGACTGACTTTGAAGCAGATGGGATCCAAAGATGAACGCCTGCATGTTCTGGTAATGGCTGCACAAAATTAAAAGTATTACAAATGATAGAGAATGAAGACCCACCCTTGTGTCTAAAGGGCACAGGTCTCATGAAGGCTGCCTCCTTAAACTTGACGATAACTTCCAGGTCCTCAGCAAAGCCACGCATGAAGGAAGGACCTGAAAAATTATATGAATGTCAAATTTCAATGAAACCTTGAACTTGCATTGCATGAGGGGAAACATATTAAGGTAAAAAACATTATACAAATCATGCTACATTTGTAAAAGTTCTTACCTCCCCATTCAAAGACTCCCTTGTTCAGCCTCATGATTACGAAAGGCGCAACAGTCGAGCCTTGATTGTCAATCCACTTTTTGGCCTGAAATTTGTAAAAACAAAATGATATCAATGTTTTTTGTATGGGGTAGGGGAGATGTGCCATGCCCGGCAGAAAATGCCCCCACATTAATTGGCTGCTCACCATGAATTAGATTTTTCCTCCAGTAAGGCCTATTTAGCATTTTAAAAATTACTATTTAGTATTTAAAAAAAATGAAATCGAAGGTTTAGCCTTTATCACTTAAAATTATTTTATAAAAAAGTACTTTATTTGTATTATTCTTTGGTTGATATAAATAATGGTGAATTATATCACATAAACCATTAATATATTAAATTCAATTTTGATTTGTGCTTAATAATGGTGGTTTTTTTTGTTGGGGGGGGGGGAAGGCATTTCCCAGGCAAAATGAGGGGTCTCGGGGTAAAACCACGCTGTAACAGCCTTGTCATCAAACTGTTTTGCAGCCCAAGTCATTTCCTCCAAAACAAATTACAAAACCTCAATATTTGAATTTAATTCATTCGACAGCCATATATTTCTTTTTGCATGAGTAAGTATTGCTATTACAGTCCTACCACAAAATACTAAGCAATGCATTGTGTGAAGTGGGCCGGTGGGGGGGGGGGGGGGGGGGGGGGGGGGGGGAATACGGTACCACTAACTGAACTAAACATAGATGCAAGGAAATGGCAATTGTTAGGGAATGCCTGAAAAATAGCGAGCATATGGCATGTTCTCAAGAGAACAAAGTAACACCTCAATGATGATTTGGGTGTACTTTTATTAATAAGTAAAAATGACTAGAAATGGTTAAAAAAAGAAAGAAATGTTTTAACACCCACCTAAGTACCGGTATAGGCCTACTCTCATGCTCTAATGGCAGAGCTTCATCTATAGCATTAGCCATTATTTTATATTCAGCTAAAATCGTGTCAAATGTAAGAATGTACAGATAAAATTTAGAGTGCACAGATCAGTGCATCTAATAATCAATTGAATTTGCAATCATAATAAACCAGCTGTGTTTGAAACATTATTTGTACTTGATTTACATGTGTTATTGCTCATTATTATTTATATCAGGCTTCCGGCGGTAAAAATAAATCAGCATATTGTATGCTTTCATAAAAAGTTGACTGCAATAACATTATTATTGCAGTCGTCCGGGCATTTTCGCAGGTTCCCGCTCGATCAAGAGCATAGAAAGTCACAGTTGTCAACCACTCAACAGAGTGTAGCGTGCGCGTACCGTCGAACACGCTGCGCGCATGCAGGCGCAGAAGGCCAGGTATAGGCGCACTGTTGTTAACAATCACAGTGGCAGCTTCAATACGTTTGATGTAAACGAAAAAGATGTAATGGACAGTGTCTTGAATTGTGCTTCTTGCAGATCAAGTCGGCCTGATATAAATAATAATAATAATATTGGATGGCTTTGAGGTGGATACAAGAATATATTGCACTCTCTATGACAATATTGCACGAGTCGAAAGCTTGTGCAATAAATTCTTGTATCCACCTCAAAGCCATCCAATACTATAAATATTAAATCCTTTAAAAACATATGACTATACTACTGTGAAACCTGTTTTTTTTTTTTTTCAGATGTGGGTGTCGTTTTACCCTGAGACCGGGCAAAAAAAAAAAAACGGCATAAAAACGCTGGCAAAAGTTCCTCCCTGAAAGGGGGAAATTTTCCCTTATTAATAAAAGGACCATTATATTATATCTGCACATGACAGAGCAAACATGTATTGCATAAAACCACACATTTGTTTCCTATATGTGGTACTGAGATATTGAAAAAAAAAAACACACTACAAATCAGGCATCTTCACTCTAGTTTACTCAACCAACTTTAATTTTGGGCCAGCTGTTCCTAGCCCAGTTCCTTATTATCGAATATAACTACCATAGGGGAGTAGAGTCTGTAAAATGTTGTGAATTATACTTGTTGCTTTTATCCTTTCATAGCACTGTCTTAAATCTAGAGACCAGCTAATAGAAGTTTGAATGGATACACCAAACTAGACTCACTAATGTCAAATCTATGCCAAACTTTAATTTAAGTCAAAACGCATCTGCACCCCTCCGTTTTTTTATATTCATTGCATTTTTGAAATATCATTCTAGGATTCATTTTCATTACTACTGAGACCAATTTGAGATGTTGAAACCCAAGTTTCTATCATTTTGTACAATTATCCATAAAAAATTGGAATTTCTGGTATTATTAATAAATCAAACCTAAAAAAATTACCCACAAGCACAACTAGTTTGCCTTTAAACCTTGAAAATTGATATGATAAACTACGGTACAAGTGCTTTTCATCACATGTATACTTGAATTATACTATATGGTTCAGTCTGGATGGCAACCTTCCCAAATTGTTTTCCCTTTTAATTTATGGCAAGATATCCTGTAATAACATAATATCAGAAATTGAAATATTAGCCTACCGTGTCCTTCAGTTTTCCCCACTTTCTGCGATTGTACTGCAGATTCCTCTGTGTAACCTGTTATAAAAAGCCAAAGCATCAATATTGTATTAACAAAGGCATTCTGCTACAAAAGTACAATACAAATGTTTGGTCCCAGTTTAAAATGAAAGATTGCTTTACTGCAATACATGCACAGTTTATTTGTTAATCAATGTGCCACCAGGAGGGATAAACCTAATTACTCAGCACATGGTCAGAACAAACCACAAAAAGTGGAATAAACAGTTGAGAAATGGACCTGCTACCTATTGGGGAGGTTATTCAATACCTTCCCCCAAACCCAACATAATTTTTTGCTACTGGTCAGGAAAAAAATTAGGTATGCCCTGATGTATAAACTCATATGACAATTTTTGAGACTTCTGTAAAGAAAAAAAATGTAAAAACCATGACAAATTGATAGCTAGAACATGACCTGGATGTAATAGACCCAGATGCATTCAACCATGTTCCTTGCTCTATGATTCAACGGATTACACTTCCCCCTCACTGCACTCATTTGCATAAATTATCATTCAATCTTAGGTGCCAAAAAAAGGTGCTGAAGAGGATTAGAATGCAGACCCCCCCCCCCAAAAAAAAAACAACAAATTTTCCCACAGTGGTCCTACATGTAGGAACAAATAAATATTAATTCACACTAAAATAACATGGTAAAATAATTATACATAAATATAGAGAAGATCATCAATAATGTGAACATGCTGAAAATCAAAAACAATGCAAAATTGGGGAAGAAGCCAAGTCAAATAAGGCAGAGTAGGTATATTTTGAAATTAGAAAATATCACTAAAACTTAAATAAGTAAGAAGGGGGAAAAAGTAAGAAGAGTGCCAAAAAAAAGATTCAAATATTTCACTGGTTACACATAATTTTCAAAAAATGATACACACTTTTAGAAACCTAATACAAATGTCAGATAAAACACATCAATACAAATACACACGATTTTAAAGATTATTTTTAAAGTTGTAGGACAATTTGTTCAAGTATATCTGGTCACAAAAGGATGTTCTAGAAAAAATATTGTTTCATAATTTTCCTGCAAGGAGAATAAATGTCAATGTGCTTCATAAACTGTCCTTCCTAGTGTAACTGTAAGGACCCTGGAGGTTTACTCATTATTTGCATAGCGGGATTTCACACATTAAAACTGTTTATTGTGTGTTTTCCTGTGATAATAGTACCACCTGTTTTGTACCAGTAGTGTGAGAGGAAACATTTTGACTCATAATGTTATGTGGATTATTAGATTAATAAAGTTATTGGGGAAAAATTACTTCGTATGGTATTTTGTATGATTAAATCTTTTAACATAATTTCATGTTTGTGTCATAACAATGTTAAAAATATATGCAATAATAACAACAAATGTGTTAGTGAAAAACTTATAAACCAACTTTACATAAAAGGAAATGCTTTCAGCAAGCTGTCCATCAACTTCAGTATGATGTGATGAGGAACAACAATTTTCCTGACCATTACAAACAAAAGGGCCATGCCATAAACCTTCATGTGGTTACAACTCCGATTTACAACTACCGGTAGCTAGAAAATCCCCTGTTAGTTCACAAAACTTGTGTCCAGAAGTGCATGACCCTCATCCCTCTCTACCCCTGTGAAAACCACCCTCCAAAGAGGAGAAGAAACATCTAATAATCAATGCAATGTGGTTCACTGTTTACAAAAAAGAGATCTGGGCTTTGGCCTCCCATTGGGAATTGGTTGGAAGAGGCTGATTAGAAAAACAAGATTATTTCTGACAAGTAACAAATTTTTAAAAAGGCTTTCGACTTTAGATAAATTATGGAAATTACTACATCAAAAGGCAATCACTAGTGGGCTCCACTTATGTATGTCGAGCATAGTCAGGGATTGTTACTTCAATTTTGCCCGAGGAGTGGGTCAGTTCCAAAGTGACAATCCCAACGTCTTGCCGGGAATGAGTGGTGCAGGGGGGAAATGTTGGTTATATACTGACAGATTTTGTGTTCCAGGTCACATTTTATATTTTTTTTCTCGGATACTTGGCCTCCAAAAATCAATATGGGGGGGGGGGGGAGGAAATCATTCTATATTACAGAAAAGTGTACAAATGTACAACTACATGTACCCCCTCACCAGTTGGCTCTGTCCGTATTTTGTGCACAAACGGACAGTTTATCAGTGTCCTCGATCCTCCTATTTCTGCGCAGATAACGCTCTGCAACCCAGTAGCTTAAAGGGAATGAACAACATTTGCTTTTGCTGTAATTTTCAGAAATACATGTAAATGGATTTGGAGGATTAGTATGTTATAGAAAATATTGTTAAACTGACTTGTTACATGTTTTGAGCTTGTAGACGCTGGAAAAACCAAGCAAACCTATCATGTTCTTGTAGTCTGGTTCCCTGACCCCATTTAAAATGAAACAGGGCAATTGATACACTTGGGGAATTGTAGGCTCAGAGAATCAGTCTAGCAGGCTTGTATCCCTTCGCAGGTGTGTAATCAATTGCAAAGAAAAGTCAGAATAACTAAATATGAAAACTTAGGAACAGTTTTTTGAAAAAAAACCAAGTTTTTTCCAACGCTGGTCGGCCGACCAGCGTTGGAAAAATACAGTTTTTCTTGAAAATGTCAGTGCACCAGGAGCCACGATTTTAAAGGATGATTTGGACTGTCAGTCCCTAATAATTCAGTGAGGTATTTCGTGACAATTTCGTAAACAATCCCTTTAAAAATAGCAAAGCAACCACTCTTTCCCTCAACAAAACTCACATTTTTGGCTTACGATCATCCATCATACCGATTAACAAAATGAAATCTCTTTATGGTGGCAGCAAGCGGGGAGTTCCAACAAGTGCAGTTTTGGCATTGTAGAAAAGAATCCTGCCAAATTCTACCATGGAACGCTTCATAAAAAAGTATGTGCTGTCCAGACCATGTAACTCAATGTAAATATTCTGTTTTTAATAACTTAGACTTGTTGGCTTTATGAAAACTATATTTCCTGAGCATTTCAAACATTATTTCTTTCTTTTTTCTTTCATTTTTTCAATGCCAATACACTTTTCGTAATTTCAGGATTATTTCAATATCCCATTTTGGAGATTTATACAAAGGCCTATATTTACATATTTACATATTAACCAGATTTATACATATTTACCTATTAAATGTAGATCCCAATGATATTGTTATTCTGAGCATCCCAATCAACAGAGACAGTTTTTAAGATGTCGGATTTTAAAACTTATGGCAAAAAAATTCCGAAATAATGTAAGAAACGTGTCTTTTTAGTTGCACCGTAAGTTTTCCCTTGTAGAAACTGAAAATTTCTATGACATCTCAACTATAAATATACTGACGATATTTGGCGACCAAGAAAGGACATCTTTTGGTCACATTTTTGACTTCTGCAGGCCCGGAAGCATGATCTGCCTGCATTCAAGCATGATTCAAGTTTGTACTTAAGTATTTGGCTGTAGAATTTGCCTGAATTTCTGGTAAAGCCTTCAATTTCCACTTTTTTTGGGCCGCTGGTTAAAGTTCGTGCATCAAAGAATACGATCCCGGTGAAAGTATGTCATTTCTTAGGATACACACCTTTCAAAATAAAGGCGAGTGCGCAGAAATAGGAGCGCGTAGCTTCAGAAGGTCTGACGATATAATTTTAATGTTAGTCAATTCAAAGTACGTACATGTACATGCAGGCCTAGGCCTACATGATTGTAATTGGCAACAAAACCGTATGCATATTTTTTTTACTGTTTTCCCTGGATTGATGGCAGAACAATTTGCAGATCCGTGGAAAACATTTTCCCAGTATAGTTGCACTGTTCTTTCACAAAAAATATTATCTTGCTGAGTGATATTCAAAATAATTTCATCGCCACCTATTTTGGGTGATGATGAATGCATACACGTGGATATTTAAGTTCGATACAAAAAGGACAGTTCGAAGCTACTGCTATAGGCTATAATTTTAATTACGTGTTTTCTACTCAGCATTATTCCGGATGTCACTTTCTCCCATCATATCTCCAAAAGACAGTAAATTGCAAACAAAAATCGAGAACCTGCAATTCAGTTTTTGCAAAAAAATAATGTGAAAACGCATTCGGCTTTCAAAACATAATCAAGACGAGGTGTCTGGATACTCTTACCATTCTATCCTTATACCGGTAAAGGATTAAAAACTAACCTTGGTCTTGTTTACGGCAGGATTCGATTTTGGTGCTTGGTCCGTTTTGGGTTCTGATGATAGGCCTAAAGACGGAGGCGATTCAACATCATTTCTTTCTGACTCTGACTCCGACTCTGAAGACATCTTCAGAGACAGATTAACATCAACGAACTATATGACAGTTTACGTTAGAATGTTGCTTTTTGCTCAAAAGTGGATGTTTTTTTTAATAAACAATTATACCGAGTCAAACGATCCAACCCACTCAGTACTGCACCGGAGATGACAACCACGTGCGCGCTTTGACTTATATGCCAAGGCTTTAACATGTGTGCACGTCCAGTACATACAGTACACGTACGTAGCAAGCATGTACTGTCAATCACAAGTGTCAAAAAGCAGTGATGTTTGAATATTCATAAAAAAGTAAGGTAGCGCACTACATCTGTCCGGGATTGGTGGGGCCTGATTTTTAATGAATATTCAAACAACAAAATCAGCTTCACTTTTGTGTTTTCCTCCAAAACATAATGTCATGGAATAAAACCAACTTCACATTTAAAAAAGAAACTTCCTACCCTTTCCTACCTAATATGTCTTCTGTCGTCATACCATCTTTACCTACCAATTATTCACGACTCCTACAGGAAAATATACACACTATAGTAGGTAAAGACGACTGAAAACAGACTAGTATTGCTTTGCACATGCGCATTTGGAGCGCAACCATCCGTGGTTTAGCTTCATAGGTCGTGATGCATAGATGCCTCCAACCGTGGCGAATTCTTATGTGTTTCTTTATAGTTTCGACCGAAATCGGCCGAAAATTTCTGATGCGCATATATTACACGATATCCAATCAAAGCCCGTAAACTTTGACCCGCGATATACATATTCATGACCCGCAAATTACTGTATACACCACGTACATGTATGTTCACTCAAACCATGGTCCCATTTTAAACCATTTCTCCAGTTTTATTACAAACAAATAAAATATGCCGCTATATGAGTGAACAATTGTTCAAAATGATATATTTCCAATGTATTGCGAATTGGACATGCAGTTCAAGACCGTCCGCCGACATTTTGTCGGTGCAACAGCGTACATTATCACGCCGCTACCTGCCCGTGCTATTCTGCCGCCGGACAGCGAATGTAGGGAATAGGTCAACTCGGACCCAGGTCAAATTGTACCCATTTAATCGAATGCAGGTTAACTCGTATCTATAAGCACCCGTATGAATTAAGTGCAAGAAACGAGCTATTGACTTTGGGATGGAAATATACGAAACTGTCAGGTACATGGTGAAAAAAAAAACTCTCCCTGAATTCGTACCATGTGCAACATACATGTACATCTCATACGTATGACACATGTATTTTAACGCATACGTATGAATCGTATGTCGTACCTACGACATATGTACGACATGTAAGTCGTAGATGTAAATCGTACGAGATACAAGTCGTTCTCACAAGATATGTTGTATGTACTACATAATCGACAAACAAGTCGAACATACGAGTTACAATTCATATTTTGTACACACGAGATATTAAGTCGTACTTATATATACGACTTTGTCGTATGCGAAATATATCGTACCCTGTCGACTCGACTTATGCACGACATATATGTCGTACCGGCACCTGTCGACATTATGTCATATGTTTGATATGTCATACCCTGTCGACATATATGTCGTAACCTGTCAATGATATTAGTCGTACCCTGTCGAAATATGTCGTACCCTGTCGATATATTAGTCGTACATACGACATATAACTTATAAGTTGTTCATACAAGTTAAAATCAGTCTTACAGAATAAGTTTGCTGAAGGAGAGATACCCCCCCCCCCCCCCCCCCCCCCCCAAAAAAAAGTCAGCAGTAGATACATACTCAATAGTGTGAGCGCTTTTTTGGCCGCTGAACGTGAAAGCGCAGCGTGTCTCACTGCATAGCGCCAGCCGGGCCGGTGCCTACAGTGGACGGCCCCAACGTGGCCTCTGTGCATGGTGACATCGTTTTTGCCGGCGCGAACTAATTATCATATTCAGCATACACGGTTGCGTCAAGGCTATCTTCTGCCTCGACTTACTGTACGGCTGTTTGCGGAAGTGAGTGTGGGGCGTACGTACATGCACACAAAGCACACGCAAGGGTCGTTGGGGCTAACGGTATAGTACAACATTGTGTTGCTGCGTGCGCCGTGTGCGGTAGCGGGAACAAGCTCATATGGGAACAAGCTGATAGCCTTGGTCAAGGCTATGATGTTACACGCAAACATTGCCACGGGGGAATTTGAAACATTTGAAATAATTTGATTTCGATTGCGACAAACGGGCTGCTAACTGAAAACAGGAAATATTCTGCAATATTACTGTGATGGGTATGGCTACACATCATACCAAGGACATGATACCCGCCTGAACAACCCGCATTAGGGGCGGATCTAGCTTTCAGGAATAGCATGGAGACCGGGGGGGGGGGGGTTGACATTTGAGTGAACGCGTGCACCTGCTATAATAAAACAAAGAGTTCTGCAAAAATGGTGGCCACGGATTCTTACGTCTTTTTTCAAGGTTTTGAAGATCGTCAGTTTTCTCATCAAATGCCCGCGTAGACTCTGAAATAATAAGAGAAGGTTTACATGGGAATAACATACACCGAGGAAGGCAACATGCTATGTGGTCTTGTAGTCTGTACGATAAGAAAAAACGATTGAGCTGCATCAATGCCAATGATACTTTTCTCCGGTTTTGTTTTGTTTTTACGTATTACCTGGCTTGGCTGCGTCTGCGAAGACGACACCCAGGCACACCAGAAGAACCAAACAGGTAAAAGCCTTCATCTTGACTCTAAGCGTCAAAGGAGAACATATTTATTCAAATCTGTGATGCATGCTCCTTTTAAACAGTTTAAATTCCTAATAGGACTCCTAACTAGTTCAATGACGAGTACCGTGTTCTCAGAAAGGAACTGCCGTTCTATGCATCTTTATTGTGACTGCCGTTTAATTCAACGCCGACTGCTACACGAGACGAAATTCAAAAATTTAGGACGAATCGGTATGCTAAAAAGTTGAATTATACTGAACCTTAAATGAAATCTAGTGGTGGCTTCTGAAATTCAAATTGAGAATTGAGCTTGGCGATGTTCGGGTACGAAATTAAAGTATCGATATAGGGAATTCGTGTGATGCAAGTGTTAAAATGACCGGGAAAACCTAAACATTGTCGGATGCTATCGAATAAAAAGCGGTTATAAGTTGTTTAAATTCGAATGCTACTTACATCGTATTGTACGTTATCGTTGCGAAGTCGGTTTGGCAGAGGCGGAAAACTAATTGTAGCTTTTCAGTCGTCGACTGTCGGAATAACGGATTGGGAAAAATTCACGGCTTTTATTAGTTGAGGCGGCCCTAAACAGTGGCGTGTCTGGGAGTTTAAATCTTTTTTACTAGTAAATTCATAATTATGCACGCATGCGCAAAAAATGAACCGGCGGCAAGAAGCGAAATCGGTCCATTTTAAAGGTACAGGGGTCCAATGTTTGGGTAATTTTTTTCTCAAATTTCTCTGAATGGCAGCTGGCTACACCGTAGCTGGACCATGGGCTGATTCAGTCACGGTAAAGCCCGCCGCGATTTAGCGCCGCGATCCGGCCCAAAAGTTGGTGGACGGGTACTCTGAAGCACACGGTAATTTTTCCACTCGTGCGGAAAGAGCCCTGCTGATTTCCTTTGTCCTCGCACGCACCATACTCCGGGTAAAAAAAATGACACTTTTCCGGGTCAAAATGAATCGGAAGATGAGTCACACAGTGTAATTCTGACCCAGAAAAGTGCCATTTCCGGGTCAATTCTGACCCGGGACTTTTTAGAGTGTACACGGCCATTCATCCCTCAAATGGAAACTCGTAGCCCGTGACTTAAGCAAGCCGCTGGATTGATTGTGCTATTAGGTGATCATCAATCATCATTAATCTGGTTTTGTTATCGTTGTTTCTTTCTTGTTGTTGGGTGATCCAGCACAACCCGATCACTTCTTGTTTTTTAAATTGTAAGAATTGGGTGATCGGGCCGATATCGATCGCCCTTTGTTTCTGTTCGATTCATTCTTAGCTCATGGTGTCATTGGGTGATCGATCATCAATCTGATCACCGTTTTGAAATTAAAGTTTGATTTTTGAGGAGATGTAGCTGATTTCCCCATAGGCCTAACAATTTTCGTTGTGTGCTGGTTCCCGCTCTTCTTAATGGTGATAAACATTCTGTCTGTATCTGTATGGTTACGTTGCAGAATCCTATTCAGGCACTATCGCAATGAAGTATAAGTACTCAAGGCACTGGGAGATATGTCTATTATTAGATGAATGAAGTACATGAGAAATATGAGACCTATTATGTAGCACCTACAAGGTGCTGCGGCCACTGCCAGGACACTGGGGCGGACCCCTTCTCTTAGCGACGGCTTAACGTCCCATCAAAGAAGCAAGAATGTTAAGTGCCTTGCTTAAGGGCACAAGTGTCCTCCGGCGGGCTTGAACCCACGTCACTGTTGCCTCTGAAACACCAGAACACGAGTCCGGTGCTCTTAACCGCTAGGACATGACACTCCACAATTCATTGGAGAGTAACAAAAAATGGTGACGTTTTCAGGCCAGGAGTTATTTTTAAAGTGGCCGTACCTCACATGTCTCGCTATCATATCTTAATGCAGGCAATTGTTATTTTGTGCCGTGTAGAAACGAAGCAGGTTCTTCGGATCAGAGCAGAATTTGTGTAGACCCTTACAAAGACAGACAGAAACAGAACATATGTTGCCTTTGCAGAAAAAGTAATAAAGATATTTCTGGAGATGCAGCACATATGTTTATCATCTAAATGCATTTATTTCGTACAGTGTAGCCACGAACCATTCTTTCGTTAGCTCAGAGCAGAACTTTATTATGCCCATGCAAAAACCAAAAAGCCATATAACATTTATTTTTAGATGACGAGCATATTGTTGCATACACTCTAAGGACGTTACAGGCTCCGTCAAACTCCAAATTGAATTCTACTGATACTGTCTCTATTTTTGAGCAGCCATAGCTTTATGTGCCGCACCAGAACAGCGCTTCAAAAATCGAGTGATGCCTTGCTGATTTTATGTCCAGAACGTAAATTATAATTGTAGTCAATGGCAAGAGCCAACGAACGAAGGGGGCCTCAACATGATACAAACGGAATTCTTCTAAACGGGTCAAGCAATGAACACGAAACCTTGTAGAAATAACTGTCCAAAAACGTGGACATGTTGTGACTTCATCATGACGTCGCCGTATATCAAATTACAAGCGATTTTAAGTTTCAAATTAATACAATACTTTTATTTATAACTGTTTGAACTAAATTGATTTCCCTCTTCTTTTTCTGTGAGCCTTGGACAGATTTGTTTTTCATTTCGGCGAAAAAACCGCTTTCAAAACGGTTCACGGGATGACGATCAATTCTAGTATGAACTTGAACGTCCGTCCAAAGACGTGATACATTTTCTGACGTCATCATGACGTCAACAGGTATCCATTTATATTGTGTTATATTGCGGTCCCTTCGTTCGTTGTTCACGGTGTCATGGGGTCATCCATCATCAATCCAATCACCGTTTTGAAATTAATGTTTGACTTTTTTTGCGGAGATGGGGCTGATTCCCCATCACATTTTTGTTTAGTGCTGGTTCTCCTTTCTGTTTTTTTTTTCTGGCCAATACTTTTCAGCAGCATTCTTTTTTAACGGATCGACGCATAAAGCTGAAAATTGGTGTTTACATTAACCTTGAACGCAAGATGAAGTTTCACGTCATTATGACGTCATCTTATACCAATGATAAGTGGGTTGAGTAAAAACAAACTATTGTTGTCATTACTTAGGTACAAAAACGGAGAGAAAGTTTGTTTACATTTTGTGATCCGATACAGAAATTACAAGCGATTTAAGGTTTAAAATTGACGCTCTACTTTCATTTGTAAATGTTGAACTGATTTGAGTAGCCTAATCTTCTTGTGAAGTGTTAGATATTGCCTTTTGCAAACTTTTCTTTAGTTTTTGGGCTCAATACTTCTCAACCTTTACTTCCATGTTACTGAAAGTAAAGTGCAGTGGTCAATGAATACAACTTTTATTATTAGAAAATTACAATCAAAACTAGATCATTCAAATGTTCAATGCGGTTAAAATAAAAGATCATGACGACACCACTCGAAAGGGCACCCTATAGTGCCACTCTCTTTAGTAGTGATGAACATTCATTGTAGAGTATAGCGAACTAATATGCAACGTTTCCAAATGGTGACGTCATCAGACCAGAAGTTATTTTGAGGTGGCCGTACCTCACATATTTATCTATCACATCTTAATGCAGGCAATGATTATTATTATTTTGTGCCTTGTAGCCACGAACCATGTTCTTCCCTCAGAGCACAATTTAGGTATTCCCATTCAAGACATACAGAAATAAAGAAGATTTTCTAAAATATTTAGAAGAATACGTTGCATATTTTCTGCAAACGAGCATATGCTTATCATCTAAAAATAAGTATTATTTCGAACAGCGTAGCCACGAACCATTCTTTCGTTAGCTCAGAGCAGAACTTTATTATACCCATGCAAAAACCAAAAAGCCATATAACATTTATTTTTAGATGACGAGCATATTGTTGCATACACTCTAAGGACGTTACAGGCTCCGTCAAAATCCATATTGAAGTCTATTGGTACTGTCTCTATTTTTGAGCAGCCATGAGCTTTATGTGCAGCAAAATTATGATTATGTCTTGAATAACTGTATGCTCAGAACCAGTGGCGTAGCCACCGGGGGCGTGGGGGAGGGGCGACCGCCCCCCCCCCCATGAAACCTTGTCGCTCCCCCCCCCCCCCCCGTCGCCCCCCCCCCCCCCCCCCCACTGAGATTTTGAGTTTCTAAAAAAATTATCATTGATCTAAATCTAAATAGTCGCGAATGATCCACATGATGACCACTGAGAAACGACCCTTCGACCGGCGACCGCGGACCAGTAAGCTGACAACCGGCGTGACATAGCGCATAATGATAATCTAAAATCCTAAAATTAAACGAAATGAAATTGAAGTTTGATTGGGATTCTATCGAGTGATCGATAGAACCGAGGGATCACGTGAGATAGCGCGGCGTGACCAAGCGTGTTCATTTTTTAACGGCGAATACATTATCCCCCCAACCAGGGTGGGGCCATTGAATATAATTATGATTTATCATTTTGTGGAGGGCACGTGATCCCTCGGTTCTATCGATCACTCGATAGAATCCCAATCAAACTTCAATTTCATTTCGTTTAATTTTAGGATTCTACCTCGTTCTCGATATTCACCTCGAGACCACGTGAGATTTCAAAGCAGGATAATGCATGAGCCAGGTACAGAGGAAAGAAGCTTTGTATTCACACAACTTCATACTGGTTCAGTTCAGCAGAAATCTTGCTGCAATATTTTATTGAATTCACCTGCTTTTACTAGCATTTCTCTTTCAGTGCTTTTGTCACAACTGTTTTTCATCACTCCACTATATTAATCTCTCAAGCTTATTGAAGCATATACTTATTACACATTCTTACAATAACAACACTGACAACGTTATTATGCAAACATTCATCATGAAGGTTGTAAATGTGTTTTCAAATAAATAAAACTACATATTTAAACAGACTTTTTGGACTGTATAATATTATGCAAGGAAGTAATTCTCTACAATTGAAGTACAGCACTGGCAAAAGACTCAGTTGCTGGGATGACAATAGCTTTGTCATAGTACTTAGCAAACGTGCTTTCTGTGCTCCAGCCTGCTGTTTTTAGTATGTCATTTATAGTGACATCAGCCCTTTTTGCCGCAGACACTGCAGCTGATCTGGTACTGTGTGGTTTGAATACTGACACGTCAATGCCAGAGTTTGACAATACTTGTTTAATCCATTTGCTTATGGTTTCCTTGGTAACCTTTTTATGAGGTTTAGAATGAGAAATAAACAATTGACTTTCCTCTCCTCTGAGAGGCCTTGTTCGGCGTAAGTACTCTTCCAGAGTCTTAACTACACATAGACTTGTATCAGTCAAATAAGGCTTCAGAATAACCTTAACATTGGGCAGACCTGGACGGCTCTGCTTAAGTATAGCAAAAAAGAAGGTATAAACCGAATCATTTACTGTCATATTCTTAATATCCATCAAATGAAAAGTTTGGCATCTTTGTGTCGAGACCAAAGCAATTAGAGTAACTAACTTAAAAGTCACTTCTTTTAAAGTCAACCCCTGTAGTGGGTAAAGACTCTTTAAATATCTTAAGACGATACTTACGTCCCAAACCTCTGTATATTTTGTTTGGGGCGGTCTTAACTGAAATACACCTCTAAGAAATCTGCAAATTAAAGGGTGATTACCAACAGTAGTGGAATTATTAGTCACTACCGTAGCTGAGAGTGCAGACCGAGCGGTATTAAGTGCACTATAGCCAAGGCCAGAATGGTATAATTCTGCCAAAAAGTCCAAAACTGTGTTCACAGGGGGACATATTGGATCAACCTGTCCTTGACGACAGAAGCGAAGCCATCTTTCGAGGTAGCCAGAGTACTGTTTCGGGTTCCCTCTCGCCATGAGGCCATGAGGATTTCGGTTGCTTGTTGAGAAACATTTTGCATTTGGAAGGATTTCCTGATAAGTGGCAGGCAACCAGCCGAAGCTTGTTCCGTAGAGGATGAAGTTGATCGCTGCTTGGTAGGGTCATCATGTCCCTGTGTCTTGGCAGCAGTACTGGCTTGTCTACTAACATCGCCATGAGCTTGGGAAACCACGATTGGGTTGTCCAGAGCGGGAAAATCAGCACCCCTTCTGCCTCTTCTTGATCTACCTTCTGAAGGCACCTGGCGATCATGCTGAAGGGAGGAAACGCATAGAAAAAATAAGGTTTCCATGACACTGAAAAGGCGTCTACAAAGAGAGCGCCCGGATCTGGCCTCCATGAAACATAAGGCAAGATTTGTTTATTTAGTCGGGATGCAAATAAATCAATTACTATATCGCCCCAAAGGGATTGAATGCGATTGAAAATCTTGGGTTTAAGCATCCATTCAGTCCTATCATTAAATAATCTGGACTGCTTATCCGCAGCAACATTCTGCGATCCTGGGAGATAAGAAGCAGATACCCATATATTCTGATCTATACACCCAAACCAAAGTTTTTGTGCGAGTTCATTACATGGCTTAGATTTTATACCACCCATAGAATTTACATAAGCAACTGCAGTGGTATTATCCATCTGGATACGCACATGGACATTCCTTGACGAGGAACAAAAGGAACGTAAAGCCAAGTATGCCGCTAGCAATTCAAGATAATTGATATGCTGAGTAGCCTCAGTGGTTGTCCATTTGCCTCCTGCATGAAGTGATTTATGGACCGCACCCCAACCAAGTTTGGATGCATCTGACTGAATAACCAAGTCTGGCTCTCCATGAGAAATTTGTTTGACACTGCCCCCTATATTAGTAAGCCACCAGTTTAACTCTTCTTTGGATTTCTCAGACAACCGCATAAGCGCAGAGAAATCACCTTTGCTGTTTTGCAAAGCTTTTATTTTGTCTGTTTCAATGCTCCTATAGAACAATTGTCCGTATTCAACCCCTGAAAAGCAGGCAACTAGGACGCCAATAGTGGACGCAACATCCTGAATGGTAATCAGGTTTTTGCTCAACACAGATGTAATTTGGTTACAGACCTTTTCAACTTTACCAATTGTTGGTTGAATAGTCATACTATTTGAATTCAGAATAAATCCCAAGAATGTTAATTGTTGCGTTGGTTCGAATACGGATTTGTCGGGGTGGACTCAGAACCCCAGATTGGTGAACAATGAGGCTGAATGCCGAACATTTTCGGTACATTCTTCTTTTGTGTCTCCCTGTAAGTAGGAGTCATCAATATAACCAACTGATAAAAAGCCCTTCTTTCTTAGGGTGGAATAAACTGGCTTCAGCAGTTTTGTAAAAATTCTTGGGCTGACGCTAGACCATTTGGCAAACAAGTAAATTGATACAATTTATTTCGCCATGAAAACTTTAAGAATTTTTGGTGTTCTTGGGCAATTGGCACCGAATAATAGGCATCTCTTAAGTCAATAGAGGCCATGTAGCAGTCGCGTTTCATTAGTCGCACTGCAGAGACTAGTGTATCCATCTTGAAATGATGATAAGCAACTGATTTGTTAAACTGTTTCAAGTTCAAAATCATTCTATAAGTGCCGTCTTTTTTAAGTCTGGGGAAAATTGTGGAGACAAACTGTCCCTTTTCATGGAAAGAATGTTTTATAACACCCTTTTTAATAAGCTTGTCTATTTCCAAATCAAGACTTATTTTCTCCGTCTCATGAAAATTAATTTCTGTTGGCGGCCATATTTGAAAAGGGCGGCACCCTTCCTCGAATTCAATATGGCAATTTTGAACCGTATCAAGAATTTGCTTATCTGAGGTAATATTCCTCCAAGACAAAATAAAGTCCTTTAAACGACCTGCTATATTGGCTTCTATTTGGCATTGATTTGAAGGTTGTCTTACCTCCTGTTTTACTTGTTCTTGTTCGACTGCTTGCCGCTGTGCCAAGATTGGCGGCTGTTGTACGGGCGGGAGTACAAAAAACCCCGGCCTGCAGCGCCTCTTGCGCCCCGGTACTGGTGGCCACCTCTGTCATATGACCTGTGCCCCGACCGACCTCTCGCACGTCCCCCACGGGAACTGATTGCCAATTTTAAGCCAACCTTATTCACTTCTGACATATCTTTGACTTGTTTGGGTAGGTCATCCCCAAAAAGTTGTTCAGTGAACTGAACAGTAGTATCACAAAGATGTTTAAAATTGGGATTAATATCTTGCTTGATAAATTCCCTGCGTCGCATATTCAACTGATAATTGGCATTAGCCATTAGTGCGATCGCATCTGTTGCATTACGCAGCAGTGGTTTTATGTCAAGTTTATCAAGCTCCTTCTTTTTGGATGCTTGAAGCAGTTGTTCCGAAAGCTGAAGCACAGGTACAACTGACTTAATGACGGATGTCTGAATTTTTTGAAATTTGACATCCTGGGAGCGGGTACTGCTCGACATATTGTCCCAAATGAGTTTGTTCACTTTTGTTGGGATCACCTTTTCACAGTTCTTTGGTCTGTTATAGGTTTTATACATGTCTTTTACTTTGTCGTCGGACAATTTGTCCCGCATTATAGAGTTTGCAATTGATGCCAACTGGGCATGTACTGCATCAGAAGTTTGTTCATCTATCTGAAAATCTTGTGCAATATTTGCAAGTAACTCGTTTTGTTCAGAATTATTTTCTGATGTTGCAGCAGTTGTGCTGGCGGTATCAGGGTTTGTTTCCTCAAGTAGTCTTGCAACGCTAGACTCATGGTCATAGTGGCTAGTATTTCCACCATCCATTTTTCGCCGTTTCGGCGACATTACTTTGTGAGCAGATTCGCTCTCAGCCTCGTCATTAGACTGTGGCTGCACGGCCATGAACATTTGGGTAAATTCTTGGAATTGTTTAGTGAAGCTTGTCTGCATTGATTCCATTGCACCTTTCATCATTTGGCCTAAAGCCATTATGTCTGGGGAACATTTGTGTACAGTTTCGGAATTATCCAACTGCGACTCGTTCGTGTTCTCCTCATAGCTTCGTTTTTTATTCTGAGGAAACTTCCCTTTTTTACTAACAGTATTACCTGTTTTTGTGCGCCATTCCTGGCCACCACCAGGCTGCGCGGGTGGAAACCCAGAGAGCCCGTCAAGAGACCCTGAGCCCCGAGGACTATTCAACTTACAGGATGGTGAGAGGAGAGCAAACAGATCTTCATCCTCCGGGCTCAGGGTCAACTCGCCGTGCTCAGTCGGTTGTCCAGCCATGCTGTGCGTAAAATATAGAAAACTATTCGCCACGGACAATAAGTCACGTCTGAACGTCGCGAGGTTCAGCAGCACAATGAACACGCTTGGTCACGCCGCGCTATCTCACGTGGTCTCGAGGTGAATATCGAGAACGAGGTAGAATGCGTATTAACACCCACTGCACTGCTCGCTCACACCACGGAACACGTATTATAGACAGGTGGTCCGTGGGTCACACAGTTTCAGTCAGCGATATCACGCGAATCGGCCACGCACAAACTTTTTCCTTCATTCATATATTAAGCTAAATAGTAATAATAGACCACTTAAAATTCCTTGAAATCAGTGGCGTAGCCACGGGGGGCGCCCCATGAAACCTTGTCGTCCCCTCCCCCAGTCGCCCCCCCCCCCCAACAACGAAAATTTTGAGTATCTAAAAAAAATATCATTGATCTACATGACGCCATGGGCGTCAATCCTGGGGGGACAGGGGGACTGGTCCCCCCCCCCCCCCACATTTTGAAGGGTGGGGGACACAATATCAATTGTCCCCCCCCCCCCCCCAGATTTTTGAACTCGTGTCTCATTTACAGGGCCCTATTATGTACTACAGTGTATTTGCTTAGAAAACATTGGTTAAAGTGGTCAGAAATTGCCTCAGATAGCACCACAGAGCATTTAGAGTCCAACATTTTTCGGGGCCCTTAAGCGGGCCCCGAACCCCACGCCTATAGCTCAGAATTCTGGTAGCAGATTCAATGACTCCAACCTCGAAAACAATGTTCAAAAATGTTTCTTATGCCTTTACTAAAGTAAATTATGTTTAAATTATTATCTTTTGTGCTAAGATAATTATTGGTTAAAGTGATAAGAAATTGCCTCAGATCACACCACAGAGCATCGAGAATCCAATTTTTTCGGGGCCCTTAAGCGGGCCCCGAACCCCACGCCTATAGCTCACAATACCGATAGCTGATTCAATGACTCCAACCTCGAAAACGATGTTCAAATAATTATCTTTTGCTGAAAAAATGTTAGTTAAAGCATGGAGGAAAGTGGTAAGAAATTACTTCAGATCACACCACATAACATCTAGAATCCAATTTTTTTCGAGGCCCTTAAGCGGGCCCCGAACCCTCACGCCGTAAGGGCTTCGCGCTTCGCGCTCGCGCAGTTCTGATCAAGGTATGTCCCCCCCCCCCACTTTTGAGAAGCGATTGACGCCCCTACATGACGCACCCCCATAAATGTTTCAGCGCCCCCCACTGAAAAATTTCTGGCTACGCCACTGCTCAGAACATAAATTATTGTTGTAGTCGACAATGGAAAGAGCCAACGAACTAAAGGGACCTCAATATAAAACAACTTCACGGAATTCTACTAAACGGGTCAAGGCATGAAGACGAAACCTTGCATAAATAACTGTCCAAAAATTGGACATGTTTGTGACGTCATCACTGTTTGTGACGTCATCACAACGCTGGTCGGCCGACCAGCGTTGGAGAAAACTGTTTTTTTTCAAAAACTGTTCTTAATTTTTCATATTTAGTTATTCTGACTGTTATTTGCAATTGATCACACACCAGGCCTGAAGGGGTACAAGCCTGCTAGACTGATTCCCTGACCTTACAATTCCCCAAAGTGTATTAATTGCTTCGTTTCATCTTAAGTGGGATCAGGGAACCAGACTACAAGAACATGATAGGTTTTCTTGGTTTCTCCAGCATCTACGAGCCCAAAACATGAAACAAGTCAGTTTAACAATATTTTATATAACATACTAATCCTCCAAATCCATTTATTTCTGAAAATTGCAGCAAAAGCAAATGTTGTACATTTTAAAAACTATGGTGAACTATAAGTTTCCAAATAAATGGAGTACCGTTCTCATTGTTTGCGATCAGTTGGACATTGTGTCGGGCAATATTTTGGATCCCCGGGTACAAAGCCATTTGACCTTTACTTCTGGTGTAGACGGAAGCTTATAACTGTGGAATTATTGAAGTCCATTTGCTGAGTTTTAGGTGGGATAGCGCCCTCTCGTGACATGACTGGATTGTATTTCCAAGATGGCAGCCCCCATGGACATTAAACCTGTTGATGATGCCGATGGGCTGTGTTTGACTTGATTCAAACGTTTGAAGAGCGTAATAGCAGCTGAAATGCTTGGTACCTTGGCAAAGCGATGGAAACAGTACAAGTATAGATTCGTTCCATGGATTGCCTTGAATATCAGAAAAAGGTAAGCATTTCAATTCATTTTTCGCCGTGGCTGGTGAGCTGACATGGCTGAGAGTGAGACTGAGATGAGACTGAGGTGCATGCACTGCACTAGCCCGACTGCGTCTGGCCGCCGGCCGTACAGTACTATCGCAAGCTCTGTAGTACGGCCAGACGCCCGATGCTTCCACGGAGACTGAATTTTGTTGGCCGCCGATGTAGCGATTTTGCTACATCTTTCGATCGCGATTATCTTTTCATCCAGGACACCAATTTCCAAAGTTAAGGTTTGTAGTCGTAGAGCAACTCATATGCAATATGCACAGGGGTGTGAAATCTCAGCTTTTTAGCTGATTTCAGCTTTTTTGTTTTGGATTTCAGCTATTTCCCTCACTTGCTGTGTACAAAAGTATAGGAGATTTCCAAAGTTCAGCTTTTTTTACACCTTTTTCAGCTGTTTTCAGCTATTTTCAGCTATTTTCAGCTATTTTTGTCAGAGGTCACTCACACCCCTGATGCAGGCGCGCCCGCGCAAACTCATGAATATGCATAAACAGTCTCTGACGTATGACCTCGTGTTTTTGGACGTGCATGCGGCGGGGCCGTACTTCCAAAAACACGAGGTCATACGTCAGAGACTGTTTATGCATATTCATGAGTTTGCGCAGGCGCGCCTGCATATTGCATACATTACAGCGCGGCCGCCATTTTGAAATCGCATGGGGGACGATATTTGTGGAATCTGATGACTGAAATTCGTCTTGTGGCCAGATGGATGAAAATATTGAGACAAACAACGTTTTTTTCGAAAAGGTATGAGTTGCTCTACGACTACGAACCTGAACTTTGGAAATTGGTGTCCTGGATGAAAAGATAATCGCGATCGAAAGATGTAGCAAAATCGCTACATCGGCGGCCAACAAAATTCAGTCTCTGTGGAAGCATCGGGCGTCTGGCCGTACTACAGAGCTAATTGCGCTAGTACTGTACGGCCAGACGCAGTCGGGCTAGCACTGCACTGACCTACTGATGCAGTCAGGCTGTCGACGGTCTGGTTCTGTTACGTCCTGAGTGATCCCGATTGTATTCAACGTAAAGCCTAAGGATCTGAAGTTTTGGCCTGGGAACCGGACATCAACCGAGTGGTTCTCGGACTTTATTTCCGGCTTAAACTAGTTAAAGTTAAACTTAAAAAGAAAAAGAAAATGAAATCTACCTCAATAAAAAAATAGTAGCCCTATTGTATTTAAAACATGCAAGGGGAGGGGGCTAGTAACAAGTATTGAAAAAAAGGGAAAAGTCTCTAAATAAAGTATCCTGGATTCGATCCTGGGCATGCTGGGCATGGATGGTAGTTCAACAATTAATCACGCTACTACATTGTATTAAAGGGATCTGGTTGGAAGTGCATTTTTATAGTGTCATAGAGATTTGCAATATCTGGGTGGTTTTTTTTTGCTATGCTGTTAATTACTGGGCCTAGTATAGCCATATGCATAGACTGTCATAATACTAGCCGCAATGTTTACTCTTTATTTATTGTCAAAGATGACCAAACTTGTGCACTGCGCACATTTATAGATAGGAGTAGGAAGCAATAATGCAACAGTATAGCCTAGGACTAGGAGTTTAATCACTCCATGCCATGCCAGTTGCACCAGATGTAGAATTATGAAAGGATTTTAAGGTTTGAAATACCTGTGCCAAATTTGCAGTTATTTGAATAAAATTTGAAAATAAATGTCAACCATTTCGTCATGTTGTTTGTTGGAAAAGTAGGTTGCTGTGATCATTAATTTAATTGTCTAGTTTTTTGGTTTCATTTTGTTTTGCAGAAAGGTTCGAACAGTTGAAGGTGAGAGAAACGACAAAGTCATCTCCGACGGCAAAGTTGAACAGTCGTTACTTCTTTTCTTTACTGGCCTGTCCAGGCAGGATAATGGCTCCAAGGATGCGATGCATAACCACAAAGTTCAGAGGTCAGGAGGTCAAGCAAACGAGAGGATTGGAAGCAATAGGCACTTCCATTCAGTGGAAGTACCGAACAGGTGTAAACAAGGTCATTACTGGTGCCAGTACCCAAACAAGAAGGGGTGTCGGACGAGTGGTCAAACACCCCCACAGAACAACTCTGAAATAAGACAAAGCTTCATATACTTGTTGGAAGAACTTAACAAGAGATTGCGTGTCCATGTGCTACAATTGTACTGCAATCTGAAGTATCTACACTTGACGTTTTTCTTTTGGTTCAAATGTAAATGTTTGGAATTGCAAATGTTTGGTCAACAAGTGAAGGGCACAAACTTTCCTGGAAAGGAGTTATCATGTTATCACTGCAGCCAGCAATGTACATGGAGAGTTACCAAAAGTTTTGCCATGAAGCCAACTGTAGAAATGGTATGTACATTGGCTAATACTACCTCATCGAGAGGCTACACATGCGCAACGTCTCAGAATCAAAGAAACGATGTGCAGAAGGTACAGGGTACCAGACTGAGATGTCAGGAGGGGTTAGAGGTCATGCAGAGAATGCTGGGTTTCACCATCGAGCGACAGCCGAGCAGCATCACAGGGGGTGGGACCGGGGTGTTTGTGACTCGTGGAACCATCCCAGCTGAAACTGTAGTTGCAATGTATCCAGGCAAGTCCAAAACATCCTAGATGGTATTGTTTGAAAACTTGTATCTTGCATGTATTTTGTCATTGACTGGCAGAGTGCATAGCATATGTGTATTTGTGATAAATTCCAACAACAGAATCTGACCTGACAATCTTGAATGTTCCGGCAGCTTTAAGCTAATACTTCATGCCACCAATGTTGTAGTTTAGTCCATCACAAGTCCAGTCACAAATAACAGGGGTGAACAATAACAAAGGAATGCCTTTGTCATAGAATGCCTTTGAAAAGCTTGTGATATGACCAGGGATTAAGACTTCCTGACTTGTGAGGACTTGTGAGGACTTGTGAGGACTTGTGATGGACTTGTGAGGACTTGTGATGGACTCGACTACAACACTGTTTTCAATACTGACGTTTTGAAAACTTTCATATTGCATTTTGGGAAACAAACAAAAAAGTTTAGGGGACGAGAAACTGTAATTGGAACAAAATACACTTTTTATCCCAGAAAGGATTTGAACCAAGGTCCGGACCCAGTGTTATATCACTTACAGTGTATCAGACAAGTTCAACGATACCCACCTGTTTAAAAGCAGCTATAATTTGATGAGCTTCATCAATTATTATTTTAATGTTTATCCTTGTTTTATAGGCACGGTCTACAAGTCCTGGGAGCCTATTTTACTGCAGTCCGTAGCCAATCCGTTCATATTCCGATGTCTGGACGGAACTCTGATTGACGGAAACGACAAGGGTATCTCAAGAATGGTGTACAGGTATTGGAAGCTTTAGGGCTATGAAATCCCCTTGTTTGCTTGGTGTCATGAAATTTAAACATTCAAATTGTATTGAATGTTATATATCAAACATGTCAAAGCTTGTTTATTTCAAAGTCCCATAAAAACATTAAAAATATGTTGCATTATATTCTAGTACTGTAGTACAACAATTATGTTAGCACTTTCAGCACTTATAGGTGGGTTAAGCTTCAATGGCAGTGGTGTGCTCGGAGGGGCGGGGGGGGGGGGGGTGGGGGAATGGGGGAGCATTGGCAAGAAAACAACAGCACCAACACCTTAGAAAATTACCGTAGAAATGTACCCATTTCATTTTTCTGCATTGATTCAATTGAAAGGGAGCTACTAGTCAATTTTTGATTGTGGCTCATTTGATAAAGAAGAAAAGAAGAATACTTGATAACAAAGATCTGTAACAAAAAGTTGTATACTTTTCAATGTAGGTCTTGCACCCAGCGAGATAGGATGGGACCGTACTTGACCTCTGACCTCACCTGGTTGACCGAGGCACCGTCCAATCCGATGGCTGTAGGACAGTATGTCAATAATCAAAACAAAGGTGAACAAATCAAACATGTGGAATAAATGTTTTTCTCAATTTTGAAAATTTACATTGTGTATAGCCAGATAGTATAATTGGACTTACCTCTCCGCTAAACAGAAATAAGGCTCATGAATGAAGCTTGCAAAATTCAGAAAATGTCGAGGGCGCCTGAAAAAAATGTAACTTATTTTTTAATCTGCAGGTAATGAGGCCAATGTAGCATATCAAGAGTTTGACGTGCCAGATTCATTTCCATTTCATCTGCTTCAATTCATCCCTAATGTGTTCTACAGCTCCACCTACCAGCAAGGGGACTCCTCAAACCCAAGGTGGGCATGAAGTCATCTCATTGAGAGCCTTTTAATCTATAGACTGCATGCACAAGCACCCTCCCCCTTCAGTGGTCACAAACTAGGAGTGAGGCGGGACTACGCATTGCCACTGTGCATCAGGGGCGGATCCGGGGTGGGGGACGGGGACAAAGGGGGCCACCCAAAAAACGAACCCAAGTTGTAATAATCTTTTCGCAATAATCTTTTCCTAAGAAAAAAAGGTTCAAGTGTTCAGAAATTGCCTCAGATCGCACCACAGAGATCTTGAATGAAAAAAAAATTTCGTGGCCCTTAAGCGGGCCCCGCACCCCTCGACATAATTTTTGGACCAGATTCGCCCTTGCTTATTTTGATGAAGACGAATGATGTACTTTGTGCTATATGCTCTTGAACTTGTGCTTGCACGCTATTGTCCTGGCCAGGCGCGGTTTTAGAACCAATATTTGGGGGGGGGGGGGCTAGGAGGGTGGATCCAGAATTTTTTTTAGGGAGGTGTGCAGAAATGTAGACCGGTTATTTTCTTCAGACACTTATAGGCCTCCGAAAATCAATAGGGGGAGGGGGGGGGGGGGGGGGGGGGGGGGGGCTCATGCCATATTTTCAATGGGGAGCGCCAATAAAATCCTAAAATCATTCACACTATATTAACTACAATGCACCCTTGTCACGACTTTTCTTTAGGGGGAGACCATTCGCATGTACATCACAATCCTTCTTTTGGCTAATGCAATTTTTTTTTACGAAATTTATTTTTGGGGGTAGACAATATTTGGGGGGGGAGGGCTAAAGCCCTCCTACCCCCCCCCCCCCCCCCCCCTCTAGAACGTGGTCCTGGCACATAGAGCTTTAATGAGCTCTTTTTAAAAGTATCAATCATAAAGTTCATATGACTTCCCTTCCTTCCCCACCCCCCCCCCCCCCCCCCCCCCCCCCCCACCCCCACCTCCCCACCCCCCCCCCCCCCCCCCCCCCCCCCCCCCCGCACCCCCCCCCCCCCCCAGCTTCCCCCATCCATCCAATTTTAATTTGATTTGATTGAACAGATGAGGTTTGTTCTTTCACAGGTTGATGCGTACAGTTGTCCTCGTGTCTTTAAGAGAGATCCAATGTGGAGAGGAACTGTTTTCTTCATATTTCACCATCGTCCACTAGCAGAAAATGTGGGTTTGAGAACAAACCAAGCCACAGCAACCAGCATTATTCGCCTAGACGATCCATCAAAGGCCGATTTTATTTTTTAAATGGTTTTTAATTTATTCAATTGTTCTTTGGTATATTTATATTTAAATAATAATAATAATAATGAACCATTCTTATAAAGCGCATTTTACACGGGGTCCCAATGCGCTGAACAATTAACAGAGGAAAACACTAACATTATATAACATTTGCAGTGAACAGATGGGTTTAAGATTAGCTTTGAAAATGTCCAGGGTTGGGGCTTCCTTGATGTGATTGGGTAGTTTTGTTCCAGAGGGTTGGGGCTGCAGATGAAAAAGCTCGCTGACCGTATGACCTTGTCGATGTTGAGGAGCAGGCGAGCAGGGATTGTGATTTTTTTTTTGGAAATGGAAGAAGATCGCGACCAACCCAATCCTTCAAATTCCACCATTTTTTTTACGCGGGGCTTTCGTATCCATTGAAAGTTTGAGAACAAACAGTAGGCTGTGGGTTTCCTGCAATGGGACAGGTTTTGGAGGATTCATGGTTTGGTTTCGATCATACCACAGAGAGAGAGAGGGTTTCTACAGCAATTGTATATAGAAGTTGTAAAGGCTAAATAAAAAAAAAAACATTTTGGAAGTTCATCTTTAACCCAGCCACAAATTGGAAGGTCAAACAACTCGGGGAAAATAAAAACAATACCGTCAGGTATTAAAAGCACAAAATAGAAATATCTATTTATTTTTCAAATCATTATTACAATTATTTGAATCATAGAATGTTTTCTGACTCTAAAACAAAATTCACAAAATGGGTAGCAGTTGTTTGGAAAATCTAAAATTTTATATCTTTTAACTTCTAAATTACTAAAAAAATACTACAAATTTGAAAATTTGCAGGCTTATCATTTTTTCTAACCAGTATGGAAATTACAAAAAGGATAGCCCCTGAGAAATGTCTACTGTTTTGTTGCATTGATAAATTCTCCATTGCAACTTTTATAAGAAAACATAGACTTTAAATTAGTGTTTTTCCCCCAATTTTGAGGTTGAAAAGAATACAAGATTGTAGCCTTGTAGGAGTGTCATTTAAGAAGAGTTTATTGAGGATATTGTCAGATGTGTTTTTCCTAGCCCTGTTCCTAACCCTGTTACAATACCATCAACTCATTAAAATAAACAAATAAATCTCTCAAATGTAATTTTGGAGTCTTAAATTCATAGACATTCATGTATTTCCTAACAAAATTGGAAATGTTTCTCAAGTATTTCCTAACAAAATTGGAAATGTTTCTCAAGTATTTCCTAACAAAATTGGAAATGTTTCTCAGTCCCAGATTCATGTCTTATCATTTTTGCAATGACTGACCTTCATTGACATGATATATGAAGAAAAAGCAGCGTCAGGCTGCAACATTCTTTTCCAGTTTTTTCTAATGAAATACACTAAAACTAATTTTACACAAACGCACAAGACTGTACCAAACTGTAATTTCTTCATATAGTAAGAATGAAATATTGTAAAATTTATAAATATCTACGATTGGAAATAACTGTCTACTGATAGATTGTCATCAGTGGCTAGAGCTACAGACTGTCAAATTAAAAAGACAACAATGACTAACTCTAACCACATTTTCTATCCGCTTTGATTTCGGAAGTGTCCTCTGGCAGTGTTTGAATTGGACGTTAGGATTTCATTCACTTCCTCGTTTGTGCACAGCCTTCTAACTGATGCGAGGAAGTATTATTACAGAGTACATGTATCATGTTGTATTTTACACATGTACTGTGTATACAATTATAGAAGGAAATCGCAGTGATTTGCAGTTGCAAAAATGAATCTGTTATGTCATGGTTTGAGATTTTATCACAGCTTTTTCGTATTCCTTTCTGCGGGGATGACGGTAATGATGAATTTGAACCCTTTAGTAAAAACAAATGGATTGCATGACATTTAACCCAATAGCACCTTTACTACATTGTATCACATCGTGTTTATTCACTTAAGAATCCAAACCATAGAGTTATCGGCTGGTTTCAGGCAATACAGTAATAGGCAGGGCTGTATACTGTCGGGAATTCCTAGCACTCAGAACACAGTACATGTACAGTAATACAACGTTAGACACATAATACCACGAAAGTTGATCATTATTTAAGGACTCCTAAATGCAGGTCAACTTTTCTTATGAGATATTAAACAAAAAACAATTTCCTTCTTTCCCTGCATAGTTAATTTTATAAAATATGACTACAGTCTATAAACCGAATGAAATCAACTATTCTCCACGTTTTTATTTTAACCAATTCACTATTCCAACACCCGTGTTTTACTAAAAGAATCTTTGAGAAAAAATCAGGGATGACCATAACCAGGTTTGAAACACTGAAATCTTGGAAAATATACCAATTTTGTTCTCGACACTATTAAAGAAAACTCATTATGTATTGTATACACTTAAAACTGCCATCAAACCAGTGGTGTAACTAGGGGGGGGGGGCACGGGTCCAACTCCTGTTTAGGCCTGTGTCCCTGTTGAGGCCCCTCCCCCCCCCCCCCCCCAATGCTCAGAATTACAATGAGCTTTTTTGTGGTGAAAACATAGTGGTCCCTACCTCCTCCAACTGCCCACAGTTACACTACTGGGTCTAGCGTTGAAATTGTACTAATGTGATACAAACACGCTACAGTCGGTCTGCTCTGCAATAAGCAGACATATTCCTGAGGCTACTTATGGTGATGACTCGGAGGCATTTCTCGCCGCATCGATGCTCGCTAAGTTAGGCAGACCCAGAGGGACAGGTAGCAGGTTCCTCTCCTCCTTCAAGATTGACTCCGCCCCCTCTGTGCACCAAAATGCAAAATACAATGGAACATGTAGTGATAGACAGAATCAGTGCCAACGGACGTACAGTACCAGTAGGCCAGTGGGCCGCAAGAAATAGGAAAATTGTGCAGAGAAATGTAGCACATGCCTGCTACCCCCCCCCCCCCCCCCAACCACTGCTGGATCCGCCCATGTAGACTATTTGTGTATTGCTCTACCACTGCTCTGTTCAGTGGATCATATCTGGTTGGGAAAATTTCAACAAATGTGATGCGATCAAGCTAAATGAGTCGTTTGTCGACCCTGGTCAATTTTGTGTTTTTACAGATTTTAAAAGAACACAATCTCAGCATTACTGCTGTGAAAACCGCATGCTGGTACCATTTTTAGTTCAAAAATTATGGAAGTTGGAACACCAAGAGATGTGATGAAGTGATGTGATGAAGTGGCCCTATTTTGGCCTTAATCTCCGAATGAAAGTTCCCGACAAACGACTCATTTAGCTTGATCGCATCACAAATATTGGTGTTGAGGACACTTTCTTACGGATTCTCTTCTTAACCTAGATTCATAGAATAAATTCCTCTATTGCAATGGCCATTGATGAAAAAGTCCAGAAAGATGAAATGTAGTTTTCTTGCTTTCAGTTTGAAATTATTGGAGCCATTGCAGAATCGTGGTTCCATGGTTATAATTTCGGAGACATTAGCAATTGTACTATAACTGGGGAACTTGGTATTTGTGTCCTTGGGCAAGATACTTTACTGCAATTGCCTCTCTCCATCCAGGAGCATATAAAGGGTAATTGCAAGGGTAGAAACCAGATGTTGCTGATCTCGAGCAGCTGCAGCAAACTGGTCTCATGGCCTCACGAACACGGGAAGTAAATGTGAAGAGTAGGCCTACATGTAAGCACATTTTTTTTTACAATATTCACATGGTGGCTTGATTTCAGAAGAAGGTACATACAATGGATATTGAAATTGACATGCTTCGCCTGATGGGATTTTCCTTTTACGACACCAGAGGGCGTTGTTGCACACACAACCGTTACTTTTTACTTGCCTCGTATTCTCAGGACCTTTGTTCCGTAGGTGTAGTCATACTGGTATCCCAGAATAAACGTCAAGGGGAGAAGGGGACCAAGAACAGCTGGGTTTTTCCTCTTCAAAAACCTACAAAGGAATAAATACAACATCTGTTTAAACTGAGGGCATGGGTTGAAACTGGAAGGGTATTTTCAACCTGATGGGTAACAATGTATTATTCTGAATTGGGTCATAAGCCTCGCCTACTTCTGGTATGTGTACATTTCTCACAGTGGTTTTGACCAAATTTGGCAGAGCTACCATGGTCACCTGACCAAAAGTCGTGATCTGATTGGTCAATGTGCACTGTTTGATTGACAGGCAAGAATGGTCGATGATGTGGCTTACATTTTTGTTATCAACCAAAATGCCGCGTTTTGTATACTACCAGTTGACAGCTCTCAAAACTAATTTTTGCGATGTTTTCTGCTGAAACTGAGTCCAGATATCTTTGGATGGCATTAAAAATGGACATTTATGTTTGCAAATGTGGTTTTTATATCTGTTTTTAAATTGAATACTACAAATACAATTCAAATTCACGATGTGGTTTCTAACTCTTGGGTTAAATTTCAAGGACGGGTGAAAAAAGTTGAAGGGAGTTTCCCATGTAAGTTAACAGGCAAGAAGTTTGAAAAAAAGTGAGACTGCCGCAAACTGCTTACTGACTGGATGGTCCTGAAATATATAAATCTAAAAATTAATGTGGCCTGACGTTGCCAACTTAGCAAGTTCTTCTTCAGAGGCTAAAGAAGAAGAACTTCCTAAGCCTCTGAAGAAGAACTTGCTAAGTTCGCAACGTCAGGCCACATTAATTTTTAGGCAAGAAGTTTGCCAGATTTACCCAGCTAAACAGAAGAACGCCGTCACTCCGTAGAACGAGGAGAACCAGGTGAACATCTCCCTGGCACCGGAGAGCTGCATTGCTACCGCCCTCTCTCGCATCTGATTCTGCATTTGGATCTGTCGTTCCAGCTACAGGGAAATGGGTTATACAAATGCAGTTTTAGAGTCATAATGTGCATTCATTTTGCAACGTGACAATGGACAATTGTTCAGCTAACTGCTGATATGTATTTTTTATAAATATTGTATAGCAAAAACACAACAAAATTTCAAGTTTCACTGTTTTGACACGTCTGGTTTCCATGATGTTTTTAGACAGTGGCGGCGTTACAAGGGGGGTTCAAGTTTTTCCCTTGCCCCCCCCCTCCCCCATCCACACATTGTCTACATAGAGATTAATCTGTTTATTTCATTCGTTGTTCAGAATCAGAACTATAGTTGAAAGTAGGGAGCACAAGTTAGTTTCCGTGCAAACAGTTGAAAATATTTCTTTGACCCCTACTTGAACCCCCTCCCCCTCCAAAAAGTAGAGACTGGCTACTGTTTAGAGAACGTTTTGTTTCTATTTCTTATGAACATTACATGGAAATTAGACATCTGAGATTGTTTATGCCCAATTAAAGTTTTCCGTGTTCTGGGGGCTTCCACACAAAAAACGACAGCTGTACATACAGCAGGCTATATTTCAAAGCCAACGAATGAAAGTTTGGCAATCTGTTTCCTATTGGAAACAGAGGCAGTTTAGTATTTTGGCCCATTATTTTTAGAAATGTACAACACAAAGTGTATTGCTACTATCCCATTCATACGTACCATTACCGCCTGTGATTCTTCCATAAAGACCTTGTTCTTCTTGAAGCTTTCATCCATCGCTTTTGCCATGAAGGAACCCATCTTGAAACGATTACAGTCAACGACTCACTTGCCTCCAAAAAAATCCCAACAAAATCTAAAGGGCGAAACGAAATAAGAAAATGAATTGTTGTAAAACACATATATTCAGCCAACTTCCCCCTTCCCTTTGCAATCTAGGTTTTGGCAAAAGTGTACACATTTGGTAGGCGCCGGTTTTCTTCACCTTTTAGTATTAAACAGAGTTTGCTGGGGGTCAAGCTAGCCAAACAAAGTGTTTAAAGAACCGACACCGTGAACCGGTCCCGAATTGTTCTCTTTTTTTTTTAAGCGGGCATTCCTCTGTGCATGCGCACCTACAGAACTTAGTATGCAATACAATCTAATAAACTATCATCTTGAGTTAATGTGTGGCTCAATGGTTAACGTGTAATCGGATGTGGAAACGACTGTAGCGTACTTTAAGTTGTCAGAGATTGCCTCAGAATCAGATCGCACCACACACATGACACAGCATCTAGCTAGAATCCAAATGTTTGGGGGGGGGGGCCCTTCAGCGGGCCACGAACCATCCACGCCGTTAGGGCTTCGCGTAGTCCCACTAACTGGGTCGCTAGAACTCCTTTTTTTGACATTTGGGATGTTACTGTAACATCCCAAATGTCAAAAAAAGGAGTTCTAGCGCTAGGCTTCGCGCTACGGCGCTACCGTGATCGTGACGAATGTCGGACACTTCGCCCCATTTCCACGTCGCCCCATGTCACTTCGCCCCTAACCACTTCGCCCCATCCCCACATCGCCCCATCCCCACATCGCCCCATCCCCACTTCGCCCCATCCCCACATCGCCCCATCCCCACTTCGCCCCATTCCCACTTCGCCCCATTCCCACTTCGCCCCATCCCCACTTCACCCCAGCTGTTACATGTAAAAAAAAAAAAAAAAAATCTCATCTATTTTATTGGCTTAAAAACAATTCCAACAGATTCACTAATTGCTAACCAACGGAAAGAATTAGCCCACCAAATTCATAACCAACCCTCAAGCTATCACTCTCCCCTACCGAGAAAAAAGCTTGAAGTAAAAGATCCAACTTTGTTCCCAACCCGGCTATACCAACCCGTCTCCCACTTATCTGAGAACGACAATACCTTTGACATCGCGTCCTAATTTCACTCTTGGAGGAACCAATCTACATGGGGCGAAGTGGGGATGGGGCGAAGTGGGGATGGGGCGAAGTGGGGATGGGGCGAAGCGGGGATGGGGCGATGTGGGGATGGGGCGAAGTGGTTAGGGGCGAAGTGGTTAGGGGCGAAGTGACATGGGGCGACGTGGAAATGGGGCGAAGCGTCCGACACCCATCGTGACGATCAGAATAGTGCTCATAAATGTCCTCCTCCCCCCTCCCCCCCTTCACTTTTGAGAAGCGATTGACGCCCATACTTATTCTTTCCACTGTGGCTCCTCAAGCAATGAAACCGGTTTTTGTTATGCTTACCCTTTTTTGAGACGATTTACTACAAAAGGTTTTCAGTACAGAAAGCCGGACCGTGTTACTGTGACTGAGTGTTAGTGTTGCTTGCTATCTCACTATCTAGGCCTAGGCCAATCTGTTTACATTATTTTGTGGAGTGTACAAAATGTACGTTCGCCAATGTTGTAGTCGGGTTCAGACTACATTATGGACTCGCTTTACACGTCTGGTAGTCTGGAAATACGACAACTTGGATTTTAAAGGGGCAGTCGATAAAACCTGCTTAATTGAAGCTTCATGCGAGGTAGCTGCTTTAAGTTTAATCTTATTTTTTTTTACCCCAAAGGCAACTTTTCGGGGCCAGGGCCGGGCGGGGAGGGGTAACCAGCCAGCCGGCCGTTATTCGAGAGGGGTGGGGGTTGTGAGAGGGGGCCCGTTGGGGCATGGAAAAAATGTTGTAACCTGATGCCACTTCAGCGGTTGTATGTGGCTTATTAAAAAGTATAATTTTTATGGAGAGTCAAGACAATAATTTTCTATTATCTCCTAGCAAAATTGGAAATGTATCTCAGTCACAGATTCATGTCTTATCATCATTTCTGCAATGACTGATCATGACCGGATATGAAGAACAAAGTGGCGGCAGGCCGTACTGCAACATTTTTTCCCCGATTTTTGAAGTTTATCCGGTATAGTCTCTTTTCATATTTCACCAAAACTCAAAAATATAAAAAAATAAAAAATTTGAATAAGTATAAAACTTGAGATGAAATAATTGCATAGACCCTAAATTAAAATAAAGTCGCTCCATATTCTGCTGATGAGCGCCACCTGTCAAGTGCTCAGTACGTCAGTGTTAAACACTCAACCTCACTCACTCTCAATTGTTTTAATCGTTAAACTTCAATCGAAAATTAATTTCCGAATAATTTTATTTCCAGTAGCGCGAGTCTCGAACCAGCCTGAAACGGGTGTTAAATAGTTGCTTTAAATTATCACTGCACTCGTACGCACCTGCATAGCGCGCGCCAACACGTACGGGTCAAGGTTTAGTTGAAGTTCACCCGGCGAGCGAATATTGCACAACATTGCAATTGAAATTGAATAGCCTACAAATCAACAACACTGCGACTTTTATTAGGATGAGTCATTTCGCCTAAACAGGAATAATGTGTGTGCTTGATATTTCTATCCTGTGCAGAATAACAACTTGCTTTAATAATTTGTGAAATCCCAAAAGTCGGAGTTTTCGACATGGCAGCCGTACAGCGTGGTAAGTTCGGTATGGACTCAGATATAGATTTGTGCATTATATATCGCCGGCAAGTCACTCGGGTAAAAGTTTCAAGTGTCGCACCGAAATCATTAAACTGTCACCGTGTAGATAGTAGATGTACTGTCAACTGGAGTCACTTTGGCACCAAACATTACCCCGTACTGCATTATTATTGCACGGCATTACTGACGATTTTATGATCAAACTGATTCTATTATTAATGTCAAAAATTCCCCAAAATAACACTTACTTCCGTTCTTCAAAGGTAATATACCATGTCATTGTTGTTATAATTTTACACGTTTTGTGAATAATATCAATTTCTTTCCATTCCAATATCCTGCCAAAGTTGCCCCAAGGAACTTTGGCAGTGACAATTATGTTTTAGATCCTAATCAAAGAAAACGAATTAAATACTTGTTGTGATAAGTACTCGATTACAGATTGGGGTCCAGGTGCAAAAACAAAAGTTCCTTATGAAAAAAATGTTCAGCTTTTCAATTTGGACATGCAATATTAGAGTGAAAACGGCCAAAGTTACGGACTCCACACTCTAAAAACTCCTGGGTCAGACTGACTACGAAATGAGTCTAAAATGATCTCCACAGTCCTTTCAGGGTCAAAAAAATGACACTTTTCTGTACGTGGATCAAACTGATCCAGAAAAATGTTGGGTTTTTTTTACTACCCGGAAAAGTTTCATTTTGACCATCAGAAAGGGATAATTTTTGATTCGGAAAAGGACTGTGCAGGTATTTACTCAGATTCTGGGTCAATTTTGATCCCGGGAGTTGTTACAGTACATGCAGTTGACGGTAGGTTGCTCAGTTGCGAAATGAAATATGCCGCTTCCTAAAAACTTAAAAAGTCATTAAAGGGACGGTTATTCATATTCATTTCCTGAAGCAAAAGGGGAGCGAGGGTGTAATAACAACCCAACATTGTGATTAAAATTTAAGTTTAATATGCCCCTGATCGAATTGTCCGTCGTTCAGATTTACGGAGGACGGGGTATGCTTCAAGTTTTCTGGCCCTGGCCCCATTTTTTTCTGGAAACTTTTTTTTCTATTACAGAAGAGCAGTATAAGACCCCAGCACCAAGCACATCATTATCAGGAGTCAGACCCCGGACAACACACCCACACAACTCCCGCCCACAACGGTCTCATCAACAACCCCAGACACGACCCCAGCACGCGGGCCCCCAGTCCCGCCGGCTGGCCCGCCTGCAAGACCACCACGTCACTCACGGGCCACCGTGCAAACCCTCTCCTGCCAGGCCCAGCGCCAAGCCGGTGTCCCAACTCTCCGGTGTAGCACTGAGAGATCTTGCCGATTATATCAAGAGCAAGCAGTTAACCAACGGATTCCAAAAAGACTACAGGGTGAGCGAAAAAAAATGGTCAAATTTCTTGCTCATTGAAATTATTAACAGAGCAAAAACAGTTTATTGCAGTCAAAAATGTCATGCATACAATATTGCTTGTTCTCATTGTGATTTCTGCTTTAGTTCACTTGACTAAGCAATAGTTGTTGCTATGAGAAGATGCATGAAATTAGGACTTGGTTTGTGAGAACTAAGCTTGCACTCATCCCGTCCTCGGCAGTAAAAAGTGTCACTGGCGTACAATATTGCTTGTGCTTATTGTGATTTCTACTTTAATTCGCTTCGCTAAGCAATAATTGTTGCTGATGAGAAGATCCGTGTATAATCGGGCCTAGGTTTGTGAGAATAACCTTGCGCTCATCCTGTCCTTTACATGCTTGAATCGGATCAATGAGAGAAAAACATATCAGAGACAAATAGCCCCCAACAAATTACTTTCCCGCGCCCAAAGTTCTGTCACAGATTTTAACAAGTTTTGGTACGTTTTGGGCTTTTGATGGAATTTTGTGTTTTCTTGATTGCATGGTCTAAACGCGAACAGCCTTCTTCCTGCTAACCTTTCTGCTTTCAAATTTGTAAACAAAAATGAGCAGGATAGGTTGAATTCAAAATTGCCAATGCACTTTTGAATCCCTCCCGAAAGCAGATCAGTGATGTCTATAAAGACTTTCAAATTATACCGTGTTTTATCGTACTCATGTTTTTGTTGTTAAACCATCAACAGTCTCTTCCAGATAAGCCTCTCCATCCGTGGACAGTCTCATCAAAAGAAGAAAATAAGAAAAAGAACCGATGCAGCAATATCGTTTGTAAGTTCGATTTTCCCCCAAAAAATACGTATTTAGTGCGTTTCTGACTTCAAATCTATACGCTTTCTCAAAGTTTATCGGTGATGGCCAACCATTTAGCAGACTTTCCCCTTAATATCCATAGACATGTAGACATACAATTCAAGCACTTACTTTCCGTTATAAAAAGAAAATTGTTTATTGTCGGAGAGGGGTTAAATCCTGATCAGGCAGTCGCAAAATGAAATTTGAAGATCTTTCGTGGATTTTCTACTTCTTGCTGATATTCGTTTGTGTTCAATCAACTATTTTGTTTCGGCAGATGACCATTCCAGAGTTGTTCTGAACTGCCAAGAACATGATTCCCACTCGGACTACATCAATGCTTCCTTCATACATGTAAGTTATAATGTCATGAAGTCTTTCCTTCAAGGCAACTTAAAGCTCACATGATCACGGTTGAAAACGGTTCCTTGAAGCGTGTGCAATGACACAGAAACAATTGCCAATACGATTTAACATCAATAGACTATTCTTGTGTTAAGTGAATATGGCTTTTTCGTAAACAACAGTATTTTGTAATCGTCAGATGAGATGTACCAGAATTGCTTTCAGTTTTATGTGTTTTTGATTCGCCTGATATGAATTCCATAATTCTTATGTTTAAATTTCTTTCTTTCTTTTCAACAGGGATATGATACAACCTATATTGCTTGCCAAGGTAATTTATTCTCATATTTTCAAAAAACATTTTACCATGGAGGAAATCATGCTTGAGTTATTTCAAAAAAGAGTAGCATCGATTTCATATAGCTGATTTTTTTGTTATCAAGTTTATAAACTGACCAAAGTAATGATCATATATATGGATATTTTGTAGATTCATGTTGGGTCAATATTATCTTGTGCATTTACGAGTACAATATAGCGTTATAATAGCTATTACAGTTCTAATAATTATTCATTTGTATACCATGATAATTGATACTTGTAGAAGAAATGAATATTTCCCCGATTGTTTATATTGGTAGCCCCGATGAAGGCCACAGTGGTTGATTTCTGGCGCATGGTCTGGCAGGAACGGGTGGAGAAGATCGTCATGCTTGCCAATCTAGTTGAGCACGGCAGGGTAATAAATGAAACACATAATTTGTTCAAACCTTGTAGCACACCTAAAGATAAGTTGTATTGAATTTGAAAAGTATCACGTGACCACGGAAGAGCCACGCCCCCTTCATCAGACTGGCGTTAATCCCAGACTCGCCGCACTACGTTCGACGATCGAAACAATTAGGACCGAATTCGGGCGAAGTATCGCTGCATTGGTATACGAAACGAATTCAGAGAGTCGCGTCTACGGTGAGGACCTAAATTTCGTCAGCTGAACCCCGAACCCATTTAGGTCGACCTCAGTGACATTTCAAAACGCGTGTCTGAAAAACGTGTCAGTTTATACGATTGTACCAAAGAGCAAGGTTTTGCCACTACACAAGACTATACTCTCAACCGCCCCCCCCCCCCCCAATCGAGACGAGTAATATCTTATCTAAAAGTTGGCACTTAAATATCACGCGGCTAAATAAAAAAAAGACATGAACACGAGCATTTAATTTTTTTTCCAAAGGTGAAATGTGAGAAATATTGGCCGGATGGCGGAATCACAAACTACGGTGATTTGGCAGTCACTAACGTCGACGAGATACCGTACCACGACTGTGTACAACGGACATTCCATGTGTCGAAAGTAAGAAAATATCTTTTGCGTTTCAAAGTATTTTGTTACCGACTAAAGGAGAGATGTAAGCAGAGAACAATCAATTCAGAGTCTCCCTTTTCATATTTCCCCTGACTTAAACAGAGCATTGAGCCTGAGGGTGAATACCGTGAGTTAACCCAGTTCCACTACACATCTTGGCCAGACATGAAACCACCAGAGTCATCCTCGCTACTTAAATTCATCCGAAGAGTCAAAGCGTCTACGACTTCCCAGCCTGGTACTATGATTGTCCACTGCAGGTATGTGGCCCCTAAACTGAACCTTTGGGTACTGAGACCCCAAAATCGGCAGCCATGGGACCCAAAGACGTGACTGATAAGTACAGAAATTTACTAGGTGAAAAAAGGGAATCCTCCCCGAGTTTGCTGAGCAAAAACAAGATTGTTTTTCTGTTTATTGCTTCGAATGTTATTTTTTATAGTGCGGGAATTGGACGAACCGGAACATTCATAACCATGGACGCTATGCTGACTCAAGCAGAGGTGGAGGGTCAAGTAGACGTCTTCAAGTTCATCCGCGCCATGAGAAGGCAACGATTTAGAATGGTGCAAACTATTGTAAGTTGGATATATAGCCTTCCCTTATTGTAGCAGACAGACTTTGTTATTCCTTCTAATGCTGTCTTAATACATTTTGTTAGTGTCCAGCTTCATGCACATTAGCGGGCTTTTTCTGTGTAGAGGTAAAACTTGTAGTTAATGAACTTTTACTTGCGATAATCGAAATCATTTGCAAAAATTTGAACATTCTCGTCCACTCTCACGATCATCTCCCTTGTTTCTTCATGTTATTTAATTATTTTTGAGGGGGTTTCTTGTTATTAAAATGCTTACTTTCTTGTGTTGTAGATTATGACACTATTGTTTTTACTTCCCAATTAAGAATAAAATATTTGAGTTCATAAAGATGTCCCCAATCTTTTCTATTTTATTGTCCTTACCAGATTGAATAGAATGTTATTAGTCCTAAAACTTTCTGTTTACTTTTTGGATTATTATAGGATCAGTACAAGTTCATCTTTGTCGCCCTTTTGGAGTCTTGCCAGACCGAGAAGCTTCATCCCAGCCAACAGACTACGTTAAGTGCTAACTCTGGAAAGTCTATTAGTCATCGTGCAGGACGTGGTGATCGCAGTTGATGTTCCCGAGAATTTGCAATATGCATAGAGTCACAGACGGTCGCCGATTCTCTGCGATGTCATTTGTCTCCGTCACAAGTGTCTTCAGATGATATGTCACATTATTATTTCTCTATGGTCCCCCCCCCCCCGCAGAAACAAATTGCAGCCTGCAGGACTTCCCAAAAGACTTCTCAAACTAAAATGTCCACACTACACTTTTCTAATTGAAATCTGAGACTAGAGAGATAACTCAGCTATCATGGCTTATCAACCACCGATTATGCTAGATAATAACGAACAACCAAATAAAAAAGGTTATAATACATAAATATAAGACTCTTTATATGCATTTAATGAATGACGGCGAATTATGTAGTTCATCCCTTGCTCTTAGGGTAAATAGTTCAAAACTATGTTTTATTCATGAGCGGGGCCTGACGGCACCAGGAAAAGAACTCAACATAAATGATTAATCTATCTCCGATCAAAATGGAGCCTTTTACAAATTATTTCCTTCCCTGTCTATAATGCCCGGTCTGAGCTACACTTTTCTGATCAGAAAGGGGCAGCCTGTATTAATCGATAATGCGCTTTTCCCATTAAATTTTAACAAACAACACACTGTTCGTTGATGCAGTGTTTTGTATTGAAATGATTTTTTTCTCTTGTTTAACTGATTTACTGACGTTCTTTCATCAACTCAAAAATATAATTTGTACTGATATCAAAAGTATTTTTTAAAGATTTGTGTTATTTTATTCTTCAAATGCGAACATTAAACCCATTTGACACAATACTACGCCGTTGCATTGACCCACTGAGACAATATAAGAAGCAATAATGAGTAAAGGGAAACACTAATGGTACTTTCACATCAAACTTTTCATGGGGCAAGAATCAAAGACGTGGTAAAAGATTCTTTGAAAAAAAAATGAATTCATCTTGTGGTAACTATGATGGAACAAAAATGTAGGCCTATTTTATAAGTTTATTCCTTCCTCCAGAACAAAAAGGAATAATGGAGGTTATTGTGGTCGACAAAGAAAATAAGGATCTTGTCATATTCCGGATATAATAATGGGTCTGGCAGGAAATAGCCAATATTTCAAGAATCAACAAATCAGCATTCATTCTGCAGATCATTATGATTTCATTGCCAATACGTTGGGGGGAAATGCAGAAACGATCTCCATCACTTCCTTTATTATTTTAATCCCAAGTTCCTCATTCGTTTACAAACTCGTTTAATTAACTGTATGTCGCTAGAGAATCAGTCATTTGATTGTTGGAGCAGCTTGGTCGTCATGGAGGACCGTCTCAATTTCATCGTTTTGTTACTTCTGCTGGGACTGTTTAAAGGTAGGCCTATAATAACCCTACAAATCTAGTTTCTTGGAAGTCGACTTGAACCTTTTTACTCCCCAAAATAATAATGAATAAATGTTACATCTGCGTTCCGAATAATGGATATCAACCCGTTTCTGCATTAATTGACATTGACATCGGTACAAAATGTTTCAAATAAGTTTTAAGTCATTTCAATTCGCATGGAAAAATGGGCTTGCATTTTCACATTCATTTGGTGAAAGTTTAAAATATCACGTTATCAAGTAACATGCCTTGTGCATTAACTTTCGTGAACTTCAGATTCAGTCCCGCTCGGGAATTCAATGCATATACGTCTACAAAAGTAACACGTTCAATGAAATCGTGCAAATGTGTTGGGGATATACAGGGTGTATATATAAAAAGGAAAAGAAAAAGGAAACCCAAATGTAAACGTAAATAATAAAAAAATGTAATGAATATTTTCAAATAAATGAAAGATCATGTGAAACGCCAACGCCAAAGATACCTTGATTTTGTGTCTGTGGCCACGGATGACTGAGTATTCATTGTTATTCTGTCATTGGTCAAAATCTGCACTGTGCCAAGTTTATGCTAAAGGGTAACTGGTATTCTGAACATGTGGAACAGCTTAATTTAAAGAAAGAAGACATCATTTTCCTCAAAACAATTTATTCAATTTTGACACAGTGATTTAACTACTCTCATTGTTGAAGTTAACTCTTTCCACACAAAGCTCTGCATGACGTCGCATATCGCCAACCGCCCGTCTTTGCATAACAAACTTTGCTCAGTCATCTGTGGCCACAGAAATACAAACAAGGTATCATTGGAAAGAGGACTCATTCACATGACCTTTAACTGATTTGGAAATATGTATTAGATTTTTTTTAATCATTAACGTTTACAACTGGGTTTCCTTTTTTATGCACTCTTGTATATGTTCTACAGTATGTCACCCCAAAAAGCGTCCGTCTAAATAGTTTTGAAATAACACAAAAACCACGAAGTACATTTAGATTTTTTTTTTAAATTGTGCAGATACTCTTAATACTTGGACTAACCCCTGTGAGTGTTATTTAATTGTTAGTTTATTTTATTTATTTCCCTCACGCTTCGCTGCATAATGGTCAATTGAGCACAACAACTTTTTTCGGCACTGACCAAGTTCCTGGCCTTAATTGTGTAGTGCTTTGTTATGTAAGCATCATGTGTAAGATCCTTCATTTGCCTGGCTATCAGTATCAGTCAAAGAGACAGTCATCATGGCAAGACGTCAGTTTAATACCCAAGGGCAAATGATTCCAATCCCCAACCGCAGCCCTTTTTCACAACCAAAAAACAATGAAATTGATTAACTCAAGGAACTTGGCCACAGTGTCCAACAATGTTGTTGTGATCCATTGACAAATTGTGTAGAAACTCATAGGGGTTCAGGCCAAGGATATGGAGTATCTGCACAATTTAAAAAATTTAAAATTTACTTCGTGGTTTGTGCTGTTATTTCAAAAATAATTAGACAGACACTCTTTTGGGGACATACTGTATAGTGTTAAAACAGAGTCGAAAGTTACATGACTTTCGAGAATTAATCAAGGAATGTACAGCCATTCCACTGAATTACGAATGCTTCATGAGAAGGAAATATGATTAAAGGTTAGTGACGACGTGATACGGAAGGAAATATATGTTGCACACACGCCGGCAAAAACTGTGTAAAGATAAACTAATGAGAGACCAGTTTGTTAATTGGTGTGATCACTTATTAGAAACGTCACCTATATAATTAATATCGAAAACCATATTGATTTCTTTAAATGAGAGTGATAAATACCATTAATAAATACCTTGGAGAGTTGATGGTTTCTGATTTGTCGAGACTCGATCACGTGGGGGTGTATTAACACTTCGCCCATCGACATATTTACCTTTCCTAAACCAAGCATCTTTGTAATTCTGGACACAAGGATTGTGAACACGAAATTTCAGCTTCCTCCATCAGGTTAAAATATAAAAACATTGTTGTAATTTGTTTCGCTACGGCAGCAGAAGTCCAAACCATGGACGTCGTACGCGTACGCAATGAAGACGTTGTCCAGCGCACGGCCCTTCTGGGGCAAAACCATGTATCTCAAAATTTTGAAATTTTAAGATAATAACCTTTTTAGGGAATATGCAGGTGCTGTTTTCATTTAGCATTTTCCGGGTTAATTTATGTCATTTTTGGCATTTTTCGACATTTTCCAAATATTCTACGGCAGAACAATGTATCTTGCCAAAAGTACTGTTTTGTTCAACAGCAAAACAGTGTATCTACATGTTGCTCCCTTTTTGCTTGAAGTTGTTTTTCCCAACATGCAGTTTTTTTATTTGGTAAAAAAATTTGCATTTGCATTGCTCTTGCTAATTTCAATGACTTCTCTAAATTAACATCAATCAGAGCAAAAGAATGTAACTGAATATGTTTTAGTTTCATTTTCTATGAAAATTTATAGCACTTTACTATGGCATAACAATGCATCTTATAGATGCTTTGTTTTGCCTTAGACAATGTATGCATTCAAACCAAGCCAACTCAAGTTGCCTTGTTTTGCCACGAAAACCCTTCTGTCGATTTCAACATTCATCTTGTTTTGCATTGTTGTACTGAAACAAATGCTGACGTGAGAATGAATTTGTGTCAAAAATTCGTGACGGTCGGGACAAAATCCTTTTCCCATGTAATATTTTGACAACAGAGGGCGCTATAAAATTCCGGCTGCCCTTCAAATAAAGATACATTGTTTTGCCGTAGAATTTCTGAAAAGTGCTCTTGTCAAAACAAGATGCATTGTTTTGCCTTGGAATGTGTATAGTAAACCACAGATGACAATATAATAACGCACGGCATAAGAGTGCAACTTTATGAAAATGGTAATAAGTACAAGAAACCGAACTTTTAACCGTTTGATAATTTCAGAATTTAAAGAAAATATAACTGGCACAAATCTGTGAAAAAAGAAACACAACGGTATTTAAAGCATAAAAATGGCAAAAGATGGAACTTCAAAGTCTTTTTCTCAAACCAAATGATCATATTCGAGTTGCATTGTTTTGCAATTGGAAGGGCCGCGCAGCCTGGGCCCGGCTGTGGTGTATATAACAACGCTTATTGAAGAGGGTACCACGTCTAAGTTAAATATGGCCCATGAACATGAACACAAAAAAAGTCTGGAAATATCGCCGAAAGAAAGTCACAAAATTGGAGCATTTTAACTGTTTATTTCGTTAAAAAGGTATTTAATAACGGGAATAACAGTGTGAAGATCCGGTCTTCACTGCGTGATAATGACCAGGTATGGGGGTGACCGCTGTTAATCGACTTCGTCTCGGTCCATAGTCCGAGTAACTTGGACCCAACTTATCGCCTTTTTAACATTCGGACATGGTCTGGCGATAGTGGGGTCCAAGCTAATCATTATATGCCGAGAAACACAATTCTGTCATTGACCCAAAAACCCAACATTGCCCAACAAAAACATTAGATTCCACCCTCAAAACGGCCTCCAAATTACTAGATATGCCACCTGAGGTACAAGTAGACACCGATAATTAAGATGGTTGGACTGAAGTTTACTTACGATGAAAAGTGAAATTTCCCGTTCAATTCCGAGAGCTCCCTTTCGCGATCGTGAATACGTTAAATTTCCGTTGCGTGTTTGAATTGCGATGTGGTCTTCATGCCTAGCGTTCACGCCCATGGTCCCCCGTATTCCGAGTGCGATTCCGTTATGTTGCCGAGCGTGCGCGATGCATCGATTATGATAATGTAGACTGGAGCACGTTTGTAAACACAAGTGCATTTCGAACGATAATAGGGAGTCGGGAACTAGGGCAGATTTTATGGACGGAAACCAGTTAAAGCTAGTTCCCGACTCCCTATTATCGTTCGAAGTGCACTTATGTTTACAAACGTGCTCCAGTCTATCATTATCATAATCGATGCATCGCGCGCGCTCGGTAACGCAATCGCACTCAGAATACGGGGGACCATTGAGTGAACGCTGGGCATGAAGACCACATTGCAATTCAAACGCGGAAGGGATATTTAACGTATTCACGATCGCGAGGGGAGCTCTCGGAATTTAACGGGAAATTTCACTTTTCATCTGGATCGTAAGTAAATTTCAGTACAACCATCTTAATTTTCGATGTCTACTTGTACCTCAGGTGGCGTATCTAGTAATTTAGAGGCCGTTTTGAGGGTGAAATCTAATGTTTTTGTTGGGCAATGTTTGGTTTTTTAGTCCGACAATGACAGAATTGTGTTGCTTGGCATATGATGATTAGCTTGGACCCCACTATCGCCAGACCATGTCCGAATGTTAAAAAGGCGATAAGTTGGGTCCAAGTTACTCGGACTAGTCCATTAACAGCGCCAGCGGTCAACCCCAAACCCGGTCATTATCACGCAGTGAAGACCGGCTCCTCACACTGTTATTCCCTTATTCTAAATTATACAAATATAACATGGTTTATTTCGGGTGGACAGTCGATATTGGCTCCCCGAGGTATTGGAAGTTGACAAACTAGTTCCCGAGGCGAATGTCAACTTCCAATACCGAGGGGAGCTAATATCGACTGTCCACCCGAAATAAACCATGTTATATTTGTTTTACTATACCTCATACATATTCAGTTGCTGATTTTCTTTTATTATATGCACCTAAAACAAAATTTGGGGAAACTTGTACAGCTCACCAAAAGAATATTGTTGCTCAACTTGAACTACTAGTTCGGTTCGTTTGCGATATAATACAATTACTACAGTTGTAAATAGAGTTGTTTACAATGTGTACAACTTTTGTACAGGAGACATCTTTACACGGTCTATAAATTTTCTCCAGTACGGCATCATTGAGCTCTGGAAATAAACATTTACGCGAACCGTGCAACCTTGCATCTCTCCTGTGCGATGTTCGCGCGTGCGTACTGCACCCGTGCGACAGTTCCTCGATTGCTCTGTAAAGCGCATGCGTAGTAGACTGTCGCACGGGTAACCCATGCGACAGTCTACTACGCATGCGTATTTACAATGTGCTCTCGATCATGAATATGTATGAGGTATAGTAAACTTATATAGTTGATGTACCCTAACGTGGCGCGGCCCCCAACGTGGCGCACTTTGATTTTTTTCGCCTGTAGCGCCTACCTAGACCAAAAGTTGTAACTGAAATTTCACAGAAAGTGAAATTTCATCAGGTTCTAAACACTAGTTTAGCGAAACACAACATGCAAAATTAAGTTTACTCCCATATAGTTCCATATCACATAGTTCCATATCACTTTCATTGAAAACGGATAGGGGGCCTAGGCCGCCTTCTGTCAAATTCGCCTCTATACTCGGTGCGTGTGAAATGGAAAGTCAACAAACAAAATTGGATTTGGTTTCACGAAAACGTTTTGACTACTCGCTTATGAAAACATGTACACGAAATCAAATGCTCTTAGAATTATTAGACAATTACTATAGAACCCGACTCTCCGAAACCTCTTGAAATAAACATGGTCTATTTGACTGATTCATTGAACAAGTTGCTATTTCTTCCCCCAACCGCTTACTGCCATCAGATTCAAATTAACCCGTATGCAAGCTGATTGTCAGGTCAAGTGTACATGTAGCCTATATCTTTTTCAACTGATCTGTAGGTGTTTCAGCCGTCATTGATTTCACCTGTATCACCAAGCCCCGTATCGATATCGACAGTGAAGACACCTACATCGCTGCCTATCTACATGGCAGTGATGCTGCGCTGTCCTTTGCTCGAACAACCTACACGTACACAAGCGTCGATAACATAAAGGACCAGTTAGGGCTACCTTCAGACCACGATTTGGAGCCACACTCGTCATCAGAGGGAGATAAGATATCTATTCTTCGATTGCCAGCGGCTGGAGGGAAGACTAGGATTGGGTTCTTTGCCTGCCGAGCAAATCAGGAAACTCACAGCATTGGTACCCTCATCATGAACAGAAACGGTAGGCTTGATGACAAATTATTGCCAAATGGAAAAATGGCGTTTGCATCCTGAGACCCGTTGAAATCTTCCTGGAAACTTCCCCTTTTATTTTAATTTGTTTTAACATAACGTTCTATTTTGGAAATTCTTAATTCTATGATGTGCAAGTCCGGGTATAAAGCTCAGGTGCCATAGTAAATAAAATTATATTCAATGGATTCAGAATGGCTATTCAATTGGAAGTCTTTTCACGCATCTGGTCTCCTCAGTGGACCGAAGTTAGCCAATCAAGGGGAAATCCCATACGACAGCACACATGCCTGGCATTTTCCACCAGCCTACAACTAGTCCAGATCACAAGTGACAATCAGTAAAACGGAAGTCAGATATGACACTTTGGGCCCAGTCGCAAAATTATAAAGGCACTTATAAGACACAGAATAAGAAATGGCTAAATTGATACACTTTGATTTCTCAAAGCTATCACATCTTTTCATATGTACTCTACAGCTGACTTTCTCCCTACCCGAGTGAGTCATACGGTAAACAGGGGAGATGCTGTCAATCTGACCGTCACTGCAACGGACCAAACCCGTACCAAAACAAAATGGAGAAAAGACTCAAGTGACCCCATCAAAGGACGAGACAAATTGTTTTTCAGTTTTACAAATGCTCAAGTCCGTGACAGCAGAAATTATGAGGTCCATTTCGCCGGGCAGCGCAGTACCGGAAAACAGGCACTTATGCGTTTGATTGTCAGAGGTAGGCCTTTAAGTGCTTATCAATATAATTTTATTATAAGCAATATAATTTTGTTTTCATAATTTGGTAAAAAAAAATTTTTTAATCACCAAGAAAAGAATGAGTGATGCAGACATAAACCACAGCTTCTCAATGGTACTCATTTTATCTATTTATCTAACTATTCTTTAATTCAGCTTGCCTAGAGAAAAAATGGAATTCGCACTCATGCAGTGCAGATTGTCCAGTCTGTTTCAATGGCGGAGTGTGTGACGACCAGAGCGGAGACTGCATTTGCCCGCCTGGATTTAGTGGCGATTTCTGCGAAACTCGTGAGTGTTAGATTTAATAGTCGTGAGTCTTAAGAATTAATATTATTTTAATGAATTTTTTTTAATGATACCAAACCAGAATTTAAAAAAAATCATAAATATCTGTGGCTTTTACAGTCCTGTTGGTTGACAGCCCGGCACGTGGATGGCTTTAATCCATTCTTATTGCCGAAGCATACAGGTGACTAATCCATCAAATTTGTTTTACAAACTACTTTTACCCTGCTCACTGATCAGACTTGAAATCAACCAAGGGGTTGTCGTTTTCTGGGGTTAAATTATGTTATGAATAAACTGCCAATGGGATTTGAAATCAAGCAAGCAGCTAGGGTCGTCATATTTTTTTTAGGAATTATCATGCGCCTCTTTTCTATTTTGGTAAACAAAAAGAGTTCTCTGTTCACAGCTGAGGGACCCAACCGTTTTGGCCAATCAGGAAGTTTTCGTTGCGACTCACCTGAGTTAGGGGAAGGTCCTACGTGTGCAGGGATGCTGTTCTGTTTACCAGATCCTTATGGCTGCTCGTGTGCTTCAGGGTACCAAGGAATCGACTGTGATGACTGTAAGTCAGACCTTCAAAAATTATATTGAATACCTTCACATGGCGAACAGTTTCATAATTTAAGTTTTAATACAAAAAGCTGAGGTGAACACTTTTCACGGTTGGTTTTTACCTGGTTTAACAACCACCACATCAATTTTCATGTCATTCCCTTTAATAAATCTTAGCTTTCATCATGTAAGAACGGTCGTAATATAGATCACATCAAAATAAATCCCAAATTCACAAAGTAAAAATATACAGGCCTCTTTTTTGATCCAGTTAGAGACATTTTGGGCAGTTTCCCACTGGCATGTAATTATTGTCTGGGAGGTGTTAGTCAGTGGTCCATCCAGTATTTCCCATAGAAGGTTGGCTGGGTTGTTGAAGTCTAATATATTCAAGGCAGAGCTGGATGAGGCATTGCAGTCAACGCATAAAATGACTAAAACAACTGAGGCAATTTAAACTTAAATTATTTTTTTTTCAGCGTGTGGCGATGGTTTCTACGGAGCAGACTGTGCACAGACCTGTCACTGCATGGACGGGGCCGCGTGCAATATAACTACGGGCGAGTGTCCCGAGGACTGTGCGCCAGGATTCGCGGGTATCAACTGTCAGGGTAAGTTTGTTGAAAGCTTGAGCCAAAGGAATTTCGAGTCGATGTAGTGTAAATTTACCAATAATTTATCCTTTCAACTGGTTAAATCTATGCCTTCGGAAATCGTATTTAAAAAAAATCATTGTAGGCTCGAACCTACATCTTTCTTGTGGTGCAGACAACTTAACTTTTCAACCATTCAAACCCAGGTTTGCCAAACACAGTGAAATTTTGTGACATCATTGAAAAGGTTGGATGTCGCCAGACCAATTCGAAATGGGGGTGGGGGTGTTCCTGAAAACTGTCTTCAGGCCACTTCATAATGGAAGGTATAGCCATAATTTGTTGTGTGTGTGTGGCTGGTTGCTGTGGACCCCATGTGACTAATGGGGGCAATTGTTCAAAGCGTCAGACCGTGGGACTGGACACTAGGTATCGGACGATGGGTGGCATTAACACAGAGGCGTCCCCCCCACACACACACGCCCTCCATAAAAAAGTTTGCGCCCCCAGTCGCCCCTCTCCCCACTGAAAATTTGGCGTCCGGAGAAAAGCACAGCCGTATGATTTACCATGATTAGCTGGACGAATGTGACGTCCTTTTTTCCGCAATTTTGGGCGTATTCTTTACCAAAACGTTTTCCCCCGCGAGTGGCTGTATATTGTATCGTCCCTAGCGCGAATGACGTGACGCGAATAGTGGTAGTTATTGTCTAATATTAGAAGATGGTGTTCAGCCCCCCCCCCCCCACCACCATCCCACCCCCACTATTTGATTTTACGGAGGGCGGGAGTCCGGTGACAAAAAACCTGTCTACCTTTCAGCACAAATGAAATGTTAGGGCGCCCCGCCATGTAACCTCCAGCCCCCCCCCCCCCACACGCCCCCTAGGATGAGAACCCTGGCTATGCCGCTGGGCATAGGCCTACATGTACGTGCATGGATATACCGACGGAACACGATTTTGCCGAAAGGACTTAAGATTTTTGCAGACGGAAAGGATGGATGCGGCTGTGTGACGGCCCCGAAAAAAACCTCTAGCGACGGCGGTTGTGATTCTATATTTGCTTTTCCTTATTAGTATTCGTTAAGGTATAGTCATTAACTTCAGGCGAAGTGTTACTTGCATTTCTTTGAACGTGTCAATGTTTCTCCATTTCAGTCAAGTTAACCGTAGATGATTTCACCTGTGTCACCAAGCCCCGTATTGACATCGACAGTGGAGACAGCTACATCGCAGCCTATCTACATGGCGGTAATGCCAACCTGTCCTTCGCTCGAACGACGTTCACATATACAGGAAGTGAAAGTCCCAATCCCCCTGTACCCCCAGCGACGTTACAGTTACCTAACAACTCTGTGGGAACAACCTCATCATCTGCGGGAAATAAGATCTCTGTTCTCCGATTGCCAGCGGCAGGGGGGAAGACTAGGATTGGGGCTTTCGCTTGCAGAGCAACGGCAGCGGGAACTGATCCATACAACATTGGTACCGTCATCATGAGCAGTAAGGGTAAGTGGGACCGGGCTACAACGAAAATTAACTCCCCAAAAATAATATTGAAACTGGTTTAAATAGCTTGTGTATACATTTCTAGTGCGACTATATCTGTTTCCATTATGGGTGGGCATTAAAATCGGTGATTATGTGGCATGGTGGATGAATAATAAAGGGTTGTGCTGTGTGCTTAAGGCCAAAAAAAAATAAGTCGGTCTCTGGTCAGCGCGTGCGTCGATTTTAATCATGCGCGTCGATCTTTTTTTTTTCCAAAATGGTCCGCGGTAGCTCCAACAGCGCCCTCTATTTCCGCACCTCCTCAATTTCTTTTTACCAAAGAGCACCAAGGAATGGGAAATTGCACTAAGGCAAATGATCGAAAGCACCAAGGCAAATTTTGGAGGACACCAATGTACATGAGGACACCAAAAAGCAAAATAGTACCCACCTTGTCCGTACAATCCAAGCTTGAAGAAAAAAAAATAGGACCAAAAAAAAAAAAAAAAAGCCGCGTGGCCGCGTCAATTCCGGAACTTTGGTCTGACCAGAGACCGAATATTTTTTGGGGGGCCTCAAGGCCACCCTTGAACCTATCGCGGTAGAATCGCGTCAATGCAGCTTGTGAAATATTGTCCTATCACATGTACATGATATACAAATGGACGCAGAACGCGCAAAATCTTAGACTGTCTCAGGCCAAAGAGGCGTGGCTAACTCGCAAACGGCGATAGGTCAATTGAAGAATAACAGAAGAGGATTGTGATTCATATTTCCCTTTAACTGTTCAAAATCACATCATAAGCGTCGCAAGGCCAAAAAGACTATTGTGTCTCCCTCACCCGACGGACCGTCACCGTATATGAATTCCTCAAAGTCAATTTTGACACTTAAGAAGCTTCAACAAATGCTGTGCATCTGCCCATAGAGTTACGTGTGTGCCCTTATCTCATACAAGGTCTGTGAGGTGTTCGTTCATCAATGAAGAAGGGCAGTGAGCTGATGGAATATCCCACTTTCAAAGCAGGGGTGGGGGAGTAGGCTGCATAAGAGGAAGTGGTTGTTGAACATAAACAATTGGCGACACAAGTACTGATGTGGTGACTTCATTTATTACTAAAAAAAAACACAATTGATCTACATGTATTCCTGTTTTATTTTATTTCACACACGTCAAACAAGGCGTATGGATAAAAGACAATTATAACATACAATACAAAACATCAAAATACACAATACAATTATCAGGACTAACATACGTACATGTACATTCATATACATGTACATGATTTTTAACATAAAATAGTTCGAATTTGGTGACAAAAGTAAGCTCTGGCAATGAGATAAATGTGGCTAAAGATATGGCAGCTCTGACTTCCTCTGATTGGGCGGTCTATTGTCTCAAATCAGTCCACAGCTTGCCGTTGGCCACGTCTTCTCCGCCACAGCTTTGATGGGCTCACCTCTGTCAAGGGCACAATAGTCTATCTTTTTCTTCGTCCTTAATTCCATCGGATTCTAATAAGGAAAGAAAGGCATTAAAAAACATTATTTTTTTTTCCTTTTCTAAACATAGAAAATGCATACAGGGTCTTCAGCTTGTTAGGACATTGTAGGCCATCGCATGAACATAACAGTAAATTGCGTTCCTTTTTGAGTTGATACCTCCAACCAAGTTCAACTAGGCTGCCAAACATTACAGAAATATCTACATTAATAATATTTAGTCAATAAAACGTGTGCAATAAGTGCACACCATTGTTCACCCACGTACAAACACTGTCTAATCACACCTAAATAAAAGTGGACTTGGCCAGAAATCACAGCGTGCCTTGCTCAAGCCACGCACGGCGTGCCAAGAAAGCTGCTTCCATCGCATAAGAAGCCAACTTTTACATCACAGTTACAATGTCTCCTGATAAAGTATCTTCATATTTTTTTAGATGCAGAGAATCTTTATACTGTAAGCTTGAATATCATATAGTTTTTAGAGTCCCTGAGGAATTGTAAAGGGGAGAACTTACCGGAGAGAAACAGCAAGTTGGCAGCACAACGATGGGAGTCGGTCGATTATCATCTGTTGATCGTACACGTTCCAATGCAGTTTCAAACAACGCTTCTGATTAGCGCAAAAACTTTAGGCTGAAATGGACGGGCTTTAACATTGGCCAATCAACTTCATTTTTACATCAGCTTTGGACAAACTCATGCTGTTTATTTAATAGCTCGAACGAAAGAAATCGGTAGAGGGCGTCCAGAGTTGTGAGTTCATATGAGCCGCGTTGTGTGACAGATTTCTTCGTGAACATCGTTTTTGCATTGTAAAATTGGAGATACCGACTGTTTGTACTTGAAAAATGACGGATCTTTAAAGTAATTAAAAAATAATAGAAAAATATCATTAAAAAGAGGAATAATGAACTTTCAATTTTCCGAAAGAACGAACTTGAAAGCATTGAGGGTTTAAAAGTTAAGTTCTCAAAAAGGAAAACAATCGTGCGTTTTTTTAGGTTTTCTGGAGGATTTCCGCTTTGCACAAAATGGCAGCGGAAGCCTGTCGCTTAGGTTGCGCTAAGAAATTCATATAAACTTTGAAATCCCCACTCACCCCCCCCCCCCCAAAAAAGGACCCCAACCGACCGACCCTCCAAATTGTGTTCATGTGAGGGCAACTCAATTTTGTTGTTTGATATTTAGTTACCTCCCTTGTATTGCTGTCTTTTATTGGCTTAGGATGTTTGGTGGTTTACTTTTTTTCCAGACGTTTGGTGGGATAAACTGAAGATATAGGGGTATCAAGTTGGTCTTGTATAATATACCTTATGCGTATTTTTAGCCATCATAGAGAGCAATATGCCTTTGTTATCTGGGATATGCCTGAATGAACCTTTTGTAAATTCATTGTTACATCATTCAAATAACAAAAGATGCCCTAAGATGGCCGGTACACATAAGGTCTATGTGGCTCGCCTGATTTTTATCAATTAATTTGTACTATGCATTGCAGCTGACTATCTTCCCACTCAAGTGAGTCAGACAGTACACCGGGGAGGTGCAGTCACTCTGACCGTCACTGCAACAAACCCAGCCCGTACCGACACTCGATGGAGAAAGGATGGCAGTGGAGTCATCCTGAACAGAAGCGACAGTCTGTACTTTGATTTCATCAACACCAATGTCTTAGACACTGGGATCTACGAGGTACACTCTGCCGGGAAACGTAATCATGGAAACCAGGCACTCATGCGGTTGATTGTCAGAGGTAGGCCTATGCATGTTAGTCTTTTGACAAGGACAGAACCGGCGAGCGGTGAAGCCGGCAGGTGATTTGAGTGGGGCGTGTGTTCTTATTCCTCCATGGGCGGATCTAGGAATTATTGCGGGGGGGGGGGAGGTTCATCAGTAAATCATTGCTGAAAAGAGGACAGTTTTTTTGTCCGGACACTTGGCCTCCGTGAAATCAATCGGTGGGGGTGGGGTTGTGGAGGAGGTAGCCTTTAGTCAAGTCCCACGCACCTACCCACACACGTGACGCACCCCGGATGCTTACACGTAGACTATAGCACGAGCAGGAAAGCCGCGAGGGCCGTTACCATCTCGCGGAGAACGCTTATGTTTTTCTTTACATTTGTCTACCGATTTGGTATACATGCATAATGCATTACTGTTGTGAATTGACCAATGAAAATGCAGAATTACTAACGTATATCAGCCGTCGTCTGTTGTTGGTAACCGTAAACCACCGTTAGACAATTGATTTATATTGCTCGATTTATATTACGTGAATAAATGAATAAGTGATTAGTTCCACGAGATGGTAAAGGCCCTCGCGGCTCCGCTGCTCGTGCTTGTATTTTTACGTGCCAGCATCCGGAGTGCGTTTAACGTGTCCTGATGGTACGGGTATAGGCGCGTGGGACTCGACTAAAGGCTAGGGAGGAGGGGGAGGGGGCCTCGTACCATACATTCAATGGGGGAGCTGCTCAAATCCGACGATTATTGATACAGTAACAGAATAGTGTACAATTACTAATTACCCCCTAACCCAGCTGGCTCTGTCCGCATTTTGCGCACAGGCAGACCTTATTACCTGTATATATTTCGGGGTGTCAGAGCAGGGGCAAGGGGGTTCGCATTATATTCAATGAATTTCTATGATTTTTTGACATAACTGCCCCCCCCCCCACCTCCGCCGGGATCCACGTCTGCGATTAGTGTCAATCGGCTTGTGTGGTCTCCGCTCCACTCGCGTGGTGGCTTCATGCATCTCTAGTAATGCCGGCCCTCGTCAGCATTTAAAACAGCTGTCGAAAGAATATTCTTTTAAAAAGGAATGTACATATGCAACTTAAACAAGATCAATATAATTATACCCAATCTATCATAGGTTGCGGAAGAAATATTTGGAATGCTCCCTCTTGTGACAGTGATTGTCCAGTCTGTTTGAATGGCGGTATTTGTGATGACCGGAGCGGCGTCTGCATCTGTCCACCTGGTTTTGGTGACAGATTCTGCGAAATATGTGAGTGGGTTTAAAACATTTTGTGAACAATATGGGAGTATGTTGTGAAAACCCTTTTATCAAAGGTATTTTCACAATTCCTAACTGATTTTGTTATATTTTAATCACGTTCACTAATTTAATTTACCTTTGAAACACAAAATATATTTCTGGTTTTATTTTCAGTTTTAGGACGAAACCACTTTGGTCAATCGGGAAGTTTTCGCTGCGACTCACCTGAGTTAGGAGGCGGTCCTACGTGTGCAGGGATGCTGTTCTGTTTACCAGATCCTTATGGCTGCTCGTGTGCTGCAGGGTACCAAGGAATCGATTGCAATGAAAGTAAATTGTTTAACAGTCTTTTTACAGCCTTTTTTCGGAAATCACAAAACTGACTTCCACTGATGGCGTACCACAAATCAAAGACAAAAATGGATACTCCTTTAACTATTAGTAATTCACAAAGGTAGCCAAATTGGTTGGGAAACTTAGCTGTATACAAGACGAGGCAAACACAACCTTGGCAATAAAATGGGAGACTGCAAGTAGGACTAGCCAGGATAACTCAGTTTACAATACACTGATATGGCGTCTCGAGTTTGAAAGAATCCTTTCGTTCAGTGGTATTTGTTCTCAATTTTGTGTTTAGCTTGTGGGGATAATACTTACGGAGCAGACTGTGCACAGACATGCCACTGCAAGGACGGGGTCGCGTGCGACAAATCTACGGGCGAGTGTCAAGGGGACCAGGACTGCGCGCCTGGATTCACGGGCATCAACTGTCAAGGTAATTCTTCGAAAATGGAGGTTAAGTTTACTTTTCAAGTTATGCCAACCCTTCGTTTCGGTTTTTGGAAGGTTTACAGCCTCCACATGCGAAAAAAAGGATGGCGTTTTATAGAACAGACGAAGGCGTGTGGCAGGCGCGGTTCTACGGGGGGGCTTTAGCCCTCCAAAAATTTTGTCTAGCCGCCCCCCCAAAAAAAAATCCATAAAAAAGCACCAGCAAAATGTAAGAATTTGACGTACATGGGAACGGTCTCCCCCAAAATGAGAAGGGTGCATTTGTACACTTTTAGTTAATATAGTGTGCCCGATTGTAGGATTTTATCCGCGCTCCCCATTCGCTCGTACCCCCGCCCTGCAAACAGGGCGCTGGGAAGGGCAGATGAGCTTCACAGAATCTTGCGAAGGACCCTTCACAACCCTTCGTGAATTCAAAACGGAGCCTGAGCAACTGGCGGGACTTGAAAATTTACAAAACAGATAAGTTTTACAGATTTTCCTACATTATTATGCTTTTCAACCAAAAAAAGGGCGCTGCATTTATGTTTGAGAATAAAAGAGTGACGAATGACTCAGTCTTAACGGCCGTTTCAAACCTTGCAGGGTCGTGCCCGTGACGCCTTGCCGGTCACAGGTCACGCAAAATCTATCCAATCAGAGCGTTGATTCGTCAGCCCTTCCCAGCGTCCTGTTTGCAGGGAGGGGGGGTACTAGCGAACGCTCCCCATAGAAAATATGACACGAGCCTCCCCCCCCCCCCCCACGTATTGATTTTCAGAGGCCTAAGTGTCCGGAGAAAATAACCGGTCTACATTTCAGCCCGCTTCCCTGAAAAAAATTCTGGATTCACCTTGCTAGCCCCCCCCCAAAAAAAAATATTGGCTCTAGAACCACGCCTGGCGTGTGGATGACGCTAGCATTTTACTGTTACCGAGCGATGTATGTTTGCATACGCTCGTAGCACCATACGCTCGTAGTTCAGGGCTGCGACTGCGCTAGGGAACTGGTGACCTCACTTGTTTTTTCTTCGAGCTGTCGTTTAAAACATGTCGTTCAGCTAAAGTTATCCAGGAAAAACAGTTGCGCACGTGGTAAACTGGATTGACCATCGCAGACGTTAAAGCCACCCACAATGCTTTGCGTGTCCCAGTAACATTTGTGGAGGAGATTATCGCCCTTGGAAGTTGGATAGGACGTGTGGCGAATTAAAAGTAGCTTTAAAAGTCACTAGCGAATGTGAGGGGTCCAGTCAACAGCGAAGTCAGATGGATTAGGTGCCGGCTCTCGAATTGTTTTGAACATCAAAAGGAGCGGCGAGAATCACTCCAGATTACAAAGCACTTTTTCCCCATTGCAGTATGACCAAGAAATGCCAGTGGTAATGTTACACATTTTCACCGCAAAACTCAAAATTCCCATGTCCTAAAATGTAAATGCCAAACTGAACTCAAGATACTTACATAATTACTGCATGTTAATGGTAATTAAGGAACCGTATTTTTTTTATTTTGTTCTCATTGATAGAAAAGTGTCTCCCATCAAGAGAAAGCAGCTCATCATGCGACAAAACCTGCACTTCGCCTCCAGGTAAACTGCTCTAAAACGATTTTTCTTCCAGGATCAGGTGTGGTGCTGGGCTTAACATTTGTTTTTGCTATGAGTTCATGGTCGCGATGCTTTCTGCTCAATCAGTAAGATCTGGCCTTTTGTAATGTCATGAAAAGTCACTTGCTTCTTCTTCTACCTTGGTTTGGTCGTCTCATTCGGAAAAAAAATGTTTTTAAGTTATAATGTTTGCCTTGAGAGAGCCACTATCTCTTTCCTCAAAGATACACTTGGACCAATTCTAATTGGTACTCGAGTACTGTACAGAATGATTATCTGTTTCATTCAGTATGATGTAGCAGCATATCGAGTAAAGTTAAAATTACAGATTGATTGTCACTGTACAAACATAACACAAGCTTAGTAGTATAATCAATCTCTTATACAGGATCGACAAAGAAGCCACAGAATGTAACGTTTTCTTCCCAAAATGGCCAGAGCAGCGTGATTTTCCGATGGAATCCTGTTCTTTGTCCTGAAAGGAATCAGAAAATCAGAAACTACGCGTACAGGTTATCAAGAAGAGACAATAATCGAGAGGGGCAAGTAGTGCGAGTACAAGACACTTCGGTCACTCTGGAGATAGCCAGCATACCGGTGTCACCCTGCGCACACACGTTTAAAGTTGCTGCTGAAACTTCTAAAGGCATCGGACCATACACCAAGAAAATCCGGTTTATGAATGCAACTAAAGGTAAGTTACCTATAATCCTTTCTCAGTTCTAACATTTTCGCTTAAAAAGGGTAGTAAGGACACGATTGGTTTAGAATTCCTTTCGCAGTTTCGTTACTTTGCAATCGGCATGCCGTGTGCCTGAAACATTATCTACATTAACCACTTTGCCGAAATACCGTTGAAATATCCATCCAAGAGTTACATTTATTCATATTATGGAAGGTTTTACTTGCCTATTTTGTGCCTGCTCCATAATTATTTTACAGATTTAATTTTGACAAGGTGACGTCTTGCATTATTGCAAGGTAGTCTAAACATCAGAAATTTTTATTGAAAACGAAAATAGTGTCCCTGTAAAATAGATCCCTTTTTCAAAATAATCTTTATCTTTTGTTTCGGTAGTTCCACTTCCTGTCAGTGAACTCGCTGTGGCAGGCACCTATATTGATAAGTTGTTTGTATCATGGAGAGCCAGTACAAGTCCGGAAAACCCTTGTCGATCAGAGGACTATCTCGTGACGTATGAACTCCTCAGTCGTGACCAATGTATGATGGATCGTCAACCCTACGGAATCAATAGTACTATACAAACAAGCATCACACTGAGCGGACTGGAACCATACTCGACGTACAGGGTAAATGTAACATCGAGGAACTCGGCTGGAAATGGCACAACAGTTTCACGCGTCGGGAAAACTCGCGAAACAGGTATGCACTTCAAGCAAGACGTTCTCTGGTTCGCACCCTTGAATGCGTTTTGTGTTTCAGGCTGACGCCAATGTCTTTGAACTTGAACCGCAGTTCATAATTGTATCAAACTGCACTTTGATTAAAAACAAATGAAGTTAACTGTTTTCTTCTGAACACAAAGCTGAGCATCTAAGAGCCTATAATTGGGTCATTACTTGAAGAATTAAGAGTCATTATATGATGAAGGCAGGATAAGCAATTTTATAAAATGTATATCATAATCCATGGATCCGCCAAAGGGTGGGAGTTTCAGAAGAGGAAGGTCTGCTTGCCCAGTTAAGGAAGAGGAAGCTGTCTATGTATGGACATTGGAAGCGCCGATCAGATAGCCTAGTGCAGATGACAGTAGAAGGAGAAGTAGAAGGGAAGGCCAGGCAAGGACGTAGGAAAACAGGATGGATCGATAACATCAGGAAGTGGACGGATGGAGGAATGGCCGTGGCAAGAGCAAAGGCACACAAGAGAATGCCGACGGTTCTTTGAGGACTATGGCAAAACAGCAGCAGCATATCATAATTAATCATAACACCTACAATTTGACGATTTTTCCCTCAGTACCGTTAGTCGCTCCGGAAGTCCACTCGATTGATCCAGCCCCCGACAGCATCATGTTCAACTGGTACCCCATCCCTTGTGGCAGTACACGTGGCAACATCACGTCGTATGAAACACGTCTGACCTCACCAGGAAGAGAGATTAACACTAAGACTGTCACAACCGAGTCTGTGACTTTTCATGGCTTGTCGCCGTGTTCTCTCTACACCCTACGAGTGTGGCCTCGTACCAAAGCCGGAAGAGGTCCACCAGTGGAAGTGCAACAAGGAACGGACACTATTGGTAGGTATCTCTCTTTATACAGCATATGCAGCTTAAACAAAGATGTGGCTCATGAAAGAAGGCATTTTGAGCATTAGGAACACACTCTTGAGAAAGTTGGTCCGGTTAACTTATTCTTTACGATGAGACTTGCGGTTTTGCTGAAGTCAATCGAGTGTGATCGGCCGACTGATAAGGTTCGTGCACAAAACCCCAGGCGCTTGTGGTTTTGTGTAGAATGGTTGCATGGACCACTTTTTACGAGATTGTGCTAGTAATGAGGGAAAAGTAGTGATCGACACTGTAACTAGACAGCATCATAACGTTGCCAGTCACTCATAATGTCCTTAGGGCGTCCTGTGTAGATATATTTTTAATTATTATTATTATTATTATTATTTATTCGGCCAAGATTTGCAACAAACATATACAGAGAATATGACAATGTAACTCCAGAGGAGACAAGATTACAAGTATAAGAAGTCATGAAACAATACAAATAAGTGTAAACAAAAGCAAGGAGCTACATGTATGAATAAAGGCAGCAATGATAAAAGGCAAGGTTGGTACAGAATAAGACAAAACAAGAACAGAACAAAACCCAAATTAAGATGGCCAGGATTAATAAAAGTGAACTTAAACACTATGACTCGAAAGCCTATCAATCCAATCCTAAAAGGGAACACGGAATAAATATTATGAAATCTGTGAACAGAGCAATAGTTAATAAAAACAACACACGTTCATAAAAACATAAAAATACAAAACTAACAAATTTAGGGCAAGTTTGGCAGGGGCAAAATTAACCACTTAAAAGCATGGAACAAAAAGCTAAAAAAAAAAAAGGGGGGGAGATAACATACATGGATGCCAACAAAAGAATTAAAATGAAAAAACTGATGGATTAAATGAAATACTGAGGACATAAATATCCAACAAATGGCAAATTTAGCAGTGGCGAAAATCAGCCACTAAACAGCATTAAACAAAAACAAAAACAAAACAAAACAAACAAACAAACAAACACCCCAACACCCCAGCACCCCCAAACATAAATACAAAACAAAACAAAAAACAAGCAAACAACCAAACAGCACAACAAACAAACGAGCAAACACCCCCACCCAACAAACAAACAAAATATATAAATAACCAAAAGAAAACAAAACAAAAACAAGCATACAGACGTTATGTGCCCTAGCAAAATGTTTAGGTAGTCTTCAACTCATTACTGACTGAGCTCAGGATTAAGTAGTAGAGCGTTACTGTGCCATGTGGTCCATCCTTACTAATTGAAGACTGGATAACAAATATTTTCCCCCCAGTTCCAGATGCTGTTGAGGAATTGTCTTTCACAGTCTCTGGTCACGACCAGCTAAATATTCAATGGAAAGCCTCGACAAACCGTGACAATTCCTGCTCCGCATCAGACTTCCTTGTTAACTTCGAACTTTTGACTATTTTTCACAGAGCCACTTCCTGTCAGTGAACTCGCTGTGGCAGGTACCTCTATTGATAAGTTGCTTGTATCATGGAGAGCCAGTACAAGTCCGGAAAATCCTTGTCGATCAGAGGACTATCTCGTGACGTATGAACTCCTCAGTCGTGACCAATGTATGGTGGATCGTCAACCCCACGGAATCATTAGTACTATACAAACAAGCATCACACTGAGCGGACTGGAACCATACTCGACGTACAGGTTAAATGTAACATCGAGAAACTCGGCTGGAAATGGCACAAAGGTTTCACGCGTCGGGAGAACTCGCGAAACAGGTATGCACTACAAGCAAGACGTTTTCTTGTTGACACTCTTGTGTATTGTGTTTCAGGCTGATACCTTATGACTTTGAACTTGAACCGCAGTTGATGATTGTTTCAAAGCAATATGATGGGAAAGAGAAGTTGTATAAATAAACTGTTTTCTCCTGAATACGAAGCTGAATATCTCAGAGCCTATAATAGACCTTCATTATGCTGCCACCATTTCAGTCATGTTCCCTGTATCCAATAACAGTACTGAATGAATTTTGTTTTTGGTGCACACAAGAACCAGGCTATTTTCCCTTCAAGCCTCGCTTTGGTTACGCTGATTTGAATGAAAATAATCATTATAATTGTCTATTGGGTCATTACTTGAAGAATGAAAAGTCATCCTATGATGAATGGCAGGATGAGCAAATTTATAAAATGTATATCATAATTAATCATTACACATACAATTTGGCGATTTCTCACTCAGTTCCGTTAGTTGCTCCGGAAGTCCACTCGAGTGATCCAGCCTCCGACAGCATCATGTTCAACTGGAACTCCATCCCTTGTGGCAGTACACGTGGCAACATAACGTCGTATGAAACACGTCTGACGTCATCAGGAAGAGTGATTGGCAGTAAGAATGTCACAACCGAGTTTGTGACATTTGATGGCTTGTCGCCGTGTTCTCTCTACACCCTACGAGTGTGGCCTCATACCAAAGCCGGAAGAGGTCCACCTATGGTAGAGCACCAAAGAACAGACACTATTGGTATGTATCTGTCTTTCTACAGCCTTAGCAGTTTAAACAAATGTGTGGTTGATGAAGAAGACATTTTGAGGGAAAAGTGGTGACACTGTCACTAGACAGCATCATCACGTTACTAGTCAGCATAACATCCTGTATGTTTTTTTTTATTACAGACGTATGTGATCTATGAACTTTTTTGGTAGTCTTCAACTCATTCTGAGCTGAGCTCAGCATTAAGTGGTAGAGCGTTACTGTCCCATCCTTGCTCCTTGAAGAATGGATATATAATCTTGTTTTCGTCCCCAGTTCCAGATGCTGTTGGAGAATTGTCTATCAAAGCCGTTCGTCATGAGCAACTAAATGTTAATTGGAAAGCCTCGACAAACCGTGACACCTCTTGCCCCGCAACTGAATACCTTGTGACATATGAACTCATCAACCTAGAGCAGTGTCAGGAGATGCAGGGAAACATCCAGACTAGAAACACGTCTACGACTGCAATCAGTTTACAAGGATTAAAGGCGTACTCTAAATACAACGTGACTGTCACACCAAGAAATGAAGCAGGGTTAGGCCAGCCACTCTCCAAACAAAAGCGAACTCGATGGACAGGTATTGTGTTTTATAAACATAATATACCATATTTCCTAAAGTTTCTAAATACAAAGGTAAAAGTGATCATAATGTGTTTTTTTCTCCAATTAGCAACAACAGCAACACCTGTTAATATTACTATTGTCGCAACGCCTGACAGCATCTCATTTGCATGGGATCCCGTCCCATGTGGAAGGAGAGGCGAGCCGCTCAGAGGATACGGGTATCAGCTCAGAAAGGACGGGAATAAGGAAACTATCAGAAGCAGAAACATCAGTGCTGATTCCGTAACATTCTATCCATTATCTGCGTGTACGTCATATTGGTTCAAGGTCAGCGCCTACAGTTTACTACGAAAAGAATTCGGACCATGGACGCACGAGACGCAAGCAGGCACACAAATGATAGGTACGTCAATAGTGCACTGTAAAAACTGGAGTGTTAAATTGACACCATTGGTATCTACATGTATATAGGATTATCTGGTGTTAAATTTTACTAATGTTGTCCTATATAGATACCGAATGGTGTGAAATTTACACTACAGTTTTTGCATTGTGTGCGTTATAAAGTGGCATAAATGGGATGAAGGGTTTTGCTTGTCCATACGAACAAAGGGAGGAAATATGTACCTTCATCCGGTAGTGACATACATGTATATTTTAAGAATTAGGCCTATGTAATGATAAGTATAGGCTGCGGCAATAAAAAGCAGCGTAATAATTATTAATAACGCTTCTACAAATTTTCATATACGTTTTGGCCTACACTTCGCAGTATCGAATGCATGAAATGAAGTTGACGAAGTTAAACAAAATCGTTATGAAGAATTTAAAAGATATGCTGCGCTCCTTGTGTTTATTGAGCTTCCTTTATAGTTATTAACTTGATTTCTGGCAGTTCCAGACGCAGTTGAAGGACTAACAATCACACCTCTTGGCCATGATCGACTGGGCGTACAATGGAATGCCTCGTCAAATACAAACAACGATTGCCATGCAACTGACTACCACGTGACCTATGAACTCATCAACTTGGAGCAGTGCCAAGAGGCGCCGGATCACGATGTTAGCGCGACGAACGTGACTGTGACCAACATCACGATCAATGGACTTCATGCGTACTCGTCGTACAATGTGACGGTGACACCACGAAACGAGGCTGAGTACGGTCCGATGCTGTATCAAACAGTTCAAACTGGAGAAAAGAGTATGTGCAATTTGTTTTTTAATTTCACAATAAGCATTCAACTTTTTACACCACAATGAAATATATATGCCTATAATATTTTAAAATTTCGAGAACAATCTTCCTTAAAATATGATTTGAATCGACTGCCCAAGAACCATACATTTTCTTCAATTCGGGCGATTCACAATGTAGTGCGCCAGCATGAGTTTGCCACGGAGAGTCCATTTTTCAAGTTTACGGTCGACAAAACATGGCCCATTTGAATGAGTGTTGGTAGACAACTTGAGCTAATATGTCATAGATTGGGGCATAGCGTACGTTCTGCCGCCTTACAAAAAAAACACCATAACAAGAAAAGAAATGGGCCAACAGATCCTCGAATCATACGCTTACGAAACCACTGACCGGAAAAACTAACGATTTCAAATGTCCCGCGCTGCAAATTTGTCGACCATCACCCACAATGCACTTGGACAAATGAACTCTCCGTGGCAAATTCTTGGTGGCGCACTGCATTTTGAAACGCCCGAATTAAAACGGAATGACACATCTCCTTATAACCACACCACATAAGTCAATGTTTTTATTAAGACCATTTGTACCTTATATAAATGTGCATAGTATTTTACCACAAATTTTAAAATTAACTTCTTTTCCCCAAGAACCAACGGGAACTCCGATACTTGGCGAGAGCACCGCATCGTCTGACAATATTACTTTCACCTGGTCCCAAGTTCCTTGTGGCGGTAGAGGAGGTAATATTACGAAGTACCGGTACAAGTTGATGAAGAGAGGCAACGCAACTGCAATAGAAAAAGAAGACACTACTGCAACGTCCGTCACATTTCGCGACTTATCACCTTGTACATCGTACGCATTCAGAGTCCGCGCATTCAATGGTGAAAGAAAGGGACCTTGGACTAATGAGTCCTACCAAGACACAGTTGTAATAGGTGAGCTATCTCTGAAAAAAAGTCTTAACGAGAGGTGTTAAAAGACGTTTTAAATTATGGTTGTATTATACATGTCTAAACTATCATATAATTATATGCATGTATTTTTTTTTACTTTACGCACAGCGTGTTTGTTGATCAATCTACGTTTATTCACTCTGTGTAATCAATAGATAGATTAACCAGTTTCACCGACAATTGTTTTCTTGGAAGACAATTTTTTTTTTAGTCATTACTCTCCCAAAAAAATGCTCATAATTCGGTAAGATAGAAAACGACAAATCAATTCATTTTATGAAAGTGTTTTTAATTGTGTTTTCCTAAAAGAAGATTAATTCAACGCGGTGAAATCACTGTATTTTAAACCTTCAATTTTTTGTTGCAGATGAAATACAAGACCTCAACCTGGACGCCTCAGTAAATGAAATCAAGGCCTCTTGGACAACTGCTGGTAACGAGGACAACCCGTGCCCTGTGACCTCGTACCGCGTGAGTTACCAACTTCTCAACTTGGAGCAGTGCCAACCACAGATCGATCCAGCGCTGACAAGTGCGACAGTTCAAAATGGCAGTGACAAGGATATTACATCAATGCATGCTTACTCTACGTACAGTGTGCAAGTCGTACCAGCAAACAATGCTGGCGCGAAATACATGAAGAACAAGACAGTTACGACTGACGAGGGAGGTAAGTGCACCAAAACAGGAGAGGGCGCTTTTATACCCATCCTGATATTTCGGCCTTGTCTGAATCGGGCGTCCACATCTACGGCTACGACTATGGTCAGCATTTTTCCAAGAAGTTGTAATTAGGCCATGGGCCCAAATCTGTATCAGGTCTAGAAGTTGAGATTCGTCTGAACTTTTTGGTGTCAACTTGCACTAAGGTCAACTTTACTAATTCGATAGTGCTGAATCTGAATCTGGTTGTTCACATTGGCCCAAATTGCACATTGACCTTATGACGATTTTTTTTTTTTCATTAATTTTCCCATTTTTTTTCAAAAATAGTATTTTTGCCATAACTTTTATGTTTCAAATGCTTTCAAATTTGACACAACAGATAAAATAGGAAGTCGGCATTAATATTATAAGTCATTATTTAAAGCGCGACATGGTGTTTAAAGGTTTTTTTTGTAGAATCCATCCATTTAAACATGAGCACTGATGAGATTTCGACGTGGCGTTATATGGATGTACGTACCTCTGTCGTCCCTTTACAACACAAATCAATCACAAGTAAATCGGCAGCCATTCAGTTTCAAGTAAAAAGGTGACAAACCAATGTTTTTTCTCCATTTCTTTACCCAGAATACATGTTTTTGGGGGGCGTAAAACTGGGCTTCCAAAATCCAAATCGAAAAGGCATCGCGCAGTCTTGAAAAAAATCGTACGTGAGCGGATATATGGGGCGCGCAGTACGCTCTGAATAGCCAGTCAGCGTCGCTGTTTATTCCCCACGGCCAGGGGTTAATGGAGGAACGCGCACGCGCCCATGGAGGCGAGACTGATACGCAATGGCAGGGATGCATCGCGATCGCCCCCATGTGGTATAGTTACATTAGGGAAACATTCCTCTTTATTTCTAATGTGTGCAAACGATGTGGTGTGCACATTGTACAATTATCATTTAGCATGTTCCAATCTACTTATAACTGAGAAATTAAGTTGCCACTAAAAAGTTAAGACGAGATTGCACGTTACAGGCTTTGCCTCACGTTCTAAATGGATCGATCCAGTAAGCACCGCCCCATGGTGTTCTGACCATGGTGTTCTGACCAACGTGTCCGACGTGCGTGTACAAAAGACGGCCTAGAAAATAGATCTGGATACGCGCTTCGGACGATGCCTAGCTTTCTGTCTACAGAACAAATCAGGGCACACGTAGGCCTACTTATGAATGGGTAGCAATTAGTAGGCTATATATCTTTTGTTGGACAATGTAAAATTATAAGCTGATTATATGCATATAATACCTGTGCATGATCACACAACTTTTTTCCAATGTAAGGCCAAAAAAAAAAAATATTCGGTCTCTGGTCGGACCAAAGATCCGGAATTGACGCGGCCACGCGGCTTTTTTTTTTTTTTTTGCTTTTTTTTTTCTTCAAGCTTGGATTGTACAGACAAGGTGGGTGCTATTTTGCTTTGTTGGTGTCCTCATGTACATTGGTGTCCTCCATAATTTGCCTTGGTGCTTTCAATCATTTGCCTTGGTGCAATTTCCCATTCCTTGGTGCTCTTTGGTAAAAAAAAATTGAGGAGGTGCGGAAATAGAAGGCGCTGTTGGAGCTACCGCGGAACATTTTGGAGAAAAAAAAAAGATCGACGCGCATGATTAAAATAGACGCGCGCGCTGACCAGAGACCGACATATTTTTTTTTTGGCCTGATGCATTACTTTTTACTCAATAGTACAGCACTTAAACATTATTTAAATCCTTTTTTTTTTTACAGTACCATTGGCTGCTCCGGTACTCAACAACATGCTCCCATCCAGTCAGAACGTTCGAGTGTCATGGCATCCCATTCCCTGCGGCAAACGAGGCGGTAACATCACAGGCTACACGTACGAGCTGCGTGACGCATCGGGGTCCATGATACAAACAGCCGACACCACGGCAGAGTCTGTTGAAGTCGATGGTCTGTCACAGGGGGCGTCCTACTCCTTTAGGCTGTGGGCGTCTACGCATGTAGGGCCGGGACCCTGGAGGGAAGATGATTTTGAGATTCCCAAAGGTACAATTATAAAATACTCATACAGTAATCAGCAACTATGCTATTCCTATTTCGCTGGTAACTTGAATGCTTATTAAGGGAATAACAGTGTGAGGAGCCGGTCTTCACTGCGTGATAATGACCGGGTGTGGGGGTGACCGCTGTTAATGTACCGAGACGAAGTCGAGGTCCATTAACAGCGGTCACCCCCACACCTGGTCATTATCACGCAGTGAAGACCGGCTCCTCACACTGTTATACCCATTAATAAATACCTTTATAACGAAATAAGCAGTTAAAATGCTCCAATTTTGTGACTTTTTTCCGGCAATATTTCCAGACTTTTTGGTGTTCATGTTCATGGGCCATATTTTAGCTTAACAGCTATAACGACGTAAACTCAACAGAAACTGCTGCCGTAGCGAAACAAATTACAACAATGTTTTCATATCTTTACCTGATGGAGGAAGCTGAAATCTCGTTTACACATTCCTTGTGTCCCGAATTACAAAGATGCTTGGTTTAGGAAAGGTAAATATGTCGGTGGGTGAAGTGTTTCAAAGAAAATAAATCGTAGATCTACGCTTTCGTCGTAAACATCCTCAGTATATACTGCACTGCTGTACGATGTCGTTTCAAAACTTCCTTACGCGCGCGCACGCACGCATCCCTAGCAACTGTGTTGCGTACACGCGCGTCAGTCTCACGCGATGGGGGTTGAGCGCATGTGCAGTGCTCAATTGTTAAAAGCTACTGCAGGACTGTTACTATATTTTGACCAATCATTGGCTTGCATGGGGCTGAACGGGGCTTGATCAATGCTGGTTCAGGGGCCATTTATTCGCTTGATCTTTGAAGCCGGTCCATTATCACCGTTAATGCCCGGCCACGTGATCGAGCCTCGACCAATCAGAAACCATCAACTCTCCAAGGTATTTATTAATCAACTATCACGACAGCGGTATATTTCGAAGTTGAATAAACAAATTATGCTCTTGAAATGTAAATCGAAGAAAATGTAGTACTTCGTCAATCTCATAGATATTGCATTTGTTGAAAATCTATTTGAAAGAACAAAAATGTGTGGAAACTATATTCATGAAGCCTGTATGCGTCATAACAAAGCTGTTTACCTATTTGGAAATGGTGCAATCTTATTTCGCAGGCCCATCATATTACTGTGTGTATGTAATAATCGAGTTGGTTTTATTTTGTCTTTCTTAAGATGCTGCTGCTCCGCCTACTCCGCCTGGGAGTAGTCCTGCGGGCTCAGTTTTGGGCGTGGTCGTCTTTATCTTGGTAGTTGCGGTTCTTGCTCTCCTGATAGTTGTCGTAGTCAAGTAAGTTACCGTAATCAAGGCACTTACAATGAAATACAATCTGATCTTTTTAAGAATATATCAAACGAGTTTCTGGTATTTTCTATCAAAGGAAACGACGAAAGCAGAGGACCAATGCACTGAGCAAGGACAGCACTGGCGATGGTGTCCAGGATATTTATGGGAAAGGAGACCAAGGTGGAGGTATGGTTGTCTATTACTTGGGCATGTACACGTATACTAATTAAAAAGAAACTTCTGTTAATAAGAAAGGTCTTATTGCAATCCATCTGCTGAGATGAAGCAAGCAAGACTATTCAAACTATGATGAATTTTGTACAGCTGTTAATAAAACATTTTTGAAAGTGGCAATTCAGAAATTTGAGAATGTTTGGTCGGAAAACGAAACTGGCATTTATTATTTCAGTTGAGCTGAAGAATCTGCCATCTACGTCTGGTTACAAGCCATACGCTACAAAGGGTCATGAACCAGTGGTGTCATCTACTAATCCACCAAAGTCAACCGATCAAGTAGCTGTTGATGTGTTGCCAAAAGCAGGACCATCCACTGATTCAGCATCAGCATCTGGTCCATCCACATCCACTAAGGCTCCCGTGAAGCCCAAGCCGTACGTCAATCCTGCCTCCAAGCCCAAGCTGAAGGCTTCGGCAAAGGCATCCCCGAGTTTCCCCCAAGCCGGCCCAGTTGCCATGGCTCACCTGGCTGAATACATCAAGAGTAGAACAGCCGGGAAGATCAATGGATTCCAACAAGACTATGAAGTGAGTCTTCTGACTTCTCTTACCACGATGTAATGTTATTTTGGTCTGACCTAAGGAGCCAGTGAAAGACATGGACAGAGAAGAACCAAAACGTTTGCTCCTGTCTCCATTATGTTCTTTATGTTTTGAGATCTGTGTCTTCGTAACTGCGATTTTGTGATTATCTCCTCTTTCTTACAGTCGATTCCTGGTGAACCAATCCACCCTTGGAATGTGGCCAAACAGGATCACAACAAGAAGAACAACAGATACAATAACATCCTGGCCTGTAAGTCTAATTATTCATCCTCTATCACCTTTTACTTTTATAATGTTTTGTTGGTAAAAAAATGTACACCGTTCACATTTTGAACATTGACGCTAACAGCTTATTGCATCCTGCAAGAAATACCCTCTACTCTTCATTCAGTAAATGTCCCGCAAGTTGTAATAGGAATGGTGTCAAAAGTAAGCAAGGGAGTAAAAGTGGAGGCCATAATTACGAATGTCGCTAGTATTATGCTTGCCCAAGAATACCCTACTATTCCTTCCCTTAAAATTCCTGAAACCTCAATTTTTGTAAGCAAGAATTTGATATGATTTTCACACACATTTGTCCTTGGAGGGGTTCAACACAGATTTACATAGACTAAATATCGGCAATACATTGTCTCGGCAGATGACCATTCTCGCGTGGTCTTGGAGTGTCTTGAGGATAACCCACACTCAGACTACATCAATGCCTCCTACATCAATGTAAGTTTTTGTCGCAATCTTCAAAGTGAGTTTACACATTTCTATCTGCATTATTTGACTCTGGCAAACAAATATAGAAGGAATAGGATTTTCTTTTAAACATGATGATTTATCTTTCCTTTCACGTAGGGATACAAGCAAGATTACAAGTACATTGCCAGTCAAGGTAATTATTTAGTGAAAATGAAAATAACATTGTAAATTGAAATCCTCAAACAAACTTCCCGCCATAACAATACAATTCCACCATTTTCCCGGTATACAAAAAGAAAAAATAATTCGCGGAAATGACGATAATCGAACTCTGGTTATATTTCTCAAATTATATTCAAAACGGATCGTCACACTTCCCTAATTAACGTAGAGTTGACAAGACGTTTCAAATTTAAAGACATTATTGAATATTGATTCATCCTTTAGAGAGTAGAAAGAGACGAAAGGAGGTTTCCAATGATAGCAGAATATTGTTTAATGTTTAATTCAAGGTCCTACCAAGGCATCAGTGAAGGACATGTGGCGCATGGTGTGGCAAGAGCGAGTGGGCAAGATCGTCATGCTGACGAACCTGATCGAACATGGCAAGGTAAAATGAAAAAAATAAAATTGCTTTGTGTTCTTTCCTAATCCATACACAGAAGCATACCTCTTTCTCTCTGTATTTCTATTGACTGAGAATATTGAAGAGGCGTGCAATCATACTCTTGAAAGGCTGAATGAAAAGAATGAGTTTAAAGGGCCAAAAGGAAAGATAAGATAATAAAAAAGTACCGTGGACGAGGAGGCGAGGTTGTATATTATTGTGCATAAAATTATTTTCAATTATTTATCGTGCACAATATTATTATTGTAAGATATCATCCGCTGGTGCCTGAGAACTCTGTCCGTGTCAAAAGTAAGTCTCGACGACGAATTGCCTAATGCCTGGATAAGCTCATAAAAGCTCATGCCTCCATAATTTCAAATGACACCAAGGGTTCTTTCATCGTTGTCCTGATCTTCTTAGATCATCAACTGATACCTTTTGGTCTTTTCTACATTACGTAGGGGAAATGCGAGCAGTACTGGCCCGATGGCAGTTCCGACTACGGAGAACTGTTTGTCCGGAAAGTGGACGAAACAAAACACTCTAATTGCATTGTGAGGACTTTCCACGTGTCAAAGGTAAGTCCACAATTTCTGCAGAAGAAGTAATTGGAGCTGAAACGTTCGTGCATGTTTCATCTTCGTATTCCATCCGAAAGGCGATGCTAGGTTAACATGGAGTATACTTTATAGTTGTAAGAAAAAAGTAACAAGTAGGCATTAAAGTAAAACATGGCATCGCTCACAATATTAAACTGCCTGCCCAAATCGTACCCTTCGATGCCACTCTTCGCCGTATCCTTCTTTTTTACACACAGCAGAAATATAGCATGATAAAGCAACACCGACCGTGTGCACATAATTCAACAATGCAGTTTTTGCAGTAAGAAATGTTAATATTAAGTACCTTTTTTTGGGGGGGGGGGGTCTCTTAGAGCACTGAGCCCGAGGGTGAGTACCGTGAGTTAACCCAGTTCCATTACACCACCTGGCCAGACATGAAACCACCAGAGTCATCTCCGCTACTTCAGTTTGTAAGAAGGGTCCGAGCAGCAGACGCTTCACAACATGGACCTATGGTTGTCCACTGCAGGTATCATTACGTGACCTCTTTGTATTTTGAGTTCTCAAAAAGCTTCCACGAAGACATGTACACTTTTCTCTGCAATCGAATTCAACCTTAAGTCTCAGTAAAGATGACCCGACTAAGAAAAATAAGTCTGTTATGTGTTTCTCTCGAATCAAACTTATGAGCCAACCTTTACGAAACTATTAACTACCGATCATATATATTTCATTTTATCATAGCCTTTCTACAAACATCGTTCGGACATTAATTTAATACAAATTATCTTCAAACTTCACATTGAGTTAGAGTAGAGAAAACTGTTTAAACATCTGATTATGTCGTACTCGTTTCTTCAGTGCTGGAGTTGGCCGCACAGGAACCTTCATCACTCTGGACTCCATGCTTGAGATGGCGGAGGCAGAGGGCCAAGTCGATGTCTTGAAGTTTGTACGTGATATGAGGGATCAGCGCTTCCTTATGGTGCAAACTCTGGTGAGTCTTTGGTTTCGGATAAACTTCCAGTTTCAGATTTGTAAATTAAAACTAGAAGGTGACAATTCACACCAACAAGAGTTCATATGGTATGCAACATCTCAATATTGCATCGTTTGTATTTCTAGGATCAATACAAGTTCATCTTCGATGCTCTGTTGGAGTCAAGTCTGTTAGAGAACACGGCCATCAGCGCTGATTGCTTCCATCAGAGCTACGCTAAACTCAAGAAACGGGACAAGAAGACAGGGACTACTGGCATTGAGGCGCAGTTCCAGGCAAGTCGTCTGAAATGCTTTCGGAAACATGTTGATCATGATAAAAGTCTTAAACACAAGGCATTTAAACTTGGTTTGGGAAGGTTTTCCTTCTCAGCAGTGAATCTTAGTTCCCACATTACCCTTACTGTGACGTGACAAAGATGGCTTAAAAGTAACGTACATAAAAGTCAGGTGTCCTACCCATGGAGCTATTATTAAGAAGGTTAAAGGTTAAATATAATAGTAAAACACTCTTGTCATAACTTCTTTAGAAGATTGTGGTTTTAGAGGGCAATGGGGTACTATATTTAAGGATTTACTTGTTAAGCTGTCAGCTCACTTTTAAGGGAAGACCCTTCTCTGGAAAAAAATCACTTCAGCCCGTTCAGCCCCAAACCTGAATGCCCGAGAGGTTGAAACTTCTTTATCAACCCTAAATGAGGTGTAATCTGAAGTAATAAGTAACGACGGATAAGAAGATAGACCCAGAGTAAGTTATTCAACCCTGCTGATTATCTTTGATCGGTTGCCATTTTTTTCTCTGTGATACCTTCACAGATGTTGGAGTCATTCACTGCCTCACCGAGCGAGGAGCAGTGTATGGGAGGGAGAAGCGCCGCCAACGTTGATAAGAACAGATTCAAAGAATGCATTCCAAGTAAGTCAGTAATCAAAATAAAGGCACATAATTACTGGCACATGCAAACCCACTGTTACCGTTACTACCTATTTTCAAAACTCCTTGAAAGATCATTTCATTTTTAGAGAATATAGGTTCAGTGTTCTCGGTCCACAGTAACAGATTTTGGTGAGTAAGTATAAACACTTTTCCTGTATTTGTTTGGGTTTTGTCAGCTTGTTGGCTCAAGACAGCAAACATTTTTCGTTTTCTCTTTAGCATAAGTTGAACTATTTTTCTTGTGATGTTGCCTTTTTTTTCAAAATTTGGTGTTCCAACCACATTCCAATAAGCATTCGTTTGAAAGACAAGTGTAGAATGCTTATAATGTTTTGTTTATTTCTACACTGACTTTGGATTATAAATATCAAGGCCTTGTAGGACATGCATTTTACAATTTTCATTGAAACTGTTTGTCTAACAGAAGACAGCACCCGACCGTATCTGATGACAAAAGGTGACGAAAGAAGTACCAACTACATCAATGCTACATTCCTGGATGTAAGTCTTACATACTTGCCAATAAAATATCGACAAAAACTTTGATCCATACCTCACCCGTCAACCCCTAGAGTAATTCCCCTTAAACTTCTCGAAAACGTACAGCTTAACTATAACGCCCTCCCATATCGTGACCACGCCCATGATTTAACACCTGAAATGTTGGCACAGACTATAGTGCGTAGTTTGTGTCAGCTTGATTTCTTATTACTGTTTAAAAACACTTATAAAGCGTAGTTAAATGCAAAATTGTGTAATACCCTTGGAGTAATAGAAACCTAATTGTCTGTGTCTTTCTATCTTACAGGGTTATAACAGTAAGCATGCCTACCTAGCCACCCAGGCACCTCTGCCTAACACACGGGGTGATATGTGGAGGATGGTGTTTGACTACAAAGCATCTTGCATTGTCATGCTCAATTCCATGGACAATGACCCGGTATAGGCTATACAATTCCTTATATTTCAAGGGGTAGCTTAGTTTCCACACGTATGAATTATTAAAAAAAGCTATTTGCTGCGAACGAATTTGAGAGACTTTGCTTAATATGTCTCGATTTATTGCAAAAATCCCCCAAAATTTGTCGGGAACATGGCAATTAAACGAACACAAAAGATGGCGATATTCCACACGGTACCTGCATGCATCTGTTGAATATACAGTACAAGCTCTTTGATAGGATACATCATTACCATCCCCAATGTTATCGCTGGAGGGCCTGATATGCAATGTACTTTCCTCCCATAAGCCTAAATCTCTTGTGACTGTTGCTATTCTTTTTCCAGAGCGTTGTCCAGTATTGGCCAGAGAAGGACAGTTTGGAGTTCGGACCCCTTACCGTTACACTGACGAATGAGGACCGGTATAGCGAGGACATTATCATACGGCAGTTTGATGTTAGCTATCCCGCTAGGAAGGTAGGCAAATAAGAAAGTTCCATTCATCAATTTGTCGTTGACTCGTGACGCACCTTGCGCCTGCGCGCTAACTTTTAACTTAGAATCAGGATCCCGCGTCGAACTGTGCTCGAACGTAAATGTCCTGGTTCCCTGCATTACGCTGAGTGCCCGCATTGTTTTGGTAACCAGCGATATGACCAATCTCAGGTAGGCTAACCCGAATGGTCGAATAGACTTGTGCACTTATCGTCGACCATACGTTCGTTCGATTTGATTGGGTTTTCTATAACAATGGTTGACCGTAGCTATAAGTCGAATGTTGTTTGTTAGGTATTTTATATAAGTTACAGCTTATTCGAAACGGATTATGTCATAAGAAACAGTCCGATGCCTAAACTTTGCCTAAAATAACTTTGAATAACAGAATGACGAGGTTCAGAGCGTCTGTCAGATCCAATACCTGGGATGGCCCCCAGGGAAGGAGGTTCCAAGATCCCCATCTAGTCTCCTTAAGGTGCTGGAGGCTGTTAAGATGTGGACGACCGACCACCCTGATGGACCCATCACTGTCCACTGCATGTAAGTACTCCACAGGGAGATACAATCTAAAGTTGTCAGCCATGGCAGCCGCGCAGGCCCAGTTTCACTTCCTTACCTGCAATCCTTCCCAAATCTCGCTGGGCCCTCAACCCCCCGGCCCCCGTTCAATGTTGTCTCTCATTGCGCGGTGTGTGCTCTATCAGCTGGATAGAACAACATTGACCGGGGGAGCGGGGGAGTGGGTGACCGTGGCAGGCTCAGGAAGTGTCCCAACCATTTTGGCCGGGATAGGTATGCATATTTTAATCCATGGGATCCCTGAAACGTCGTTAAAGCTTGAACTTTTTCCCTCTGTCTGAACAGTCTGAGCTAAACTTTCTTCCTGTAGGTTTCTTCATCAGCTTTCCTGTTCTTCATCGACGACACCCATAATTCATTTTTGATTGGGGACCATGAAACAAAGTGAGGACAGTCCTCGATTGGTATACGTGTATAAAACCGATGAGAGGTATAAACAGAGGAAGACCGATGTCATGTCCTCGATGTACATCATTCACAATCATGCGTTTACGTTGTACTTATGAAGTACCAGAATGACTCACATAGACAAAACATACTCCATGTGTTTCTACCATTTAAATTAATGTAAATAATTCAAGTTGAATTAATTTTCTTCACCAAACTGTTAATTCTTGTCTCAGTGACGGTGTTGGATGCAGCGGAACCTTCTGCGCCATACTCACACTCCTGGACCAACTGGCAGTGGAGAAAGACGTAGACGTCTTCCAAGCCATCAAGAAACTCCGCATCACCCGGGCTGGGATGGTCAACACTTTGGTACGTTTCAAGTCATTATTACTGCACCTACGTACCGGGGCGTGATGGGTGATTTTAAGCACAATCTTGCGATGTGGTATTAGGACTTTTCGAAACCTTGTCTTGTTGATTGGGTTTGTGTGCATCGGGTTCTTAGTTCGTGGCCAAATCAGATGTTTTGTTGCTTCAACATTGGTGAAAAAATAGAGCAGTAGCCAAAACAGTGGGGTTATTTTAACTGAAGCAATACTTTTATTCATGAATGGATACTGAGGCCAAAAAAAGGCTCCGGTTTCTGGTCTGCACGCGCGTCGTGGTATCCATGCGCGTCGGCAAAATTAAAAAGTTTTTTTTTTCAATTTAAGATGCTGTCTCAAAACCTCCAAACTCACTGGTTTGACTGGAATCCTGCTGCTGCACAATTTAAACGTGTTTTTAATGGGGTTACGGTCGAGTATAAGCTTTATCTGGCCTCTCTGGGCTCCGTTACATTTTGCACTAAATTTAGTCAGGAACCATTTGCAGTCATCAGCCAACATTTACGGAAAAAACAAGGAAAAAAAAAAGACGCTTCGCCGCACCACTTTTGGGGCAAGCTCCATACCAGAAACGGAAGACTTTTTTTTTGACTAAAGACAGTCACCATGTTATTGTCACATTTAAATGTGAACATGAATTAAATCAACTCATACCTATGTTTTGCTCTGAATTTCAGGCTCAGTACCAACTGTGCTACCAGGTGATCCAAACCTACTTGGATTCCGGCTCAATCTACGAGAACTATTGATACACCAGTGTGGAACAAGTTATTTAACATCATAAATGTCAGATTTGCATGTCCATTAATTTGTAACTGATACCTAAAGTTTTCGTAACGTCAGAGAGGATTTTTAAAAGGTAGGTTTCGCTTCTACCTCGGTATGAAATCTAGTTTCAATTCTAGCTCAGCAAATTTCTATTCGTCTTGGGGCCAGGCTACTAGCCTTTTTGTTCCTATCTCGCTGACTGACTTTCTGACTGACTGACAAGACTGTTTGCTGTACGGAGCGCTGGGCAGTGTTATCGTATAGGATTACCCCGTAATGTGCTAAATCTGGGTCATTGTGTAGACCAGGGCCCAATTTCACGGCGCTGCTTAAAAGCACAAAAATTTGCTTAGCACAACAAAATTCTGGCTTACAAAAGCAGGTTACCAGCCAAAACTCCATGTGGTTTTCATGCTAAGCAAACAACAGTTGAATACTAATCACGAGCAATATACATCACATGGAGTTTTGGCTGGTAACCTGCTTTTATATCTTGTGCTAAGCAAATGTTTGTGCTTAGTAGCGCCGTGAAATTGGCCCCATACAGATGTTTGACACGTCTGTCAGTGAATATCTATTGTAAATCAATTGAATATGCGCTCTGACTTGGCCTGATGGGAGATTAAGCAGGCTTACCTAGTATTCTTCTTTCATCTAATGCGATTTGTCCCTGTTTAGCAGGAAATTTTCCTCCCATATTTTCAACTCAACATTCTTTGCCGTCTCCAGCTGTCCTATAATCATCTTCGTGTTTTTTCCCGCTTTGGTTTAACGAATCCTTAGTATATTAATTATTCAAGAAATGAAGAGAAAAATGCAGTCACAAATGATATCATTAATTGATTACTTTTATACCTAATTAAACAAGCGGTAATTGATATATGAACATTTACTCAGACACCATGTGGGCATCATGATGTAAACTGTGCTATAAACTTCAATCATGTCAAACTTAATACAATTGATAAAATGTGCTCATTGTACAAGATTATTAATTTAACATTTATATTATCGAAAACAAAGCCTTTGTCGTAAAATGCGAACCATTGGATCTAGTCAACGTTAAGATAAGTGCTTTTAATTCCAAAAATGATGACTTCACTGAGATTCTTATACGCTAATATTAAGCATAAAATCGAGACATATTAAGCAAAGTCTCTAATTATTTATATACTCAAGATGTTGTTTAAATATTGTTTTATGGTACAATTTTAGTAATAATGATTATTTTAATCAAGAGTACACTCCTTAAGTTGCGTTGAGAAATTGAACACAAATGATCTTGCTATTACTTTGTGAACAGGTTTAGAGGCTAAACATTTCGTGTCCAATGCCTGAACATCAGTGTACAGTTGCTAAATACTGTTTATCAATACTCTATACATGTTTGGTATTTATACCAAATTGTTATGAAGTGATAGCAAGAAAGTGTTTAGATTTTGCAGTGAAGCGAAAGGGTTAACCAACCATTGTAGACACATAACTTATAGCGGTGGCTGTGGTTGGCATCAACATAAGTGAGAAAGCTGGGAACATTTCAACATGTTTTCCGTCAAACATTGAAGTGTACTTTCTGTGCGTTATTAAGTGCTTTCATATCAGTTTTTTAGTGCATGTTTCAAAATCCTCAGACGCACATTCGTTAGATCGCCTATTTACAAGTATGTAAAAGACTTCTGTTATGAACTGGGAAGTGAAGTTGAATTTTGTTCACTGGAACTTTAGTCTAAAAAATATCCAAATAACACACTGAGCAAATAATGAGTTAGATGACAGTCCATAATAAAATGTCATTATATATATACGGCAGCGTAAATGTCGACTCTGGTTGTTGTTGTTGTTGTTGTTGTTGTTGTTGTTGTTGGTGCTGTTGGTGCTGTTGTTGTTGTTGTTGTTGCTGTTGTTGCTGTTGTTGCTGTTGTTGCTGTTGTTGCTGTTGTTGCTGTTGTTGCTGTTGTTGCTGTTGTTGCTGCTGTTGCTGTTGCTGCTGTTGCTGCTGTTGCTGCTGTTGCTGCTGTTGCTGCTGCTGCTGCTGCTGCTGCTGCTGCTGCTGCTGCTGCTGCTGCTGCTGCTGCTGTTGCTGTTGCTGCTGCTGCTGCTGCTGTTGCTGTTGTTGTTGAGAGCCAGTATTCGCTATTTAAGTTTAGGAACAACACAGTTTTTTTGTAAATTAAGTTTATATCAACGATACCGTGTTTTGTGTGCTAAAGATAAAGTTGTTGAGGTATCACTGGGTTCATGAGTGCGAGGAAGCGTGCAATGTGAAGCATGGAAATGCTTTAAAATCCTACATTAATCCTACGATCCCAAATGAAGAGTTAAACTATATAGCATCTACTGCATGTTTGTACAGCTTGATTAAAGTAACTTGTTCTGTTGAACTATTTATCGACACAACCATTTAATTAAAAATCAAACCACCAAATCTCTGCGATTTTAAACAATTCACCGTTGTCGTGTACATTCAAAATGAACAACACGGACACCAAACTGCATCTGTTTGCTCTATCTATATGATTCAACCGAAAGATACTATGTTCTTTCATTTCTAACTTTTCGAATAAACCACAAAGTGAAATTGTTTATAGGTGCATATAAAAACGAGTAGAAAGTTGAACAAAAACAAAACCTGTCTGGGGCTGGGTTTGAACCTGCGACCTCTAGTGCGCTACCAACCGGGCTACCCATTCCTATGTTGGTGGTCCAATGTTATTTCAGTGTCTTTGTTCAAGGATGCTATTGAAAATCGCTTTAATTTCTCACATTTATTCCTCCTTTTTCTTTAAAATAGTGTGGCAGGAATCTTTTCTATAATGAATATCAATCCACATGGAATTAATCCATCGGACATTGAATCAACTCAAACCGAAACGCACGTTTACCAATGTATACTGTAAGGTAAATGCGAACAGTAGACGCCATGACGGCCGGGTTGAAGTAGTTAGTGTGTGGGGTAGAAGCAGAGATGACATCCTCGCCATCAAACAACTGAAAAGAACAGAAAATAGAAGGAAACAGTGTGCAAAAAAATAGACGTAAAAACAAAATAATCAAATTTGTCCCTCAAAAAGTACACCCAAATATTGAAGTACGTCTGTGGTTTCAATTCAATGTTTGCAAGAAAATTGTAATTGCTTTTCTGATCCGGTTGCGATAGCTAATTAACTATATGACTGTTTAACTTAATAGTCAAAGCGCTTGACCTTTTGGGGTGAAGAGTCCAAATAGGTCAAAAATTGACAAAATTTCAACGATTTGGCTAAACATGTTTTCTTCATATTTTGTGAAGCACCCCTCTGGACATGTCGATGGTATGTGCCTCGCGCGCGTAGTGCTAAAAATATCTTTATAAGGGATAGGCGCGTAATCCGGGATTTGGCGCACAATGTAGTGGTGTTTCCCCGTTGGTTTAAAATCAACCACGCGACAGCCTCTCGACCAAAAGGAATAGGCAAACTGTCTCAGGCATTTATGAATAAATGTTTAAAAGGTTTTTTCTTCTTTCATGGTATAACAATTATTACGTTCATTCACCACATTTAGGTCCCTTATGATTGAACATTAAACATTATTCTCCGCTCCAACAGGACGGAATCGCAAGAGTTAGAACAAAAACTGACAAAAGCTTGCCAATATTTCAACCTGGTGTAGTCTTTGTCCAAGGCTGTAGTTGTTTTGTTTTGTTCCCGTAGGCATCCGGTCTCTACTTACCAAACGTCTCTGACTTATCAACTTACGTCAAGCTGCGGCGGTGGTAGGCGTCGCAATCAGAAAGATGAATCCAATGCAGTCTTTATGAGAACCGTAGCAGTGGGTCACATGAGATTCCGAGCATCTCAAGCGCGCGTAAGGGTTACTTGGACATTCTCTGGGTTTCAGTGCCAACGTTCCCAAGTAAACATTTGATCATCTTGTTGATAGCGCCCCCTAGCGCCGAGATGAATAAACGGCACTTGCAAGATCGGGACCGGAGTGGCAGGAAAAGGTGGAAGTGCAGTCTTAAGACTAAGACACAACCCAACCTTGCAGTGCACTGATGGGAGCAGTGACCTACCAGTATTTTGGACTCCAATACGACGGTCCATTCAGTCGTCCCATGGCGGCAGGATTAAAGTCACCATCACTTGATGCTCGGATACGCTCATCAGGAATGGTGTCGTCTTCAAGACCCAGTTGCTGACAACTATCTACTGTCAAGATCAAAATAAGACATGGATGAAAAGGTGGAGGGATAAGCATACAGCAAATGATTCGGTAGTGCGATTTCGTCCATGATATTTCCAATTCCTTCTCAAGTACAATACAACAACAATACAATACAATAAAACTTTATTATCCCAGTGCGGGAAATTCCATGGCCTTTTTACACGTTATTTGGTTTAAAACACATAGTAACGCTTTCAATAACGACAACACAATAATGTGAAGCTGTTCTTTTGTTTGGAGAATCCAGCAATTTAGTGTTTAATGTTGGTTAGTAATCATATCACAAAGTCTGGGTCCCAGAAAAAAATGTCTTACATTTACGGAGGCAATGTTGAAAAATAAGACAGATTATATGTGACGCAGTCTATTTAGTGAAATCGGTTGCTACGGCATTCATATGGCCATTCCACAAAACTTATTTTGGTACCAAATTGACCCCTGATAAAAAAAAATGTCTCAGTTATTAAACGATGTTTCATCAGGTTACTCCCCCCCCCCCCCACGGAAAAAGTGACGGTGTCCGTCAAAATAAGACAATTCTGAGCCGTTTGTCGAAATAATTATATTGTTATGTTACTTCTTTTTCTTTATAATGACGCTTAATGGTTTGAAAACGGACCTTCCCTGACAGATTGATGCCCATTTGAAGTCCACAAAGGTGAAAACAGAAAAAGAGGCCGATAACAGGCACTAGTTAAGCATTTCTGAAATTTTACAATTTATCAAAAAATAACCTAACATTTGTAATTCCACATATGTCTTGAATGTACATGTACTGTTAAATTTCAGGCCATCACCTAAAATTTCACACTATATTCAAGACATATTTGGAATTACAAATTTGAATAAAAAATGTTTTTGAAAAAATCGAATACTATACTCAGCCCCGCATACTTTTTATTTTGTCAAATCTCTCCATCAAACTGCGCGCAAACGTATCTTGTTTTGACAGAATACCTAACAAAATGTGCTTCCTATATTTCGCTTACTGTAGAAGTTCATTATTTCGACTTACCATTCGCAGTATCATCACTGCATTGTCTCGGGCATCCTTTCGGTACTAACTCCATGAACTGTGCCATCCATTGGTGCATGTCTGCTGCATCCAGCTCCGGTGGTTGACCGAAGAAACAAACCCTCGCCTTGCTCTCCGCACAGTCCATGAATACTAGAACTATCGAATTAAGCTTACACAACACATTCACAATGTTGTGAAGGGGCATCCCCGGGCCTAACAAGCTAACTCTGTCAAGATCAAGTCTGACACCTGCTTGGACGCAGACAATCTTCTCAGTTAAAGCAATGTTCTCCCACCTCTCTGAGAAGATTGACCTCTAAGAGCGACCTCAAGGCTAAGGGAGGAAATACACCGCCGATTGTGACTGCTTGTTAAAGCGTAGATCTACGATTTATTTTCATTAAACACTTCGCCCATCGACATATTTACCTTTCCTAAACCAAGCATCTTTGTAATTCTGGACACAAGGAATGTGTAAACGAAATTTCAGCTTCCTCCATCAGGTAAAAATATGAAAACATTGTTGTAATTTGTTTCGCTACGGCAGCAGAAGTCCAAGTCCTGGACGTCGTACGCGTACGCAATGAAGACGTTGTCCAGCGCAGCCTGGGCCCGGCTGTGGTGTATATAACAACGCTTATTGAAGAGACGGGGTACCACGCATCAGTTAAAATATGTCCCATGAACATGAACACAAAAATGTCTGGAAATATCGCCGTAAGAAAGTCCCAAAATTCGAGCACTTTAACTGTTTATTTCGTTAAAAAGGTATTTATTAATGGGAATAACAGTGTGAGGATCCGGTCTTCACTGCGTGATAATGACCGGGTTTGGAGGTGACCGCTGTTAATGGACCGAGATGAAGTCGAGGTCCATTAACGGCGGTCACCCCCAAACCCGCGGTCATTATCATGCAGTGAAGACCGGCTCCTCACACAGTTATTCCCTTATTAATACATTTTGTTAGCGTCCAGCTATATGCACATTAGCGGGCTTTTTTTCTGTGTAGAGGTGAAACTTGTGGTTAATGAACTTTTAATTGCGAAAATCGAAATAATTTGCAAACATTTGAACATCCTCGTCCACTCTCGCGATCATCTCCCTTGTTTCTTCATGTTATTTAATTTTTATTTTTGAGGGGGTTTCTTGTTATTAAAATGCTTACTTCCTTGTGTTGTACATTATGACACTATTTTTTTTTACTTCCCAAAGAATCAAATATTTGAGTTGATCGAGATGTTCCCAATATTTTCAATTTCAGTGTCCTTACCGGATTATATAGAATTTTATTTGTCCTTAAGCTTTCTGTCAACTTTTGGATTATTATAGGATCAGTACAATTTCATCTTTGTCGCCCTTTTGGAGTCTTGCCAGACCGAGAAGCTTCATCTCAGCCAACAGACTACGTTAGGTGCTAACCCTGGAAAGTCTATTAGTCATCGTGCAGGACGTGGTGACCGCAGTTGATGTTCCCGAGAATTTGCAATATGCATAGAGTCACAGACGGTCGCCGATTATCTGCGATGTAATTTGTCTCCGTCACAAGTGTCTTCAGATGATATTATAACGGGAATCTGGGGCTCGATATACCCAGGGGTACAACGAATCCCTAAAAACCCGCCGGGATTAATAACCAGGAGAAATCGGTGATGAATGGCTGAGCTAGTGCTTGACCGGGACCAGCGTTGAGGGCGCCGTCACAACCTCAGGACGTCAACCTGACCCAAGTGAAGTTCGTCTGGTAGCGTAGCTTTCTTCAAGGCCTCGATGACTTTATGGATAGGGAAAGGGTAAGGGGAGGGGTTTGACTATAACTTGGCGCGCAAACGCAATAGAAAAGGGAAGGCTGGGGTGGAGGAGGCAATATAATTTGAGTCTGTCCTATAGGCCTAAAGTCTGGCTCTTAAGTCTTTCCCTATAAAGTCTGACCCTAAAGTCTTGCCTAAGAGTCTGGCCTAAAGTCTTGCCCTAAACCTTTATTCTGAGGCAGATTACTTAAAAAAGACAATAACTGACATAAATCAGTCAGGCAGCAGAGACAAGTGGCTATAATTCACAATCAAACTTGTCACCATCAAATAATAAGAATTAAATACTTCATCAGATTGGGTCACTTTAGTTTGCATACGCAAATTTTAAGTGCTGCCGCTTAAACACAGTGCGCAAATTGGACTGATAGCAAGTCTAATTAAGGAGCGCACATTGCGTTGCATACATGATGTACATGTACACGGCGCATAATGCATGGGCTGTCGTTGGCCGTGCCTTCCTTTTCCCTGTGGACATCGGCATTCTTCTTCTTCGTGCTTCGTCTCTTCTTATCTTCTTCCTCTGACCACTTCTTCCATTCCTCTTGCTTGTTTCTTCATCTTCTTGCTTGTTCCCTCTTGCTTGTTCCTTCTTCTCATTCCTCTTCTTCTTCCGAATCCTGACATCCGTTTTGTTCTTCCCACAGGGCTTGTTCTGGAGGCGAACAGATGAGCGCTCGATTGCTGTTCCAGCTCGCCTTTTATGCACTTTTGGCAGGGCTGAATCTGGGCCGGGTCGCGGTGAGCGCGCGCGTTCCAATAGGCTAAAAGTGCGCGTAGCGCGTATCGCGTATGCAAAACGAGTCACCAACCCTGATGATAACATCTCTGCATTAGTTAAGTACATCATTAACCTGTGTACAAAAGTCAATAACACACAAACAATGGGTGCATTCAATAACACTGTGCACATACGTCAAGTGCCTTGAACGTTATAAAACTTGCATAAGTACCTGGAAGAAACAACAGTGTAAAGCAAAGTTAATGGCTTCTTCACATCATTGTGGAATTATTCTATAAATACTACGAATATTTGGTAAGTCTAGTAGGTGAATAAAGTTGGATTTGAGGGCTGAAAATGGCCTAAAATCAACAAGTTGCATCTCCATTCTGTAGTCCGAGATTCATGTTAAGGAAACCAGACTATTCTCTAGTACGGAAAGATTATTTAAAGGAAAAGCTGATTTTTGTCACAATATAAAGGTCACATTATGTCTGACCATGGAGAAAGGTCATTTATCTATGGTTCCCCCCCCCCCCTCCCCCACAGACAAGGGCGGATCCAGAACACTTTTTTTGGGGGGGGGGGCCAAAAAAATGTTGGCCCCCCCAAAAAGTGGGTCAAAAAAATTACGGCGTGGGGTTCGGAGCCCCGAAAATTAGGGCCCCGAAGTTTTTTTGGATTCTAGATGCTTTGTGGTGCGATCCGAGGCAATTGCTGACCACTTTAACCAATGTTTTTTTGAGGAAAAGATAGTGGTGTGCTCATTGCCTGCCTTTATTGCGATGTCACATTAAAAAAAAATGGTTTCGTTTTTTTTTTGGGGGGGGGCCATGGCCCCCTTTGGCCCTCCCCCTGGATTCGCCTTTGCCCGCAGAAACAATCTGCAGCCTGCAGGACTTCCCCAAAGACTTCTCAAACTAAAATGTCCTCACTCCACTTTTCTAATTCAAATCTGAGACTAGAGAGATAACACAGCTATCATGGCTTATTAACCACCGATTATGCTAGATAATAACGAACAACCAAATAAAAAAGGTTATAATACATAAATATAAGACAGTTTATATGCATTTAATGAATGACGGCGAGAACTATGTAGTTCATCCCTTGCGCTTAGGCCAAAAAAAAAAGTCTCCGGTTTTTGGTATGAGCGCGCGTCGCCGTAGCCATGCGCGTCGGCAAAATGAAAAAGGGGTTTTTTTTTCAATGAAAGATGATGTCTCAAAACTGCCAAACTCACTGGTTTGACTGCAGTCATGCTGCTGCACAATTTTAACGTGTTTTTGGATGGGGTAATGATCCAGAATAAGCTTTATGTGGCCTCTCTGGACTTCCATATATTTGCACTAAAGTTTAGTCGGGCACCATTTGCAGTCATCAGCCGACATTTGAGGCAAAACAAATCAGGTAAAAAAAAAAAAGTCGCCGCACCACTTTTTGGGCAAGCTCCATACCAGAAACCGGAGACTTTTTTTTTTGGCCTTAGGGTAAATAGTTCAAAATTATGTTTTATTCATGAGCGAGGCCTGATGGCACCAGAAAAAAAAAACCAACATAAATGTGTTATCTATCTCCGATCAAAATGGAGCAATTTAAAAATTATTTCCTTCCCTGTCTATAATGTCCGGTCTGAGCTACATTTTTCTGATCAGCACGAGGCAGCCTGTATGAATCGATAATGCGCTTTTTCCCATTAAATTTAAACGAACAACTTAACACACTGTTCGTTGATGCAGTATTTTCATTGAAATGAAATTTCTCTCTTGTTTTACTGATTCACTGAAGTTCTTTCAACTCAGAAGTATAAGTTTTACTGATCTCAAAAGTATTTTTGAAGATTTGTATTTAACCTTCAAATTCGAACATTAAACACACTTGACACAATACTGCGCCGTTGCATTGATCCACTCGGACAATAGGAAGCAATGAAGAGTAAAGGAAAACACTGATGGTACTTGCAAATCAAAGTTTTATCAGCGTAAAATCAAATATGTGGTAAAAGATTCTTTGGAAAAAAAAGGAATTCATCTTGTGGTAACTGATGGAACAAACATGTAGGCCTATTTTATAAGTTTATTCCTTCCTCAAGTACAAAGAGGAATAATGACAGCTATTGTGGTCGACGAAGAAAATAAGGATCTTGTCATATTCCGGATATAATAATGGGTCTGGCAGGAAATAGCCAATATTTCAAGAATCAACAAATCAGCATTCATTTTGCAGATCATTATGATTTCATTGCCAATACGTCGGGGGAAATGCAGAAACGATCTCCATCACTTCCTTTAATATTTTAACCTCAAGTTCCTCATTCGTATACAAACACGTTTAATTAATTGTATGTCACGAGAGAATCAGTTGCTCAGTCGTTGGAGGAGTTTGGTCGTCATGGAGGACCGTCTTCACTTCATCCTTTTGTTTCTTCTGATGGGACTGTTCACAGGTAGGTCCGAGTTTCCCTGTAAATGTTTCTTGGCGACTGACTTTCTAAGCCCTTCTATAAAACAAAAGTGAAGCCGCTTTTACATATTAAAAAAACCCAACTATTATTCCGTACTTCAACCGTTAAGCCATTAAAATATGTTTTTTATAACTTGCCATTACCAGCCTTTGTGGAAGTATTCGTGACAAAAAAAAATCACCTTGATTATGAAAAATAAAAACGGTAGAGGCATATTGATAGGGCCTGTATTATGTTCATTCACCAATTTTGATTTGCTAACCGAAGTAATTTCGTTGTTGAGGTAAAATGTTGACGCTTCATAATGTTTACCAGTCATAGACTCATTGTCCATAGCCTACAGAAAAATCCACACAGAGTCTGAAATGTACCACGAAAATGTTTAAAAAAAGCTCGCTTGTTTTCATCTGATGCGGGATGCGGGAGCAACGAATTGCATTTCCTATGAGGTTCATAGCAGTGTATGAAAGCCAATGAATTTAGAGTCAAATTGTCAATATCCTATACTGGCGATGCTTTATGTGCACATCACGTCCCTCCCACGCTAGTTTCAGACGGAGTGATCCTCGGCGCACTCGCGTTTCTTAAGCTTTTCTTTGTAAAAAAGACGTGTGACATGGAGTGACAGCTAGTTCTCTAACCTCTCGATTTTTAAGGATCACCGTTTTGTATCCATATGTCGAAAGCGTGAAAGGGTACTTTCAAAATAATTATGAACGCCTATAAATTTGGATAACGATCTTTCCAACCGTCTTAGTCGTACCATGATAAACGTGTTTTGAGAGCTTAGGAGACGGAGCACATTCCGGACGACAATGTGGAACGAGAAATTTCCGCGTGCCAGAAAGAAATTGCTACCACCGAAACTATTTGTAAAAAAAAGTCGGCACAAGGTATTAGATTCCGATTTTTCCTGGTGTTGTTTTAGCAGCAGGTGTTGGATCAGGAACGGATGGGGGGGGGGGGGGGTACACGGGTTACACCCCCGTTCAGCCGCTGGCTAATGCTATGATACAATGGGGCTAAAATACTAAATAGAATGTTAAAATTCCTAAATTTAATCTCAAATTGCCTTAGAATAAGAGAAAGCATCGTAGATTTCAACATTTTCCTTGGGCCTGACCCGGGCCATAGCAAAACGTGCACTACGCCTTCACTCAACACCACCACCCCCTTCATAATTATCAACCACCCCCTACCCCGCCCTGTTTCCTGAAAGCTATAGATCCGCTCCCTGTGGTTAGTGTCTGGATTCTCCGATTAGATATACATTTTGTTATGTACAAACATGGTACAAAACACTATTGCTTTTCAGGTGTTTCAGCGATCGTTGATTTCACCTGTATCACCAAGCCTCGTATTGATATCGGCAGTGAAGACACCTACATCGCAGCCTATCTACATGGTGGTGATGCTGCGCTGTCCTTCGCTCGAACAACCTTCACGGACACAACCGTCGATGATAAAGATAACAGGTTAGGGCTACCAACATACCACCGTTCGGACCCACGCTCGTCATCAGAGGGAGGTGAGATCTCTATTCTTCGATTGCCAAAGGCTGGAAGGACGACAAGGATTGGAGCCTTTGCCTGTAATGCTATGATAGCAGGAAGTGGAAAAGTCAACATTGGCACCGTCATCATAAGCAAAACAGGTAGGTTTATTCATCGGGGTAGTACACCATCATCAATGCAAAGAATACAGAGGGGTGGTTCAAATTATAGAAAAGTCGGTTTTTTGTGTGTTAATTACATGTATAATAGACAATAAAAAGATGAATTAATGACCAGCCGGAGTGCGCCCGAGCGGCACACCAGAAATCCTTCAAGGGCGGATCCAGAACACATTTTTTTTGGGGGGTGGGGGGAAATTTGGTCGCCCAAAAAGTGGGTCCCAAAAACGACGGCATGGGGTTCGGGGCTCGACAAATGTTTGGATTCTAGATGCTCTGTGGTGCGATCTGAGGCTATTTCTGACCACTTTAACCAAATCTTTTGGAGGAAAAGGTGGTGGTGTACGCAGTGCCTGCCTTTTCTTTTTATTGCGACGCCACTTGAAAAAAATGTTTTCGTTTTGTTTGTTTGTTTGTTTTTGGGGGGTGCTTTTTGGGGGGGGGGCATGGCCCCCTTTGCCTCCCCCCTATCTGCCCTCGGAATGCGTTTTTATTCCCGGAAATGGGGAGGATAGGCTAAATGATCAACCCCCAGATTTTGTGAAAAAAAACAAGACCCCAAAATCATCGTTGTGATTTGTACCTAAAAGGTGAATGCAAAAGGAAGACCACAAAATGGAGTCTGAAATCAAATTTACAATTTAAGGATACAAGCCTCTTAAAATAAAGGTAAACCGTGCAAACGTACAGCGGTTCTGTTCTGATTGTATGAATATTATTTGGTCCATCTCTTGTAGGCCTTACTTACCACCAATCTTTGCAAAGTTAAAGTACCGGAATTTGCAATGTGCGTGAAATTTCAGGATATGTTTTACAATGCATTATTCGCACAATCCCAGCCGTCGCGCGTCGCTCAATCTTGGGCTCCAAAACGCGTTTCTAAAATGAAATTTGAAAGATCGTTGACACAATACCTTGAAAACTATGATCTCTGGCTAATTATCTCGAGAAAGAATGTAGGGTACAATTTTCTGGGTTTTTTTTTCTTCAAATGTCGAACTGCATGTTAGAGCGCTGGTCGTCATTAATGATTATTTATTGTTTTAATAAAAGTTAATTCAAACGCGTGTGGGTTGTGCATGTGAGTCCTGATATCGCACAGGTGAATCTCTTGAAATACTAATGCCTGTATCTTATACAGTGTGTATAAAAAATAATGATACATTTAGAGAATAATAGTAACTCATATATATGTGCTTAAGAATAATTATTTCTCAACACAATGCTGTTTCCCTATCTCATTAGTTGGACACCTACATCCAGAGTGATGATATGTCAAAATTTGATGATATGTGATGATATGTGATGATATGTCAATGTGGTCCAATTTGCAGCAAAGAGGATGAAAGGAGATTAACATGCCAGCAATCTCTCTGTTGGCTAACTTACCTATTGTTCTTTGCCAATCAATATTACTCGTTTACACAATCATTACAGTACTAGTTTAGGTTGTATGGTGTTTCTTATGCGCCATCGGCGTCACATTTTCCACCAAAGCTTATTGTCCACTCGCACTTGTTTACAATACAGCTGACTTCCTGCCTACCCAAGTGAGTCAGACGGTAAACCTGGGAGATCCAGTCAATCTGACCGTCACTGCAACAAACCCAGCCCTTAACTACACTCGGTGGAGAAAGGATGGCGGTGATGTCTTTCGGGATAGAAGCGACAGTGTTTACTTTGATTTCATTAGTGCCACTATCTTACACACAGGGATCTATGAGGTTCATTTTGCCGGGGAACGTAAACAAGGAGACCAGGCACTCATGCGGTTGATTGTCAGAGGTATGGTTGATGCAATTGGGATTGAAGTTTGAGTAGCCTGTTTAACAATAGCCTTTAGTCAGGGCCCACTTGATTGGGAACTTTCAACACGTATCGACCCTCATCCCTAGTGGCGAATATTACTCTGACGTCATGAAGACGTCATCGGGTGTCAAATTACAAGCGATTTTAGCTGAAATAATGACCAACTTCTTTCACCTATAACTTTTGAACAAAATAATCAATGATTTTTTTTTGTAATCAGATAGACCATTAATTGTTAAACATTTTTTTGTGTACGTGAAGTAGCCTGACCTTTACTTCCGGGCCTACCGGAAGGTCAAAGTTGGGTGAACTCGAAATGGAGACATCAGCCAGAAATCAAAACAAAGCAGAATTTCTTTCGAACGGTAAACGGAATGATCATAAAGCCTAGTGTGAACTTGTACCATGTAACGAAGATGTTTTACATTTTGTTACGTCATCCTGATGTCATCAGGTATCAAATATCAAGCGATTTAAGGGAACAAGTTGACAAAATATTTTGAGCTATATCTCTTAAACTACAACGATTTTCTTGTTCATTATTTTTTTTTCTTGAGGATGTAGACGATGCCTTGAGCAACATTTATTCTTCCCGGGCACAAAACCGCTTTGACCTTCACTTCCAGTGTACGTATTAGCGGAAGTGCAATAGAAATTGAATCTAACTCGAAAACGGAAGAATTTTACTACTGACAAATACAGTGTGGAAGTGTTAAGTGAGGAATGCCAAACACAAACTAGAGGACAAGGCGTTTGTAAACAAACGTAGAGTGGTCGAGCCGACAACTATTTCATTAGACACAGCTTAAGTTATGAATAATTTTATGTCAGAACAAAGGATCACGAAAATTTAACCTTTCTAGTGCTACCAATGATTTTGTTTTAAACAAAAATGTATCAAATTTCAGTAAACATTTTATGATGTACACGTGCAAGTTACTTTCTGGTTTGATGGCATCATCAGTCCAAAAAGGGAAAGTGAATACTTATTTAGTTCGGAGAGGACACATGTTCATTATGAAGTTAACATAATGTATGGAAATATGGAAAAAAATAAGTGTAATAACACCTGACCTGTTTGATGACGTCACAGCATTAAAGATCCAAAGGTCTACATTGTAACGGATATCATTATTTGGGCTACAAACTCATGACAGGGATGAAATGATAGAATGTAAAAAAAAATTATCATTTTCAAATTCTATTTGATGTACCGACAGCAGAGAGCGCTCTTTCAAATGATGACGTCATAATGCTATTTTTGTGTCCTTTATTCCGTTCTAAACACTTCCATGATTTATTTGCTTATAGTTAAGAGCTTCCGCTTCCGAGTAAATTCAATTTTTATTTCACTTCCGGTAACATCGGAAGTGAAGGTCAAGTGGTTTTGTGCGGGAATAAGAATCGTTGCCCGAGGCATCATTTACAACCTCAGGCAAAAACGAACACGATACTCTATTTAATTCTAAAGATAATACTGAGCTGAAACTATTTTCACTGTAAATTTGGCCCTTAAATTGCTTGCAATGTTATACCTGATGACGTCACGACGACGTTAGATTTTGTTTAAATTAGTTCATACCAGGTTTTATCATAATCCCGTAAATCTTTTGGAAGAAATTTGGTTAGTTTTGATTTTGAGGCTTCTGTCTGTATTTTAAGTTCACCTACCTTTTGACCAAGTAAAGGTCAAGCGAGTTCACGTACGCGACAAAAAAAAAAGTTTACCAATTAATGGTCTATATCTGATTACAACGTATGAATATGATTGATTATTTTGTTCGAGAGTTATAAGTGAAAGACGTTGGTAATTTCGTAAACGAAAATCGATTGTAATATGACACCCGATGACGTCATCATGATGTTAGAGTAATATATGCACCGCTCTGGATGAGGGTCGATATACGTTAAAACTGTTACAAGTTCATACCATTAACCGTTTAGGAGAAAACCCGTGGAGCGTTATTGTCCGGAAAAAAAAGGAAAAAAAAGAAAGAAAGAAATTTATAAGAACAATTCCAGACAGTGGTCGGGTTGTGCCCGACCACTCAAAAAAATAATGTTGACGTCATCCCTCGAAACGACGCCCTCTGGCGGCACATCAAAAAGAGCTTAACCTTTTTCAATTTTAAAACCCTCAATCTAAATTTTACCAAATTGCCCCTATTAATTCCGTTAGCAATCACAGTTGAATTTGCAAGGTTTCATAATCATGACGTCATCAGACCGGAAGTTACTGTTGGGAGAAGTTAACATTGATCATCATTTTGTTTTTAATTTAAATCCATTGTATAATCCCTGTCTCATGACTTTGTTCCTAGCCCAAATAATGACATCTGTTACATTTAATGTTGACCTTTTGGTTCCAAACACTGTGACGTCATCAAACTGGAAGTTGTGTGTTATTATTACATATACTTATTATTTCCATATTTCCATGCGTTATTTTTACTTAATGATAAACAGGTATTATCCATGAAGTACATCAGTATTCCCTTCTCTTTATTGACAGATGACGTCACCAAACCGGAAATAACTTGTACGTGTACCTAAAATGTATACTGTAATTTATCGTACCCTAAAAGATGCATTTTTGTACTAAGTAATTCATTGTCCTGGAAAGGTTAATGTTCGTGATCCTTTGTTCTGACATAAAACCATTCAGAACTTAAATCAGCGATGTCTAATAAAAAAAGTTGTCTGCCCGACAACTCTGCGTTTGTAACTAAAAAACCCCGCTAACCTATAGTTTCCCTTTTTAATTTGTTTCAAAGGTTGCAAAGAGCATAAATGGAATTCGCCCACTTGCGATAGAGCATGTCCAGACTGTTTCAATGGCGGAGTGTGTGACGATTCGAGTGGAGAATGCATTTGCCCGCCTGGCTTTGGTGGCGAATTATGCGGAAATCGTAATTCTTATAATTCGTAGTCAAAGTTTCTGAAAATAATATTAAAAATACTAAATTTATCAGCGTTATTACTTAGATTTAAAACAACAACCACGAACTTGCCGAGCAGCCAAGGACATAGAGTAGTGGGGCCCCGAGACAGCGGGTAAGGAAGTGGTGGTCTAATTGTCTTGAAGAACGATAGTAAAACAAGTTAGACAAACTTACGTTTGCCTCTTCAATTCAGAATGGGGCCATTGGGGATAGGGTTAGGTTTAGGGTCTCGATTAGGAACGAGCTTCCCCTTCCGCCCCTCCCCTTGTTACTCTTCTGGTGAAAAAAATATATTTGTGTTCTAAAAAACAAGCACAAGCCTCTTTTGTCATTATTAATAAATAAGAAAGTTGTTTTCTTTTTTTCGCAGCGGTAGGCCCCAGCCGTTTTGGTCAGAGCGGAAGTTTTCGCTGCGACTCAGCTGAGTTAAGAGGCGGCCCTACGTGTGCAGGGATGTTGTTCTGTTTACCAGATCCTTATGGCTGCTCGTGTGCTGCAGGGTACCAGGGAATCGACTGCATTGAAAGTAAGTCAGACCTTCAAAATGTATATTGGAAATATCCACACGATGAAACGTTTCATATTTAAGTTTTTGATACCGGACAAAAGCTAAGATTAACAATTTTCACGGCTGGTGTTTACTTGTTTCAACAACCACCATATCAAAATGTTACAATTCTAAAACAAATGGTTTTCTAATGCACATTCATGTCATTTTTTTTTAAAATCTTAGCTTTGACCATGTATGAACGGTCTTAATAGTTCACATCAAAATAAATACCAAATTCCCAGAGCATGTGTAAATGGTCTTTTTTGGTTCCAGTTATGACATCTTTGGCAGTCTCTCACTGGCATGTAATTGTCTGGGAGGTGTTAGTCAGTGGTCCATCCAGCATTTCCCATAGAAGGTTGGCTGGGGTGTTGAAGTCCAATATTTATTTCAAGGCAGGGCTAGATGAGGCTTTGCATGCAGTCAACACATGAAAGGACTAAAACGCCTGAGACAACGAATCAAGATCTGTATCATTTATCCGATCTTGCACTGTAGGGTGTGCTGATGGTTTCTACGGAGCAGACTGTGCACAGACATGTCACTGCATGGACGGGATCGCGTGCAACAGAACTACGGGCGAGTGTCGTGATAGAAACTGCGCACCAGGATTCACGGGCATCAACTGCCAAGGTAATACAATTTTGTGGTCTTTATTTTCTTTCGCTTGAAGTTTAACTCCTTAAAATGTATCACAATAATATTTCGCTGATGTTTCTTTTATTTAAGCGTGTGACATTGACACATATGGACAAGACTGTCGCCTTTGTCACTGCATGGACGGGGTCGCATGCGACAGAACTACGGGCGAGTGTCGAGGGGACTGCGCACCAGGATTCACGGGCATCAACTGCCAAGGTAATTTTAACTTGTTGAAAAGCATAGACAAACTAATTTATGGGAATTTTAGTAAAAAGCCATATCCCCTCTGAGTGCTAGTGATACCTGTTATTTGCTATTTTCAAAGTCTTCATCGTAATCCCTGGCTTCATAACGGGCTTAGGCCTATGGCTTCTGACTTCTGGGAAAGGGAAGGGGGTTAACAAACTGGCCTACAGGTATTAAACTCCGTGGTGCAAGTTAAACAGGGATTTTTCTCCGTCACCAAATCGGGGAGGGGGGGGGGAGTGCTGTCGGGGCGAGGACTCCATCTGTATCTGTGAGAGCCTCGATCCCCAACAGTTGTGCAACTACAGACCAGTTTCAACTCTGCCGTTTGTCTCCAAAATTCTGGAGAGAGTTGTCCAATTCACAAGTTACTTTGAGGACGAAAATCTCCTGGAGGATAGGCAGTCAGCATACAGACAATGGCACAGTGTGGAGACCGCTCTTGTCAGAGTGTCAAATGATATCCTTCAAGCCATCGACAATCGTCAGATGGTACTTCTGGTCCTTCTTGACTTATCTTCAGCCTTCGATACGGTAGATCATTAGCTTCTACTGCAGCGTCTTTCCGACAGGCTTGGCATCACTGACTTAGCTCTACAATGGATCCAGTCTTACCTTGAAGAGAGAGCTCAAGTAGTGTCCATTGGTGATGCGAAATCTGACCGGCGGGCTCTTGATTGCGGAGTCCCACAGGGCTCGGTCCTGGGTCCTGTTCTCTTCTCAACATACACGCTACCATTGGGTGACATTGCCAGACATCACAGTGTCCAGTTCCACTTCTATGCTGATGACACTCAACTTTACTTTTCACCTGATGCTGATACCGCCACATCGTTCAACCAGATGCATGACTGCCTCTGCCACTTCCAGTCATGGATGAGTCGCAATTTTCTACGTCTCAATGCAGAAAAAACCAGACTCTCATACTTGGATCTCGATTTGATCACCCGTATTATTTTCATCTCACCACATCTCACCATCACTGACCACGAGTTGTCAGTCTCCAACTCTTCTCGAAATTTGGGAGTTGTGTTCGACCGTCTGTTCAAATTTGTGCAGAAGCGCTAACTTTCACCTACACAACATAAACAGAATTCGCAAGTACCTGTCACAGGAAACAGCAGAACAGGTCATCCATTCTTTTGTTTCTTCACGTCTGGATTGTTGCAACGCCCTGTTCGTTGGCCCACCGGCTACGTCTATATCACGTTTACAACGTGTCTTGAATAATGCAGCTCGGGTCGTTGTGCAGTGTGGAAAATTTCACCACATTTCACCTGTTTTGAGAGAACTACATTGGCTACCGGTATCCAAGAGGATCAATTGCAAGATCTGCCTCCTTGTGTTTAAGATCCTGCATGGTTGTACTCCTCGGTATCTCCGTTAGCTTATCTCCCTCAAACAAACAGGTCGGGTTCTCAGATCATCCAGCTCGTACTTACTTGCAGAACCAAGAACTAGGACTATCCGCTATGGTCAGCGTGCCTTCACCAATGCAGCACCTGCCATTTGGAATAAACTCCCTGCCACACTCCGTCAAACAACATCCCTGGACATCTTCAAAAGAGAACTGAAATTTCATCTTTCTAACTAGTTATTTCTTTGACTGGGGCTTGACTGTTTTGGTGTGTGTAGGCGCCTTGATCGGGTTTCCGGATAAGTGTGCTATATAAATCTATTATTATTATTTCTTTAAAGATGCGTTTACCGTGCTCTTCAATAAATTCGATATTTTTCCGTATATACATTTTTACCAGGTGCATACTTTATTCATGCCAAAAGTCTTTTTTTTGGGGGGGGGGGGCTTTTTTGACGTCTGAAAAAGGGCTTCGTTTTGGCAACAAATATACTCGTTTTGCAAGCAGATTGGCGCTCCGTTCATTATAGATACTGATTGTGGCTCGGAAATCAGCCTACTCTGCGATAACTGAATTATTATCTGGCAGCCAATAGTTCGAAATTGTAACGTTAGAATTCGACATGGGCCGGTTCTTTCTATCCGGACTTCTCATTTATAAGTGTAGGCACGGGTAACGCAACTTTAAATATAAAAATTTTGTTTAATTTCAGTCAAGCTGACCGTAGATGATTTCACCTGTATCACCAAGCCTCGTATTGATATCGGCAGAGAAGAAACCTACATCGCAGCATATCTACATGGCGGTGATGCTGCGCTGTCCTTCGCTCGAACAACCTTCACGTACACAACCGTCGATGATAAAGATAACAGGTTAGGGCTACCATCATACTACCGTTCGGAACCACGCTCGTCATCAGAGGGAGATGAGATCTCTATTCTTCGATTGCCAGCGACTGGAAGGAAGACTAGGATTGGAGCCTTTGCCTGTAGGGCGACGATGGCGGAAACTAGTCTCAATAGCATTGGTACAGTAATTATGAGCAAAACTGGTAAGTGTGATCGCGCGCTAGATTAGTAATAGCTACCTATTATTAACCTACCTACCTATATTAAATAATAATAATAATAATGCTGAGCTGAATACACTGGGTAGGGATACCAAATTCAATGATATTGGTTTCTTATACAGGGGGACATTGTAAAGACGCCTTGATTATGTGGCATGGTGGCCACTGATGGGGGCCGGGGAAGGGAGGGAAGATCGCTGTTCTGTGAAACTCGCTCTTGGATTTGTGCCGGGATGATGAGTTATGCCGGGAAGAAGGACCAGAGAATTGTGATTTGTATTTTCAACTTGGTGTGTTCAGTCACAAGCAAGTAGTAAATTGTTGTCAGACTGACAATGTATACTTTGTGATTCAGCTCGATCGTCTTTTGGGGCCTTCGGATGTGACTTTTGAGCCTGTTGTACGGATTACCTTATTTTAAGTTCTTGGCAGATTTCGTTTATGCAACACTTAAAATGATCAGGAAAAATCATAAACTTGCCAGTATTAGAACTTTTGTTGTGAACAGGTTTATAGGCCTAGATGCAGTGCAATTTTGAAGTTTAAAGCTTCACCGTTTCGGTGACGATAACCCAAACGTCCCATCATTCTAATATGCCTTAGAAATATTTTAGGATCATTAAATATGAACAACTTTAGGATTTCATCTTCTTTCTGACCGAAAACATGGGGTATATGGTGATAAGCTGATGATGCCATGCTATCGAATTAGTATTTGTTGACTTGTACGTTCCGGCTCATTTGATCGACGTGCTTGATTATTAATTTGTGTTATCAATCACAGCTGACTTCCTCCCTACCCGAGTGAGTCAGACGGTAAACCGGGGAGATGCAGTCAATCTGGCCGTCACTGCAACAAACCAAAACCGTAGAGAAACACGCTGGAGGAAGGACAATGGTGGAACCGTCCATAACGACCAATTGTCTTGGAATATGAGCACCGTTGCTGCCTCAAACAGTGGTGTATACGAGGTTCACTTCCGCGGGGCACGTAGTCATGGAAACCAGGCACTTATGCGGTTGCTTGTCAGAGGTACGTGGATTCATCCTCATTTGAAAAACTGCAGTCAAACTGCAAGTGTTAAAAGCAATGATCAGTGGCGGCGGAACGGGTTTGAAACTGGGGGGGGGGGGGATCACCCAAAAGGGGCACTTGCAAACCAAAAGGGGACCTTGCAAACCCGTGCTGAAATGTCGCCACGTTTTTTTCACCGGACACTTGGCCTCCGTAAAAACAAATAGGGGGGGGGGGGGGGGACCATCGTCCAACATAGGGGGCGCTCTTCAAAACCAATGATAATATGCTAAATATACATTATGTGCCCATTTCCAGGGCGTATTGTATGGGTTTTGGGACTTGGTTTTCATATTCCTCGTTTATATCAAAAATATCACTACCAGTATTACTGTTACTTCTAAGAAATACTAAGATACTTTAAGGGCATTATTGATTTATCTCGAGGGGACACTTTAATGCTCGAGGGGGCACATTTATGGCCGCAAAAGGGGCACTTGGGAAAATATTGGGGGGGGCAAACGCCCCCAGTCCCCCCCCCCCCCCCGGTTCCGCCGCCCCTGGCAATGATGTTGTAAAATGGCAATTAATGTTTATATTCAGTATTTTTTTTATTATCTAAGGATGCGGGAGACATATTTGGAATGCTCCCTCTTGTGACAGTGATTGTCCGGTCTGTTTGAATGGTGGTATTTGTGACATCCGGAGCGGCGTCTGCATCTGTCCGCCTGGTTTTGGTGGCAGTTTCTGCGAAATACGTGAGTGGTTTGAAGTTGTTCTAAATCTACGTGCGTACCTATGTATTAAGAAGCTCCTTGGTCAAAGTAGGATCGTTGTTAAAAGGAATAAACAATCGGAAAAAAAGTCTACCTTCAATTTGTCTTCCTGGGTTTTGAAAGACATATAGTAGGAGGGCGGTATTTATTATTATTGAAATTTGGTAAATACAGAAGAATTCCCATAGCGCCCTCATATTGTGTCCACCATATAGCTAAAGACTAATATCTCTCCCTGGCAGCAAATTACAATCAACCAGTTCATCCGACCTATTCCGGTTATCATTAACAACACGTACATGTATGAAAGGCCCAATTGTTTTCTCGGGTGATCCGTCATTGTCTATTGCACTACATGGAATTACAAGCAAATGTATCGTTTGTTTTGCTGAATCACATGTTAAAAAATGTGATTATGCCATACACCACTTCCTGATTGATTTTTTTTTAGCGTTTTTATTGAATTCTTTAAATAAACACGAATGAGAGTACTATTCTTTTTCAGTTTTAGGACGAAACCGTTTTGGCCAAACAGGAAGTTTTCGCTGCGACTCACCTGGTCTAGGAGGCGGTCCTACGTGTGCTGGGATGCTGTTCTGTTTACCAAATCCTTATGGCTGCTCGTGTGCTGCGGGATACCAAGGAATCGACTGCAATGAAAGTAAGTAGTTTAACCGTTTATTGCGTCATTACATTTGCTCTGGGGCTTTTTTTTCAAGTTGTGATTTTTTTGGGGTGGGGTTGACGTCTTTTGCCTTTGAAAACGGATTCAATTTTGGTGGCAAACAAATCTGCCTTGCGAGCAGACTGGTTCCCAGTCCGTACATTATCGATACTGATTGTAGCGCTGGAACCTACAACAGCGGAATTATTGTCGGGCCGCAAGTAATTCGAAATTTGTAACAAATCAGAGAAACAAACATGGGGTGATTTTTGTTTCGGTCGATGTCTCATTCAAAAATGGACAACTCTTGCATTGCTGAAAAAATAGCAACTTGATAACAACTTTATGACGAAAAGTATCTTAATAGCAAGAAATGCCTTCTACTTTAGGTGTATCAGGAAATAAATGAAAACAAAAATCTTGGTATTCTTGAGCTGGAAGGAGTATCACTTCTGGCAGTTTTATCACTTCTGGCAGTTTTATTTGTCATATGTTAGCTTGTGAGCATAACACTTACGGAGCAGACTGTGCACAGAAATGTCACTGCAAGGACGGGGTTCCTTGCAACGGAACTACGGGCGAGTGTCGTGACAGAAACTGCACACAAGGATTCTTGGGAATCAACTGCCAAGGTATTTATTCTAAGATAGATTGAGCTGTTGAAATTAAGTGTACTTTTCAAGTTATTACCAACCTTTCATTTCATTTTTTTTTAAACGTCTACGGGCTTGCGGGGCTTCATGTGTGAAAGTAACAAGTCAATTCGTAGCCTCACTCCCCTAAGGTGTGGGGACTAGGACTCTTAGATTTCGCTGTCCACGTGATGTACCCTGCTGTTTGAGGAGAATACACGAGAAAGTGTGGATTCGTAATTTAAGAATTCGCGCTGAGTAAATTCGTAAATTAAGAACCCTGACTTGCGAGTGTATTCTTCGACTTAAACCATTGCGTCAAAATAAGTATTGCCATTAACAGTCCAGTGAGTGGAGATGAAAAGACTTGCATATCTCGTGTGGAGTCGTGGCCATTAGGGTATTTACAAGGATAGTTCAGACGACGAAGTTCTTTCTGATTCAAAGTAGTTTTTACAGTGACGGCGGAAAATCTGACAATGAAGATGCATTAGTAATTTTCGGAAGGAAAGTTTCCACGCAGACGGTCTTAATGCTCATTATGGAAACAAAATTTCCGACATGTTCAAAGTGTGGATTCGTAATTCCAAATCCACACTTTACTAAAGATTCGAATAGTTCCGAATCCACACTTTGTGACCAGTGTAAGAGATTCGTAGATCCGAATCCACACCTTTAACAATAGTGTGACGTCATAGCAATGGTTTAAAATAAATTGTAGTATAGGCCTACCACGCGCTCGCAGGCTATTTCTATAGGCTTTATGACAGCCGATACCTCAAAATTCTTCTAGCTTTCCTTGGATACGTCTGTCTTGAACTAGTCCGGGGCAAAACGCACGTGTGCGGTGCACTTGATGACATACGTCATCACTCGCGTACGTTAAGCCACCAACAATGCTCTGCGAGTCCTTTATAAAATATAGGAGTTTTAATATTGCCCTTTGATAGGAAGTGTGGCGAATTTGAAGTTGATTACGAGCATTAAGGGGAAAAAAATCACTCGGGAAGGAGAGGGGTTTAGACGACAACGCAATCGAACATCAAAAGGAGAGGTGATAATCAGTCCAGATTTCAGAGCATCATCATTGCAATGCGAACAGGAAATGTCAGCGGTGATGGTTCACTTCTTTACTGCTTTAAGTCTCTAAATCTATGTGCTGAATTGTACTCATCATTATACTTACCTTACGATCTTAATAAGGAATTATACATGTGTGCTTGGCCGGTTTTAAACACCATGTTTAAGACCGGTTTGGAGTCTGGACGCCGATAAAGACCCGAGCTGAAGGAATTTGTGAATAGCAATTCATGAATACCTATGACAGTTTACCCATTCCTATTGCTTCGAGAGCCCGTCACGTGGCCGGTCTTAAGCGGTTGATAAAACACGGCTGGCTGGTTAAACACACTTTTTCAGTGTCCATGAAATTTGGACTCCTATGAAATCCGGTCCCTTTTACCCTTATATTAGTTGAAGGTCTACAATCTTAGCTCGGGTAGGCATGCGCAATAATACCAATTGAGTCCGCATTACTAGTCCTAAATTCACACTACACCAACACAGCTGCGTTCTGCGCCGCTCGCGCTGTACGCACAACGCGCTCGCAATTCCCCATATAAGGAATTTTTACGAGTACGCCCGAGAGGCACCATAACATAGCTAGAGGGATGTTTACAAAAACAAGAAGTAAATTTGTTGGAAATTTATACATTTTGACTGTTTGACCGAAACGCTTCGGTTCAGGTCATTATTAGCCTCTCGCCTAGGCCATCGTGGCTTAACTTGCCAGCATTAGACAAAGCGGCGAAATCGCGAAGCGACTGGAGCAGGAGACCAGTGGCGAAGCCACGAGGGCCTTGTCCAACTTGTCAAGAATGTCTTATGTTTTTCTTTATAATCTCGATTTTTGCTACTCCTAAAGGGTAGCAAATTTCCAACCAATTATCAGCCGTTTAGTGCGCGTGGCTACTACCCGGACGCGTCGACGCGCCCGGATGCTTGCACACAATTAAAAAAAAAAATCGAAGCCTAGTTTTCCACGAGATCGTGACCGTTATTTTAATTTTACTTATAAAATTATTTCAAGTAATTGTTTTAGTGTTTGAACTTATTTTTCATCTGAACTTACAGTTATTTACTCTTACGTTCTCCTTACTCACCCTTCTTTCACAAACGGAAGCAATTAGGCAAAATCCGCGTTGTGATTGGTTAACCTTTCAGAACTCTTTTTATTTCCAATCAAGTTGGAAAAGGCGTCGTGGCTTTGCCACTCGTGCGTGCTGACTTAATCTTTGTTTCAGTCGCTTCGTACTTTCGCAGCTCCGCCGCTCTAAGCCACGATGGCCTTGGCAAAAGGCTAGGTCATTATCAGCGTCCAGACTCCAAATCAGTCTTAAACATAGTGTTTAAAACCGCCAATAACACATTAATCCACTCATTAATGCATTCGTCAATTATCTCTCATCTCTTTAGAAAAGTGTCTCCCATTTGGAGGAAGCAACTCATCATGTAATACAACCTGCACCATGCCTCCAGGTAAACTGTTCTTCCATATAATTGTTTTTCAAGGATCGTGACTTTGAGTAGTGGTTATAAGTCTTTCCTAAGAATTTAGAGTCGATGCTTTCTGTTCAAGCAGTATAAGATCTGGCCTTTTGTAAGGTCCTAAAAAGCCAATTGCTTCCTCTTCTACCTCTGTTTGGCCGTCTCATAGGAAACAAAAATATCTCAATGTTTCTTTATTAAAGTTATAGTGATCGCCCTGAGATGGCCACATTCCTATCGTTTCGTATACACGCGGACTGTTTCTGAATTGTATACTGAAGTACTGATGAAGTTTGCTACAAAATTATACGGTCTGTTTCGCTCGGTACTTTCAAAATAAAGACATAGGCCTAAACACTAAACGGGCGATTTATATCGAGTTAAATTAACAGTAAAGATTGATTGCCACAAACTTAATACAAGATTATGTTATTATCAATCTCTTATTTAGACTCGACAATGAAGCCGATGAATGTCAGTTTTTCTGTCGGAAATGACCAGAGCAGTGTAAGTTTCCGATGGAATCCTGTTCGTTGTCCTGAAAGTAGCCTGACCATTAGAAACTACGTCTACAGATTACAAAGAGGAGAAAGTTACCGGGAGGAACTACAACGAGTACAAAGCACAACTGTGCAGTTCAACAACTTATTTCCCTGTACATATACCTTTAAGGTTGCCGCAGAAACGAGTAAAGGCATCGGACTATACTCAAAGAAAGTCTGGTTTAGAAATGCAACAAAAGGTTAGTAATATAATATTTAGCAACTTTCGCTCTATAAAAAGGCATGCAAAGGGAATTTAAACAATCAGTTGGATCGTTTTGTCACTGTTTGCTAACCTTCATAATTGATATAAACGTCTCAATGCTATAATACTTCATATTTTCTCCAATTAGCAGATATCAAATTTGATAGGTGACATCTTGAAATATCGCCAGTAATGTCTAAACATGACAGCTATCCATTGATGATATTTTCCCTGGTTTCTTCTCTTGCAGTGCCACTTCCCGTCAGCGAACTCGTTTTGACAGGTACCAATATTAATGACTTGCTTGTTTCTTGGAGAGCCAGTACAAGTCGGGAACATCCTTGTTGGCCAGAGGAATATCTGGTGACGTGTGAACTTCTCCTTCGCGACCAGTGCATGGATGCTCATGAACTCCATGCAGTCAACGTGACTGTTTACACAAGAATCGTTTTCAACGATCTGGTGCCATACTCAACGTACAGGGTAAATGTAACATCAAGAACTGTGGCTGGAAACGGCACAACAGTTACAAGCGTCTGGACAACTCGTGAAACAGGTATGAACTACACGAGCAAGACGTTCCCTGGTGCACCCCTTCAGTGCCTATTTTTTTTAGGCTTACGCCTTCTGTCTTTGAAAACCGCAGTTCCTGACTTTATCGAAGCACAATGATTTTTCTGGTTTCTTCTAAATACGAAGCCTAGCATCCTGAGCCTATAAATTGGGTCAAAATTGGGTAAAGAATTAAAAGTCAGTATAAATGATGAACGGGCAACTCACATTTACAACCTGTAAATCATAATTAATCATAACTACGTCAATTTGACGATTTTTCACCCAGTTCCGTTAGTTGCTCCAGAATTTAACTCGAGTGATCCAGCCCCCGACAGCATCACGTTCAACTGGAACCCCATCCCTTGTGGCAGCGCACGTGGCAACATAACGTCGTATGAAACACTTCTGACCTCACCAGGAAGAGAGATTAACACTAAGACTGTCACAACTGAGTCTGTGACTTTTGATGGCTTGTCGCCGTGTTCTCCCTACACCCTAGAAGTGTGGCCTCGTACGAAAGCCGGAAGAGGTCCACCAATGGAAGTGCAACAAGGAACGGACACCATTGGTAGGTATCTCTCTGTGTAGATATATTTTTTAATACAGACGTTATGTGCCCTAGGAAAATGTTTAGTATAGTCTTCAACTCATTACTGACTGAGCTCAGGATTAAGTAGTAGAGCGTTACTGTGCCATGTGGTCCATCCTTGCTAATTGAAGACTGGATATATAATCTTTTTTCCCCCAGTCCCAGATGTTGTTGAAGAATTTTCCGTCACAGTCTCAGGTCATGATGAACTAAACGTTCAATGGAAAGCCTCGACAAAACCTGACAACTCTTGCCCTGTAACTGATTATCTTGTGACCTATGAACTCATCAACCTGGAGCAGTGTCAGGAGATGCAGGGAAACAGCCAGACTAGAAACACGTCTACGACTGCAATCAGTATACAAGGATTGAAAGCGTACTCAAAGTACAACGTGACTGTCACACCAAGAAATGAAGCAGGGTTAGGCCAGCCACTCTCTAAAACAATGCAAACTGGAAGGACAGGTACTTGTATTTTCTAAACATATCAAATCATATTATTTCTTCAAATATCTTCATACAAAGGTAAAGGTATAATCATCATTGGTTTTGTCAATGTTTCTCGAATTAGCACCAACGGCAACACCGGTTAATATTACCAGTGTCGCTACGCCTAACAGCCTTTCATTTGGATGGGATCCCGTCCCGTGTGGAACGAGAGGCGGGCCGCTCGGAGGTTACCGTTTCTGGTTCGGGAAGAGAGGAGACGATGACTATGTCAAGCAAAGACGTACCAGCGATGGTTTTGTAACATTCTCTTCATTACCTGTGTGTACGTCATATTCCTTCAAAGTTCAAACCTACAGTTCAGCACGATTAGATTTCGGACCATGGACAGATGAGACCAAAGCGCACACAACAATGATAGGTATGTCAACACTTCTACCTTCACATTGTACGCATAGCAGCATAAATGACAAGAAGGGTTGAGAAATGTTTGTCCGCACAGACAAGGGGAACGAATTTGAACCTTCATCAGATAGTCACATATTTATTTTTAGAAGTAAGGTCGTGTCCAAATTACTTGGCTACGGCTTGAAATTATGAAAGAGACTATGGGAAGTGGATGCAGCCACATCCATAGGCTTGTGTGTAATTTACAGCCTCAACCTAGACTTGACTCAAGTTGGAATTGCTTGAAGTCGGTATCTTAAAAAATCACAAATAATCACCTAGTTTACATCCAGAAGACACTTCAGCATGGGTTCCACTTCAGTGCCGTAAAACAATGCGCACACACTGTTACGTACACTGTACAACATGCGTATTATACGTGTGTGTACATGCATTGCAGAGCATGTGCATACATGTGGTGCAAAAGTTGGCATCACATAAAAATGTACATGTACGTTTTTAACATGTTGGTCTGAATTTGACGCATGAGGGCGTGGTATATGGTACGGCGTGTACAGTGCACGTATGCGCTATGCGAACATTTAGATACAGACCGAGGGCAACCCAGACTTGGCCAAGTCTAGCCTCAACCAAGTAATTCGGACATGACCTTACAACTATAATGATAACTATGCGTCACTAAAAAAAAAAAAAAAAAAATACGTTTAGGCCTACACTTCAAATTTTTTTATCAAATAATTGAAATGAAGTTGATTCACTGAAACAACGACGTTGACAAGAATTTGAAAGATATGCTGCGCTCCTCATGGGAAAATGCACAAGTTGAGCTTCGATTGTACTATCGGTGTAAATTCTCTGATTTCTTGCAGTTCCAGACCCTGTTGCGGGACTACCAATCACACCTCTTGGCCATGATCAACTGGACGTACACTGGAGTGCCTCGTCAAATACAAACAACAATTGCCATGCAACAGACTACCACGTGACCTATGAACTCGTCAACTTCGAGCAGTGCCAAGAGGCGCCGGATCACGACGTTGTTGTGACGAATGTGTCCATGACTTACACCACAATAAATGGACTTCACGCGTACTCGTCGTACAATGTGACGGTGACACCGCGGAACGAGGCTGGATACGGCCAAATGCTGTCCCAAACAGTTCAAACGGGAGAAAGTGGTAAGTGCGATGTGTGTTTTGTTAGCTTAGAAATTGCCAATTTGTCAATTTGAACCTTTTTTGATACACCGCAATAAATAAGTAATGAATACATATTAAGAATATTGAGAATTCTTCAATCTAATTATGAATCGACATTTCAACCGACTGCCCGGGAACCCATGCATTATCTTGAATTAAAATGGGTTGACATATTTTCTCACTGCATTGCAAGGGTCAGAGGTTTTTATTAAAACCAATTGTATCTTAAAGCAATACATTTGCGTCATAAATTCTCATCGAACACCAAAACTGAGCCACAAATTTGAGATTAAAATTTATTTTCTTTCCTACAAGAACCAACGGGAACCCCAATACTCGGCGAGAGCTCTGCATCTTCTGATAACATTACTTTCACCTGGTCCCAAGTTCTTTGTGGTGGCAGAGGAGGCGCTATTACGGTGTACCAGTACAAGCTCACGAAGAGAGGCAGCATGACTGCAATAAGAAAAGATAACACAACGGCGATGTCCGTCACTTTTCGCGGTTTATCACCTTGTACATCGTATGCATTCATAGTCCGCGCATTCAATAGTAAAGGGAAGGGACCTCGGACTAATGAGCACCACCAGGATGCAGTTAAAATAGGTAAATGTATCTCTGGAAAAACGTCTTCATGAGATTATAAGAAGTTTTAAATGTGGTTGTGGTGTACACGTTAACATTTGAAAAAGCAAAAATAATGCAAACACTTTTGTCCCCCAGTATCATTGTGTGCACCACGGGTCACATTTTTATCTTTTACGCAAGTCATATCTACTTACGATGTGTCATCAATAGACAGCTGGACCCGATTTCACGAAGCGCTGCGACGCGTCGCAACTCGAGTTACGACGTGTAACACGTCGCAACTCGCGACGCGTCGTATCTTCCTATTCACGAAAGTTGCGATGTTTTGAACGCGTCGTAAGTTCCTTGACAACGGCTTAAAACACGTCGCAAGTTACGACGTGTCTAGTGATCATCGCAAAATAAGAAGAGTCATTTCTAAGTCAGTTTTATGCCATAAACATTACATTAACGAGATTATTGAATAGCGGGGCAATGTGTTGTAAATAGAAAATTCATTGAATAATTATGAATTAGATCGGAATACTAGAGTTGAAATTTCAAAGTAGCTATATAGTCCACTGACAGCTTGTTTTCCTTCAAAAATTGCATTGCACAGCCGCCATTTTGTTTTACGTTTTAACAACTTTCGAGCTGAGATCCGACGACTCTTTGTTGAATATCAGACGACTATTTACTGTACGCTGACTAAAAACATAAAACAGTCACCGAGTTGTGCTATAAATACACCTACGACGCGTCGCACTTACGACGTGTTTAGTGAAATGGATCGCAGGACGCGTCACAGCTGCGACGCATCGTTGGAGAAACGGCGCGTCGCAGCGCTGCGACACATCGTAAGTTACGAAGAGTTTGATGAAATCGGGTGCAGGACCCATTTACCCAACATTTTCAATTTATAACAGCGAATTATAAACAGCAAAGTTAACGACTTTTATGACAGCGAATTTGCAATGATATCAATATACTTACATATTTGATAATTGTTCGTATCAATAAGGCCCCTACGTTGATTTAGGTACAAAGAAAAAAATCTAAAGCAGCTAACTAGGTGTTAAAAAAGTGCTTCTCGTTGAGAAAGTTTGTTGAGCTTCCTTCATTGTATCGTTGTTATACATGTATTATATCTGATTTCTTGCGTGCAGTTCCAGACCCCATTGAAGGACTAACAATCACACCTCTTGGCCATGATCGACTGGACGTACAATGGAGTGCCTCGTCAAATACAAACAACAATTGCCATGCAACAGAGTACCACGTGACCCATGAACTCATCAACTTGGAGCAGTGTCGAGTAACGTCGAATCATGATGTGAGCACAAAGAATGTGTCTGTGACCAACATCGTCATAAATGAACTTCATGCGTACTCGTCGTACAATGTGACGGTGACACCGCGAAACGAGGCTGGGTACGGTCCGATGCTGTATCAAACAGTTCAAACTGGAGAAAAGAGTATGTGCAATTTGTTTTTTAATTTCACTATTAGCATTCAACTTTTTACACCACAATAAAATCTATATGCCTATAATATTTTAGAATTTCGAAAACAATCTTCCTTAAAATATGATTTTAACCGACTGCACAGGAACCATACATTTTCTTCAATTAACGGAATGACACATCTCCTTATAACCACACCGCATAAGTCAATGTTTTTATTAAGACCCATTGTACCTTATATAAATGTGCATATTATTTCACCAGAAATGAGCAACACATTTGTTTTTATTTAACTTCTTTTCCCCAAGAACCAACGGAAACTCCAATACTCGTCGAGAGTTCTGCATCGTCTGACAACATTACTTTCACCTGGTCCCAAGTTCCTTGTGGCGGTAGAGGAGGCGCTATTACGAAGTACCAGTACAAGTTCATGAAGAGAGCCAACACGACTGTAATAGAAAAAGAAACCACAACTGCGATGTCCGTCACATTTCGCGGTTTATCACCTTGTACATCGTATGCATTCATAGTTCGCGCGTTCAATAATAAAGGAAACCGCGCGGGACCTTGGACTGACGAGTACTACAAGGATACAGTTGTAGTAGGTAAGCTTATCTTTTGAAAACATCTTTATGGGAGGTTGTACTTTCTACCACGCTGTGTGTACTCACTGATAGACAAATAACTGGACCCATTTCCCCGATATTTTTAATTTAAGAAGAGTCAACTCGTCATTATTGGTACACGTATTGATCACATTGTAAAGAGACAAATGGAAGGTTTCTTCTATTTTGATCAGGGATAACATTGCACATAATTAGATCGGCGCCATAGAAATGACAAATAGAATAATTTTATGAAAATGTTTTTTAATGGTTTTATCCTTGAAAGAAAGGTAATTCAGCATACAAAAAATATCAATGCATCGCCTGTGATGTTATTTTTGCAGATGAAATCCAATCCCTCAACCTGGAGCCCTCAACCAATGAAATCAAGGCCTCTTGGATAACTGCTGGGAACGAGGAAAACCCTTGCCCTGTGACCTCGTACTGCGTTAGTTACCAACTTCTCAACTTTGAGCAGTGCCAACCGCAGACCGAGCCTACCCAGATACACAGGACAGTAAATGACACGAACGTCAACATAACATCAATGCATGCTTACTCCACGTACAGTGTGCAAGTCGTACCAGCGAATAATGCTGGCGAGAAATACATGAACAACAAGACAGTTACGACCGACGAGGGAGGTAAGTGCACTTAAACGCAAGAGGGCGCTTTACCCCTCCTGACATTTCGGCCATGTCTGAATTGGGCCTCCAGAGCTACAGCTACGTCAGCATTTTCAAAGTCGTTGTAATTGCCGATGACCCAGACAATAGATCTAGACAAGAGCTTCGTGCGCTGCCTAGATTTCTGTTTAAAGCCGGAGTCCATCATTTGCAGCTATCCAAAAAAGTAACTGGCGTAATTATTGTTGAAAAACATACTGGTTGAAAGATAGTAAGGGGACTACTCCCTGTGAAATTATTCTTTCTGGCAAGCTCTTATTTTGAAGAAATCAACGAAAGAAGGCATTTCCAACGGTGCGTCTTAAGAAGCACCGTAGGAAAATTTAAATTAGTAGTTCGTTTTGTTATTCGGCGAGCGCAAGCATTGACATGACGCTCAGGCGCGCGCTGTTCTTATATTTCGTCGGATCAGTGCGCGACATCGCGTAAAGCTGCAATTCAAAACGATTCAAACCATGATTTAGCAACTTTTAATTTGAAATTGAGATCCTAGAATGCTGCTTTTCTCGGAATTTACAGCTGAAGCTGAGCTGAAACTTCATCACGTTAGTTGTTCAGTATCCTTCATTATATTTTAAACACTTTTTTGCTTCAAACGAACAAAATGCACAAATTACAAATGATGGACTATGTCTTTAAAGTTATACTTCTGTTGTACAAATCAAGGTACTGATGCATGGGTAGCAAGTGGGCTACGTATCTTTTGTCGGACAAAGGTATGTGTTCGTGTATCATGATACCTATGCATGACGACATGACCCTTTTAATGTAATGCGACAAATGTTACTTAATATGGTACAAGCACTTCAAAAATATTGAAATCCAGTTCATTGCAATGATACGCCTGATATGCAGATCACACGAGTCTTTTCAATACAATGCAAAAGATTTTACTCAATATCACAGCACTTTACTCCATTCCTTTACAGTGCCATTGGCTGCTCCGGTACTCGACACAATGCTCCCGTCCAATCAGAGCGTTCGAGTGTCTTGGCATCCCATACCCTGCGGCAAACGAGGCGGTAACATCACAGGCTACACGTACGAGTTGCGTGACGCATCTGGGTCCATGGTAAAAACAGCCGACACCACGGCAGAGTCTGTTGAAGTTGATGGTCTGTCCCAGGGGGCGTCCTACCTCTTCAGGCTGTGGGCGTTCACGCGTGTAGGACCGGGACCCTGGAAGGAAGGAGATTTTGAGATTCCCAAAGGTATAATTAAAAGTACTCTTATACAGCAATCAATATGTTTGCTATTCCTAATTCACTGATAACTTGAATGTTTATTCAACTATCACGACAAAGGTGTATTTCGAAGTTGAATAAACAAATTGTGCCCTTGAAATGTAAATCGAAGAAATGTAAGACGTCGTCAATCTCATAGATATTGTATTTGTTGAAAATCTATTTGAAAGAACAAAAATGTGTGGAAACCATATTCATGAAGCCTGTATGCGTCATAACAAAGCTTTTTACCTATTTAGAAACGGTACAATCTTATTTCGCAGGCCCATCATATACTATGTGTATGTATTAATCGAGTTGGTTTTATTTTGTCTTTCTTAAGACGATGCTGCTCCGCCTACTCCGCCTGGGAGTAGTCCTGCGGGCTCAATTTTGGGCGTGGTCGTCTTTATCTTGGTAGCTGCGGTTCTTGCTCTCCTGATAGCTGTCGTGGTCAAGTAAGTCACCGTAATCAAGGCACTGAATATGAAATACAATCCATTTTTTTAAGAATCGAATCTGGGGAATTTCTGGTATTTTCTTTATCAAAGGAAACGACGACAGCAGAGGACAAAGGCACTGGGCAAGGATAGCACAGGCGATGGTGTCCAGGATATTTATGGGAAAGGAGACCAAGATGGAGGTATGGTTGTCTATTTTTTGGGCATGTTCACGTAAATATACAAATTAAAAAAAATAAATTAATAAGAAAGGCCTAATTGCAATCAATCTGCAGAGAAAGAACTAGCAAGACCATTCAAACGATGATAGTTTGGTATAGCTCTTTAAAAAAAAACGTTTTTGAAAGTGGCAATTCAGTAATGTGAGAATGGTTGGTCGGAAAACGAAAATGGCATTTATTATTTCAGTTGAGCTGAAGAATCTGCCATCTACGTCTGGTTACAAGCCGTACGCTTCAAAGGGTCATGAACCAGTTAGGTCATCTTCTAATCCACCAAAGTCAACCGATCAAGTAGCTGTTGATGTCTTGCCAAAAGCAGGACCATCCACAACATCCACTGATTCAGTATCAGCACCTGGTCCATCAACATCCACTAAGGCTCCCGTGAAGCCCAAGCCGTACGTCAATCCTTCCACCAAGCCCAAGCTGAAGGCTTCGGCAAAGGCATCCCCGAGTTTCCCCCAAGCCGGCCCAGTTGCCATGGCTCACCTGGCTGAATACATCAAGAGTAGAACAGCTGGGAAGGTCAACGGATTCCAACAGGACTACGAAGTGAGTCTTCTGATTTCTCTTACCACGATTTAATGTTATTTTGGTCTGACCTAAAATAGCCAGTGAAAGACACTGAGAGGAATGGACCAAAACGTTTGCTACATAATGTTCTTTATGTTTGAGATATGTGTCTTCGTAACTGCGATTTTGTGATTATCTCCTATCTCTTACAGTCGATTCCAGGTGAACCAATCCACCCTTGGACTGTGGCCAAACAGGATCACAACAAGAAGAACAACAGATACAATAACATCCTGGCCTGTAAGTCTAATTGTTCATCCTCTATCACCTTTTACTTTTGTAATGTTTTGTTGGTAAAAAATGTGCGCCGTTCTCATTTTCAACATTGACGCTAACAGCTTATTGCATCCTGCAAGAAATACCCTCTACTCTTCATTCAGTAAATGTCCCGCAAGTTGTAATAGGAATGGTGTCAAAAGTAATCAAGGGAGTAAAAGTGGAGGCCATAATTACGTATGTCGCTAGTATTATGCTTGCACAAGAATACCCTATTATTCTTTCCCTTAAAATTCCTGAAACCTCAATTTTTGTATTCAAAAATTTGATATGATTTTCACACACATTTGTCCTTGGAGGGGTTAAACACAGATTTACAAAGACTAAAAATCTGCAATACTTTGTCTCGGCAGATGACCATTCTCGCGTGGTCTTGGAGTGTCTTGAGGATAACCCACACTCAGACTACATCAATGCCTCCTACATCAATGTAAGTTTTTGCCGCAATCTTCAAAATGGGTTCACACATTTTTATCTGCCTTATTTGACTCTGGCGAAAAAAGTAGAAAGATCTTGATTTTCTTTTAAACAGGATACTTTATATTTTCTTCCACGTAGGGATACAAGCAAGATTACAAGTACATTGCCAGTCAAGGTAAGCACTTAGTGAAAATGAAAACAAAAACTAAAGTTGTAAATTAAAATCCTCAAACTGACTGAAACATTTGTAAAGCGGGCGCAATCAAACCATTTTCCGTTATCAAAAATATAAAATGAAAGAATAATTTGAGAAATGACGCTAATCAAACTCTGGTTAATTTCTTAAATTTAATTCAAAGTGGAGCGTCTCACGTCACTAATTAACTTAAAAGTTGACAACGTTTCAAATTTAAAGACATTATTGAATATTGATACATCCTTTAGAGAGTACAAAGAGAATGTTTTAACGTGTTTGAATGTTTGAATGTTTTAATGTTTTAACAAAGTTTTAACGTGTAATTCAAGGTCCTACCAAGGCATCAGTGAAGGACATGTGGCGCATGGTGTGGCAGGAGCGAGTAGGAAAGATCGTCATGCTGACGAACCTGATCGAACATGGCAAGGTAATTCAAAATAATATAAAACAAATTGCTGTGCGTAATTTTCTCATCGAGACACAGAACCATGCCTCTTTCTCGCTGTCTTTCAACTAGCTATAGGTCTTTGAGAATATTGAAGAGGCGTGCAATCATATTCTGGAAGTGCAAAAAAATGAAATGACCGAGTTTAAAAAGCCAAAGACTAGATTAAATAGCATAAAGTAAAGTAAGCCTTGTCTGTTCTGTTTGGGAGAGTTCCTTTTTCAAAATAGTATATCGTACATTAAGATGATTAATTTTGTTCATGCACAATTATTGTAAGGTTTCATCTACTGGTTCTCCGAGAACCCGGCTCATGCCACGGGTAGTTATTCTGGCCACAATAGTGCCATGTGCCCTGACAAGCTCATAAACAAATGCTGCCACAGGAGCTCTTGCATGGTTGCTCCGATCTTCTTTAACTAACTGATACCTTTTGGTCTTTACTGCATTACTTAGGGGAAATGCGAGCAGTACTGGCCCGATGACATTGCCGACTACGGAGAACTGTTTGTCCGTAATGTTGATGAAACAAAACATGCCAATTTTATTGTGAGGACTTTTCACGTGTCGAAGGTAAGTCCAGAGTGCAAGAATGGTTTTGCAAAGCCAAAGTAATTTACTGAAAGACACAGTTTCTGTGGAAGAAGTAAATTGTAGCTGAAATGCTGGTGCGCGTTTCATCTTCATATTTCATCCGAACGGCGATACTGGGTTTATATTGAGTACTTTATAGTTGTAAGAAAAAAGTAACAAGTAGGCATTGAATTAAAACATGGCATCACTTACAATAATAAACTGCCTGCAGTACCCTTCGATGCCACTCTTCGCCGTATCCTTCTTTTACACACAGCAGAAATGTAACATGATAAAGCAACACCGACCGTGTGCACATAGTTCAACAATGCAGTTTTTGCAGTAAGAAATGTTAATATTAATTGGCGGGTTTTTTTTTTTTTTTTTGGGGGGGGGGGGTCTCTTAGAGCACTGAGCCTGAGGGTGAGTACCGTGAGTTAACCCAGTTCCATTACACCACCTGGCCAGACATGAAACCACCAGAGTCATCTCCATTACTTCAGTTTGTCAGAACAGTCCGAGCAACAGACGCTTCACAACATGGACCCATCGTTGTCCATTGCAGGTAAAATATACAGTACGTTTTTATGTCTATACATTTAAAAAAAAACTCTAATTATCCTCAAATTTCACACTGAGTTGGGGGTGAAAAGTTCCTCGTTTCCCCTTGATCAGGTAACAACTTGTGGAGAAAAGTCTTGAACACACTCGATTTATTGTTGTATTCTGTCGCATTAACTTATTCAGTGCTGGAGTTGGCCGCACAGGAACCTTCATCACTTTGGACTCCATGCTTGAGATGGCGGAGGCAGAGGGCCAAGTCGATGTCTTGAAGTTTGTACGCGATATGAGGAATCAGCGCTTCCTTATGGTCCAAACTCTGGTGAGTCTTTTGGTCTCGGATAAACTTCCAGTCTCGAATTTGTAAATTGAAACCTAAACTGACGATACAAAAACAAGCTTATAGTCAGTGTTGAAGTCGAGTCCATCACAAACTCAATCACAAGTCTGGTCATACGTAGCAAGAGATGAACAATAACAAAGGAATGCCTTTGTGTGAGTTCATATGAATAGCCTGCAACTTGCATGAGGAATGGAAGACTTGTGATTGACTTTAGTGATTCACATGCGAAGTTTTGTTGGACTTGTGATAGACCACAACACTATGGTGAAAGATGTCTGCAAACACACTGATAAGCGTTCATATCGTATGTAACATCTCAATGTTGCATGTTTGTATTTCTAGGATCAATACAAGTTCATCTTCGATGCTCTGTTGGAGTCAAGTCTGTCAGAGAACACGGCCATCAGTGCTGATCGCTTCCATCAAAGCTTCGCTAAACTCAAGAAACGGGACAAGAAAGCAGGGACTACTGGCATTGAGGCGCAGTTCCAGGCAAGTCGTCTGAAATGCATGTTGATCATGAAAAAACTCTTAAACACAAGGCATTTAAACTCGGTTTGGGAAGGTTTTCCTACTCAGCAGTGAATCTTAGTTCCCACATTACCCGTACAGTGACAAAGATGGCTTAAAGGTAACGTACATAAAAGTCAGGTGTCCTACCCATGGAGCTATTATTAAGAAGGTTAAAGGTTAAATATAATAGTAAAACACTCTTGTCACAACTTCTTTAGAAGATTGTGGTTTTAGAGGGCAATGGGGTACCATATTTAAGGATTTACTTGTTAAGCTGTCAGCTCACTTTTAAGGGAAGACGCTTCTCTGGAAAAATCACTTCAGCCCGTTCAACCCCAAACCTGAATGCCCGAGAGGTTGAAACTTCTTTATCAACCCTAAATGAGGTATAATCTGAAGTAATAAGTAACGACGAATAGAAGAAGATAGACCCAGAGTAAGTTATTGAAACCTGCTGATTATCTTTGATCGGTTGCCATTTTTCTCTTTGATACCTTCACAGATGTTGGAGTCGTTCACTGCCTCACCGAGCGAGGAGCAGTGTATGGGAGGGAGGAGCGCCGCCAACGTTGACAAAAACAGATTCAAAGACTGCGTTCCAAGTAAGTCAGTATCCAAACAGGCACATATTACTGGCACATGCAAACCCACTGTTACCGTTACTACCTATTTTCAAAACTGCTTGAAAGTGCATTTCATTTTTAGAGAATATGGGTATAGTGTTCTCGGTCCACAGTAACAGATTTTGGTGAGTACGTATAAACGGTTTTCCTGTATTTGTTTAGGTTCTGTCAGCTTGTTGGCTCAATACAGCAAACATTTTTCTTTTTCTCTTAAGTTGAACTATTTTTCTTGTGATGTTGCTTTTTTATTTTGTGTTCCAACCTCATTCCAATAAGCATTCGTTTAAAAGACAAGTGTAGAATGCTTAAAATGTTTTGTTTATTTCTACACTGACTTGGATTATAAATATCAAGGCCTTGTACGACATGCAGTTTACAATTTTCATCGAAACTGTTTGTCTAACAGAAGACAGCACCCGACCGTATCTGATGACCAAAGGTGACGAAGGAAGTACCAATTACATCAACGCTACATTCCTGGATGTGAGTCTTACATACTTGCCAATACAATATCGACAATAACTTTGATCCATAGCTCACCCGTCAACCCCTAGAGTAATTCCCCTTAAACTTCTCGAAAACGTACAGCTTAACTATAACGCCCTCCCATATCCAGTGGCGTCGCCAAGGGGGGGCCAGGGGGGGCACGTGCCCCCCCCCCCCCCTGGAAAACCTAGTGCCCCCCCCCCCGAGTGCCCCCCCATCTGAGATTTGGGTTGGTAAAAATATATATATATATTTTGTTATATTCAACTCCCATCATCTGAGTTGGTTAAATAGCAATTTCTGGAGATATCTTCAGATCGAATTTAGCATCAAATGTGGCACCATTTTGCATCTAGCCCATCCTCCGTATGCAAAAAATTTCCAAAGGGGAGGGGTATCCCCTCCCCTTAGACCCCTCCCCCAGGACGGCGATCCGTATCCACCTAAGTGCCCCCCATCAAATGCTGGTGCCCCCCCAGACTGAAAAGTCTGGTGACGCCACTGCCCATATCGTGACCACGCCCATTACTTAATGCCTGAAATGTTGGCACAGACTAGACTATAGTGCGTATATTGTGTTAGCTTGATTTCTTATTACTGTTTAAAAACACTTATAAAGCGTAGTTATATGCAAAATTGTAATACCCTTGGAGTTATAGAAACCTAATTGTCTGTGTTCTTCTATCTTACAGGGTTATAACACCAAGCATGCCTACCTTGCCACCCAGGCACCTCTGCCTAACACACGGGGTGATATGTGGAGGATGGTGTTTGACTACAAAGCATCTTGCATTGTCATGCTCAATTCCATGGACAATGACCCGGTATACTAGGCAATTCCTTATATTTCAAGGGGTAGCTTACTTTCCACTCGTATGAATTATTAAAAAAAGGCTATCTGCTGAACATTTGTAGGGAACATGGCAATTAAACGAACAAAAAAGATGGTGATATTCCACACGGTACCTGCATGCATCTGTTGAATATACAGTACAAGCTCTTTGATAGGATACGTCATTACCATCCCCAATGTTATCGCTGGAGGGCCTGATATGCACTGTACTTTCCTCCCATAAGCCTAAATCTCTTGTGACTGTTGCTTTTCTTTTTCCAGAGCGTTGTCGAGTATTGGCCAGAGAAGGACAGTTTGGAGTTCGGACCCCTTACCGTTACACTGACGAATGAGGACCGCTATAGCGAGGACATTATCATACGGCAGTTTGATGTTAGCTATCCCGCTAGGAAGGTAGGCAAATGAGAAAGTTCTATCAAAGACCATTCCTCAATTTGTCGTTGACTCGTGACGTTGCGCCTGCGCGCTAACTTTTAACTTAGAATCAGGATCCCGCGTCGAACTTTGCTCGAACGTCAATTTCCTGGCTCCCTGCATTACGCTGAGTGCCCGCATTTTTTTGGTAACCAGCGATGTGATCAATCTCAGGTAGGCTAACCCGAATGGTCAAATAGACTTGTCCACTTATTGTCGACTATACGTGCGTTCGATTTGATTGGGTATTTCTATAGTAATGGGTGACCGTAGCTATAAGTCGAATGTTGTTTGTTAAATATTTTATATAAGTTGCAGCTTATTCGAAACAGATTATGTCATTAGAAACAGTCCGATGTCTAAAATGTCGTTCTTTTGGTACATGTTTGTATACCCACGAAGCACACGAATCATTATTAGATGTCAGATTTTGCCATTAAATACTGTAGGTTTTGTTGCTAGTAAGCAAAACAAACAATATGTTCAACCAATTACTTTGACAAATAGAATGACGAGGTTCAGAGCGTCTGTCAGATCCAATACCTGGGATGGCCCCCTGGGAAAGAGGTCCCAAGATCTCCGTCTAGTCTCCTCAAGGTGCTGGAGGCTGTTAAGATGTGGACGACCGACCACCCTGATGGACCCATCACTGTCCACTGCATGTAAGTACTCCACAGGGAGACACAATCTAAAGTTGTCAACCGTGGCAGCCGCGCAGTTTCACTTGCCCTACCTGCAATCTTGGCCAAATCTCGCTGGGCCCCCAACCCCCCGGCGCCCGTTCAATGTTGTCTCTCATTGCGTGGTGTGTGCTCCATCAGCTGGTGAAAACAACATTGACCGGGGGAGCGGGGGAGTGGGTGACCGTGGCAGGCTCAGGAAGTGTTCCAACCATTTTGGCCTGGATTGTAGGTAGGCCTATGCATATTTTAATCCATGGGATCTCTGAATCGTCGTTAAAGCTTGAACTTTTCCCCTCTGTCTGAACAGTCTGAACTAAACTTTCTTCCTGTAGGTTTCTTCATCAGCTTTCCTGTTCTTCATCGAGGACACCCATAATTCATTTCTGATTTGGGATCATGAAACAAAGTGAGGACAGTCCTCGATTGGTATACGTGTATAAAACCGATGAGAGGTATAAACAAAGGAAGACCGATGGAATGTCCTCGATTTACATCATTCACAATCACGCGTTTACGTTGTACTTATGAAGTACCAGAATGACTCACACAGACAAAATCATATTCCATGTGTTTCTACCATTTTAAATTACTAATACAAACAATTCAAGTTGAATTAATTTTCTTCACCAAACTGTTTATTCTTGTCTCAGTGACGGTGTTGGATGCAGCGGAACCTTCTGCGCCATACTCACACTCCTGGACCAACTCGCAGTGGAGAAAGACGTAGACGTCTTCCAAGCCATCAAGAAACTCCGCATCACCCGGGCTGGCATGGTCAACACTTTGGTACGTGTCAAGTCATTATTACTGCACCTACGTACCGGGGCGTGATGGGTGATTTTAAGCACAATCTTGCGATGTGGTATTAGGACTTTTCGAAACCTTGTCTTGTTGATTGGGTTTGTGTGCATCGGGTTCTTAGTTCGTGGCCAAATCAGATGTTTTGTTGCTTCAAAATTGGTGAAAAAATAGAGCAGTAGCCAAAACAGTGGGGTTATTATAACTGAAGCAATACTTTTATTCATGAACGGATACTAAGGCCGAAAAAAGGCTCCGGTTTCTGGTCTGCACGCGCGTCGTGGTATCCATGCGCGTCGGCAAAATTAAAAAGTTTTTGGCAATGTTAGAGATGATACCGCCAAACTCACTGGTTTGACTGGAATCCTGCTGCTGCACAATTTAAACGTATTTTTAATGGGGTTACGGTCGAGTATAAGCTTTATCTGGGCTCTCTGGGCTCCGATACATTTTGCACTAAATTTAGTCGGCCACCATTTGCAGTCATCAGCCGACATTTAACGAAAAAAAAAAGTAAAAAAAAAAAAAAAAGACGCTTTGCCGCACCACTTTTGGGGCAAGCTCCATACCAGAAACCGCAGACCTTTTTTTGGGGACTAAAGACAGTCACCATGTAATTGTCACATTTAAATCAACTCATACCTATGTTTTGCTCTGAATTTCAGGCTCAGTACCAACTGTGCTATCAGGTGATCCAAACCTCCTTGGATTCCGGCTCAATCTACGAGAACTATTGATGAACCAGTGTGGAACAAGTTATTTAACATCATAAATGTCAGATTTGCATGTCCATTAATTTGTAACTGATACCTACAGTTTTTGTAACGTCAGAGAGGATTTTTAAAAGGTAGGTTTCGCTTCTACCTCGGTATGAAATCTAGTTTCAATTCTAGCTCAGCAATTTCTGTTCGTCTAAGGGGCCCAGGCTACTAGCCTTTTTGTTCCTATCTCGCTGACTGACTGACTGACAAGACTGTTTGCGGTACGGAGCGCTGGGCAGAGTTATCGTATAGGATTACCCCGTAATGTGCTAAATCTGGGTCATTGTGTGGACCAGGGCCCAATTTTACGGCGCTGCTAAAAAGCACAGAAATGTGCTGAGCACAACAAAATTCTGGCTTACAAAAGCAGGTTACCAGCCAAAACTCCATATGGTTTTCATGCTAAGCAAACAACAGTTGAATACTAATCACGAGCAATATACATCACATGGAGTTTTGGCTGGTAACCTGCTATTATATCTTGTGCTAAGCAAATTTTTGTGCTTAGTAGCGCCGTGAAATTGGCCCCATACAAATGTTTGACACGTCTGTCAGTGAATATCCATTGTGAATCAATTGAATATGCCCTCTGACTTGGCCTGATGTGAGATTAAGCAGGCTTACCTAGTATTCTTCTTTCATCTAATGCGATTTGTCCCTGTTTAGCAGGGAATTGTCCTATAATCATCTTCGTGTTTTTTTCCCGCTTTGGTTTAACGAATCCTTAGTATATTAATTATTCAAGAAATGAAGAGACAACTGCAGTCACATATGATATCATTAATTGATTACTATGCCTAATTAAACAAGCGGTAATTGATATATGAACATTTACTCAGACACCATGTGGGCATAAAGAAGTAAACTATGCTGTAAACGTCAATCATGTCAAACTTAATACAATTGATAAAATGTGCCCATTGTACAAGATTATTAATTGAACATTTATATCATCGAAAACAAAGCCTTTGTCGTAAAATGCGAACCGTTGGATCTAGTGCTTTTAATTACAAAAATGATGACTTCACTGATACTTATGCGGTAATATTAAGCATAAAATCGAGACATATTAAGCAAAGTCTCTAATTATTTATATACTCAAGATTTTGTTTAAATATTGTTTTATTGTACAATTTTAGTAATAATGATTATTTTAATCAAGAGTAGACTCCTTAAGTTGCGTTTAGAAATTAAACACAAATGATCTTGCTATTACTTTGTAAACAGGTTTAGAGGCTGAACATTACATGTCCAATGCCTGAACATCAGTGTGCATTTGCTAAATACTGTTTATCAATACTCTATACATGTTTCGTATTTATACCAAATTGTTATGAAGTGATAGCAAGTTTTTACAGTGAAGCGTAAGGGTTAACCAACCATCGTAGACACAGAACTAGCAGTGGCTGTGGTTGGCATCAACATAAGTGAGAAAGCTGGGAACATTTCACCATGTTTTTCGTCAAACATTGAAGTGTACTTTCAGTTTTTAGTACATGTTTCAAAATTCTCGTCACACATTCGTTAGATCGCCTATTTACAAGTAAGTAAAAGACTTCTGTTATGAACCGCGAAGTGGTCATAATTTTAAATCGATTTTCCTCTTGTCGTTTTATACCTGTACATCATTTGAACTTTAGTTTAAAAAATATCCAAATAACGCACTGAGCAAATAATGAGTTAGCTGACAATCCATAATAAAATGGCATTATATATACGCCAGCGTAAATGTTGACTCTGGTTGTTGTTGTTGTTGCAGCTGCTGCTGCTGCTGCTGTTGCTGTTGCTGTTGCTGTTGCTGTTGCTGCTGTTGCTGTTGCTGTTGCTGCTACTGCTGCTGCTGTTGTTGCTGTTGCTGCTGCTGTTGTTGCTGCTGCTGCGCTGCTGCTGCTGCTGCTGTTGTTGCTGCTGCTGCTGCTGCTGCTGCTGCTGCTGTTGCTGTTGCTGTTGCTGTTGCTGCTGCTGTTGCTGTTGTTGTTGTTGTTGAGAGCCAGTATTCGTTATTTAAGTTTAGGAACAACACAGTTTTTTTGTAAATTAAGTTTATATCAACGATACCGTGTTTTGTGTGCTAAAGTTAAAGTTGTTGAGGTATCAGTGGGTTCATGAGTGCAAGAGAGCGTTCAATGTGAAACATGAAAATGCTTTAAAATCCTACATTAATCCTACGATCCCAAATGAAGAGTTAAACTACATAGCATCTACTGCATGTTTGTACAGCTTGATTAAAGTAACTTGTTCTGTTGAACTATTTATCGACACAACCATTTAATTAAAAATCAAATCACCAAATCTCTGCGATATTAAAACAATTCACCGTTGTCATGTACATTCAAAATGAATAACACGGACACCAAACTGCACCTGTTTGCTCTATCTATATCATTCAACCGGAAGGTACTAGGCCCTATGTTCTTTCATTTCTAACTTTTCGGATAAACCACAAAGTGAAATCGTTTATAGGTGCATATAAAAACGAGTAGAAAGTTGAACAAAAAAACCCTGTCTGGAGCTGGGTTTGAACCTGCGACCTCTAGTGCGCTACCAACCGGGCTACCCATTCCTATGTTGGTGGTCCAATGTTATTTCAATGTCTTTGTTCAAGGGTGCTATTGAAAATCGCTTAAATTTTTCACATTTATTCCTCCTTTTCCTTTAAAATCGTGTAGCAGGAATCTTTTCTATAATGAATATCAATCCACATGGAATTAATCCATCGGACATTGAATCAACTCAAACCGAAGCGCACGTTTACTGATGTATACAGTAAGGTAAATGCGAACAGTAGACGCCATGATGGCCGGGTTGAAGTAGTTAGTTTGTGGGGTAGAAGCAGAGATGACATCCCATCAAACAACTGAAAAGAACAGAAAATAGAACGAAACGGTGTGCAAACAAATAGACGTAAAATTTAAATAATCACATTTTTCTCTCAAAAAGTACACACAAATATTGAAGTACGTCTGTGGTTTCATTTCAATGTTTGCAAGAAAATTGTAATTGCTTTTCTGATCCGGTTGCGATAACTAATTAACTATATGACTGTTTAACTTAATAGTCAAACCGCTTGTGTGGTGCTTCTGTTTACGTTTTGACGACACAATTCGAACTCTTCAGAAACTGAATCACATCATACTGTATCTTGCTCAATAACAGTTATTAGTAGCACTTATCCTGTAGGCCTACCTTGATATCACCGTTGCTTTCCTTGATGTACTCGTAGCTAGATGAAGGTGTAGGCTTGTAGGACACCTCAAATTCTGTCGCAAGATATGAGAACCAGGTTAGTTTATTTCCTTGTGTGATGACGCCAGAAACCTTAGTCGTTTGGAGGAGATCCACCTCAATCCAACAGGACGAGCTGACAAGATCACTAAAAACCAAAGAAAATCAATTCGGTACATTAAAGGTGAGAATGGGTTTCCCGTGATGAAAGTATATGAACATTGATAACCACGTAATATGTGAACCAAGTATGCATGCGCTAATCTGAATGGAAAGGTGCACATACAGGAGCCGATCTCGCCCCTTTAATAAGGGAATAAATATGTGCTTGGTCAATTTTAAACAAGTACTTTTATAACCGGCTATATGGGCCTGGTAGCCAATAATGGCCCAAGCCGATGGTGAGGAACAGGGTGAGTCAAAAAAAGCGGAACCCAAACCCCAAACATATTTCATATTTAAAAAAAATATTTAGCACCAAAAATAATAATGACTAGAAAGCAAATTTCATAAGCTACTTTTGGATGAAAAAAAGTTACTCAAATTGGTCAATCCGTTCACAAAATATCAGCATTTGAACACAATGACCCTAAAACCTGTTTCGTCCAAAATTGCGATTTCAACAATCGTCGTCACAATTGTCTTCAAACATCACCAGCGATGAAATCTTAGTTTAAACGTTAACAATATGCAACAAAGTCCTTTTGAAGGCCCGTCTTTTAAAAAGGTAGATTTTATCAATCATATTGTTTGCCTAACCAGGGTTGTTAATCAAAATATTGTGTGCTACAGTTGGTGATAGTTGTTGAAACAAGTATTCTGTGTCATTTTCTTTGTTGTTCCAAACAGTCAAAACACACAATAAATTGTTTTTTTGGACGAGACAGGTTTTAGGGTCATTACGTTTAAATGGTGATATTCTTTGAACGCATTGAGCAATTTCAGGGTTTTTTTTTCATCTAAAGCTAGCTTTTGAACCTGGCTTTCCAGTCGTTATTATTTTTAGTGCTTCATATATTTCAAATATGAAATACATTGTTGGGGGTTTGGGCTCCGCTTTTTTTGACTCACCCTGTATATTATCCACCACCGGGCCCTTAGTCGGGTTTTATTTTGTATACCCTTTTGGGTGAAAAGTCCAAATAGGTCAAAAATTGACAAAATTTCGACGATTTGGCTGAACATGTTTTCTTTATATTTTGTGAAGCCCCCCTCTGGTCATGTCGATGGTATGTTCCAAGCGCGCCTATGGTGCTAAAAATCTCTTAATGGGGATTGGCGCACAATGCAGCGGTGTTTAAAACAGCGGTGTTTAAAACCAACCACGTGACGGGCTCTCGACCAATAGGAATAGGCAAACTGTCTCAGGCATTTATGAAGAAATGTTTAAAATGTATTTTCCTCTTTCATGGTATAACAATAATATTATCATGTTCATTCACCATCTTTAGGTCCCTTATGATTGAACATTAAACATTATTCTCAGATCCAACAGGACTGAATCGCAAGAGTTAGAACAAAAACTGACAAAAGCTTGCCAATATTTCAACCTTGTGTAGTCTTTGTGCAAGGCTGTAGTTTTTTTTGTTCACGTAGGCATCCGGTCTCTGACTTACAAAACGCCGTCAAACTGCGGCGTTGGTGGGGTCACAATCAGAAAAGATGAATCCAATCCAGTCTTGATGGGAATTGTAGCAGTGGGTCCCATGAGATTCCGAGTATCTCAAGCGCGCTTAAGGGTTACTTGGACATTCTCTGGGCCTCAGTGCCAAAGTTCCCAAGTAAAAATTTGATCATCTTGTTGATAGCGCCCCCTAGCGCCGAGATGGATTAACGGCACTTACAAGATCGGGACCGGAGTAGCAGGAAAAGGTGGAAGTGCAGTCTTAAGACTAAGACACAACCCAACCGCGCAGTGCACTGATGGGAGCAGTGACCTACCAGTATTTTGGACTCCAATACGACGGTCCATTCAGTCGTGCCATGGCGGCAGGATTAAAGTCACCATCACTTTATGCTCGGATACGCTCATCAGGAATGGTGCCGTCTTCAAGACCCAGTCGCTGACAACTATCTACTGTCAAGATCAAAAAAAGGCATGGATGAAAAGGTGGAGGGATAAGCATACAGCAAATGATTCGGTAGTGCGACTTCGTCCATGATATTTCCAATTCCTTCTCAAGTAGTAACGCTTTCAATAACGACAACACAATAATGTGAAGCTGTTCTTTTGTTTGGAGAATCCAGCAATTTAGTGTTTAATGTTGGTTAGTAATCATATCACAAAGTCTGGGTCCCAGAAAAAAATGTCTTACATTTACGGAGGCAATGTTCATATGGCCATTCCACAAAACTTATTTTGGTACTAAATTGACCCCTGATAAAAAAAATGTCTCGGTTATTACACGATGTTTCATCAGGTTACCGCCCCCCCCCACGGAAAAAGTTACCGTGTCCGTCAAAATAAGACAATTCTTAGCCGTTTGTCGAAATAATTATATTGTTATGTTACATCTTTTTCTTTATAATAACGCTTAATGGTTTGAAAACGGACCTTCCTTGACAGATTGATGCCCAAGGTGAAAACAGAGAAAGAGGCCGATAACAGGCACTAGTTAAGCATTTCTGAAAATTTACAATTTTTCCAAAAATAACCTAACATTTGTAATTCCACATATGTCTTGAATGTACATCTGCTGTTAAATTTCAGGCCATCACCTAAAATTTCACACTATATTCAAGACATATTTGGAATTACAAATTTGAATAAAAAATGTTTTTGAAGAAACACACTTGAAAATCGAATACTATACTCAGCCCCGCATACTTTTTATTTTGTCAAATCTCTCCATCAAGCTGCGCGCAAACGTATCTTGTTTTGACAGAATACCTAACAAAATGTGCTTCCTATATTCCGCTTACTGTAGAAGTTCATTATTTCGACTTACCATTCGCAGTATCATCACTGCATTGTCTCGGGCATCCTTTCGGTACTAACTCCATGAACTGTGCCATCCATTGGTGCATGTCTGCTGCATCCAGCTCCGGTGGTTGACCGAAGAAACAAACCCTCGCCTTGCTCTCCGCACAGTCCATGAATACTAGAACTATCGAATTAAGCTCACACAACACATTCACAATGTTGTGGAGGGGCATCCCCGGGCCTAACAAGCTAACTCTGTCAAGATCCAGTCTGACACCTGCTTGGGCGCAGACAATATTCTCAGTTAAAGCAAGGTTCTCCCACCTCTCTGAGAAGAGAGACCTCTAAGAGCGACCTCAGGCTAAGGGAGGAAATACACCGCCGATTGTGACTGCTTGTTAACTTTCTGCTTATTACAACAGCACTGCACATGCGCTCAACCACCTTCGCGTGAGACTGACGCGCGCGTACGCAACACAGTTGCTATGGGTGCGTGCGCGCGTAAGGAAGTTTTAAAACGACATCGTACAGCTAGCAGTGCAGTATACTGAGGATGTTTACGACGACAGCATAGATCTACGATTTATTTTCATTAAACACTTCGCCCATCGACAATACCTTTCCTAAACCAAGCATCTTTGTAATTCTGGACACAAGGAATATGTAAACGAAATTTCAGCTTCCTCCATTAGGTAAAAATATGAAAACATTGTTGTAATTTGTTTCGCTACGGCAGCAGAAGTCCAAGCCCTGGACGTCGTACGCGAACGCAGTGAAGACGTTGTCCAGCGCAGCCTGGGCCCGGCTGTGGTGTATATAACAACGCTTATTGAAGAGACGGGGTACCACGCAAAAGTTAAAATATGGCCCATGAACATGAACACAAAAAAGTCTGGAAATATCGCCCAAAGAAAGTTACAAAATTGGAGCATTTTAACTGTTTATTTCGTTAAAAAGGTATGTATTAATGGGAATAACAGTGTGAGGATCCGGTCTTCACTGCGTGATAATGACCGGGTTTGGGGGTGACCGCTGTTAATGGACCGAGACGAAGTCGAGGTCCATTAACAGCGGTCACCCCCAAACCCGTAGCCTTGACCAATGCTGTCAAGCCAAGCTTTTTCCCTGAACTGTCCGGCAGCCGTTTTACCCTACTTGTCACGGCAACGTACGCCGCTCGCAGCCCCCGGCCCCTGGCTAGCTAGCTCCGCTTGCCTGTACTGCGCGCGCGATGTGCTCCTAACATAAATCCGCACACGGACGTACGTACACGTACATGTACATGTACAGTACGTGTACATGTACAGTATACAGTAACCATGCCGTGGGAGTCACACGGAAGACACGCCTCGACTGCGACTGCGTATTGGTTACTGCATGGGGTGCACGTAGTACGTACGTACGTAGGTACTGTATACGTACCGGCAAAGCGCGCGGCGTACGTGTGCCGTGACAAGTACAGTACAGGCAAGCGGAGCTAGCCAGGGGGCTGCGAGCGGCGTACGTTGCCGTGACAAGTAGGGTAAAACGGTTCCTGGACAGTTCAGGGAAAAAGCTTGGCTTGACAGCATTGGTCAAGGCTACCAAACCCGCGGTCATTATCTTGCAGTGAAGACCGGCTCCTCACACAGCTATTCCCTTATTAATACATTTTGTTAGCGTCCAGCTATATGCACATTAGCGGGCTTTTTTCTGTGTAGAGGTAAAACTTGTGGTTAATGAACTTTTAATTGCGAAAATCGAAATCATTTGCAAACATTTAAACATCCTCGTCCACTCTCGCGATCATCTCCCTTGTTTCTTCATGTTATTTAATTATTATTTTTGAGGGGTTTCTTGTTATTAAAATGCTTACTTCCTTGTGTTGTACATTATGACACTATTCTTTTTTACTTCCCAAAGAATCAAATATTTGAGTTGATCGAGATGTCCCCAATATTTTCAATTTCAGTGTCCTTAACGGATTATATAGAATTTTATTTGTCCTTAAGCTTTCTATCAACTTTTGGATTATTATTGGATCAGTACAATTTCATCTTTGTCGCCCTTTTGGAGTCTTGCCAGACCAAGAAGCTTCATCCCAGCCAACAGAATACGTTAGGTGCTAACTCTGGAAAGTTTATTAGTCATCGTGCAGGACGTGGTGACCGTAGTTGATGTTCCCGAGAATTTGCAATACGCATAGAGTCACAGACGGTCGCCGATTATCTGCGATGTCATTTGTCTCCGTCACAAGTGTCTTCAGATGATATAAAGGTCACATTATGTCTGACCATGGAGAAAGGTCATTTATCTATGGTTCCCCCCCCCCCTCCCCCGCAGACAAGGGCGGATCCAGAACACATTTTTTTTTGGGGGGGGGCCCAAAAAATTGTTGGCCCCCCAAAAAAGTGGGTCAAAAAAATTACGGCGTGGGGTTCGGAGCCCCGAAAATTAGGGCCCCGAATTTTTTTGGGATTCTAGATGCTTTGTGGTGCGATCTGAGGCAATTGCTGACCACTTTAACCAATGTTTTTTTGAGGAAAAAATAGTGGTGTGCCCATTGCCTGCCTTTATTGCGATGTCACATAAAAATAAAATAGTTTCGTTTTTTGGGGGGCCATGGCCCTCTTTGGCCCTCCCCTGGATCCGCCCTTGCCCGCAGAAACAATCTGCAGCCTGCAGGACTTCCCAAAAGACTTCTCAAACTAAAATGTCCTCACTCCACTTTTCTAATTCAAATCTGAGACTAGAGAGATAACACAACTATCATGACTTATCAACCATCGATTATGCTAAATAATAACGAACAACCAAATAAACAAGGTTATAAAACATAAATATCAGACTGTTTATATGTATTTAATGAATGACGGCGAATTTATGTAGTTCATCCCTTGCGCTTATGCCAAAAAAAAAGTCTCCAGTTTTTGGTATGCGCGCGTCGCCGTAGCCATGCGCGTCGACAAAATGAAAACGTTTTTTTTTTCAATGAAAGATGATGTCTCAAAACCGCCAAACTCACTGGTTTGACTGGATTCCTGCTGCTGCACAATTTTAACGTGTTTTTGGATGGGGTTATGATACAGAATAAGCTTTATGTGGCCTCTCTGGACTCCCATATATTTGCACTAAAGTTTAGTCGGGCACCATTTGCAGTCATCAGCCGACATTTGAGGCAAAAAAATCAGGTAAAAAAAAAAAAAGCCGCGTCGCCGCACCACTTTTCTCCATACCAGAAACCAGAGACTTTTTTTTTGGCCTTAGGGTAAATAGTTCAAAATTATGTTTTATTCATGAGCGAGGCCTGACGGGATCAGGAAAAAAACTCAACATAAATGTGTAATCTATCTCCGATCAAAATGGAGCCTTTTAAAAATTATTTCCTTCCCTGTCTATAATGTCCGGTCTGAGCTACACTTTTCTGATCAGAAAGGGGCAGCCTGTATTAATCGATAATGCGCTTTTCCCATTAAATTTAAAGGAGCAACACAATGTTCGTTGATGCAGTATTTTCATTGAAATGAAATTTCTCTCTTGTTTTACTGATTCACTGACGTTCTTTCAACTCAGAAGTATAAGTTTTACTGATCTCAAAAGTATTTTTGAAGATTTGTATTTATCCTTCAAATTCGAACATCAAACACATTTGGCACAATACTGCGCCGTTGCATTGGTCCACTCAGACAATTTAGGAAGCAATAATGAGTTAAGGAAACACTGATGGTACTTTCAAATCAAAGTTTTATCTGAGTAAAATCAAAGACGTGATAAAAGATTCTTTGAAAAAAAGTGAATTCATCTTGTGGTAACTGATGGAGCAAACATGTAGGCCTATTTTATAAGTTTATTCCTTCCTCTAGTACAAAGAGGAATAATGACAGCTATTGTGGTCGACGAAGAAAATAAGGATCTTGTCATATTCTGGATATAATAATGGGTCTAACAGGAAATAGCCAATATTTCAAGAATCAACAAATCAGCATTCATTCTGCAGATCATTATGATTTCATTGCCAGTACGTTGGGGAAATGCAGAAACGATCTCCGTCACTTCCTTTATTATTTTAACCTCAAGTTCCTCATTCGTTTACAAACTCGTTTAATTAACTGTATGTCACGAGATATTCAGTTATTTGATCGTTGGAGCAGCTTGGTCGTCATGGAGGACCGTCTCCATTTCATCTTTTTATTTCTTCTGCTGGGCCCGTTTACAGGTAGGACCCTATAGTTCCCGTTTGAATTTTGTCTCCCAATGAATCTTTAGCTTGAGCATGTTAAATAATAAGTGTATAAAATATGATAAAAGAGAAAGTTAAAAACAATCCTTTCTGTATTAGGCCCTAATCGACTGTTTAGCCATCGAATTTTTAGTTTTTAACATTCTACAAGGAACTCTTGTGATACTACCTGTAGAAAAACATGCTGTTTTTACTGGTGTTGGAGGGTCTGAAATGCGCTTCATCAACAAAATGCAATTCAATGTAATTTTCTTCGAATGCCGGCATAAATAATTTGAAATCAGATTTGGATTTCAATACCCCATGCTGTTTATTGTCCGCGTTGAATGGCGTCCGAAGACTCCGTTTCAATGGTTTTTTTTTTAATGTTGTACAAAACTACATTGCTTTCAGGTGTTTCAGCCGTCGTTGATTTCACCTGTATCACCAAGCCCCGTATTGATATCGACAGTGAAGACACCTACATCGCCGCCTATCTGAATGGCAGTGATGCTGAGCTGTCCTTCGCTCGAACGATTGACACGTTTACAAGCGCCAAGAAGAACAACCAGTTAGTGTTACCTACACACAGCATTGACACAACTCAGTCTGGTGATGCGGCCATCTCTATTCTTAGGTTGCCATCTGCGGGAGGAAAGTCAAGGGTTGGAATCTTTGCATGTAAAAACGGTGATCACAAAATAGGTACCGTCATCATGAGCAGAAATGGTAAGTGTATTAAAGATACAGTGGGAAAATGAAACGCGGATAATAATATGCATGTATGAAGAGCGACGATTCCGTAAGTTTACAATAAAGCCGAAGCGAAGAAGTAATAATGATAATAATACTCCATAACTTTAATAGACGCATTCAATAGTGTATTCAGCGCCGCAGGAGAATCGGATAGTATAAGCTGCGAAACTCCGCTCAAGAATGGGTGGCGATTGGGTGGTGTCACATAGCTCGAATTTCCAGCGACATTCCAAAGACAGCCAGGCTACTTTTTTTTCAAAAGACTGGAAGAACATGCTCTTAAAGACATGCTTGACGTCAAACTTGATTGCTTGTTACGAAAACAAAGTTAAACTTTATTCTGGTTCACTGTCTTTTTTACTCTGCCTGTAATTTTTACAACGAGCAAGAACTCCTAAAAATGGTATTATGTTCAACCAGTTCTTTAACCACGCGGCGGCGGGTTATCGCGTATCAGACAATAGTACGTCTAGCCCCTAGACTAATGTAGACGCTTGAGTGGGAGCGGATAATACTGCTGACCTCGCATAGATTTCTCGTAATTTGAACACTTAATGTTACAACTGATAATGTAACCAACGGATAACGTATCACCAACCGATAATGTATCACAAATTGACCGATATTGTATCACTAACCGATAATGTAGCAAAAATTGACTGACAGTGTAGTAAAATTTGTATCTGATAATGTATCACGTGTCGACGGATTATGTAACTACAAAATAACTGTATCCGATTATGTATCACAACGGAACGGATACTGTATCAACCGATAAAGTACCAAAAATCAACCGATAATGTATCAAAAATCAACCGATATAATAATGTATCAGTATGAGGAAAAGGTGTACACAAATGTCCTGTATATCCCGCCCCACTTTTTGACCGAGGGGGGTCTGGGCTATTGGATCACCCCCCCCCCCCCATTATTTCGTATTTAGGGAAAAAAAGGCAGATTTTGAGGTATTTTTCAAACTTTCCAACCGCCGAAATGTATTAGATAGTACTGAGAAAGGGAGAAAAAGTACAAAAAGCTTGAAATGCGCTGATACATCTGTATCATGAACAGCGCCCCCAGTGTCATGTGGTCTCCAGCAAGCCCCCTTTCCATCTTTTTGAATTTCACGGCCGGAATTTTTTTTTAGCTATCCCCCATACCCCAGTCCCTGGCACAGATTTTTCGCCACTGTTGCAAGTGCGGACCCAGGAGTTTTTTTTTTTTTTTTGGGGGGGGGGGGGGGGTCCTCAGCAATGAAAATTCTGAAAATGTACACAGGTTCCCCCCCCCCCCGAACACTTGGCCTCCGTAAAATCAAAAACAGTTGGGGGCGCTGTTCAAATTCGACGATTATTAACACTGGATTACATAATGGTGTACGAAATTATCCCCTATCTAAACTGCCTCCGTATTTTGAACAGGCGGATATTATACCGGTAAATTTTTTTTTTTGGGGGGGGGTGTCACATCGGGGGGGGGGGGGGGTGTTCGCATTATTTTTTTAGGGATTTGTCTGGAAAAAAAATGGGGGACACAGCTGGGGGGTTGACCCCCCCTACACCCCCCCCCCCCCCGATCCGCACCTGTGTTGGCCTCAAGGGTGCGGTAGGCTGACGTGTGGACTGCAAACTGCATGGGGTCAACAAACTGAAGTCAGTGGGTGGACAAAGTAACAAATGACGTCACATGCGAACGGTGCCCCCTTAAATCAAAAGCTGGGGCAATTGTACGGTACAGTAATATAGTGTACATGATTGCAGGCTTTTATCAGCGCTCCCCGTTGAAAATATGGCACGAGCCCTCCCCACCCCCCCCCCCCCCCCCCCCCCCCGTTTGATTTTACCGTTTTGGTACCCCACAAGTTTTTCACGAAATAGATATATGGATTTTACTCAAAAACTAGGAATTTCCAAGGTGGGTTGATATGTCGCAAATGGAAGAGTTTTAGAAAAGGGATATTAAGTCCGAATTTCAGCCCAGGAAATTAACTATGGTTAAAATAAAAGCATTTTGACATAAGTGTGCGACGTTGCAAAATTTTAGTACACGAGAACAAAGGAAGTACCCCACTTCGTGCCTATGTAAGCGTGGGTGAGTCCCGTCCATGGTCCCGTGCGTCCATGGCTCTCTCAAAAGTGGTAAAACGCGCCCTCTTGTGTTGGAGCCCGGAGCTCATACGGAGGTCAAGAGTCCGGAGAAATTAATTTCGGCGCGAATGTGCGAGTGCGGTTACCCCCCCCCCCCCCACCCGACATCAAAAGCTGGATGCGCCACAAGCCTAGGCCCACTTGGAAGTAGAGCGTCTCCAAACCAGAGCAACTCCCTCCCAAATTCAAAAAAAAAAAATCTTTATGATACACTTTCCCGAGTGGGGACTCGTCATAGTAAAGGCACTTATTAGACTTTAATTAATTTGCAATATTTCCATTTCCAAATATACTGATGCATTATCGGTTAATTTTTTTATACATTATCGGTTGATACAGTATCCGTTCCGAGGCGATACATTATCGGATACAATTATTTTGTAGTTACATTATCCGTCGACACGTGATACATTATCGGATACAAATTTTACTACACTATCAGTCAACTTTTGCTACATTATCGGTTAGTGATACCTTATTGGTCAAGTTGTGATACATTATCGGTTGGTGATACGTTATCCGTTGGTTACTACATTATCAGTAACAACTAATATGCAATATGTAGCGGTAGTGTAGCTGAAACTGTACCAGTACCGAGGCAGTTGAGGGTAGTGGCGCAGCCAAGGGGGCAGGGGGTGCCAAGGAGGTGTCGTGTTAAAGTATATTTTTGAGCAAAAGGTACCGAGGAGAGGAATTTAGATCACTATTTGTTACTCGATTCCATTCCCTTATATAGTTCCCTTTGTCGGTTTTATGAACAAATTGATAAAAAAAGAGCGCCCTGTAGCGTTAAAAAGAGGTTTAGCTCCCCCTTTCGATTTTGCAGCTATGTTCTGGCCGAGTCGATGCCCTGAAATATCAAGAAAAATGTTGTCCTTGGTGCATGCCCCCTTACATATTGGTGTCCCCCTGCCTTCCCCTACCTCCCTACCTCCTTCCTGCCTCGACCTCCACAGAAAATTAAAGCATTGCGATTGTGACGCATTAGACACGTATACAACTGAACAACAGCTTTATACGGCTGTGAAGGTAAGAGAAAATGAAGGGTTGGGACCGGAGCGTTCCGCCCATATAAGCGGTGCGCGTACAGGCATTGAGCACATGACACTACTTTACGAATGTCCAGTTTTTGTGACAGCATAATATGCAAGCATGCGTCCGACAACAAATTTTACAGGAAATTCCTGTAACTGTTCTTTTTTTTTCCGAGACAGTTCAAGCAATAATGTTGTAAAAAGTGTGGATTGATTTGTGAAATAAACCGTAAAATCAGGTATACTATGTCCTTTCTCAAAGAAAGTGCTCTGCTTTTGTATTCAAACATTTCGTCAAGAGTGTAACCGTCCAACATGACAGTTGATTCAAATAACAAGAAGACCTATAATTTACATCACAGATTACAATGGTCTACATCAAAATCTCTGTTTTCCAATTGTTTTTTTTTTAACAAATACTTTTCAAGTTTATCTGTAAGTTTTCATGGTAGGGTCTATGTACAACTGTCCGTGCGTGTGTACTTGTTCGTCTTTCTGCTTTGTGTTAGTCCGTCCCAGGCATCTTGCAACAAGTCTAGGCTTCAATAGGAAGATGCCTCCATACCAATTTTTTTCGCTTCTTACACGTTTTCGACAATTCCATGCTTATTAGTTTACTTCATTCGTGCATGTTCTGCTTATATTTCTCATTTTATATGGAAATAAATGTGAGTTTGATTTGAATTGAATTGAACTTTAAACAATGTTTATCTAGAATATCACAGTTCTTGTCCATTTATTTAACGTCAAACCACATACGGGATATGTTACTCTACACTGCCAATTTCAAGACAAATGCTGCTAGTAAACAAGAATCTCCCGATACAGGAAAGTTACATGAACACGTTTATTTCAACATTAGGCCTGCGCTGCATGGATTACATTGTTTTTACAGTGCAAATGAGTGGGTGGGGGGGGTGTTTTCTCATTTCAGCATGATTTGTTGCCGATATAACAGGACAACGAATGATGAAGAGTGTGACATTCCTACACTCCACCCCTCTGTTGAGCCCCTGTATCCACCAAGTTCGCATTTAGAACGGAATCAGTTATCAAGAGAATAAATGTATAAAGTTGTGTTTGCATCTTACTTCTGCAGCTGACTTTTCTCCAACGCGGATCAGTCTCACGGTCAACCGAGGTGAACCTGCGCGTCTGGCGGTTACTGCAGTTAATCCAACCAGTACTTCTACCCGCTGGAGAAAAGATGGAGCTACACCTGATGAAAAGTTTTTTGAAAGCCTCCACTACAATATTGCGAGAACCTTAAGCTCAGACAGCGGCGTCTATGAAGTCCATTTACAAGGGGTACGTGCAAAGGGAAAGCAGGCACTTATGCGGTTGGTTGTTAGAGGTAAGCATAAACAAAAGAATATAGCTATATTTGGAAAAAAAAATTGACCCCAATTAACTTTGATAAGTTATCCTTCATCATTTCTAGACCAGGACATTAATTTTTTTTCACTGTATCTGTGGTGAATGTTTCTGTGTGTGCCTTTGTATGCGAGCTTTCACTCAATTTTGTTCTTTTCACATTTTCCTGTCGAAGGATGCGAAAGAAACAGATGGAGTCTGCCCTCTTGTGACAGGGATTGTCCAGTCTGTTTCAACGGTGGTGTATGCGACGACCGGAGTGGAGAATGCATTTGCCCGCCTGGATTTAGCGGGGATGTCTGCGAACAATGTGAGAATACAAATTAAAACTATAGCAAGAGTAGTTTTAATCAAGGTAAAACCTTAACTTTTTTTCACGAGCCAGCCGGGCTACTGAAAAACTAGCCCGCGGGCATTTATTCATTCATTCATTTATTCATTCATTCATTAAATGGTTTATTGAATCAATCATGAATCGCAGCTAAGGGCTGAATTGAATATGATAAACAGTATTTGGAAGAAAAAAAGTAATTCCATTAAAAAACATTATTAACATTAAAATATTAAAACGTACCAGATAGTAATCCCATTAAAAAAAACATTATTAACATTAAAATATTAAGAAGTACCAGATGAAACTGACAAAAAATACCCCGAATACACGACAAATGTACAAGAGCTAGAAAACTGCTCAGAACATAATACGCATGATAGTGGCTCCCATGCAACCCCCTCCCCCCCCCCAAAAAAAAAAAAAATTCCAAGATGATTTTCAGAATCTCCAGGACATCAGACTCAAGAACCCCAATGCAAAAAAGAGATTAAAAAGCATGTAATAAAATAGATAACAAAGCTGTATGGCCTTAGTTTATTAAAATCAATTAGGATCCATTCAGTAAGCGGATCAGGTGAGGCAAAGGTTTTTTTTAAAAAAATCATTCAGTTCTACACCTGACCTTGCCTACCTGCCCAGTATGTCTGAGATAGTAGCTGTGCTGAGGTTTAGCGGGTAGTCGACCTTTCAAGATGGATGTTGGGAGTGTTTCTGCAAACACCTGGCAAAGATGATCCCTCCTATTTTCCAACTGGTCCACTTGCATACATCCAACGCTTCAGAGTAGTGATGGTATTGGGAAGCAAGTATGATTCTGTAGGGTTCTCAATAGTCGCAGGTGATGATTTAGGGAGTGGAACAACGGTAGCTCTTTTCCACTGTTCTGGGACGACCTGTTCAGCGAATGATGCATTGATGATATGTGTCAGGGGCTTAGCCAACTGGTAAGAATACTCACGGATAAGTTTTGCTGGAATGTTGTCGGGACCACATGCCTTTGTCTTTTTTATTTGTTCAGTTCACGGAACACGTCCCACGGCTGAACTTCTGAAATGGGTTGCGATGGCAAATAAGATGGAAGAGATGCCCTGACCAGTGGGTCAAGATCATCGCTCACTGCAATGAATTTGGAGCATATCGCTTGAGCTATGGACTTGTGGTTTTCTGGATCAACATTTTCCACAGCTATTTGTCGTTTCGTTTTAGCACCGGTTGTCATCACGTGGATTTCGCAAACCAGGCTGCTGGATTGGATCGCTTGAGACATTGAACTCTGAGGGTGTAGTGTCGCTCTTTCACTAGCCCGCATGTTTTTCTTTTAAAGAGTGTCTCATAAAGAACAATGTGCATACAATGTAAACGTGTATCCAGAGGCAATCTTGCAGTCAGTGTTTTAAATAAACCGATCTGATAATTAACTCTAAATAGTAAATAAAATAAGACAAAAATTGATACAGGTTTGCTTTCTGAATTTAATGATCTATTTCTTCCTGTCCTTCTTCTTTGCCGTAGCCCAATAATTTTTGACTCGCCAGATGGGCTACTTTATACGGAATAGTTGACTAGCCCGCCGCTGTTTTGACTAGCATTTGGCGGGCTACCGCTAAAGTTGAACCCTGTTTTAATGCCATGCGATGGCGATGCGACACGATCTAGGAAACAAGTTCCCAAACCAAATCGCTAATACTCTCGGGATGTTTCGGCCTAAATGAAAGTTCAATAAATTGTCTGCAGCGACAAATTCAATGACAGGAGACCATTGATTCTATACCTTTATTTACCATTTACCTTCTCACTGTCAATGCCAAAGGGCGTGTTTAACCTAGGAATTTAATATCCAAACCACCCAATTAAAGTTTTCTAATTTAGAGTTGCCGAATTTTTAATAGTACATTGAAAGGGCTAAAACGTTCAAACATTGATTATTCAAGCGAATTATTTTCTATTCATTTAAGCAAAACATAATCAGCGATCGCCTTTAAAAAGTTCAAACAGTTTCCAGAGTTTCCTGTTCTATAGCCTGCGTTTGTTTCTTTTTCAGCTCCACAATTTGTTTTTCTCTGTTGTTTGAACTCAGTGGCGTAAATCTGTGCCGGCGAGGGGGTGTGTGTGTGTGTGGGGGGGGGGGGAGTATCAAAATCCAAAAATTGCCCTGCCGTGGAAATTCGAAGGGGGGGGGGGTCGGACTCCGGACACCACATTACACTAGGGGGCGCTCTTCAGGATCAATATGTATACTCGCGCTTACATCGACACGGCGCATTTTAAAAGCTTTTGTACTTTGTTTCTCCACTTTCAGTACTATTGAATACATTAAGGGTTGTTGGGATGTTCGACAAATACTTCAAAATCCGCATTTTGTTTTTCTCATCACGGAAAAGTGGTGGGGGGGATGATTCAATAGCCCATCCCCCATGGTCAAAAAGTGGGAGCTATATACCCCCATTCACCCCCTCCCCCGGATTTACGCTCCTGTTTTGTACTACATGTATATAGTGTTAGGCCCCAACCGTTTTGGACAATCGGGAAGTTTTCGCTGCGACTCACCTGCGTTAGGAGGCGGTCCTACGTGTGCAGGGATGCTGTTCTGTTTACCAGATCCTTATGGCTGCTCGTGTGCTTCAGGGTACCAAGGAATCGACTGTGATGACTGTAAGTCAGACCTTCAAAAATTATATTGAATACCCTTCACATGGCGAACAGTTTCATATTTTAAGTTTTAATACAAAAAGCTGAGGTGAACACTTTTCACGGTAGGTTTTTACCTGGTTCAACAACCACCACATCAAATTGCAAGTCATTTTCTTTAATGAATCTTAGCTTTCATCATGTAAGAACGGTCGTAATATAGATCACACCAAAACAATTCCCAAATTCACAAGGTAAAAATATGCAGGCCTCGTTTTTGATCCAGTTAGTGACATTTTTGGGCAGTTTCTCACTGGCATGTAATTTTCTGGGAGGTGTTAGTCAGTGGTCCATCCAGTATTTCCCATAGAAGGTTGGCTGGGTTGTTGAAGTCTAATATTTTCAAGGCAGAGCTGGATGAGGCATTGCAGTCAACGCATAAAATGACTAAAACAACTGAGGCAATTTAAACTTAAATTATTTTTTTTTCAGCATGTGATGATGGTTTCTACGGAGCAGACTGTGCACAGACCTGTCACTGCATGGACGGGGCCGCGTGCAATATAACTACGGGCGAGTGTCCCGGGGACTGTGCGCCAGGATTCGCGGGTATCAACTGTCAGGGTAAGTTTGTTGAAAGCTTGAGCCAAAGGAATTTCGAGTCGATGTAGTGTGAATTTACCAATAATTTATCCTTTCAACTGGTTAAATCTATGCCTTCGGAAATCGTATTTAAAAAAAAAATCATTGTAGGCTCGAACCTACATCTTTCTTGTGGTGCAGACAACTGAACTTTTCAACCATTCAAACCCAGGTTTGCCAAACACAGTGAAATTTTGTGACATCATTGAAAAGGTTGGATGTCGCCAGACCAATTTGAAAAGGGGGTGGGGGTGTTCCTGAAAACTGTCTACAGGCCACTTCATAATGGAAGGTATAGCCATAATTTGTTGTGTGTGTGTGGCTGGTTGCTGTGGACCCCATGTGACTAATGGGGGAAGTTGTTCAAAGCGTCAGACCGTGGGACTGGGCACTAGGTATCGGACGATGGGTGGCACTAACACAGACGCGTACCCCCTCCCCCACACACACACACGCCCTCCATAAAAAAAAGTTTGCGCCCCCAGTCGCCCCTCACCCCACTGAAAATTTGGCGTCCGGAGAAAAGCACAGCCGTATGATTTACCATGATTAGCTTGAAGAATGTGAAGTCCTTTTTTCCGCAATTTTGGGCGTATTCTTTACCAAAACGTTTTGCCCCTGCGAGTGGCTGTATATTGTAACGTCCCTAGCGCGAATGACGTGACGCGAATAGTGGTAGTTATTGTCTTATATTATAAGATGGTGTTCAGCCCCCCCCCCCCCCCCCCCCCCCCGCCCACCACCATCCCAGCCCCACTATTTGATTTTACGGAGGGCGGGAGTCCGGTGAAAAAAAAACCTGTCTACCTTTCAGCACAAATGAAATGTTTGGGCGCCCTGCCATGTAACCTCAAGCCCCCCCCCCCCCCCCACACACGCCCCCTAGGATGAAAACCCTGGCTATGCCGCTGGGCATAGGCCTACATGTACGTGCATGGATATGCCGACGGAAAACGATTTTGCCGAAAGGACTTAAGATTTTTGCCGACGGAAAGGATGCATGGGGCTGTGTGACGGCCCTGGAAAAACCTCTAGCGACAGCGGTTGTGATTCTATATTTGCTTTTCCTTATTAGTAATTCAAATTCGTTAAGGTATAGTCATTAACTTCAGGCGAAGTGTAATTTGCATTTCTTTGAGCGTGTGAATGTTTCTCCATATCAGTCAAGTTAACCGTGGATGATTTCACCTGTATCACCAAGCCCCGTATTGCTATCGGCAGTGAATACACCTACATCGCAGCCTATCTACATGGCGGTAATGCCAACCTGTCCTTCGCTCGAACGATGTTCACATATACAGGAAGTGAAAGTCCCAATCCCCCAGTACCCCCAGCGACGTTACAGTTACCTACCAACTCTATGGAAACAAACTCGTCATCTGCGGAAAATAAGATCTCTGTTCTCCGATTGCCAGCGGCAGGGGGGAAGACGAGGATTGGGGCTTTCGCTTGCAGAGCAACGACAGCGGGAACTGATCCATACAACATTGGTACCGTCATCATGAGCAGTAAGGGTAAGTGGGACCGGGCTACAACGAAAATTAACTCCCCAAAAATTAATATTGAAACTGGTTTAAATAGCTTGTGTATAAATTTCTAGTGCGACTATATCTGTTTCCATTATGGGTGGGCATTCAAATCGGTGATTATGTGGCATGGTGGATGAATAATATAGGGTTGTGCTGTGTGCTTAAGGCCAAAAAAAAATAAGTCGGTCTCTGGTCAGCGCGTGCGTCGATTTTAATCATGTGCGTCGATCTTTTTTTTTCCAAAATGGTCCGCGGTAGCTCCAACAGCACCCTCTATTTCCGCACCTCCTCAATTTTTTTTTACCAAAAAGCAATAAGGAATGGGAAATTGCACCAAGGCAAATGATCGAAAGCACCAAGGCAAATTTTGGAGGACACCAATGTACATGAGGACACCAAAAAGCAAAATAGTACCCACCTTGTCCGTACAATCCAAGCTTGAAGAAAAAGAAAAAAATAGCAAAAAAAAAGAAAAAAAAAGCCGCGTGGCCGCGTCAATTCCGGAACTTTGGTCTGACCAGAGACCGAATATTTTTTTGTTGGCCTCAAGGCCACCCTTGAACCTATCGCGGTAGAATCGCGTCAACGCAGCTTGTGAAATATTGTCCAATCACATGTACATGATATACAAATGGACGCAGAACGCGCAAAATCTTAGACTGTCTCAGGCCAAAGAGGCGTGGCTAACTCGCAAACGGCGATAGGTCAATTGAAGAATAACAGAAGAGGATTGTAATTCATATTTCCCTTTAACTGTTCAAAATCACATCATAAGCGTCGTAACTCCAAAAGACTGTTGTGTCTCCCAACCGACCCAAAAACTTTGGAATCCCCACTCACCCCCCCCCCCCCCAGACCCCAACCGACCGACCCTCCAGATATTTTTCATGTGAGGGCAACTCAATTTTGTTGCTTGATATTATTGTTGGCTTTACAAGAAATGCATTGGAATATAAATTGGCTCCCTTGTAGTGCCGTCTTTTATTGGCTTAGGATGTTTGGTGGTTTACTTTTTTTTCCCAGATGTTTGGTGGGATAAACTGATGATATAGGGGTATCAAGTTGGTCTTGTATTAATATACCTTATGCGTAGCAGCCATCTTAGAGGGTAATGCCTTTGTTTTGCTGGGATATGCATGAGTGAAGCTTTTGTGCATTCATTGTTACTGAATTAGAATAACAAAAGATGCCCTAAGATGGCCGCTACGCATAAGGTCTGTGTGGCTCGCCTGACATAATTTATCTATTAATTTGTACTATGCATTGCAGCTGACTTCCTTCCCACTCAAGTGAGTCAAACGGTAAACCAGGGCGATGCAGTCAATCTGACCGTCACTGCAACAGACCCAGCCCGTAACTACACTCGATGGAGAAAGAATGGCAGTGGAGTATATACGAACAGAAACGACGATCTATACTTTGATTTCATCAGTCCTAGTCTCTCAGACACTGGGATCTATGAGGCTCATTTTAAGGGGGAACGTAACCATGGAAACCAGGCACTTATGCGGTTGATTGTCAGAGGTAGGCCTGGGCCCATGACCCACAAGGACAGAACCGGCGACCGGCGAAGCCATCAGGCGAATTGAGCCTGGGTGACTATATATAGGTGCAGCCAAGTAAATAGGCCAATAATCCGTCCGCCGAGCTCATTTTAAGTTATACACCCAAATTCTTCTATATTCGAGAGTTCTGAGAGCCACGAAACTGGAAGTTTAAAGAGATATGGCAATACGCCTCTGCCCTGGACTTGGCGCTTCCAATTCAGAGCATTTTAGATGCAATCGCCTCGAAAGTGGGGCTATTTAGCCATGTTGTGGAGGGATCCTTTTCAAGATGGCTATACTTTTCCGCTTTGAAAAACATCACTCGTTTTAGGGGTCGTCTTCTTTGGGTGAAATTTCTCGAAAAGTCATCGGTCAAACCACCAAAAACTGAAAAGAAAATGAAAGATCCCATATTGATCATCAGTTTTCTGTGCAGCTTGAACACATGCGAGAGTTTTGGGTATTTTTAGTTTTGGTACCGTTGTCTATGAAAATGTATTTGATTGGGTATACACCCACTAGTGACAATCAGCCTGTGTGGTCTCCGCTCAACTCGCGTTGTGGCTTCACCTCTTAGTAATGCCGGCTTTTGTCATCATTTGAAACAGCTGTCGAAAGAATATTCTTTTAAAAAAGGAATGTACATATGCAACTTAAACAAGATCAATATAATTATACCCAATCTATCATAGGTTGCGGAAAAAATATTTGGAATGCTCCCTCTTGTGACAGTGATTGTCCAGTCTGTTTGAATGGCGGTATATGTGACGACCGGAGCGGCGTCTGCATCTGCCCGCCCGGTTTTGGTGGAACTCTCTGCGTAATACGTGAGTTTGAAAATTCGTCACCGTTTTCACGAAGAGCCACATATGTCGATTTTGAAGAAAAAGTGTTTTCGAGATAATCGCTAAAGACGTTTCTCATATTTTAAAACTGCAAAAAATACCACTTTGCAACAACTTTGTGAAGCAAGGAAACCATCACACTATTCTGTGTGAGCTGAATTCTTACATAAACCCAGTAATAAGACTTAATTCAGCAGACAATTAGTGAAAATTAATTATTCAAGATATGTGGCTCTTCGTGAAAAACGCAAATTCAGATTTCCGACATATTGGCCCTTTCTGTTCAATGTGTATTTCCATAGGCGCCCGTGAGTACGCGCGCGCAGCTAAAAATGTAACAAAGATATGTGGCTCTTCGTGAAAAAACAAATCTCATTTGACCTACTTTTACGTATTTTCGTGCAATGGGTTTTGTACGCGTTCAAAGGGCCAAAATGTATGTGGCTCTTCTTGAAAACGCAAAATTCATTTATCGAGATTTTGGCCCCTTGCAACATTAATGTAACTTGGAAATTAATGATGTTTTGCTTACAAAAATATGTCAAATTGGTTAAGTACATTGTTTTAGAGCAAAATTTTGAAAAAAATCAAAGTCGAAAAAATGGTAATTTTTGACATATGTGGCTCTTCGTGAAAACGGTGACGAATTGATCTAAATATGTGACACCTCTCAATTAAAGAAATTTCACAAATTCTATGATTGATTTGTTTTATTTTATTCGCATTCATTATATTATTTTATTTTTCAGTTCTAAGACCAAACCGTTTTGGTCAATCGGGAAGTGTTGGCTGCGACTCACCTGAGTTAGGAGGCGGTCCTACGTGTGCAGGGATGCTGTTCTGTTTACCAGATCCTTATGGCTGCTCGTGTGCTGCAGGGTACCAAGGAATCGATTGCAATGAAAGTAAATTGTTTAACAGTCTATTTACAGCCTTTTTTTCGGAAATCACAAAACTGACTTCCACTGATGGCGTACCACAAACCAAAGACAAAAGTGGATACTCCTTTAACTATTAGTAATTCACAAAGGTAGCCAAATTGGTTTAGAAACTTAGCTATATACAAGACGAGGCAAACACAACCTTGGCAATAAAATGGGAGACTGCAAGTAGGACTAACCAGGATAACTCAGTTTACAATACACTGATATAGCGTCTCGAGTTTGAAAGAATCCTTTCGTTCAGTGGTATTTGTTCTCAATTTTGTGTGTAGCTTGTGGGGATAATACTTACGGAGCAGACTGTGCACAGACATGCCACTGCAAGGACGGGGTCGCATGCAACAACACTACGGGCGAGTGTCCAGGGGACCAGGACTGCGCACCTGGATTCACGGGCATCAACTGTCAAGGTAATTCTTCGAAAATGGAGGTTAAGTTTACCCTTCGTTTCGGTTTTTGGAAGGTTTACGGCCTCCACATGCGAAAAAAGGATTGCGTTTCATAGAACAGACGAAGGCGTGTGGATGACGCTAGCATTTTACTGTTACCGAGCGATGTATGTTTGCATACTCTCGTAGCACCATACGCTCGTAGTTCAGGGCTGCGACTGCGCTAGTCAACTGGTGACCTCACTTGTTTTTTCTTCGAGCTGTCGTTTAAAACATGTCGTTCAGCTAAAGTTATCCAGGAAAAACAGTTGCGCACGTGGTAAACTGGATTGACCATCGCGGACGTAAAAGCCACCCACAATGCTTTGCGTGTCCCAGTAACATTTGTGGAGGAGATTATCGCCCTTGGAAGTTGGATAGGACGTGTGGCGAATTAAAAGTAGCTTTAAAAGTCACTAGGGAATGTGAGGGGTCCAGTCAACAGCGAAGTCAGATGGGTTAGGTGCCGGCTCTCGAATTGTTTTGAACATCAAAAGGAGCGGCGAGAATCAGTCCAGATTACAAAGCACTTTTTCCCCATTGCAGTATGACCAAGAAATGCCACATTTTCACCGCACAACTTAAAATGCCCATGTCCTAAAATGTAAGTGCCAAACTGAACTCAAGATACTTACATAATTACTGCATGTTAATGGTAATTAAGGAACCGTATTTTTTTTATTTTGTTCTCATTGTTAGAAAAGTGTCTCCCATCCAGAGAAAGCAGCTCATCATGCGACAAAACCTGCACTTCGCCTCCAGGTAAACTGCTCTAAAACGATTTTTCTTCAAGGATCAGGTGTGGTGCTGGGCTTAACATTTTTTTGCTATGAGTTCATGGTCGCGATGCTTTCTGCTCAATCAGTAAGATCTGGCCTTTTGTAATGTCATGAAAAGCCACTTGCTTCCTCTTCTACGTTCGTTTGGCCGTCTCATTCGGAAAAAAAAGTGTTTTTAAGTTATACTGTTTGCCTTGAGAGAGCCACTATCTCTTTCCTCAAAGATACACCTGGGCCAATTCTGATTGGTACTCGAGTACTGTACAGAATGATTATCTGTTTCATTCAGTACTTTCAAAATAAAGATGTAGCAGCATATCGAGTAAAATTAAAAGTACAGATTGATTGTCACTTGTACAAACATAACACAAGCTTAATAGTATAATCAATCTCTTATACAGGAACGACACAAAAGCCACAGAATGTGAGGTTGTCTTTCCAAAATGACACGAGCAGCGTGATTTTCCGATGGAATCATGTTCTTTGTCCTGAAAGTAATCAGAACATCACAAACTACGCGTACAGGTTATCCAGAAGAGACAATAATCGAGAGGAGCAAGTAGGCCGAGTACAAGGCACTTCGGTCACTCTGGTGATAGGCAGCATACCGGTGTCACCCTGCGCACACACGTTTAAAGTTGCTGCTGAAACTTCCAAAGGCATCGGGCCATACACCAAGAAAATCCGGTTGATGAATGCAACTAAACGTAAGTTACCTATAATCCTTTATCAGTTCCAACATTTTCGCTTAAAAAGGGTAGTAAGGAAACGATTGGTTTAGAATTCCTTTCGCAGTTTCGTTACTTTGTAATCGGCATGCCGTGTGCCTGAAACCTTATCTACATTAACCACTTTGCCGAAATGCCGTTGAAATATCCGTCCAAGAGTCACATTTATTCATATTATGGAAGGTTTTACTTGCCTATTTTATGCCTGCTCCATAATTATTTTACAGATTTAATTTTGACAAGGTGACGTCTTGCATTATTGCAAGGTAGTCTAAACATCAGAAATTTGTATTGAAAACGAAAATAGTGTCCCTGTAAAATAGATCCCTTTTTCAAAATAATTTTTATCTTTTGTTTCGATAGTTCCACTTCCTGTCAGTGAACTCGCTGTGGCAGGTACCTCTATTGATAAGTTGTTTGTATCATGGAGAGCCAGAACAAGTCCGGAAAACCCTTGTGGACCAGAGGACTATCTGGTGACGTATGAACTCCTCCTTCGCGACCAATGTATGATGGATCGTAAACCCTACGGAATCAATAGTACTATACAAACAAGCATCACACTGAGCGGACTGGAACCATACTCGACGTACAGGGTAAATGTAACATCGAGAAACTCGGCTGGAAATGGCACAACAGTTTCACGCGTCGGGAGAACTCGCGAAACAGGTATGCACTACAAGCAAGACGTTTTCTTGTTCCCACTCTTGTGTATTGTGTTTCAGGCTGATGCCTTATGTCTTTGAACTTGAACCGCAGTTGATGATTGTTTCAAAGCACTATGATGGGAAAGAGAAGTTGTATAAATAGACTGTTTTCTCCTGAATACGAAGCTGAACATCTCAGAGCCTATAATAGACCTTCATTATGCTGCCACCATTTCAGTCATGTTCCCTGTATCCAATAACAGTAGTGAATAAATTTGTTTTTTTGGTGCACACAAGAACCATGCTATTTTCCCTTCAAGCCTCGCTTTGGTTACGCTGATTTGAATGAAAATAATCATTATAATTGTCTATTGGGTCATTACCTGAAGAATTAAAAGTCATCCTATGATGAATGGCAGGATGAGCAAATGTATAAAATGTATATCATAATTAATCATTACACATACAATTTGGCGATTTCTCACTCAGTTCCGTTAGTTGCTCCGGAATTCCACTCGAGTGAACCAGCCCCCGACAGCATCATGTTCAACTGGAACCCCATCCCTTGTGGCAGTACACGTGGCAGCATCACGTCGTATGAAACACGTCTGACGCCATCAGGAAGATGGATTGGCAGTAAGACTGTCACAACTGAGTCTGTGACTTTTGATGGCTTGTCGCCGTGTTCTCTCTACACCCTAGGAGTGTGGCCTCGTACCAAAGCCGGAAGAGGTCCACCAATGGTAGAGCAACAAAGTACAGACACTATTGGTATGTATCTGTCTTTATATAGCCTATGCAGCTTAATATGTGGTTAATGAAGAAGGCATTTTGAGGGAAAAGTGGTGACACTGTCACTAGACAACATCATCACGTTGCTAGTCAAAATAACATCCTGTTTTTGTTTTTTTTTTATTACAGACGTATGTGATCTATGAACTTTTTTAGGTAGTCTTCAACTAACTCTGAGCTGAGCTCAGTATTAAGTGGTAGAGCGTTACTGTCCCATCCTTGCTCTTTGAAGACTGGATATATATCTTGTTTTCCCCAGTTCCAGATGTTGTTGGAGAATTGTCTATCACGGTCATTCGTCATGAGCAACTAAATGTTAATTGGAAAGCCTCGACAAACCGTGACACCTCTTGCCCTGCAACAGACTACCTTGTGACCTATGAACTCATCAACCTGGAGCAGTGTCAGGAGATGCAGGGAAACGTCCAGACTAGAAACACGACTACGACTGCAATCAGTATACAAGGATTAAAAGCATACTCTACGTACAGCGTGACTGTCACACCAAGAAATGAAGCAGGGTTAGGCCAGCCACTCTCCAAACAAATGCGAACTGGATGGACAGGTACTCGTATTTTCCAAACGTCACCATTTTTTCTCAAATTTTGAAATACAAAGGTAAAAGTGATCATTTTTTTTCTCCAATTAGCACCAACAGCAACACCTGTTAATATTACCAGTGTCGCAACGTCAGGCAGCATTTCATTTGGATGGGATCCCGTCCCGTGTGGCGGGGGGAGCAGGCCTCTCAAAGAATACTGGTACAAGTTCGGAAAGAGCGGGAGTGAACAACCTACCAAGAACCAAATGACCGAGGATGATTCCGTAACATTCTCTTCATTATCTGCGTGTACGTCATATTGGTTCAAGGTCGGAACCTACAGTGTTGCACGAAAAGAATTCGGACCATGGACAGATGAGACGCAAGCAGTCACACAAACGATAGGTATGTGAGTAATGCACAGTGTGCGATATATATAATGACATAAATGGGAAGAAGGGTAGGAAAATGTTTTGATCATACAGACACGGGGAAAGAATCCCCTTCACCGGATAGTTACATATTTAAAAAGTGTGTTATGATTAATAGAGGCTAAGCCACTAGCGTAAACATTTTCAATAACGTTTCTATGAATTTTCAAATACGTTGAGGCCTACACTTGGCAGTTTGATAATTTCGGTATCGAATCACTGAAATGAAGTTGACGTATAAACAAAACCGTTGACGAGAATTTGAAAGATATGCTGCGCTCCTCGTGGGAAATGCACATGTTTTTGAGCTTCCTTTATTGTTATTAACTTGATTTCTGGCAGTCCCAGACGCAGTCGAAGGACTAACAATCACACCTCTTGGCCACGATGGACTGGAAGTACAATGGAGTGCCTCGTCAAATACAAACAACAATTGCCATGCAACAGACTACCACGTGACCTACGAACTCATCAACTTGGAGCAGTGCCAAGAGGCGCCGGATCACGACGTTGTTGCGACGAATGTGTCCATGACTTACAGCACAATAAATGGACTTCATGCGTACTCGTCGTACAATGTGACGGTGACACCGCGGAACGAGGCTGGATACGGCCAAATGCTGTCTCAAACAGTTCAAACGGGAGAAAGGGGTAAGTGCGATGGGTTTTTTTGGCCAATTTTTTCAGTTTGAACCTTTTTTGATACACTGCAATAAATAAGTAATGAATAGATATTAAGAATATTGAGAATTTCTCAATCCAATTATGAATAGACATTTCAACCGACTGTCTGGCATTATCTTGAATTAAAATTTCAGAGGTTTTTATTGAAACCAGTTGTATCTTAAAGCCATTAATTTACGTCACAAAGTTTTATCGGAAACTAAAACTGAGCCACAAATTTGAGATTAAAACATATCTTCTTTCCTACAAGAACCAACGGGAACTCCGATACTCGGCGAGAGCTCTGCATCTTCTGATAACATTACTTTCACCTGGTCCCAAGTTCTTTGTGGTGGCAGAGGAGGCGCTATTACGGTGTACCAGTACAAGCTCACGAAGAGAGGCAGCATGACTGCAATAAGAAAAGATAACACAACGGCGATGTCCGTCACATTTCGCGGTTTATCACCTTGTACATCGTATGCATTCATAGTCCGCGCATTCAATAGTAAAGGGAAGGGACCTCGGACTAATGAGCACCACCAGGATGCAGTTAAAATAGGTAAATGTATCTCTGGAAAAACGTCTTCATGAGATTATAAGAAGTTTTAAATGTGGTTGTGGTGTACACGTTAACATTTGAAAAAGCAAAAATAATGCAAACAGTTTTGTCCCCCAGTATCATTGTGTGCACCACGGGTCACATTTTTATCTTTTACGCAAGTCATATCTACTTACGATGTGTCATCAATAGACAGCTGGACCCGATTTCACGAAGCGCTGCGACGCGTCGCAACTCGAGTTACGACGTGTAACACGTCGCAACTCGCGACGCGTCGTATCTTCCAATTCACGAAAGTTGCGATTTTTTGAACGCGTCGTAAGTTCCTTGACAACGGCTTAAAACACGTCGCAAGTTACGACGTGTCTAGTGATCATCGCAAAATAAGAAGAGTCATTTCTAAGTCAGTTTTATGCCATAAACATTACATTAACGAGATTATTGAATAGCGGGGCAATGTGTTGTAAATAGAAAATTCATTGAATAATTATGAATTAGATCGGAATACTAGAGTTGAAATTTCAAAGTAGCTTTATAGTCCAATGAGAGCTTGTTTTCCTTCAAAAATTGCATTGCACAGCCGCCATTTTGTTTTACGTTTTAACAACTTTCGAGCTGAGATCCGACGTCTCTTTGTTGAATATCAGACGACTATTTACTGTACGCTGACTAAAAACATAAAACAGTCACCGAGTTGTGCTATAAATACACCTACGACGCGTCGCACTTACGACGTGTTTAGTGAAATGGATCGCAGGACGCGTCACAGCTGCGACGCATCGTAGGAGAAACGGCGCGTCGCAGCGCTGCAACACATCGTAAGTTACGAAGAGTTTGATGAAATCGGGTGCAGGACCCATTTACCCGACATTTTCAATTTATAACAGCGAATTATAAACAGCAAAGTTAACGACTTTTATGACAGCGAATTTGCAATGATATCAATATACTTACCTATTTGATAATTGTTCGTATCAATAAGGCCCCTACGTTGATTTAGGTACAAAGAAAAAAATCTAAAGCAGCTAACTAGGTGTTAAAAAAAGTGCTTCTCGTTGAGAAAGTTTGTTGAGCTTCCTTCATTGTATCGTTGTTATACATGTATTATATCTGATTTCTTGCGTGCAGTTCCAGACCCTGTTGAAGGACTAACAATCACACCTCTTGGCCATGATCGACTGGGCGTACAATGGAATGCCTCGTCAAATACAAACAACAGTTGCAATGCAACTGACTACCACGTGACCTATGAACTCATCAACTTGGAGCAGTGTCGAGAGACGTCAAGTCATGATGTGAGCACAATGAATGTGTCTGTGACCAACATCGTGATAAATGGACTTCATGCGTACTCGTCGTACAATGTGACGGTGACACCGCGAAACGAGGCTGGGTACGGTCCGATGCTGTATCAAACAGTTCAAACTGGAGAAAAGAGTATGTGCAATTTGTTTTTTAATTTCACTATTAGCATTCAACTTTTTACACCACAATAAAATCTATATGCCTATAATATTTTAGAATTTCGAAAACAATCTTCCTTAAAATATGATTTTAACCGACTGCACAGGAACCATACATTTTCTTCAATTAACGGAATGACACATCTCCTTATAACCACACCGCATAAGTCAATGTTTTTATTAAGACCCATTGTACCTTATATAAATGTGCATATTATTTCACCAGAAATGAGCAACACATTTGTTTTTAATTAACTTCTTTTCCCCAAGAACCAACGGAAACTCCAATACTCGTCGAGAGTTCTGCATCGTCTGACAACATTACTTTCACCTGGTCCCAAGTTCCTTGTGGCGGTAGAGGAGGCGCTATTACGAAGTACCAGTACAAGTTCATGAAGAGAGCCAACACGACTGTAATAGAAAAAGAAACCACAACTGCGATGTCCGTCACATTTCGCGGTTTATCACCTTGTACATCGTATGCATTCATAGTTCGCGCGTTCAATAATAAAGGAAACCGCGCGGGACCTTGGACTGACGAGTACTACAAGGATACAGTTGTAGTAGGTAAGCTTATCTTTTGAAAACATCTTTATGGGAGGTTGTACTTTCTACCCCGCTGTGTGTACTCACTGATAGACAAATAACTGGACCCATTTCCCCGATATTTTAAAATTAAGAAGAATCAACTCGTCATTATTGGTACACGTATTGATCACAATGTAAAGAGACAAATAGAAGGTTTCTTGTATTTTGGTCAGGGATAACATTGCACATAATTAGATCGGCGCCATAGAAATGACAAATAGAATAATTTTATGAAAATGGTTTTTAATGGTTTTATCCTTGAAAGAAAGGTAATTAAGCATACAAAAAATAAATGCATCGCCTGTGATGTTATTTTTGCAGATGAAATCCAATCCCTCAACCTGGAGCCCTCAACCAATGAAATCAAGGCCTCTTGGATAACTGCTGGGAACGAGGACAACCCTTGCCCTGTGACCTCGTACCGCGTTAGTTACCAACTTCTCAACTTTGAGCAGTGCCAACCGCAGACCGAGCATACCCAGATACACACGACAGTAAATGACACGAACGTCAACATAACATCAATGCATGCTTACTCCACGTACAGTGTGCAAGTCGTACCAGCGAATAATGCTGGCGCGAAATACATGAACAACAAGACAGTTACGACCGACGAGGGAGGTAAGTGCACTTAAACGCAAGAGGGCGCTTTACCCCTCCTGACATTTCGGCCATGTCTGAATCGGGCCTCCAGAGCTACAGCTACGTCAGCATTTTCAAAGTCGTTGTAATTGCCGATGACCCAGACAATAGATCTAGACAAGAGATTCGTGCGCTGCCTAGATTTCTATTTAAAGCCGGAGTCCATCATTTGCAGCTATCCAAAAAAGTAACTGGCGTAATTATTGTTGAAAAACATTATGGTTGAAAGATAGTAAGGGGACTAAACTCCCTGTGAAATTATTCTTTCTGGCAAGCTCTCATTTTGAAGAGATCAACGAAAGAAGGCATTTCCAACGGTGCGTCTTAAGAAGCACCGTAGAAAAATTTAAATTAGTAGTTCGTTTTGTTATTCGGCGAGCGCAAGCATTGGCATGACGCACAGGCGCGTGCTGTTCTTATAATTCGTCGGATCAGTGCGCGAAATCGCGGCGTAAAGCTGCAATTCAAAACGACTCAAAACATGATTTAGCAACTTTTAATTTGAAATTGAGATCCTAGAATGCTGCTTTTCTCGGAATTTACAGCTGAAGCTGAGCTGAAACTTCATCACGTTAGTTGTTCAGTATCCTTCATTATATTTTAAACGCTTTTGTTGCTTCAAACGAAACAAAATGCACGAATTACAAATGATGGACTATGTCTTTAAAGTTATACTTCTGTTGTACAAATCAAGGTACTGATGCATGGGTAGCAAGTGGGCTACGTATCTTTTGTCGGACAAAGGTATGTGTTCATGTATCATGATACCTATGCATGACGACATGACCCTTTTAATGTAATGCAATAAATGTTACTTAATATAGTACAGCACTTCAAAAATATTGAAATCCAGTTCATTGCAATGATACGCCAATATGCAGATCACACGAGTCTTTTCAATACATTGCAAAAGATTTTACTCAATATCACAGCACTTTAATCCATTCCTTTACAGTGCCATTGGCTGCTCCGGTACTCGACACAATGCTCCTGTCCAATCAGAGCGTTCGAGTGTCTTGGCATCCCATTCCATGCGGCAAACGAGGCGGTAACATCACAGGCTACACGTACGAGCTGCGTGACGCATCTGGGTCCATGGTAAAAACAGCCGACACCACGGCAGAGTCTGTTGAAGTCGATGGTCTGTCACAGGGGGCGTCCTACTCCTTCAGGCTGCGGGCGTTCACGCGTGTAGGACCAGGACCCTGGAAGGAAGATGATTTTGAGATTCCCAAAGGTATAAAATACTCAAAGAGTAATCAGTAACTTTGCTATTCCTATTTCACTGATAACTTGAATGTTTATTCAACTATCACGACAAAGGTGTATTTCCAATTTACAATAAACAAATTATGCTCTTGAAATGTAAATCGAAGAAATGTAGGACTTCGTCAATGTCATAGATATTGCATTTGTTGATAATCTATTTGAAAGAACACAAATGTGTGGAAACTATATTCATGAAGCCTGTATGCGTCATAACAAAGCTTTTTACCTATTTCGAAATGGTACAATCTTATTTCGCAGGCCCATCATATGTGTATGTAATAATCGAGTCGGTTTTATTTTGTCTTTCTTAAGACGATGCTGCTCCGCCTACTCCGCCTACTCCGCCTGGGAGTAGTCCTGCGGGCTCAGTTTTGGGCGTGGTCGTCTTTATCTTGGTAGCTTTGATTGTTGCTCTCCTGATAGCTATCGTAGTCAAGTAAGTCACCTTAATCACGACACCGAGAGTAAAATACAATGCGATCTTTTAAGAATGTATTTAAAGAGTTGTTGGCATTTTCTATCAAAGGAAACGACGAAAGCAGAGGACCAAGGCACTGAGCAAGGACAGCACTGGCGATGGTGTCCATGATATTTATGGGAAAGGAGACCAAGGTGGAGGTATGGTTGTCTATTATTTGGGCATGTTCACGTAAATATACAAATTAAAAAAAAAATATTAATAAAAAAGGCCTTATTGCAATCCATCTGCAGAGAAAGAACTAGCAAGACCATTCAAACGATGATAATTTGGTATAGCTCTTAAAAAAACGTTTTTGAAAGTGGCAGTTCAGTAACGTGAGAATGGTTGGTCTGAAAACGAAACTGGCATTTATTATTTCAGTTGAGCTGAAGAATCTGCCATCTACCTCTGGTTACAAGCCATACGCTACAAAGGGTCATGAACCAGTGGTGTCATCTACTAATCCACCAAAGTCAACCGATCAAGTAGCTGTTGATGTGTTGCCAAAAGCGGGACCATCCACTGATTCAGCATCAGCATCTGGTCCATCCACATCCACTAAGGCTCCCGTGAAGCCCAAACCGTTCGTCAATCCTTCCACCAAGCCCAAGCTGAAGGCTTCGGCAAAGGCATCCCCGAGTTTTCCCCAAGCCGGCCCAGTTGCCATGGCTCACCTGGCTGAATACATCAAGAGTAGAACAGCTGGGAAGGTCAACGGATTCCAACAGGACTACGAAGTGAGTCTTCTGATTTCTCTTACCACGATTTAATGTTATTTTGGTCTGACCTAAAATAGTCAGTGAAAGACACTGAGAGGAATGGACCAAAACGTTTGCTACATAATGTTCTTTATGTTTGAGATATGTGTCTTCGTAACTGCGATTTTGTGATTATCTCCCATCTCTTACAGTCGATTCCAGGTGAACCAATCCACCCGTGGAATGTGGCCAAACAGGATCACAACAAGAAGAACAACAGATACAATAACATCCTGGCCTGTAAGTCTAATTGTTCATCCTCTATCACCTTTTATTTTGTAATGTTTTGTTGGTAAAAAATGTGCGCCGTTCACATTTTCAACATTGACGCTAACAGCTTATTGCATCCTGCAAGAAATACCCTCTACTCTTCATTCAGTAAATGTCCCGCAAGTTGTAATAGGAATGGTGTCAAAAGTAATCAAGGGAGTTAAAGTGGAGGCCATAATTACGTATGTCGCTAGTATTATGCTTGCACAAGAATAACCTGCCATTCTTTCCCTTAAAATTCCTGAAACCTCAATTTTTGTATTCAAAAATTTGATATGATTTTCACACACATTTGTCCTTGGAGGGGTTAAACACAGATTTAAAAAGACTAAATATCTGCAATACCTTGTCTCGGCAGATGACCACTCTCGCGTGGTCTTGGAGTGTCTTGAGGATAACCCACACTCAGACTACATCAATGCCTCCTACATCAATGTAAGTTTTTGCCGCAATCTTCAAAATGGGTTAACACATTTTTATCTGCCTTATTTGACTCTGGCGAAAAAAGTAGAAAGATCTTGATTTTCTTTTAAACAGGATACTTTATATTTTCTTCCACGTAGGGATACAAGCAAGATTACAAGTACATTGCCAGTCAAGGTAAGCACTTAGTGAAAATGAAAACAAAAACTAAAGTTGTAAATTAAAATCCTCAAACTGACTGAAACATTTGTAAAGTGGGCGCAATCAAACCATTTTCCGTTATCAAAAATATAAAATGAAAGAATAAGTTGAGAAATGACGCTAATCAAACTCTGGTTAATTTCTTAAATTTAATTCAAAGTGGATCGTCTCACGTCACTAATTAACTTAAAAGTTGACAACGTTTCAAATTTAAAGACATTATTGAATATTGATACATCCTTTAGAGAGTACAAAGAGAATGTTTTAACGTGTTTGAATGTTTGAATGTTTTAATGTTTTAACAAAGTTTTAACGTGTAATTCAAGGTCCTACCAAGGCATCAGTGAAGGACATGTGGCGCATGGTGTGGCAGGAGCGAGTGGGCAAGATCGTCATGCTGACGAACCTGATCGAACATGGCAAGGTAATTCATAATAATATAAAACAAATTGCTGTGCGTAATTTTCTCATCGAAACACAGAACCATGCCTCTTTCTCGCTGTCTTTCAACTAGCTATAGGTCTTTGAGAATACTGAAGAGACGTGCAATCGTATTCTGGAAGTGCAAAAAAATGAAATGACCGAGTTTAAAAAGCCAAAGACTAGATTAAATAGCATAAAGTAAAGTAAGCCTTGTCTGTTCTGTTTGGGAGAGTTCCTTTTTCAAAATAGTATATCGTACATTAAGATGATTAATTTTGTTCATGCACAATTATTGTAAGGTTTCATCTACTGGTTCTCCGAGAACCCGGCTCATGCCACGGGTAGTTATTCTGGCCACAATAGTGCCATTTGCCCTGACAAGCTCATAAACAAATGCTGCCACAGGAGCTCTTGCATGGTTGCTCCGATATTCTTTAACTAACTGATACCTTTTGGTCTTTACTGCATTACTTAGGGGAAATGCGAGCAGTACTGGCCCGATGACATTGCCGACTACGGAGAACTGTTTGTCCGTAATGTTGATGAAACAAAACATGCCAATTTCATTGTGAGGACTTTTCACGTGTCGAAGGTAAGTCCAGAGTGCAAGAATGGTTTTGCAAAGCCAAAGTAATTTACTGAAAGACACAGTTTATGTGAAAGAAGTAAATTGCAGCTGAAATGCTGGTGCGCGTTTCGTCTTCATATTTCATCCGAACGGTGATACTGGGTTTATATTGAGTACTTTATAGTTGTAAGAAAAAAGTAACAAGTAGGCATTGAATTAAAACATGGCATCACTTACAATAATAAACTGCCTGCAGTACCCTTCGATGCCACTCTTCGCCGTATCCTTCTTTTCCACACAGCAGAAATGTAACATGATAAAGCAACACCGACCGTGTGCACATAGTTCAACAATGCAGTTTTTGCAGTAAGAAATGTTAATATTAATTGGCGGGTTTTTTTTTTTTTGGGGGGGGGGTCTCTTAGAGCACTGAGCCTGAGGGTGAATACCGTGAGTTAACCCAGTTCCACTACACCACCTGGCCAGACATGAAACCACCAGAGTCATCTCCGCTACTTCAGTTTGTCAGAACGGTCCGAGCAACAGACGCTTCACAACATGGACCCATCGTTGTCCATTGCAGGTAAAATATACAGTACGTTTTTATGTCTATACATTTAAAAAAAACTTTAATTATCCTCAAATTTCACACTGAGTTGGGGGTGAAAAGTTCCTCGTTTCCCCTTGATCAGGTAACAACTTGTGGAGAAAAGTCTTGAACACACTCGATTTATTGTTGTATTCTGTCGCATTAACTTATTCAGTGCTGGAGTTGGCCGCACAGGAACCTTCATCACTTTGGACTCCATGCTTGAGATGGCGGAGGCAGAGGGCCAAGTCGATGTCTTGAAGTTTGTACGCGATATGAGGAATCAGCGCTTCCTTATGGTCCAAACTCTGGTGAGTCTTTTGGTCTCGGATAAACTTCCAGTCTCGAATTTGTAAATTGAAACCTAAACTGACGATACAAAAACAAGCTTATAGTCAGTGTTGAAGTCGAGTCCATCACAAACTCAATCACAAGTCTGGTCATACGTAGCAAGAGATGAACAATAGCAAAGGAATGCCTTTGTGTGAGTTCATATGAATAGCCTGCGACTTGCATGAGGAATGGAAGACTTGTGATTGACTTTAGTGATTCACTTGCGAAGTTTTGTTGGACTTGTGATAGACCACAACACTATGGTGAAAGATGTCTGCAAACACACTGATAAGGGTTCATATAGTATGTAACATCTCAATATTGCATGTTTGTATTTCCAGGATCAATACAAGTTCATCTTCGATGCTCTGTTGGAGTCAAGTCTGTCAGAGAACACGGCCATCAGTGCTGATCGCTTTCATCAGAGCTTCGCTAAACTCAAGAAACGGGACAAGAAAGCAGGGACTACTGGCATCGAGGCGCAGTTCCAGGCAAGTTGAATTAATATTTCCGGTAAATTGCTAACGATGACAAAACTCTTAAACACTGGGCATTACACAGTTTGGGAAGGGCTTCGTAATAAGCAGTGAATCGTAGTTTCCATATTACCCTTTTAGTGACAAAGATGGCTTAAAGGTAACGTACATAAAAGTCATGTGTCCTACCCATGGAGCTATATGAAATACCGCACAGAAGCCCAAAAAGTTAAAGGTAAAATAAAATAAAGCGGCAGTGGGTACTTTATATTCAAGGATTTACTTGTTAATCTGTTAGCTCACTTTTAAGGGAGACTGCCTCTGGGGAAAACAAACACTTTTGCCCCGTCTGTCCCGAGCCTGAATGCCCCACAAGTTGAAACTTCTTTATGAACCCTAAATGAGGTATAATCTGAAGTAATAAGTAACGACGAATAGAAGAAGATAGACCCACAGTAAGTAATTCAACCCTGCTGATTATCTTTGATCGGTTGCCTTTTTTTCCTCTGTGATACCTTCACAGATGTTGGAGTCGTTCACTGCCTCACCGAGCGAGGAGCAGTGTATGGGAGGCAGGAGCGCCGCCAACGTTGACAAGAACAGATTCAAAGACTGCATTCCTAGTAAGTCAGTATCCAAAACAGGCACATATTACTGGCACATGCAAACCCACTGTTACCGTTACTACCTATTTTCAAAACTGCTTGAAAGTTCACTTCACTTTTAGAGAATATAGGTACATAGTTCTCGGTGTACAGTAACAGAGTTTGGTGAGTTAATATAAACGCTTTTCCTGTATTTGTTTAGGTTCTGTCAGCTTGTTGGCTCAATACAGCAAACACTTTTCGTTTTCTCTTTAGCATAAGTTGAACTATTGTTGTTGTGATGTTGCCTTTTTTTCAAAAATTTGGTGTTCCAACCACATTCCAATAAGCATTCGTTTAAAAGACAAGTGTAGAAGGCTTATAATGTTTTGTTTATTTCTACACTGACTTTGGATTATAAATATCAAGGCCTTGTACGACATGCATTTTACAATTTTCATCGAAACTGTTTGTCTAACAGAAGACAGCACCCGACCGTATCTGATGACCAAAGGTGACGAAGGAAGTACCAATTACATCAACGCTACATTCCTGGATGTAAGTCGTACAAACTTACTAAAACATCGACAGCAAATTTAATGCATACGTCACCCGTCAACCCCTCGAGTAACCCTCTTTAAACTTCTTCAAAACGTACAGCTTAACTATAACGACCTCCCATATCGTGCCCATAACCATGACGTAACACCTTAATAAGGGAACGTTTAGTATTAGCTTGATATCTTATGGTTACTGTTAGCAAACATTTGATATAGCGTAGTTATTATGCAGAAATTGTAATACCCTTGGAGTTATAGAAACCTAATTGTCTGTGTTCTTCTATCTTACAGGGTTATAACAGCAAGCATGCCTACCTTGCCACCCAGGCACCTCTGCCTAACACACGGGGTGATATGTGGAGGATGGTGTTCGACTACAAAGCATCTTGCATTGTCATGCTCAATTCTATGGACAATGACCCGGTATAGGCAATTCCTTATATTTCAAGGGGTAGCTTAGTTTCCACTCGTATGAATTATTAAAACAAGGCTATCGGCTGAAAATTTGTCGGGAACATGGCAATTAAACGAACACAAAAGATGGTGATATTCCACACGGTACCTGCATGCATCTGTTGAATATACAGTACAAGCTCCTTGATAGGATACGTCATTACCATCCCCAATGTTATCGCTGGAGGGCCTGATATACACTGTACTTTCCTCCCATAAGCCTAAATCTCTTGTGACTGTTGTTATTCTTTTTTCCAGAGCGTTGTCCAGTATTGGCCAGAGAAGGACAGTTTGGAGTTTGGACCACTGACCGTTACACTGACGAATGAGGACCGATATTGCGAGGACATTATCATACGGCAGTTTGATGTTAGCTATCCCGCTAGGAAGGTAGGCGAATGAGAAAGTTCTATCAAAGACCATTCATCAATTTGTCGTTGACTCGTGACGCACCTTGCGCCTGCGCGCTAACTTTTAACTTAGAATCAGGATTCCGCGTCGAACTGTGCTCGAACGTTAATGTCCTGGCTCCCTGCATCACGCTGAGTGCCCGCATTTTTTTGGTAACCAGCGATATGACCAATCTGAGGTAGGCTAACCCGAATGGTCGAATAGACTTGTTCACTTATTGTCGACTATACGTGCGTTCGATTTGATTGGGTATTTCTATAGTAATGGGTGACCGTAGCTATAAGTCGAATGTTGTTTGTTAAATATTGTATATAAGTTGCAGCTTATTCGAAACAGATTATGTCATTAGAAACAGTCCGATGCCTAAAATTTCGTTCTTTTGGTACATGTTTGTATACCCACGAAGCACACGAATCATTATTAGATGTCAGATTTTGCCATTAAATACTGTAGGTTTTGTTGCTAGTAAGCAAAACAAACAATATGTTCAACCAATTACTTTGACAAATAGAATGACGAGGTTCAGAGCGTCTGTCAGATCCAATACCTGGGATGGCCCCCTGGGAAAGAGGTCCCAAGATCTCCGTCTAGTCTCCTCAAGGTGCTGGAGGCTGTTAAGATGTGGACGACCGACCACCCTGATGGACCCATCGCTGTCCACTGCATGTAAGTACTCCACAGGGAGACACAATCTAAAGTTGTCAACCGTGGCAGCCGCGCAGTTTCACTTTCCCTACCTGCAATCTTGGCCAAATCTCGCTGGGCCCCCAACCCCCCGGCCCCCGTTCAATGTTGTCTCTCATTGCGCGGTGTGTGCTCTATCAGCTGGAGAGAACAACATTGACCGGGGGAGCGGGGGAGTGGGTGACCGTAGCAGGCTCAGGAAGTGTCCCAACCATTTTGGCCGGGGTTGTAGGTATGCATATTTTAATCCATGGGATCTCTGAAATGTCGTTAAAGCTTGAACTTTTTTCCCCTCTGTCTGAACAGTCTGAGCTAAACTTTCTTCCTGTAGGTTTCTTCATCACCTTTCCTGTTCTTCATCGAGGACACCCATAATTCATTTCTGATTGGGGATCATGAAACAAAGTGAGGACAGTCCTCGATTGGTATACGTGTATAAAACCGATGAGAGGTATAAATAGAGGAAGACCGATGGCATGTCCTCGATTTACATCATTCACAATCATGCGTTTACGTTGTACTTATGAAGTACCAGAATGACTCACTTAGACAAAATCATATTCCATGTGTTTCTGCCATTTTAAATTAATGTTAATAATTTAAATTGAATTAATTTTCTTCACCAAACTGTTAATTCTTGTCTCAGTGACGGTGTTGGATGCAGCGGAACCTTCTGCGCCATACTCACACTCCTGGACCAACTCGCAGTGGAGAAAGACGTAGACGTCTTCCAAGCCGTCAAGAAACTCCGCATCACCCGGGCTGGGATGGTCAACTCTCTGGTACGTTTCAAGTCATTATTACTGCACCTACGTACCGGGGTGTGCTGGGTGATTTAAAGCACAATCTTGCGATGTGGTATTAGGACTTTTCGAAACCTTGTCTTGTTGATTGGCTTTGTGTGCATCGGGTTCTTACTTCGTGGCCAAATCAGATGTTTTGTTGCTTCAACATTGGTGAAAAAATAGAGCAGTAGCCAAAACAGTGGGGTTATTATAACTGAAGCAATACTTTTATTCATAAATGGATACTGAGGCCAAAAAAGGCTCCGGTTTCTGGTCTGCAAGTGCGTCGTGGTATCCATGCGCGTCGGCAAAATTAAAAAAGTTTTTTTTGCAATGTTAGATGATACCGCCAAACTCACTGGTTTGACTGGAATCCTGCTGCTGCACAATTTAAACGTGTTTTAAATGGGGTTACGGTCGAGTATAAACTTTATGTGGCCTCTCTGGGCTCCGATACATTTTGCACTAAATTTAGTCAGGAACCATTTGCAGTCATCAGCCGACATTTAACGAAAAAAACAAGTAAAAAAAAAAACAGACGCTTCGCCGCACCACTTTTGGGCAAGCTCCATACCAGAAACAGAAGACTTTTTTTTTTTTTTACTAAAGACAGTCACCATGTAATTGTCACATTTAAATGTGAACATGAATTAAATCAACTCATACCTATGTTTTGCTCTTAATTTCAGGCTCAGTACCAACTGTGCTACCAGGTGATCCAAACCTACTTGGATTCGGACTCAATCTACGAGAACTATTGATGCACCAGTGTGGAACAAGTTATTTAACATCATAAATGTCAGATTTGCATGTCCATTAATTTGTAACTGATACCTAAAGTTTTTGTAACGTCAGACAGGATTTTTAAAAGGTAGGTTTCGCTTCTACCTCAGTATGAAATCTAGTTTCAATTCTAGCTCAGCAAATTTCTATTCGTCTTGGGGGCCCAGGCTGCTAGCCTTTTTGTTCTTATCTCGTTGACTGACTTTCTGACTGACTGACAAGACTGTTTGTGGTACGGAGCGCTGGGCAGTGTTATCGTATAGGATTATCCAGTAATGTGCTAAATCTGAGTCATTGTGTATAGACCAGGGCCCAATTTCACGGCGCTGCTAAAAATCACAAAAATTTGCTTAGCACAACAAAATTCTGGCATATACAAAAGCAGGTTACCAGCCAAAACTCCATGTGGTTTTCATGCTAAGTAAACAACAGTTGAATGCTAATCCAGAGCAATATACATCACATGGAGTTTTGGCTGGTAACCTGCTTTTATATCTTGTGCTAAGCCAATTTTTGTGCTTAGTAGCGCCGTGAAATTGGCCCCATACAGATGTTTGACACGTCTGTCAGTGAATATCCATTGTAAATCAATTGAATATGCGCTCTGACTTGGCCTGATGTGAGATTAAGCAGGCTTACCTAGTATTCTTCTTTCATCTAATGCGATTTGTCCCTGTTTAGCAGGGAATTGTCCTCCCATATTTTCAACTCGACATTCTTTGCCGTCTCCAGCTGTCCTATAATCATCTTCGTGTTTTTTCCCGCTTTGGTTTAACGAATCCTTAGTATAATAATTATTCAAGAAATGACGAGACCAATGCAGTCACAAATGATATCATTATTTGATTACTTTTATGCCTAATTAAACAAGCGGTAATTGATATATGAACATTTACCCAGACACCATGTGGGCATAATGATGTAAACTATGCTGTAAACTTGAATCATGTCAAACTTAATACAATTGATAAAATGTGCTCATTGTACAAGATTATTAATTTAACATTTATATTATCGAAAACAAAGCCTTTGTCGTAAAATGCGAACCATTGGATCTAGTCAACGTTAAGATAAGTGCTTTTAATTCCAAAAATGATGACTTCACTGAAATACTTATACGCTAATCTTAAGCATAAAATCGAGACATATTAAGCAAAGTCTCTAATTATTTATATACTCAAGATGTTGTTTAAATATTGTTTAATGGTACAATTTGAGTAATAATAATTATTTTAATCAAGAGTACACTCCTTAAGTTGCGTTGAGAAATTAAACACAAATGATCTTGCTATTACTTTGTGAACAGGTTTAGAGGCTAAACATGTCGTGTCCAATGCCTGAACATCAGTGTACAGCTGCTAAATACTGTTTATCAATACTCTATACATGTTTGGTATTTATACCAAATTGTTATGAAGTGATAGCAAGAAAGTGTTTAGATTTTGCAGTGAAGCGAAAGGGTTAATCAACCATCGTAGACACATAACTTATAGCGGTGGCTGTGGTTGGCATCAACATAAGTGAGCAAGCTGGGAACATTTCACCATGTTTTCCGTCAAACATTGAAGTGTACTTTCTGTGCGTTATTAAGTGCTTTCATATCAGTTTTTTAGTGCATGTTTCAAATCCTCAGACGCACATTCGTTAGATCGCCTATTTACAAGTATGTAAAAGACTTCTGTTATGAACCGCGAAGTGAAGTTGAATTTTGTTCACTGGAACTTTAGTCTAAAAAATATCCAAATAACACACTGAGCAAATAATGAGTTAGATGACAGTCCATAATAAAATGTCATTATATATATACGGCAGCGTAAATATCGACTCCGGTTGTTGTTGTTGCTGTTGTTGCTGTTGTTGGTGTTGTTGCTGTTGTTGCTGTTGTTGCTGCTGTTGCTGCTGCTGCTGCTGCTGCTGCTGCTGCTGCTGCTGCTGCTGCTGCTGCTGCTGCTGCTGCTGCTGCTGCTGCTGCTGCTGCTGCTGCTGCTGCTGCTGCTGCTGCTGCTGCTGCTGCTGCTGCTGCTGCTGCTGCTGCTGCTGCTGCTGCTGCTGCTGTTGTTGTTGAGAGCCAGTATTCGCTATTGAAGTTTAGGAACAACACAGTTTTTTTGTAAATTAAGTTTATATCAACTATACCGTGTTTTGTGTGCTAAAGATAAAGTTGTTGAGGTATCACTGGGTTCATGAGTGCGAGGAAGCGTGCAGTGTGAAGCATGGAAATGCTTTAAAATCCTACATTAATCCTACGATCCCAAATGAAGAGTTAACTATATAGCACTACTGCATGTTTGTACAGCTTGATTAAAGTAACTTGTTCTGTTGAACTATTTATCGACACAACCATTTAATTAAAAATCAAACCACCAAATCTCTGCGATTTTAAACAATTCACCGTTGTCATGTACATTCAAAATGAACAACACGGACCCCAAACTGCATCTGTTTGCTCTATCTATATGATTCAACCGAAAGATACTATGTTCTTTCATTTCTAACTTTTCGAATAAACCACAAAGTGAAATTGTTTATAGGTGCATATAAAAACGAGTAGAAAGTTGAACAAAAACAAAACCTGTCTGGGGCTGGGTTTGAACCTGCGACCTCTAGTGCGCTACCAACCGGGCTACCCATTCCTATGTTGGTGGTCCAATGTTATTTCAATGTCTTTGTTCAAGGGTGCTATTGAAAATCGCTTTAATTTCTCACATTTATTCCTCCTTTTTCTTTAAAATCGTGTGGCAGGAATCTTTTCTATAATGAATATCAATCCACATGGAATTAATCCATCGGACATTGAATCAACTCAAACCGAAGCGCACGTTTACCAATGTATACAGTAAGGTAAATGCGAACAGTAGACGCCATGACGGCCGGGTTGAAGTAGTTAGTGTGTGGGGTAGAAGCAGAGATGACATCCCATCAAACAACTGAAAAGAACAGAAAATAGAAACAACAGTGTGCAAAAAAATTGACGTAAAAACAAAATAATCACATTTTTCCCTCAAAAAGTACACACGGATATTGAAGTACGTCTGTGGTTTCAATTCAATGTTTGCAAGAAAATTGTAATTGCTTTTCTGATCCGGTTGCGATAACTAATTAACTATATGACTGTTTAACTTAATAGTCAAACCGCTTGACCTTTTTGGGTGAAGAGTCCAAATAGGTAAAAAATTGACAAAATGTCAACGATTTGGCTAAACATCTTTTCTCCATATTTTGTGAACCTCCCTCTGGACATGTCGATGGTATGTGCCTCGCGCGCGTAGTGCTAAACATATCCTTATAAGGGGATAGGCGCGTACTCCGCGATTTGGCGCACAATGCAGCGGTGTTTCCCCGTTGGTTTAAAATCAACCACGTGACGGGCTCTCGACCAATAGGAATAGGTAAACTGTTTCAAGCACTTATGAATAAATGTTTAAAAGGTTTTTTCTTCTTTCATGGTATAACAATTATTACGTTCATTCACGACCTTTAGGTTCCTTATGCTTGAAAATTAGACATTATTCTCAGATCAAACAGGACGGAATCGCAAGAGTTAAAACAAAAACTGACAAAAGCTTGCCAATATTTCAACCTTGTTTAGTCTTTGTGCAAGGCTGGAGTTTTTTTTTCACGTAGGCATCCGGTCTCTGACTTACAAAACGCCGTCAAACTGCGGCGGTGGTAGGCATCGCAATCAGAAAGATGAATCCAATGCAGTCTTGATGGGAACAGTAGCAGTGGGACTCATGAGGTTCCGAGCATCTCAAGCGCGCGTAAGGGTTACTTGGACATTCTCTGGGTCTCAGTGCCAAAGTTCCCAAGTAAAAATGTGATCATCTTTTTGATAGCGCCCCCTAGCGCCGAGATGGATTAACGACACTTGCAAGATCGGGACCGGAGTAGCAGGAAAAGGTGCAAGTGCAGTCTTAAGACTAAGACACAACCCAACCGCGCATGCACTGATGGGAGCAGTGACCTACCAGTATTTTGGACTCCAATACGACGTCAATCAGTCGTCCCATGGCGGCAGGATTAAAGTCACCCTCACTTGATGCTCGGATACGTTCATCAGGAATGGTGCCGTCTTCAAGACCCAGTCGCTGACAACTATCTACTGTCAAGATCAAAATAAGACATGGATGAAAAGGTGGAAGGATAAACATACAGCAAATGATTACAAAAAATGTATGAGAACTTGAGATGTCATTTTTGAGTGGTTTCGAATTAAGACGCTTAAACTTATCTGATACATGTATATAAAACCCCCTTTTAAAATTCTGCAACACTGCTACTGAAAAGGGGGGAAAGTCTCGCCTATATATGGCCATTTTCTTTTCTACAAATCTCCCCCCCCCCCCGAAAAAAATAAAATAAATAAATACAAATATTGGAAACAGAATTGAAAGATGTTGCAGAACTGAAAGATGTTACCCTGAAAATCTCATCCGGGGTACGGTTTTAACCATACCAATCAATTTTTATGTACATGTAGCTAATACATGACATTCGATCTTAATCATTTCAAGTTGGACAAACTGTAATGAAAATGATTTGGCATCCTGATGAGAAATAATAACAAAAATCTAGAATATGCATGTGATATGAAAGAAGTATTATCTGGCAAGCACTCATTGCGTGTGAAAAGGTTTCTGACTGTATCAATAGAGGGCGCTGTTTCTTATGTTTTTCCTCATGCAGAATTTTCGGCGTTTTTATCCCAGATTTTCTCATTCCCAAACAAACTGTGGATCGGGGAACAACGTTGTTTAGATATGGTACGTCATAATCTCCCTGTCTGGAAAGTTTTATAAAATTCGGCCGAGCTGATCGCCTATCTCGAAAACTAAAGCGTTTTCAGCCGCTCGTCCCACGGACTATAGGGACCAAGTTACTCGGGCTAGCTACTCAGTCTAGCCCCACTTGGTGCGGGCCTGCCTAACGAGTTTACTTCAACGTTGTGCACAACTCAGAAAATATAGATGTTATCATTTCCTTTACATCATAAAACTATTCTCGTTTGAAAATCAAGTCATAAGTCTAACCACTCACCCGAGTTCACAGTCAACTTTTCAACCGAGTTTCCAGTAAAATATTGAGCGGTCATACGCAGCTAACTTATGCGCGGGGGGGGGGGGGCCTCCCTAAAAAAAAAACACTTTTGACTAGCACCCCCCCCCCCGAAAAAAAGTAAGCAAACATAAAACACGACGCATAATTATATGTAAAAAACGAGGGGAAAAAACCGGAGAGTGCAGTACAGATAATCGAACTTAATCAGAGAAAGTTGGAGGTAACCAGCGTCCATTCTGCTGATGAACGAAGCTACTGAGTCCATACCAGAATTGGTATTACGATCATACGTAATTCCAATAACCATTACGCCATTTCTACCACTATCCATTCATTAGGTTAATGTGGCTTATCATCCATCGGGCACGCATCGAAGTAGCCAAACTGATGGCCAGTCATTCAACTCTCGCATACAAATGAAGAGTTGGTTATTTTGTTTGCATCTCCCAGGTTTGGTCTCAATGGGTATCATTCACCTTAGATTGTAAGACCTTACTTCACGCTTCACTTCCAACTTGTCACTCGCATGAGGGAGGGTTTTATTTCGCCGCGCCATAAACTGAAAGGAGCTCCATGACTTCAATAATGATTCTGTTTCTTCTTTTCTTTTTCTTTTTCTAATTTCCTCTCAGTTCAAAGTATTCTTCATAAGGTCAGTTGTTTCCTAAACTGCAGCTTCCTTTGAAAGGCTGGATGAAGATGCTTACTAAGTCTTTTAATAATTGAATATTTTCATCCGGACGCGACGTCGTCCAAATTCAATGTTTTTAAAAATCGCCTACAATCAAACACATATAGTGTGTATTTGTAATAATTAGTTATGTCGCGTATCATCATGTGGAAGATATAGACGAATCCTGGCACATGATACTCTCACGGCCCCCTTTACCAGGCGAAGGCGTTCTATATAGCTATTGTACAAAGCGACTTTTCGATGACGTACGTATTATCCGAACAAATAGCTAGATTTCGCCACTGAGGGGGGCCTCCGTGATATAAGTGATAGCGTGCCAGGATTGGTCTATGGGCGCAATGTCGCCGTCGATTATTAGGGTATACCGTACCTTATCTGAGTTTACTCACTCATTGGCTAGTGGTATGGCGCCACGTTCTTCATGCTTGGTTTACTCAAGCTGGTAACAGACTTGTCTTGATCAACTTGAGTGCGAGGCACTCAAACGTTGATTTGATTCTGGTTCTTTTCCTGCAATGTCGCAACCGATTTTATTTTTGGTGAAAAATCTCATTTATTTAAAGTGACTTTGTCCACCCAATCTATGCAATCCGTTAAAAACCCGGTGATGTAACATCGAAATGTCAGTACTCTTGTTCAACTCTCGTAGCAAGTTTCAGTCTGACGCGAATCTATGTAAACAGACTCAGCATTGTTTCTCGGTTGGTGTAGATGAGCACAGCCAACGAATTTTGTCTGCAAATTTAGTAGACCAGATTTGTGGAAGTGAAAAATCATGTCGCAGTTCGTGGCAATTGTGTCATTCTTTGCAACCATCAGTGGTAAGTTTGCTCAAGTCGGTGAAATCGTCCCCTTTTTCGACAAGACCCCTTGAAAATTTCCCCTTCTTGTAAAACTAGGAGTTTTGTATTGTTTTTTCCTCTTTATTTGGTCTTTTTTTCACGGGGTCATGCAGAATCGATTAACAATAATAGGAGTTACAGCTCGTTTCCCTGTAAAATAGTTTCGCTCTTCTCCGCAGTCTGCATGGGCCATTCTTTTTAATCCGATATTTCCCCTTTCGTTTAAAATTAATTAAACTATTACTGCCGCTGCTCAACAGATTTCTCTTTTTGCAGGCTAGTACAGTCATAGCCCTTATTCACGATTTGGCCATTTTTGTCGAGTTCCCTTAATTGATTTCATTAATTGTTAACTGTTGAATGGGATGGCGCCAGACTTTTTATGCAGGCACAATGCAGCCTTTTTTTTTTAGTGTCATTTGTTTGTTTTTTTAAGATGGCTTTAAACATTAGGGAACGTTTAATTACAAAATAATGTTAAATTATTCATTGAAGCAGACTGGAATTTATCAAACATTAACTTGTTTCCATTTACCTAATGTTCAATTCAATATGGCCGATTCGTGAATAAGGCCCATTCACCTTAGGCCTAAAACGTATGCCAACATTTCGCGTGATGTCATGAGAATTGTAAGTTAGATTTCACGGTGGGAAGCGTGGCTTCACTATGGCTTGCTTACAAGCGTTGATGGTGGTCACAATGCTGAAGGTTGCGGGTTTGTGTCTGAGCAATTTGTTTTCTTGAATTGTGTTTATCAAGTCTGACTGATTTGTAAAATAATTCCTATTTTTTGGCTGACTCATGGCTCCAAAGGATATTTTTTAAGGGAAATTAAGTCCGAGAACCATTCCGATACACCAACTGCACATTGTGGTCATTGGCTATACTTGGTTGCAGAAAAAAATAATTGCGAGCGGGAGGGGCCGTTGCACAAGGGAACGGAGCAAAGCCTCTTGCGGGCTGGGGAGGGGGGAGGGGGGCGGTGTGCCCACAAAGCCCCCCTCAGGTTGCCTTCTCGTTTCAGTTTTGGGAACACATTCATATAAGCGGTCATTATAGTACAGGAAATCCTTGCGATTTTCAGAATGAAATGAATGTTGAAGTATTGAAGATTGCCAAGATTATCGGTCACTCAGTCATATCCGAATCTGTAGGAAATTTTACACTCTGATTATGAAACTTTGATATGCCAAGTTTAAAAAAAATGTGGTTTTCGACAATCCAAGTTTCCTGTCTCTGTATCGTGTGGTTTCAATAGAAATATCTTACTCCTTAACTTTAATTTTAAGACAAAATTATCACCTCCAAGAATATTGCAGTGAATGTGTTCTGTGTGCTTAATTCGATAGTTCTAGTATTCATGGACTGTGCGGAGAGCAAGGCGAGGGTTTGTTTCTTCGGTCAACCACCGGAGCTGGATGCAGCAGACATGCACCAATGGACGGCACAGTTCATGGAGTTAGTATGGAAAGGATGCCCGAGACAATGCAGTGCATCTGGAGCATCAAATGATGATCATTTCGCCAAAGAAGGCATGTTATCGCAAATTAAACTTGTCTGTGTGTGTGCTCTAACTGCTCTTGTATTGTATTACACTCGAGGACAGACAACAAAAGGAGCACAAAGGGGCCTTTGATCCTCGGACGATGATGCCTATTGTTAAAACCGGTCCTCGATCGTATGGTTATGTGCTTAGTCAATGGGAAAGTGTTATATTAGAGGGACAAAGGGAAACACAATAGGTTGTCCTCAGGCGTATAGTAAAACACGACTGCGTGTGAGTTTGTCTTACATTCCCTATGTGGACTTGTGAACAAAAGATGTCCACATAATGCAGGTTGTGTTAACGTTTTGTGGACTAAGCCGTGGCCACATAACGTTTTGCCCTTACTGGAAAACAGGTTTAGAGGCATTTTTGGTTAGGTTTATCCGTAGCAGAATGAAGAGAAACACTATAGGGAATCATAGGGAAAAAAATTGGGTTAAAAGAGTTTTCACAGTTTAAGTAAAGTTATTTTTTGTACAGAATTTCTTAACTACACGAAAATAAAGGAATGTCCACACAAGGTATGTAACGTAAACCTGGGTGGGTGGGTGTGTGTGTGTGTGTGTGTCTGTCTGTCTGTCTGTCTGTCTGTCTGTACTTCGATTATCTCCAGAACCGGGCGCCGTATGAAGTTGAAAATCGGCGGGTGTATTGCTCGGGATACCAGAATGTGCAGTGGCAAGTTTGAAGTGGTTTGGACCAGCGGTTCTCGAAAAAGCTGCCAAAAAAACCCCAATATTTTCTAAGTCCTAACGTGACAGTATATAGCTTAGGACATAACAGTAACACCACGCTCTGCCGTTCTTTCCAATTGTTTACGTCATGTAAAGCTAAAGCGCGCGTGCTCAATATGACGCAACAATGGAAAAAGGATGTGGGCACGCGCGCGTGCATTGTAGGGCGATACCATTGTCCAGTATGGATGAATAGCACTGCATACCCTGTTTCCGTATGTACACGTACGTGGTGGCTACACGGGCACATTATTTGTGCAGTCGACTGCGCGACCATTGTAGGCGGTCGGCTGAGCAACCTTACTGCAGGGCGATACCATATTGTCAAGTAGGGGTAAATATCAGCGCCAGGGGATGGCGACATTGTGTGCGTTTAACCTGCGAGTGTGCGTTCAACCTGTGGAAGCATCATTGAATAATGTGCGTTGTTTGCACGAGCTATAATTCTCAACTGCCCCTTCCAAACAGGCACATTTTCGACTGGCCCTGCACTAGTCCTTCTTAAATATAAGACATGGGTTTTCCGGGACCACTAAATTTAAACTTCACATTTTTGCTACCTCTAAGCACAAGTGCACCTTTTCGGAGTGAATGCTGTCTTTATTGAAAGTGTTACCAAATGATGAGTTTTCATCCATGATTTTATGTTGATCTTGACATCAGATAGTTGTCAGCGACTGGGTCTTGAAGACGGCACCATTCCTGATGAGCGCATCCGAGCATCAAGTGATGGTGACTTTAATCCTGCCGCCATGGGACGACTGAATGGCCCGTCGAATTGGAGTCCGACATACTGGTAGGTACCTGTTCCCCTGGGTTCATTGCGAGGTTGGGTCTTAGTCAAAGAATGGATTTTGACTTTTCCGCCCTCATTCAGCCGGTCTCGATCCCTGACAAGCGCCGGCCCTCCCCTGAGCTAGCTGAGGGACATCTCATGATCTTGGAAACTTGATTGGAACGTCGCATCATGCTATAGGTCACTGTTCCCATGGGTTCATTGCGAGGTTGGGTTGGGTCTAAGTCTAAAAGACTAGATTTGCCCTTTTTTTCCCTGTAGCCGGTCTCGATCCAAGGCTGGTTTCTATAGATTCTGACTATTCCTGATGAAGCTTAGGTCAGGTAGCAGCTAGTAATACATTGTATTACAACTATACGTCACTTGACTAAAACGGAAGGAATGCCTCCTTTTCCCGAAAATGTCCAAAGTTTGCTAATTTCGTTTCGTCGACAATCGGATAGCGCCCGGGTATTGTTGAGTCTAATACAGGTTTTATGAACTGCCTAATTGCTAATTGAAACTTTGAAAAATGATTTGATAATATATACTCATTGCTTGCATTTCGAAAATTTGAAATTCAACGACGAGTTTGTGCAACAAGTATGCACTCGGATCGTTCACGAGGGGCGAACGTTTTACTGCGTCATGTGCTATTTTGAATTTAACGACCATTACCGGAATTTGCCCAAATTTGGCGTGGTCTCCATTCGACGCCGCCTGCCCAACAGTGCTATTCGGGTGCCTAACTTTCGGATTTCAGGTCAACATTAGTCTATGTTTTTTTACAGAAATATCAAACTGCATGTGATGACTGTATGATAAATGAAGCAAGTGATTTTATTGAAAATTCGATCGGAACATTAAAAGCTGAAAGTGATAAAGCGAATTCGGTAACGAAGCCGAGCTTTAAAAAGGGCTGTCAGTGTCGCCATGTTTATGTTTTTAGACACGCAGGCTGCCTGATCTACAACAAATAACAAATCATTTTATTATTTTTACTCACTGACTGTAATAAATTCAATTTAAGACACAATGCAGTATTTTGTTTTATTCATAGTTTTATTCATTTAAGGACTTGTTTTATTGTTTTATTTCTGTAAAGTTTTACATAGTTATGATTTATTAAACATTGTTTTTAGTGTGTCATATTTAATCAGTTTGAGAGCCCCTCGACAGAAACCATGTTTCTTTTGGGGTAAACCAGCGGGAGCTGGTTAAATATTGTACCGTGTATGTTTTGTCTTAAATGTTCATATTTCATGTGTGTTTCTGTGTATTTAAAGATATAATCTATCATTTGTAATTTGTGCATTTTGTTTATTTGAAGCATACTGAACAACTAACCTGATGAAGTTTCAGATCAGCTTCAGCTGTATTTTCCGAGAAAAACAACATTCTAGGATCTTAATTTCAAATCAAAAGTTGCTGATCCGAAGAATTATAGCAACCGCGCGCGCCTGTGCGTAGTGTCAATGCTTGCGCGCACGTCGCCGTAGCCAAGCACGTCAGCAAAATGCAAAAAAAAAAAAAATTCAATAAAAGATGATGTCTCAAAACCGCCAACCCACTGTTTTGACTGGAATGCTGCTGCTGCACAATTTTAACGTGTTTTTAGATTGGGTTATGGTCGAGAATAAGCTTTATGTGGCCTCTCTGGACTCCAATATATTCGCACTAAGTTTAGTCGGGCACCATTTGCAGTCATCAGCCGACATTTGAAGCCAAAAATCAGGTAAAAAAACAAAAGCCGCGTCGCCGCACCACTTTTTGGGCAAGCTCCAAACCAGAAACCAGAGACTTTTTTTGGCCTTTCTCTCGCTGCAGGAGTATGCCCGGTATGACAGAGAGCATACTCTTGCTAACCCGCGGGTCGTACTCCTGCCGTTCGTGCGCTCAGGAGTATACTCGCGTTAAAACGAGTAGCATGCTCGAACGCACCTGATCAGCGATGTTATCCCGAAGCAGCCTCGACTCCATGGGCGCGTGCGCGTTCCTTACACTTGAGATCGCGTAAGGCATGATGGCGTAGCAAGATCTCGTACCCATGGGAACGAGGTTGATCCCGAATGTCCTCGGGTCATTGAAATACAAAACTGGCTTATTGTCAGGTCAGGGAACAAGCATAGTCCAGATCCGTGACGAGCGCCGTTAAACCACCTCGGCGCTGGGGCGCTATCGACAAGATGATCAAATTCTGTCTTGGGAAGTTTGACACTCAGACCCTGAGAATGTCCATGTAGCTCTTTTCTTTGATTAATCCTTCTGACTATACCGTCTACCACCGCCGCAGTTTGACGGCGTTTTGCATCAGACTGGCTGAATATGAGGAACGAAAAAGCAATTTTAGCCTTGGACCAAGACTAAGCTGGTGGCAAGCTTTTGCCACTTGAGCGGATCCTCACCGACTTCAATAATTTTAGTAATAACGTTTCGCTACTACGTCAGCGTCGCTTTGTTTAGTGATTCTGTTCATTTCTCAATTTAGGGCCCGCATGTTGTGAATAAACGCTATAATTATTATAATATACATTATGTGTACCATGAAAGCAGAAAATATCTTTGAAACAATAATGGTGTAAAATCGGCTCCACTTGCGTGGTTTACATATCACGTGGTTATCAATGTATATGCAGTAATTTCACGGGAAAACCCATTCTCATAACTAAATGTGCCCCCGTTTTTTGATGACGCTGATTTGTTTTTTGTTTGTTTTTGTTTTAATGCCCATTATAGCCTTCGTCCAACGTCCTGTTGGATTGGGGTGGATCTCCTCCAAACGACTAGGGTTTCTGGCGTCATCACACAAGGAAATAAACTGGTCTGGGCCTCACATCTGGTGACAGAATTCCAGGTGTCTTACAAGCCTACACCTTCATCTAGCTACGAGTACATCAAGGAAACCAACGGTGATATCAAGGTATAGGCTTACAGTATATAAGTCCTTCACTAATTACGTGAATCATTTAATTGATATTGAGCTAGATCCAGTTTATGTGAGTTTCGAAAAAATGAGATTAGTGTCTTCAAAAAAAAATATGCACCACACGAGCTACTTGATTAACAACAATCCACCTCCAAATGCATCGCAAAGCCTGAAGTAATTCGGTCGTTTCACAATGTAGTGCGCCACCAAGAGTTTGCCAGTGCATTGTGGGAGATGGTCGACAAATTTGCCCGGCCAGTAGTTTCGTGAGCGTATGGTTCGAGTATCTGTTTGCCCTTTTCTGTCACTTTTTATCAATATGGTGTTGTTTTGTAACGTGGCAGAACGCTATGCCCCAATCTTTAACAAATTAGCTCAAGTTGTCTACTGGTACTCGTTAAAATGGGCCGTGTTTTGTCCACCGGGCCGTGTTTTGTCCAACTTGAAAAGTGGACTCTCTATGGCAAACTCTTGGTCGCACACTGCATTGTGAAACGCCCAATCCCAAGTGGAATAGAAAAGTAACTTCATCGTTCTTATAAGATTTTTTAAGCAGTTAATTTTCACAGCGTTTTCAAATGTTTTCTCTTCTTTTCAGTTGTTTGATGGCGGGGATGTCAACTCTGCTTCTACCCCACACACTAACTACTTCAACCAGTCCCTCATGGCGTCTACTGTGCGCATTCACCCTACTGTATACATCGGTAAACCTGTGCTTCGGTTTGAGTTGATTCAATGTCCAATGGATTAATTCCATGTGGATTGACATTCATTAACCTAAAAATGATCCCTGGTACACTGTTGTTTCCAGTGTTGGAGCAAAGGCTTTGACCCTCAAGGCCAAGACCAAGGCCAAGGCTTTGACCATCAAGGCCAAGGCCAAAGCTTTGACCCTAAAGCCTCGAGGCCAAGGCCAAGGCTTAACCCTCAAGGCCAAGGCCAAGGCCAAGGCCCTGTTTTATGAAATGACTACTGATATAGAACTACATTTGTAATTATAGTCGCATGAGTGACACATCATCACGCAAGGGCGGATCCAGAACACAATTTTTTTTTGGAGGGGGGGAAGAAATTTTGGTCCCCCCAAAAAAAGTGGGTCAAAAAATTACGGCTTGGGCTTCGGGGTTTCGTTTTTTTTTTTGGGGGGGGGGGCATGGCCCCTTTTGGCCCTCCTGGATCCGCCCTTATCATCACGAATTGCTCGTTACGAAGAACAACATTTCTTTAATTGCAATCAACATGCTAGCATACATGTAGGCCTACACCATTTTATGACTGCACTGTATCTAATAAAGTATAAGTTCAGGTCTTCAATATGGTTTAACTAAACAAAATAATGATTTACTTCTATATTGACACACAATTCTCCCAAGTGTAACAAAAGGGGGATCCAAGAAACTGATTTGGGAAATTTTTATTTGCTGGCCCAACATGGTCAGAAATATCAGCATTATCTAAAACAGATACATGCAAATCTGTAGCACTTATCAGGGAGACATATACAACCAATCAGATCTATTCCATAGTTATATGCAATTTAAGTGATCATCTCATTAGCCCCACAAGTGTACGGAATATTTTTGCAGCAAATCTACTACAATGGTAACAAAATGTGATGCTACAAAAGTGAAAGTGTGCCCAACACACAAATCTATAGGTTGCTTCCCTCCTCCATGGTAATACGATTAAAATGGTAACAGCAAAATTTCGAACAGCTTTATCTTGAAAATGCAAAAATCTATGGGCCTTGAGGAGCCTTGACTCAAAATTGCAAGGCCCTGAACTCTCAAGGCTAAGGCCAAGGCCAAGGCTTTTGCCCTCAAGCCTCGAGGCCAAGGCCAAGGCCCTAAAATCCAGCCTTAAGGCAGCCTTAAGGCCAAGGCCCAGCATCAAGGCACTACATCACTGGTTGTTTCTTTTCAAAACAAAATCGGAAAACGGTACATTTATCTTAGAGCATTTGTGCTTTTTGGAATGACTGTGAGAGATTGAAGCGATTTTGACGAGCTAGCACCCTCGAACATAAATATTGAAATAACGTGTATCCGCCAACATGGGGCCTGATAGCCAAGTTTGCAGAGCACTGGTACGACTTTGCGGAGGTCGCATGTTAACCCTGCTCCTGTCAGCTGTCTCTTATATATTCACCTATAATCAATTTGCGCTTGCTGTTTATTCGACAATTAAAATTTAAAGCGCATAGTATAGCTGCTTTCGGCGGATTCGTATAGGTAGCGCTTGGTATATCCGTGTTGTTCATTTTGGAGTGTCTCAAAGGAAAATTTTGATATCACAGAGATTTTTGGTGAATTAATTAGTAAATGTTTATATCTAAAAGTTTTACATTACAACTAATTCATGTTATCAATATCAAGCTTTACAAACATGCAGTAAATGAACATAGTTTTGATGCATTGTGGTTCACATCTTCATATAACGATCGTATACACCTCAATTATTCTAAGGCTTTTTGAGGTTTACATTATGAGCACTAACTTGCAAATTACATGTTACTTCAGCAACTTTATTTGTAGAACACAAACACGTCAGCTTTGATATAAACGTAATTTACAAAGAATGTTTGTTGTTCCAAGATACTGAAATTTGAATCCTTGTGGAGACATTTCTTTGTTCTCGTGTACTAAAGTTTTCGAGTTTGAAAGTACAGTTTTAAAATGCTCTTATTTTAACCAGAATTAATTTCCTTGGCTGAAATTCGGATACAATTTTTTGTTCCCTATTGTTTACATGTCCGTCCAGTGGGCACGGTGTATCAGATCCTATACCGAAGTTAGGTACAGTGGCTGTTTCACACACAAAAACAACAACCAAAGTCACTAACCTTTCAGCTGCCGTATAAGGGCATTTATGAAGGGTTCTAATCTACATTTATGCGGTATTTTGCTTAGTGTGTTGTTTGAATATTTATTTTGACTAATTGAAATGGTATATAAAATACGAGTAGAAAATATAATCACTTTCCGATTCAAAACACAAGTATTTTACATTAATTCTAAAAACAGTCTATAGCGAATATGTTTCTGAGAATTTCGAAACATGCATTGAATAAACTGTCATGAAAGTAGACCCCTGTGAGTAATTTGATTCCACTGAAACCAACGGAAAGTACACTCCAGTGTTTGACGGAAACCGTGATGAAACATTCCAGTCTTTTCTCGGACAGCAAAATATCTGTTTTTCACTTTTGGTTGCTAGTTTTGTCAGCAACCATGCCGTGTCTAATTTGCCATCAACCATCCATTCCTGTGTGTGTGGGGGGGGGGGGGCACGCTTTCCCCAGCGGCTTTCCGTGACCCCAACCACCCCACTTACCCCTACCTGGGTGCCCCTCCCCCACCATATATATATATCACTCGCCTTCGGGTGCCCCCCCCCCCTTTCTTTGAAAAATGTGCGCAGCCCCAGGCACCCCCTCGGAATGTTAACCCTAGTTACGTCACTACCTGGAAGGCTTTCGTCTTCTGTTCCAAAGTTGTGGTGTTTCATTTCGAGTTTTATCCCGACCTGCGCCAGTGTACATCTGACGATAACAACCGTTCCCTCTTTGAGAGCAGGTCCGTCGTGCGTATGGGGAGGTCCGTCGTGTTTGTGAGTAAAACCGTCGTGCCTGTGAGTAAAACTGTACTCACAGGCACGACGGTTTTACTCACAAATACGACGGTTTTACTCACACGCACGACGCTCTGCTCACAAACACGACGGACCTCTCCACAAACACAGCATGACAGGCACGGCGGAGCTCCCCACACGCACGACGCTCTATTCACAAACACGACGGACCTCTTTACAAACACGACGGACCTGCTCACGGGCAGTACGACGGAGCTTCCCACACGCACGACGGTTTTACTCACAAACACGACGGACCTCTCCACAAACACGACGGACCTCTCCACAACTTGACACGACGGACCTGCTCACAGGCACGACGGAGCTGCCCACACGCACGACGATAACAGATAGGTGTCCTTTATTGGTCACCATACAAGCAGGTGTCAGAGAGGATCTTGACAGAGGATGCCCCTCCACAACATTGTGAATGTGTTCTGTGTGCTGAATGCCGTGGCAACCGATTTAACTAAATAGACTGCGTCACATATAATCTATCTTATTTTTCAACATTGCCTTCGTAAATGTAAGACTTTTTTTCTGGGACCCAGACTTTTTGATATGATTACTAACCAACATTAAACACTAAAATTATGGATTCTCCAAACAAAAGAACAGCTTCACATTATTTTGTTGTCGTTATTGAAAGCGTTACTACTTGAGAAGGAATTGGAAATATGTATATGTATTTGGTATTTGTTTTATATTCCAGGCACAATGTGGTTTTTAAGTAATCACCTAAAGAAATACAAATAGTGATTTATTTAATATAATCTTAATTTATTTCATTTGTTTATTTATTTTTGTAGGGGGGGGGCAATTTAAACCTGCACAATTTTTACTCACACAAGAAGAATGGTATTTAGATGACATAAGTCAGCTCATTCTGTACTAAATGAGCATTACTCGTTTATTTTCAAGTGACAAAACAAGCTATTAAGCACCTGTGTACATCACAGGCCGATTACCTAATTGCATAACATGCCAAAAGTCTCATCAAATTGAACGGCCTACTTCCTGTTTGCAAACTTTTTAAGAAGAGAAAATTAATTTATATTCCCTATTTGGAAGCTAAGTTGAGTGGCAGCATTATGACTGCAGTTTGTTTCAGCTGAAACCGTCTTACTGTTTTTATTATTTTGAATATTGCTTTAAGAACCGATTCATCTTTTGGTGTTGCTCCATCCATTCTGTGAACCACCATTAAACCCCTACGGGCCGCTTCCTTTTTTGAGGCTGCATTTAATTTTCATTACTTTAAAAAAAACCAGGCATGTTTCAGAAATTCGGATGCTCCATCCACCAGATGCCACGCACTTCTATTATTTTCTAAAACATGTTACCCTGAGATAAGAGTTCACAAAATTACTATGATCTAGGGTTTAATCGATGTTTATGTAGCCAATACATAACATTCGATCCTAAATTTAAAATGAAAATATTTTGGCATCCGATGAGAAATAAGAAAAATCTAGAATATAATTATGACAGAAGTATCATCTAGCAAGCACTCATTGGCCGAGTTCGGGCGGGTCTTGTTCTTGATGACACGGGTATACAGTTGCGTACGCAGGATTTTTTCAAGGGGGGGGTGTTTCAAAATTGGATGTCGTCATTTATGACGCTAGAAATGAAGATGGTAAATTGTGTGGGCGCCAGAAATAAAAGATAGTATCAGTGGGCTAAACTTAACGCTAAAATAAAAATCGGGAGTTTGTGTTGGCGCCAGAAATAAAAGAGGGTATATTTGGACGGGTTAAACTCGAAGGGCCGGGAACCCACGACCATCAGTTATCTAATTGAGCTAAAGCATGGTAAATCGAAAAAAAAATGTTCTGTGTCTTTAGAGTATATGATGAACATATGAGTAAAGGGGTCAATGTGGGCAGTCCCCTCCCTCAACAGCATTAAAAAAAAAAAAAAAAGAAATTCAAGAAAAAAGTGACACGGGCTGCGGAAGTGCTAGGATCCGTTCTTGTAATTGGCTAAACTTACTCAGCTTCGTCCCCTGGATCTCATGATTCTCATCCGTTGGGAATCTTCGTGTAAACCGCCCCCACCCCTAAGGCCAAACTTCAGATACAGGATACATATGCGCTCTGGTCGCAGGAGCGGATTGAGACTGCCATTTGCCGGGGGGCCTAGAATTATTGTAATGAAGAGTCCAGGACCTGCGAAGCCCTAATACGGCGTGGG